GTATGAGTAGCACAGCTTCAAATCCTTTCTTCCGAGTCTGTGTGAAACAGAGCAGAAAGCACTTAGTCCGAAAAAGTGTCAGTATGAGTAGCACATTCTCAAACCCTTTCTCTTCCTTCCTCGAGCTTATGTGAAACAGAGCAGAAAGCACTTAGTCCGAAAAAGTGTCAGTATGAGTAGCATATTCTCTCAAAAATCTCTCAAAATCTGTCTTTTCTGTTGCTGTCTTTTCCGTTATTGTTTGTCTCGAGACTGTGTGAAACAGAGCAGAAAGCACCAAAAACGTGTCAGTATGAGTAGCACAGTCTCATTTTTCTTTTTCCCATCATTGTCGTTGCTTCATGCAAGGCCTTGGAGAGGATTAAAACAATCACATTCACTCTACCATTGTCATTTATGCACGGTGCTGGGAGGGCGTCTTGACTGCCTATATCTAGTCACCTAGGCAAGTGATTGGTGCTTTTGATGTAGGAACTCATGTTCGCGATGTCAGTATTGTTGATGTCGGTATATTCATGACAATGTTTCGTCACATCACCATCCTCATTGATATACCTGGACTATGGATAGGTAAACACGAGAGGAGGGGCGTAGGTTGAATGTAATCAGGTTTGAAGAGAAAAGAGTCGATGGTTTTTAAGGAACCAACCGAACCACAGCGTCATGACTACATGAATAAGCCACGCCACCTGCTCAGCCGTTGCAAGCGAATTGTCTATTGGAGCCATATATGGAGTTTGTATATCCGGGCAATACTGATCCTTGGGTCTTGTTCCTTGACCGTCTGCGAGCGACGCCCAGTCTGCACGATCAATGCAGCCTGGCTGGAGCACCACGCCGCCACACGAACACCCGACCCTCTAACCCACATCAGAGTGGCAGAGCGAACACCAAAGGAAGAATGTGCCGTGGTCGTAAACAATCGGTGCCTGCTATACCGATTCATGTAGGGTCATCAAGAGAAAAAGCCTGGATGAACCTATCGCATGTTGGTATATGAATAGCTCTATAGAAGAGATACGGGATCATTGTGGCCTTTCCAAACCTTGACCATTCGGGTTTGGCAATCCAGGTCATCTTCCATGGCTGGGCGGGCTGTGGTCTCTCCTCCCATCAAGGTACGTGTTATGCGCAGGGTGATCTGAGTTAATGGTCAACATTTGAAGACAAGCTCTATGATCCGAAGTTGCGCAATGCTTGGTATCAATCCACATTTTGAAGACCACTAGACTAGCATACACATTGATGCCGTCAATGCCATCTGGATCAAAGCAACATGAATTCGTTCAAGGAGTGACAATTTAGTTAGTGGCTCACGAACCACTAGTGCCTTCCCCAGACGTTAGCGGGCACTAGTTGACGGAAACAGCAGGTCAAGCGAAGCTCGCCATTTTGGGAAATTGCAACGGGGAAACAATTCTAGCACAATTCCGCCTTTTATGCACCTGCGCCCAGTGATGTCAACGCCATTACCGAGCGATCTTCAGAGCCTTTCTATCGCAAGTCGCTCTGCCCTTGCTGACAAGCCACAACATGTGTGATGGCTTTGTCTGATGCGCGGGACTATGTGCTCACGATTGAGAGTAACAAGGATGAAGCCCTTGCTGTTGCAAAGTCGGCTGCTCAGAGTGAGTTGGTAGAACTTTCCGTGTGATCGGCTACTCACACAAGGAAAAGAACTAGAAAGTCATGAGACAACCCTTATACAGCTCGTCCAGTCTCTGGGCGAGTACATCAATGATGAAGACGGAAAGATCCGTGCCCGAGCAGTCTCATATCTAGTCGCCGTTCTTTCTTTCCTACCACCAAAATTCTTGTCCCGACAACAGATCCAGGTCTTGTGCCAATTCCTCTGTGACCGGATTGAAGATGGGGGAGCGATTGAGGGTCTTTCCCAACTGCAAATCCTTGACAGGTTTACAACAGACATGGCGCAAGCAGTTGTGAGAGCGTGAGTGCAACCCACCGCGCGACAGCTGTCCTCCGACATGCCCCAACAAGGTTGTCTGGCAGCAAGTCATGCTTTGAGCATATAGCTGACTAAGAACAGACTATTCCAACATTTCGATGACCTGCAGTCCTTGAATCAAGCAGGCAGATATAGGGTTCTTCAGCTGTTGAATGCTTTATTGGATCATCACCGTAAAGGTATGTTCGTTCCTAGGATTCGATCTGACTTGACATGGCCTGACGCACAAAGCCGTTCGAGAGATGGGCGATGAGTCCCTGGTGGGAATTGTGAACCTGGTCTCGGGCGAGAAAGATCCACGAAACCTTATGCTCATTTTCTCCATGCTACGAGTTTTGATGGTGGAGTGGGATATCACAGCACACATCGAACTCATGTTCGACTCCGTTTACGCATATTTTCCCATAACCTTCAGGCCTCCTCCGAATGATCCCTATGGCATCACAGCTCAGGACCTGAAAGATCGTCTACGCAACTGCCTGGCATGTACTGGACTTTTTGCACCGCATACTTTTCCTAATATGCTTGACCGTCTCGATTCAACATCAAATGCTGTCAAGAAAGACGTTCTCGCCACTCTATCTGCATGTGCAGCGAATTATGACCCCAAAGTCCTCAGCCAATATTCAATCACTTTATGGGATGCTGTCAAATTTGAAGTGTTGCAGGCACAAGAGCCCGACCTTGCCGAGGAGGCTTTGAATGTACTTCAAAGTATATCCCGGTGTTTGTCGAAGACTACTACTGATGCGCCTACTTCGTTACTCCTACAATACCTCAAACCGATCAACAAGGAATGCTTGGAGCATCTTCAACAGCCGGCATCTCGACAGGCTAAGGCGTCCGGTGACATATTGAATGCGGTTTCTTCAGCCTCTTTACCTGCCTTTGAGATGGTGATCAAGGCCGTCGGCCCTCCCCTTCTGACCATATACCAAACTGCAGAAGGGCTGGTCCATCAAAGAGCGGTTCTTGAGTTTGCGAACAAGTTATTCGAAGCAGCCCTGGAGGTATACGGATCCTGGACGACTCCCAGCAATAAGAATCCTGGAGGTAGAGAGAACATCCTTGGAGAGTTCAAAGACAAATTTGTGACCATCTACAGTCAGGCATTGATGGGGACAGTCAAGGAGGAGGTCTCTTTTCGTCTGACCGCGGCCACTGGGCTACTCTTGATATCGAAGATGAACTCATTACTACCAGATAACGAGATTGGACTTTTCGTGCAATATTTTGATGATATTGTTCTTAAAGAAGAATCCTACAGTCGAGACGAGCTCAAAACAAAATCAATGAACGCTTTAGCCGAAATATCCAAGTTCAAACCAACACTCATTTCTGATATTACCTTTCCAGCATTTATGGCATGCTTGCCAGATGCTGAGGGTGCGGCAGAATCCAGTGATTACAGGTCTGTCTTGGGTGGCTTGGCCGAAATCAGTGTTGAGAAGACCCTGCTCGAGACTTTGATGCGGCGTCTATTGAACAAACTTGATCTTTTGTTCAACTCAGAACAGCGATCATCATACCCATACACGATTGCAATCCTTGGCGCCATTCTGTATGTATTGAATAAGACGGTCAACGAACAGCAGGTATCGCTGGATTCTTACTATGAACGTGTTGTTGTTGGGCTATCTCGGAGGACAACTGAATCTCGGAATGGCCCACTTGCCAATGAGAATGTTGCTGACCTGATTGGTCGAATAATGAACCTGATTGTACGATACTCTTCGAAGGAAGCAATTCAGCGAGCTGCTGAAAATGTCTACGCCCTCTTTCGAGACACACAAGACAATGACAATCTTGGTTGGCTATCCATGCCCCTGAAAACCTCAACTACTATTATACTATCTACATGGCTCTTAGCGGCGATACCACGTCAAACGCAATCCTCCCTTTTGACGAAGTCGCAGATACCGCAAACAGTCGAGAAGCTATTATCCATCACATCGAAAGACCAGAACAGAGCAATCTTACAAAATCTCCTAATTCAAGTCTCATTGTATGTCAATAAGCACATGGAGGCAGCAGACCTCAATTTTGTCGATACTCTTCTTTCCAAAACCTTAGCATCCCTGAAAGACGAACCCATGGATGAGAATGAGACTCCGGATGTGGAAATTCGACTTACGTTTGCGTTGATCAAGCCCTTGGTACTTCGGTTGGCCCCCCGAACAAATCAATATCTGATCGATCTGATCGATCTTCTCGATCAGAGACAATATCCAAAGGAGGTGTCCCTGAGGGCAGCAGTCGGCTTTTCCACAATCCTTGCCCCAGATGATGTTCTATCAAAGACCAATGACGCGCAGATTCGCCTTCTCGCCCCTCAACGAGTGTTCCAAACATTAACTCCGCTTATCTCAGAGAAATTCAGAGCATCAACATCTCCGATCGAAAAGGAGAATTATCTTGTTGCTCTTAGCGGCATCTTGTCTACTGTACCCTCGGAAATTGTCATGCCCGAGTTGCCAACACTACTACCTCTTCTTCTGCAGTCTCTTGATATTACCGATCAGGTAGTCAAGATAGCGACGCTTGAAACGCTCGCCATTGTGATCACGAGCAACCCTGCGGCCCTGGACGAAAGTGGACACATTCCAGCTCTCGTCAAGCGACTCCTTTCCGTCGCATCCGTACCTAAGGCCAAAAACACCACCAGTAAAACCGGAATGAGCAAAAGCAGTGTTGGCCATCATGTCTATCATCCCCCAGCAGCCATCAATCTTCCCAAGACGCGCCGCCTGGCCACTCGCTGCTTAACACTTCTCCCCAAATATATCGCTGAGAGTACATCCCGCGCAAATCCGCTCTTGGCTCTAAAGCGAACGGTTCTTCACGAATTGACCAGCGTTCTGGACGACAACAAGCGTGATGTGAGGAAAGAGGCGGTCGATGCTAGAGCGGCATGGATAAGAGGTGTGGATGATGTTGACGATGCTGACGACGAAGAAGATGCTTGATGGTTGTTCACATTTTCCGATTCCGCTTTGGAGAGCGCCATGTTACGTATAGATCTTGGGTAATTCAAAGCGATGGACGCGCTGGCTGTCCTGAACGTACATAGTTGATTAGTCTTCTTCTGCCAAAGAATCCCCACCCACAAGCTTCCTTAACGTAGTATGCCTTAGAGACCATCAAGTAATGTCGCACAACTCCGGAAGGGTTTGGAAGCGTAGGTATGCAGTCAATTTTTTTGAATGGTTCATCGTGTAGTTTCCCGACCTGACTTGGGATTGCGTTTGCGCGAGGCTCAGACTATCTATATCCGATGCTTCTAGGCAGTTCCGTTTACTTATGTACTACCAATCAAGACGATCAATCACAAGGGAAAATCATGAGGTGCACATTTCATCAGAATGATAGGGAGAAAAGGTAGTATTTTGGTCAAATTCGAGGACAGGCAGCCGCTAGAACGCCGCACGAATCTAGTCGAAATGTTGTGTCACAATAACAGGCAGATGGGGGTATGGTAGCCGCTTATATATATATATACACATTGAAGCATAAAAGACATCGGAAGGGGAAAGGTGCCCACCACGCCGTTTAGGAAGGCTTGCTGCGCCCAATTTCTCCCCAGCCCGTCTTCGCATATCAACACGAGTCCTCACGAAAAGAAAATAATTCCCGCGAAACTCCATTTCCAGATCACAGGTGCGATAAAACGCACACCAGGGGATTTGACGCTGAATTGCAAGAACGAACGACATTCGTTGAGTGCTGCTTCGTCAATTCTTCTTATCGTTCTGTCGTCCTGTAGCGGCTTGTCGAATCTGCTTTTCAATTTATTTCCATACACATTATGACTAGAAAGCGGCCCGGTTTGAGTCGGATCCAAAACCAGGTGGATATGAGGGATATACATCTCATCCATGCTTAAAATCCCCGCCAAGGATCTCGGGAATCGACACTCCCCCGGGTGGAAGAGCTTGCCGCCATCATTTCGCTGTGGAGCAACGAATCTACGGGGCTAATACTGTCTCTTCCTTGTTCGATGCCCCAGTATGACATGTCTTTCTTCCGAGTCTGTCCTCGCAAGAGGTTAACCGAAGGCCTACTGGAGGATGTAGATTGCTTTCCTTCGATGAAAGCATCCATTCTCATGGTTGATGCTGGGTTGGTATCCAGCAGTATAGTCGGGAGTGGTGGTCGCCCCGAAGCACTTGCTTCGCTACCTCGGCGGCTGCTAACAAGGCTTTGCATCCCTAAGCTCGGAGTATATAGTCCTCGATCCGAGGAATATACTGCTGTTGATTGGATGCTGTGTGAGTATGTTGACCCCGGTCCAGGAAGGCTAGGAGTGGCATCTTTAGTTGAGAACGTCTTGAATGAACTCGGTGGTGCCCTTGGGGCGGTATTGCTCCTTTTCCTTGAATGGCGAGGAATGGTTGGTGGCAGTGCGGGATCTGTCATTGGATCGTAGAAGTCTCGTGATTGTGGCCGGAAGTCTTGTACTGGGAGTGAGCCGTCTGTTGTGAATGACCTTGGGCCGTGTCCAGTTCCGTTCCTGACTGCATTCTTTGCTACTCGAATCGAATCTCGAATCGGCCGCCGCCTAAGTGATCCTGCAAGAGACGGAGGCGGTGGTTGCAGAATTTCGTGTTCAGGAGGAGGGGGTGGGGGAGGGAGTGCTGTAAGCTCATTTACGCTAAGTGGAGAGTGCGAAAGGAACGATAGTGCTGTCAGCCAAACATAATGTCGTTCTTGAGAAGTCGCAGTGAACTTGAGCGCTCGCTGAGGCGTAAGAATTAGGATTGATCGGTTGAAGTGAGGTCCGATCAGTGATCCCTTCGGCATCGGATTGTCGTCTTTGACATCGAGTACAGATTTGATTGTCACTGAGAAAAATTAGTTAGGCGCAGGTCTTGGGTAGAAAATTTGCAACTTACATTTACGACCACTCTTTCCCATGAGGGCAGTCCCCGATGTTGGTTGCTTACTGCTCCACATGACAGCGCGCTCGTACGGGGCAAGCCAAACCCATCTCTTGTGACGGACTCCGTTATTTGTAACACTCTGAGAGATCTCTTCGACACTTTTATTGGCATCCCAATCGGCTTTATCGGTGACCCCAAATGATTTCCGTCTCCTAACATACTTGTACATCCATTCACCCACCATGGTTTGTGCGATTGAATCCACGACAGAGGTTTGGTGCATTGAAACTGCATCTGAGTTTGTCTTCGTGTGGGTTCCTCTTCGGCTGGGTCCAGTTGCGATGGATGGCCTAGGTGCACTTGCCTCTCGCGGGTTGCTATAAGGCTCAGCCAAGAAAGGTGGAGGAGTGGTCGTTGGCATTTGAAAGCTAGGCATCTCTGGAACAATTGAAACCCTTGGATCAATGGGGGGAGATCGACTGCGGGCACGTCGTGCTTGTGAGTGAGGAGAGATCGCAGGTCCTGACCTTGCTTTTCTCAACATCGGTTTCATGGTCTTGTTCTTTGGTCGCTTGGTTGGGGAGGCATTGCTGCTGCCAGGGGAGCTTCTCCCACCCTCACTGATGGACTTGCCAATTCTCGCAGAGCTATACCTCAGCGGGACAGGGAATGGTGGAGGATTGTTGCTGTCAAATGAAGCAGTCGTAGATTGCGAGTGAGACGACTGATGAACCGCGGCTCCGCTTGATATCATGGCCGCACGCCTCATGTTGTTGGATCTCAAAGAAGGCACTCTCTTCAATTTCTGCATAGCTGAACTTTGTCGCTGGGCCCCACTTCGAGGGTTGATACGAGCCTGGAATAGTATCGCTTTCATCTCAGGGGGTAGGCTGTCTTCAGAGAGTCGAAGATTCTCCAAAGCTACAGCTTCTCCAGCGTTTACTGCTGCCTGCTCATTGACATCCTCTAGAAGAGGGTCTTGAGAGACCATTCTCCCCGACCTGAGTGTAAATTTTGCAGTAGGCCGACTGAAGATATCATCATCGTGGAAATTATCTTCACCGAAAAGATCGTCCCGGTTTTCACTGTCGTCATCAAATCCAGCAAAAAGGCTGCTGGAACGTACAGGGCGAGGCATATTTGAAGCCAGATCTTTTGTGAGAGGTCCATTGTCATTCAGCGGGGGCGCTTTAGATGGCCCTGGAACCGAGCGCCTGGATCCGAACATGGACGCGATAGGGGGTGTTCGACTCCGGGAAATTGGCGGCGGTGCTGCTCGCGAGGAAATGGGCGGTCTGAAGTGGGTTGACAGAGGAACGGATGGCATCTCGGAGGGTGGGACGATCGACCTTTTGTCAACTCGAATTTCTTCGGTCTGCATCGATGTTGATGAATATCCGGCGAGAGATTGAATAGAAACCTGGGTACCGGCATTCTTAGTTCTGGGTGGTAGCACGACATTGGTTTCAGGTGTGGCAGGTCTTGATCCAGGAGGAATGATTGCGATGAGCGGAACCTTCAGATCCAGAGTTTCTTCGCTGGGAGTGTGTTTGTGGCTGTGATCAACAGAAGTCGGCGCGGCAATGGGATCCGTCTGTGTTCCCGTGGTGGCTGTTTCGACTCTTTCTTGAGTACTTTCTGGTATGGTGGGGAGCGCTGCTTCGCGTTTCTCAGGAGTGAGTGGCGGACTGGGTAAAGCTTCGACTGTTTGACAGGCGGACGATACCATGACCGGCTTCTGTGTTGACCAAGGGAACTCGATGCTTTCAATAGGGCTCACGGGGCTGTGGTTGGCATTAATTTGCTTGACATTGGAAGGTTGAACTTCTGTCGGCTGGTACTGGTTCGGTTTCTGGGGCGACTCCATGATTGGCCAGGGGGATGGCGGAGGGGAGAATTGAATGGCTGTGTCAACATACTTGATGCTGATTCGGCGTCGAATGCCATCCAACAGCGGATAGGTATTGGAGCTGTCATGCTCAGGGCTTCCATTCCGTTCCAAATCCTCAAAATCCAGAGGAAGCCCAAGGATCTTACGCGCTTTTATGGAGAGGCTTGAAGCAGGGCGGATTTGCTCTTCTGGTAGTGCATCTGGGGATATCCTGCCGTCATCATTCTCATGGGCGATGGCCATGTCTTCCTCCAGCTCGTCAAATGCCAACTCATCGGCAAGGTTAGTCGAGACACCGTTGTGGAAACTCATAACCGAGACACGTCCACCGTGAGCCTCACTGTTGACTGAAGTTGCACTATGTCTCCGACCCCGTCGAGTGAGAATGGAAGCTTTGCTCGGACTTTCCATAACACTATTGCGGCTATGACACGTCCGTTCGGTTGGGGAGATAGGAGGTGCCTGATGTGAATTGGCAACCTCACTCAGTACGACTTTGAGCCGACCTTCTGCAATATGGACTTTTGTCTCAAGACCTCGACGCTCAGTTAGCCATGCTTCCTTGTCCTTGTCCCACGACGCCTGCGTTCGCTCAACATGTTGTTCTTGGCTCTTAGCTTTCGCCTGGCTTTGCTCCAGACGTCTGCGTAGATCGGAGACATCATCTAGCGCATCGTCTCGTTCTTTAGCCAACTCGTTCAATGCGGAGAGAGTACCTCCCTCGAGAAGTTGCATTTGACGTTTGACGGAACGAGTTTCTTTGTTTGCCTGTAGTAGGTTGTTGTTGAGTACTCCATTCTGAGTCTGTGCGGCGTGGAGGGTCATCTCCAACTTTTCAATGTCATCGGCACGGCTGTCCAAGTCCCTCCTCAGGGACAAGATCTCCGACACCAGGGAGGCATGAAGTGTAGGGGTGAATCTTCTTGGGTCAAGAGGAGAGATGGTTTCATCTAGGGCAGGATTGTCGGAGTCCTGACTTCTCCGTTTGCTCGCCCTATCGTCAGGCATTGGAGGTGGAGTGGATGATGGAGACATGTCGTCGTAAGGACGGGACCGAAGGGACTGTGAACTTGAGGGCGTTCGATAGGGAGTATCTGTGGGTGACGGCAGTGAATAACTCAGTTCGGTATCCATGCTCATCGAGATAGTTAACTGGTTATCCCACTCAGGGTTCAACTGGTTCGCCCACAATGCAGCATGCTCAACACACTGCTGTCTGCCTCAACGCGGCGAGATATTGCGTGTTCCACTCTTACCAGGCCAGCATAGAACCAGTCAGAGTGGCATTCAAATACATGGCATTGCCCACAGGCTTCATGCGACCTGGGAGGGTTTAGACCAGCAAGCCCTGCTTGCAGAATAGTGTAAGATGAAGGCGGTTAGGTATCGTTGCTAAGTAGGTGTAGATTAACCAGAGACCAGACACGCAGCGGGGGGATGCCTTGCGTTGTGAAGTATGCGAAGGCGCGCAAAACGGGCGTCAGAGGAGAGATTTTAGATGGATAGCAGGTAGGTGCATAGGGAGAAGGCTTGAAGATTTGGGAGACAGGTATCAGATGTTTTGGAGGAGTGTGAGAATTAGGATAAGTGAACGTGAATGGTGCTGCTACTTAGTTCGTCGCGAGGGACGAGGGATCCATGGGGATGGCATAGAACGGGCTTTGTCTCAGTCCCAAGTCGAGCAAAGTCACGACTCACCAGTCACCACACGCATAGTCCGTCCTCGAGAAGGTCGGTTTTAGGGACAGCAGACAGGTGGTACGCAAGGTCCTTGGGCCCTTGTCTGACGACTCTAGGCACGCCTTCTCTCTGGCGCAGCGCCAGTGGTACTCAAAAGGTCGTTCTTCTGGGGCGCGTCTGAGCCTCTGAGGCATGGAGTGGGAGTTTTGAGTTTGGGCTGATCGGCAGCGGTATTAGGCGCATCTCAGTTGGGGGCGCTATTGGCCAGCAGAGCTTCAATCGTGGGAGAATCGTTGTTCAGGGGCAGACAATGGAGAATAAGCCCCTCAGGCTTTGCGCGAGGCCTGTAACTTGTAAGAGTGGGTGGAGTCCAGCCAAGGAGGAGGAGACCTTTAAAATTTCCACGACTGGTTGAGAAATCTTAGCGTGCAGTGCGCCCGGGATTTCCACTAGAGAGCCTAGCCAGGGATCACGGAAGAGCTGCTGTTGGCACCCGGCACCGACCCTAGACCAGAGCCACCACAGATCCGGACAAGATGCTCAGGGTGGGATGAGAGGTCCGAACGACAACGGCCATCGAGCCACCAAGTCTATCGATAATGGGCAATTCATAGACACTCCATTGACCGCGTGTTTGATCCTCTACGCAATAGGTATTGATTGCCTGACCTCAGTTTTGAGTTGAGCAAAAGTCAAACGTGCAGAGGACGGAATGGAGCAACTCCACCAAACCAGACACGCGGGAAGGGCAATCAGTGTCTATCAACACCAGGACCAGTGCCAGGCACGGATTACCTAGGACCTGTTGGCTGTTTCCGTAGCCTGCATCTGTGCTGTCAGCCCGTCACCCGGCGATCAGGCTCAGGCTCAGGCACAGATAGCCCTTAATCGAGCTTAGACGGGGCGGGGCTGCTAGATGCACGTTTAGGTAGTAGGAAGGCGCGAGCCGAGAGGGGTTTCAACAGTCAGAACTGGGCCACCAGAGCCCTGTCGGGCCTAGCGCAGCAACTGGCGGTTTCATAATCCCCACCCACTAATCCCCGACCCAGAGGACCGAGAGGGGAGGCATCGGCCCTTTCCCCAAGCAGGGGCCACCAGTCCTAGTCAAGTCATAGCTCCATGCACGCGTCTCTTTTTTTTGGGATTCCTGGCACAAATATTTCACCTGTGGAATTTGACCTTCAGGTAGGCAGCCGGTACCCAAACCTTGTCTTGAGGAAGGTGTAGTAGGTATGTACATAGTGTTGTTCTTGTCTGATCTATTTCCACTTCTCGCTGCTGGTGTCATACCATAGGACCTTCGATCTTGAGATCCTGGTGATGTATGAGTAGCTCGAAGCCAGACTATTCACGTAGCGAGGCGGATGTGCAGCAGGGAAGATTGACCTGCGCACTCTTTCGGCTGGATAAGTCGGCATGAAGCATGAACTGTTCCCACTCTCCAGCGAAAATCCCAGTAACCACAGTCCGTGCGGGCCTGCGGTGCCTGCCTCCCTCACTTTCGCTTACTCGCACTGGGACCTGGAGCGTATCCAGGAAAGAGCAGCATCCTCCCCCCCAGAACGCCACCATAGGGGCTAAGCGTGGCCATCACAATTTTCTCACCTGTTCTTTGATTGTTGAGGTCAAAGTCACTTTGCACAAAGTACTCTGGGCCAAGCCCTTTCCAGGCAATCGAACGTTCGTACTGCCCACTGGCAAGGTGGCAACTGCTCATTTAGCTATAACTTATTACTAGTAGTATCACTCGGCTGTCACTACTACTGCCGCTGCCGGGTACAGAATTTCATCTGCTCATCGAGATCCTCCAGGTCACCGTTGGAAGCTTGAGCGGGCCACCCACGCCGTACCGAGTAGAGATTGCATTTTTGTCTTCGTCTAACGATTGATCAATGTCGTTTCATCTCATCACACTTGGTAACCTCATATCCGACCCTCCATCATATCTCATCAACAGCTGGACAACTGACACTTGTCATGCACGTGTATGTTGTAACTTATAACACATGGCTATCACAAAGTCACAACCTGTCCTCCATGCAATCAGGGTCAAGAGCACTCGGTGGCTTGAGACCGATCAAATTCACCTCGTGTTCGTGTTTGAAGCCCCAAGCTTTGGCATCGGCCAACGGAGAAGCCTCCCATCTCTCCACCTGTGGATGAATAGTACGGAGTACAGCGCACCTAGCTAATGGGGGCTGTCTCTGTCCCACTACTGGCACCATTTGCATCACATCAGTAGGATGTGCCCAACTTTTGATGTTATCTATAACTCTATAAAATTGCCAAAATCTGGACCCACATAAGGCTCAGAGTACCTATGTATTACCGGATACCTGGTAGCGTTACTTGAACAGCAATGTCATCCAGCCGATTGTCCCTGTCGTCGATCAAACTGGAGTCGACCATGGTCCTCCTGGCTTGCAGGTGCAGCTCGTCTGACGGGCTTGGTGGATTTCTTGATCCTACTAGGCTACCGTGCAGCAATTTTTTGGATGTCTCAATGGGTGCTCATGTTGTGGGGTTGCTAAGCTTTGATTAGGTGAGTGAGATAGTGCAGGAAGCTGCTTATGCTGTCAGTCTACGGCATCATCCTCATATTACCCGCTACTGTCCCGTCATTTGTCTTGAAACTTGAAATCTGTACTCCGGAGTACGGAGTACTCGTAGGTACCTTGCTACTAGTAAGTTAAGTACCTACGAGTACTCTAAAGGATTCCGGGATGAAGTTCTTCCTGCTTCGCCGTGCCTTGTTCCGGCAATGACACGGATATACTCCAATACCAACACACTACCCCTCACTGAACTGCGAGTTGCCCTCTCATGGTGTCTAGACATCCTGAAATGGTCTCATCATCCTTGACAAACTGACATCATTTCTACTGACTGAAAGCAGCACGTCATCGTATCGTTAGATAAGTTCTTTACTTCTCTACCGCATCCCACACATCAAGCCAACTCCAGTCGTCTCGTGTACCTCGCCACACCTCATCCAGATCGTAGCATTTGACACCTTCCGCCATGTCGACGACCAACCCTCCCAAAGCATTACTCACCGATGTATTCGGTACGGTAGTCGACTGGCGCTCCTCGGTGACCAAGCACCTCACCCTCTCAGCCTCTGAGGCTCTCAACTCCTCTACGCGATCAATCCCATCAACCGTTCGCACGACAGCCGCATCCGTGTCGTGGGCCGACATCGCACAAGAATGGCGCATATCGTACTACAACTTCACACTTAGCTACGACCCGTCAAACACACAAAACTTCAAAACCGTGGATCAACACCACGTCGAAGCCCTCAACAAGCTTCTGGTAGCCCATGCCCTCGAGGGTCTATGGACAGACGAAGAGATCCAGAAGATATCCCTGATCTGGCACTTTCTAGACCCGTGGCCCGACTCATCCCGCGGACTGGGACTTCTCAACCAGAAATTTGCAACCGCGACCCTGAGCAACGGCAACACCAGCTTGCTGTCAGACCTGGCGTCGCACAGCTCCCTGCCCTACAAATACATCATCTCCGCCGAGGACTTTGGCGCCTATAAACCGCACCCGACCGTGTATCTCGGCGCATCAGCGAAACTCGGCCTCAAGCCGGAGGAATGCGCCCTCGTGGCCGCACACCTGGGCGATTTGCAGGCTGCCAAGGCCGTCGGGTACCAGACGATTTATATCGATCGGCTGAGGGAGGAGTCGTGGTCAAAAGAGGAGGTGCAGGAGGCGAGGGCTGCGGGCTGGGTCGATCTGTGGATCGATTTGGACCAAGGAGACGGTGGCTTCCTCGAAATTGCAAAGACCTTTGCTCTGCAATGACTTGGGCGCCCGACTTGAGGATTTTGGAACGCCCAATTCGGTTTGGCTCGCGCCTTCTTCCCATGCATAGCGAACCGGTGAACAAGATCATTGAGACAATGTTGTCTCCATGGACGATTTTGCCAGAGTCTCCGAACCTACGTATGTACTATAATGGAGCGGAACACGTTGAGGTACATCATTGTGTTGAACAACCCTGATTGCCCAGTCGAGGACTTAATCATTCTTTGGTTTTTCGTCTCCTAGAGATTGGCCAACAGAAACGCTCAATGGCATACTAAGTCTGTAAGATATCCTAACCCCAAGGTTTAGGACGATGATCCAGCAGTTTTTTCCAGAAGGTCACCAGATGCTGTTGCTTTTGGAGCGCGGCTTCTGGTTGTTTCATTTCCTGCCCCGACAGTTACCCAAGCGCCAGCCACGGCCACTTCCTAAAAGCCAGGGGATTACTACCAATGATCCATTCTCTACAAAGCCAGATGGATGGGCGGAGCTCCCTCCTTCTTTGCCGCCTTCTTAGCCGCCTTGTACCATTTGGCATTGGCGTCGCTATACGTAGTCCTCCGCTTGATCATGCGGCGGGGATGGAATTCCCCGTTTTCGTCAAAGCCAGTCTCGCCATCATCCTCGTCAATGCGGCCTTTGGTAGACGGCGAGCCGGTCGTCGAGCCTAGCCCAGTGGTGACAGAACCAGTCTCGTCTGCAGGCGAGTCGATGTCAGCACCAAACAGGGCACCCATTCCCCCTCCTGCACCCGCAGAGAAGGGATTGTTACTTGTCGGGCTGCCAACGACGCTACGAGCCGAGTTGTCAAGGGCAAGCCCGTTCAACTTTCTTGTTGTACCACTGATTAGCTCAGCCTCCTCTTCGTCTGTCAAGGGTTGGATGTCCGGTACAGGCCCGCGAGGAATGATCAAGGGAACGTCCGGTGTCCCCAGAACCTCGCGCGCCTGGGCCTTCACGTAGCCATACTTGTAGATCTCAAAATATGTAGATTTTTTGAACGCTCCACCATTAGTTCGGTCCGACTCATCCCAATATAGATTCCGTAGCCACTTTGACAAACGAGGGTAGTCATGGCGAATGGATTTCAAGTTGCATTTGAAGATGTTGTGGTACGCAACATCGAACCTGGCTAGGGTCGTATACAGTCTGATGTCGGCCTCAGTAATGTGTCCGCCGAAGAGGTAGGGTTGATGGGCAGGATTTGCGAGATGCGTTTCCAAGCGATCCAGAGATTTGAACAGCGGATAAACGTTTGCATCGTAGGCTTCTTGTGTCTTTGCGAAGCCGCACTTATACACCCCGTTATTGACGGTGTTGTAGACCCATTCATTCATTGTATCGATCTCTTCACGAAGATGTGCTGGGTAGAAGCCTCCGCCTGCTTTATTGATCTCACGCTGATCCGGCTCGAGAAACTCGTCGAAGGAGCTGTACAGGATGCGGATAATCTCGCTCGACTCGTTGTTGACGATTGTATGTGTTCTCTTGTCCCAAAGAACGGGCACAGTGTAACGGCCGGTGTAATTGGGATCAGCTTTCTCATAAAGCTGTCTCATGTTCGTGAAGCCGTAGAGAGGTTCGGCTCGAAGTGACCCATTGCGACCAGTGAAGAGCCAACCATTGTCAGAGAGCTCGATGTCGGTTGTAATGAGTTGGATGACGGGCTCTAGGGATTTGAGGGAGCGGGTTAGGATAGTACGATGGGCCTGGTCGAAAACAGTTAGATGTCATCAGGCACGGAAACCATGAATCAAGACTTACCCAAGGACAGCCGTAATTGACATAGAGAGCATATCGGTCCTTCTCTGGGGCAAACTTGGCTTCAGGTGCTTTTGATATGGTATCCCGGAAGGAGCTAGCCTTTCTCACAAATTCGCCATTGGCATTTTGGTATGACTCATGTTGTCGCTGGGCTTAGTCAGTGCGGGACGTCAAAGCTGCTGAAGAGGTTGTGCTCACTGAATCTCCCATGTTCAATAGGACAGCTTATCTTGCAAGAGGTTAGGAGTAGTGTAGGAAAGAGGGAGAGCTCAGAGACCGAGGTGGGATATAGCTTGTTTGAAGCTGAACACAATGGGTAGCCCCGGCGGTGCAACAGGGTCCCCGTCGCTGGAAAGTGGATTGGAGAGTCCTACGCAGTGGTAGTGTCACAACTGCACAGATTCGAGAGTCGATGATGATAATGACAGGTGGAAGAAATAAGGCAACGATTAGTGAGTACGAGGCAGGTACGTGGTCGGAATCGTGCTCAGCTTTCTCAGCTCCGAGTAGTTTGTATTGGTGCTTACTTGAGCTTCATGAGACAAAACCCGCCTCCAAAAGCATTCTGTCTCGAGTCTCGAGTCTCGACTCTCCATCAGAGGCAGAGGGCTGGGGGAGGAGCCCCGCCTTCTTCGGCCGTTTAGTGACCAGAGCTCCCACACGTGATCGCCAAACAGGCCTAGAGACCATAGACGATACCCAGGTGGTGGACTGCGATGGCTGACAACTGAATGTCTAACCTGCAGAGAAGAATACGGCCTCCGAGAGCCTTGCCGATTCAGAATCAAGCCAATAGAAGTCTTTCATTATTCGCCTCTTGCCACCAGACAACGCCTCGGCAGAGATTTCTCAGGTCGTGGTTCGCTCTCACCGGGCGTACTGTATGTAGTTGACTCTAAATTGGGACGCCTAAGCCCTGTCTTCCGCAGACGTCATCTCTGTCATCAGAGGAGCGAAGAACGAGGCACTAGGTACATATCCGCGCAGGACCCTAAGCTATTCGGACAGGTAACAGTCCTGCATTTGACAGGCTCGATATAATGGTCCACATGCGGCACACGTGCTAGATGGCAGTGGCACAGAAAGGCACCTAAATGATCAACTCTATCATTCAAGTCGACAGCCATAGCAGCGCATGCCGTTGATCTGCTGCGGGGTGCTGCTGTCAGACTGCGTGGCGGACAGCACAGACAGCCCCGTATCTGAGTCAGTGATCGAGGAATATGAACAGTCAAAGGTACAAATTGTGCATGGGCTCCTACTCTGGGGTGTTTAAGACTGATATAAAACTTTAATAAACAACCACTCAGAATGTCGATCAGATCAGTGCTCTTATGCAGTGTACCTGAATTGTGGGTAGGTTAAGCTCATATCCATCAACTTTCGGAATGAGTATCCGGACTTGTGTTTATTTAGTACCGAGTATAGGGCAGATAGTGAGTGATTTCATTCCCATCTCGTTAATACATGCGGATATCTACCTTGTATGTAGGTGACCTATGGTGTGTAGCGGACGAAGTAGCACTATTAAACCGATCTTGTTGAGGATTGGAGGGGAGCGGAATAGATGTCTTTGGGCTCTCCACTCCAGGACGTAACTAACCTACGAATGCCTGTCAGTCCGGAGTACCGAGTACACAGCGGCCATTGATGTCCAGTCTGTCTACCTCTCAACTTCCAGCTCTCGAACATCTAACTAGAAAAAACGCACGCCATAGAACTTGTCCTCCCGACAGCTCGCATACATTCTAGTTACAGCAGTGGGTAAAAGCTTGGCGAGGTAACAAAAACGTCCCACCTCGAAAATCACACCGATCTGGTGTGTGGTTGGATTGTCTTGATACCCTCCCTTCCAGCGTAAGAAACCGATGTCCTTGAGAGAGCGGACCTGATACTTTCACATGAAGTTGCTGAAGTTCCCGAGTCTCGAAACCGCATCTCAAAGAAAAGTGCCACACATCCTCTCAGGCTCCTCTCCAACCGTGGGATGGAACAGATAAGGAGGAAGTTCCTTCTAATGAGATACGGGGCCTTCCCCACGCACTCTGGAGCATCCCACCCCAGCCATGTTAAGGGGATGATCGCCTCTGATAACAGATCCAACGTGGTTCCTAAATCCGCCATTTGGATGTGTCAGGGGAAACACTGCTCTCGATAACTGGTGCTAGTCAACTCGATCCTTTGCACTGTTCGAGGTACTGTATCTTATCTGATAGGCAATACATAGTACGGGAGCTACGTACATACATCTGTATGTATGTCTGCACTCGTACTCCTTAGAAGAAGGGCTGGAGAGCTTAATTTGCATCGTGCAATCCTTCTTGCCAGCTCCATCAGAGCCTGCACAAAGGCTGGAGGACGGAGTATCTGAGCTTTCTTCTGAGAAGAGTGAAGTCCTTCCCAAAGCTCGAAGATTGCTCTCATCCTAGATGAGGCGTGTAATCGTACATTCGACTGAGCGTGTGCCAGGTAGGCATGAAAAACGACTGACCAATGATAAGCCCCTGAGGGAGCATCTCAAACGCGTTTCATGCCCTGTGTTTCACCTGATCAAGGCATTCCTTTGGTTTTCGCCCACCCAAATCATGTGGCGCGTGCAGTATGCATCTATGGCGGGTCGTACGTACGCAATATGTTGGCGGTGATAGGCGGCATTATCATATTTCCGGGAGGCGCAAGAGTGAAAACTGAGGGCTTGTTGATGATTTTCGGTGTAGAGATTATCGTAGCGAATTTCCATGCTACTTGCTTATGGTCTCTGATCCCCTCCTAGAGCACTGGTCAATCGATTTACGAGGTCTACTTCAGCAAGCGTTGGTAGACTCCCAAGAAGGCATGTGGAGTTGCGGAGGACCGTTTGTCCTTGCAGCTTCAGACCCTGATTGTCCAGAATAGAGAGTAATGCTGCAATGTTCGACATGGGTGCAGAGAATAGGAGGGGATTGGAAACCTTGGTACATGTCCATTAGCCAGGTAAGTAATTGAACAGGGACCATGAGTACGAGTAACGAATTCCTGCGTCTTTCTTTGAGCGAGCTTGAGGTTCCTCAGATGGAGCCTAAGGGGCCCGTCAGCCTAGTCAACCGTAACCACGGACCATCCAGGATAAGGGTAAGACCGACAGACAAAGTACCAAGTGCCCTCGTAGGTCGGGTAATATTAGGGATAGCATTATTGTTCATGTAATTAGCTTGTGAACAACACCCTAGGCTACTGGAAGCTGGGCTTGAGCAATAATGGATACTAGAAGGACGCGGCTAGCAACTAGTACGAGTACCTGGACCATCAGGGACAAATGCTGTGAAGGTGCCGTCTACTCCGTACAGAGTACGGAGTACTACGCAAGGTGAATTGCAATGGACTAGCCTGGGCCACAGGCATATGATTGAGACATCAGAGGTGATTTTTGGTTCCTCCGCGTAAGGGAGGCGGTCATGAGACAGTAGCATTTGAGCAAAACTTGGATACCCAAGTGTCGAGAGAATAGACTGCTGCTAGGCAAACCCCGACCGTCAGCAAAGCCTGTCCTGCTGCGACGATCACGAACGAAGACAAGTCGCACAGGGAGGGCAGCACCAAACACAAGTTAGGTACTCCGTCCTCCGTCCCTTAGCACTCGAAATCGTCCTCTCGCCGGCACCTCGTAGGCTCTACGAGGTCACTAACACCAACTATTACGTGCTGAGCGCTCCGTAGTGACCCTGCAAGTGCAGGTTTTAGCTGCCTTACTGGCGTCCAGGGAAGAGTGGAACGGAGGCTGAGATTCTGGCACCCTCCCCCGTGCCGCACGCAAGCAACAATGTTTCCGTGCTGGCCGAAGCCGAGGGCAGCAGCATCTTAGCCCGGGAAGCCCCATGGCTGTCCTTGGGCGTGACATGGCATGGCCAGGCCACAATACCGATCCTCCAAGGCAGGGCCAGAATGGAGTTCTTAGGGCTCGTCGCTCTCGTGGCCCAAGGCTTGTCCCATGGTCCGCTGGTCAAGAAAGGCTCTACTCTGCGAGACCTGCAATTGGTATCATCTGATCCACCCTTGCTTGCCCATATGCATGGAGTTTCTAAACTACTGTACGGAGTACTTGTAAATCTACATTTATTAACGAGAAACGAATGGCAACGAGTGCAGCTTCCCAACAGAGCAGTTTTTGGCATTGGCCTTGCGAGCTTGAGGACTAGTTAACTTCCTCGCCGTCAGACTTTAGCAGGGATGGGAGCAGATTCAACACTGAGGAGTATCGAGAGTAGCACTCGGTATCGGGCAGGCCCAGAATTTACATCATCGTGCAAATTGCCACGAGATTGAAACCATTGTTTTATCTCCAACACTATCAACACTACGAAGCACCGGCCCTTCCACCCAACTGCCTAGACTGCACCATCTATTCCCAGCTCCGGAGTACTCCTAACTTCTAAGAAGTCATAAGCCACCACCCATAACCCACTTCCCCCGGGGCCCAACCCACCAACGAGGTACTACTACTAGGCTGCCCCGCTCGCATTATTACTATTCGCAACTGCAGTTGGGAGATTCCAGGCTCAGGCACAGCACAAGATAAATCCGGACAAGCAAAAAAGAGCAGCACCAAGGCGTGGTCCACCTCAACTGTTGGCAATACTCGGCCTGCTCTTCTCAGCCTCAAGTCGGTCTTGACTCTTGACTCTCCCACTTTGATAGTCAATCCCATTCAAGGACGCCGGAGTCAATTTGGGGTTTGTGGGACTGGGTTCAAGTTGTGCTTGTCCCGAACCAACTGAAAACCTTCCTCCTCCAGGCTTTCATCTACCGCCTGCCACCTACCTCGTACCTGTCTATATTCCTCCTCACTGACACTGTCACTGCCACCAGTACCCTCTTCTCGCTGCCAAACCAGGACCAGCAAGTGCAGTGGAAAGCACCGAGCCGCAGTTGCAGTTGCAGGTATAGGTACAAGAAACGGGAACAGGAACCGGCGGCCCAAAGATCAACTACTCCCTGGAGCCCTCCTTACCCATCTACCCATACGGAGTACCCAATACCCACACAAGGTCCCCCCAGTCCCAGAGTATAGCAACGTCTCATTTCTTCGCCGATCCCGTTGCTGCTCCCTACTACATTCAACCATCCCTCACCCATCAACCATCCTCTTTTCCTTGTCCATTCTCAACAGGAACCAGTGCCTTGCGTCGCACTTTTCCCACGCCCACTCACACATCTCCAAAAGCATTACAACACGTTCGGTCTCTTGTAGTCCGAAACTCACGCTCCTATAAACAACCCCAGATCGCTGCACCTGCTCCTGCAACGATCCTCCAGTCTCGACGACCTGCAAATTGCACATCATCTCGACCATTGGAATCAGACAAGGCAGAGAGAATACTCCGACCAATCCTACACTCTCGCGAACCAATCCTTAACGGGTTTTTGCTCAAGTCCATCCTGCCTCATTAGCGGAAATCTAGTCCTGCGCCGTCTCAAGGTCCAGACCGAAGTATTTACCGCTGGTTAATTAAACAGCCCACTATTTGCCCGAGACCTTCAGTCGTGCCCGGATCACTCGCTGCACATAGCCTACACACTTGTCGCTCCGCATCTTCTTGTGATATCCTAAAATCCAGACTGCGATCACCCAAGAACTCTCGCTTTGACACTTGGGCATTAAGGACCGACACGATGTCGGGAGGGAAGATGACATTGTATAAACTTGTGGTGCTGGGGGATGGAGGTGTTGGCAAGACAGCGCTCACCATCCAGGTACATTTGCCATGTACCATCTTGCCATGTGCTTTGGGCTAACTCTAATCTCCAGTTATGTCTCAATCACTTCGTTGAAACCTACGATCCCACCATCGAAGATTCGTATCGGAAACAAGTCGTGATAGACCAGCAAGCGTGCATGCTGGAAGTATTGGATACTGCAGGTCAAGAAGAATACACGGCTCTGCGAGACCAATGGATTCGAGATGGCGAGGGTTTTATCCTAGTCTACAGTATAACTTCTCGGAATTCTTTCACTAGAATCCAGAAATTTTATTCCCAGGTACAAAGGGTCAAGGAATCCGGACATCCAAACTCCCCCACAGGCGCCAGCTACCTTCCTACACAGATGAGTGGCCAACCAACCTACACCGGTCCCGTTCCAGTCATGTTGGTAGGGAACAAAAGTGACAAGCATCACGAACGTGAAGTGTCATCTCAAGAAGGGCAGGCGCTGGCTAAAGACCTCGGCTGCGAATTCGTCGAGGCATCAGCCAAGAACTGCATCAATGTCGAGAAAGCTTTTTATGATGTTGTTCGACAATTGAGAAGACAGCGACAAGCACCTCTGAAACAAATCAATTCAAATAAAGGACCTGCATATGGCCCTTCTCCGGGCGTGCGTGTCCCGTACGATCCTGACCACCAACGAATTTACCGTGAACACAATAAGCGACGTGGTACCAAGTGCGTCATTTTATGAATGCTACTCACCCCAAGGCACGTCTCCGGGTGAAGAACGAATTATGAACAAATGATTCTTACTAGCGGCTCCTCCATGGCATCACATTCAGATCAATATGCTCACATCCTCAAACAATCTTGCAGCCAGCTTGATGAACAGTCCTCACTCGCTGTTTTTTCCGTCTTGTGAAAGTGCGGACTCACTTCTGTGCCTCCCTTCTTGCGGATTTTCTTTTCTTGTGCGCATCACAATTGTCCGACAACCATCGCCTCACCGCTCATTTTGGCTCGGAACAATTCGTTGCCTCTACTTTAGCGGACTCCCAATCAAATACTCGAGCAGCGGAGTCTTTGTCTACATTACAACTATATCGTGCAGCACGGCGCACCGCAGCGCCACAAACAAAAACAGCGCAACCGCGAGAGCATACATCTTGCGTGGGTGCCCAGGTGCTTTGCCTGGTTTGGTATGCATCGGGTTGGTGGTGGAACCAATAGGCGATGCCAAGGTATATACAGAACTCAATGCCAGATTCGCCATGACGAGCTACAGCATTTGCATCATAAGGTGTGATACTCCATTGGCAGCGGGTTCATTATGCAGCTTGGGGGATTGACTCCTTGGACCGCCTTCGCGCGAGGATATCACCCAATGCAGATCAGCAGGCGATTTTTCTCAAACGCGACTCATTCGTGCAGTAAGAGACTGAATTACTTCTTTTGGTGAAGTAAGGTAACTAGGTTCTGCAATTGGTCCCCTCGATGGCTGACATGATAAGGATGGATTGATGGTAAACAGGTAACAAGCATCCGCCCGATTGAATGCTACAGTCAATCCCCGGGTATGGGTAGTTCAAGGGCGGTGGCAAGGATGAATTTATCACATAGAGGAACTCCTAAGGCGATGATGGGCTGGACTAGCGCGACATAACTGGCCCAAATTGAAGTTCTCAGATCTATGGCATTTTAACTGCAATCCTAGCAAGGCACCGCCATGCTAACAGGAGCACATCTTGAGAACATTGGTGATCAGACCCTGACTGACAAGCCAGCCTCCAACCCTTCATTGAATGGTTGATTGAAGAGAATGCCAACGGTCGTGCCTATGCATGCACAACAGATGCACCAAGCACCCTGCTGCTACCTTGAACGTCAATCGTACGCATCCTTGAATGGCGTTTTTGAGTCTCTTGGCTTTTGCTAAGTCTATGCAGTTCCACTCATTGTGCCGTCACTCTCGTTTCTCTATGAGTCGATCTCGCGCTCCCCCACCTTTGATCCTCAACGACTTGTCTCCCTTAAGTAGTGCGTATGGACACGGCGATATGTGATCGTCCCTCGAATGATTGGATTGCCTGATCAACCCGAATTCGTGTGAATGCAAGCAAAGCACGCCTATCTTGGGATCCTTCAAATCTTTGAGCAGATAACACCGAGCATTTAGCCTAGGTCAATAGCAGAGCGACGAACGAAATGGTGGTTATTCTCAGCATTATACCATACTATAGCAAGAGTCCCATGTCCATAGGTAGGTACAAATTATGGGTCTGCACATGGCTTGTCTATTCTTTTTTCCCCTTCGGCTTCTACGCCCCCCAACCCATCCTTTCTTTTTTCAAAAGGTTTTCGTTTTCCAAGGGGGATAGGCAACGGCACTGCTCGCCCATCACATCAGGTCTTCGGCCTTCTGTCTTCTGTGTCTCCTTGCGCCCGGGCTGCAAGACGCCGTTTTGTGTCCTCACTAATACATAATCTGCCGGATATGTGTGCGTTCGTAAGGTGTGGAGTTTCCTAAATGAAAGGCGCTCGCTAATAGACGAGGCGGCGGAGGAAGGGGGACGCAAAGCGACATCGGGTACAGAGTGCTCCCCGCACAAAGATAGCAGTAATTTAAGAATACCTAGTATGGAATCCTCCGCTCAATTACTGTTCGCAAGACCCTTGAGTAGTCAGGGAACACTCCTTGCCAGGATCGGTTCTGGCGGCACTTACCGACACATGTTACTCGTACGGAGTACAGCAGACTTTGATTGACTCTACGACGTCTGATACGGAGTCTGCTCGGCATGTACGCCATCTACAAACGAGTAAGTACGAGGGATGTTAGGTATATACCTAGGCATGTATGGCAGAGGTGCGGTGTCCCGGGGTTGAGCATTAACACCCCATCCAAGGGTTGTGCGGCCGATGTTCGTCTTGGGCAGGATCAGAAAGGGAAGGCTGCAAGCCATCTCGACGCGAACGTTCGTCTAACCATCTAGTTGCGTCGCAACCACGGTAGCCAGAGTGTCAATACGGGGAGTGAGGTTGACCATGCAACTAGTTGGGGTTGTGAAAACTGACTAGTTGCCTTGCTATCTGGATAGCTTGTAGAGGCACAAACGAGGCACAGGTTTGGCGGGCACTGGCAGCACGAGATACCCAGTCCTCGCGGGAGCACGCACTCTGCACCGAGCTCTTCTACTGCTGGAAAGTTTTAACTACCTTAGTACTCCGTACTGTAGTATCCTTCCCTCGCACTTGCATGTTCACCAAACATGGTGCACAAAGCCACCAACTACGGAGCACTCTGCTCTAATATCCCAGGGCCAAGGAAGGGCGCCTGAAGCCTAGAAATGCAAGCAACGTGCCCGCTGAGAGTTCGGTATGGATGTAGCATGGGATTCTCCTGTCCCTGCCCAAGCATATGAATTTTATTATAGACAATTGGTCCCTTGATGAGAATTATGTCTAGAAGGATAGGGATGAGATGGAATGAAATTGAAATTGCGTTGCGTTTATCCTCCCGGAAACGTTTGATTGAACATGAAGAGGTCGAAGGCACTCCTTCTTTATCTTTCTGATTCCCTCCTTATCATCGTTCGCTGGCAGACTGAAAGAGATGGATGCTTCGAGGTTGAGCGAACGGTAGGGCTGGGACGAGACCGCAAGCCTCTGAACACGAGGGCTAGGTAGCGAGTTCTCCCTTCCTCACTTCCCCCTCAAATTGGCCTGTGCCCTAAATGGTCGGTCGCATGTCAAGCTTTCCGCTGATTCCAGGTTGGTCCCAGTCATAGCCTTGCCTCACCAGGTATGAGTCAACGCTAGGCGCCTTTCATTGCTTGAACGCTCGGTAACGATCACTTGAAACTCAACCTGTCCAGGACTATCTTTGTACCCGGTACCTTGTACGGATCCGATAAAGACGGGGCAAGGAGCGGGGCAAGGCTGAACCGGCTGCGAGGCGAGGCGAGGCGAGGCGGACCGTTTTACGAATTTTTAAGACATAATGAGCCTGCCGTTTGCCAAAGAAGTAAATAGAACCCGCGGCTCTTCAAGAGCGCAAGGAGTCCAGGTCGAAGGCGAATCTCTCCAGTTTCAGAACTTCGGTTGCGCAGAAGTCAGTGCACGTTGGGTGCTCGAGCTTCCAGCCGTTCCTACGCATGCATATGTACTCCGTACATAACCATTGAAGTTCAAGGTTGTGACGGAATCCACTTCGGTGTGCGGAACACGGAATATTATGGGAGACTCCCTTGTTTGATACCAAGTAACAAGAGCACAGGATGCTGTTATTCAAGGATACTGAGGCAACGTTTGTTCGAAGTACACCGAGATAAGTCCAGAAACAAAAGTTCCTGGGCTTCCGGAGTACAATATCATGGAAGGCTCTGGATGCAGCCAGAGCTGAGATGCTAGGATTCGAGGTCGAACTCCAGCTTAATTGAATCTAGCTAAGACTCTAGACCACTGGTGGTTCGGTTGGTTTGTGTAAGCAGCAGGAAATGCATTCTTATGAATGTTCAGCATAGAGTGATCCTCAGTAGTTTGCGAAGAACCGCGGGAAGCGTCGCCGAGAACCAGGAAGAGTACTCATATTTGCTCCTCCTCAAACAATGATATGCAAATGCTTCCATCATCACTTGTTTCCCAATTTAATGTGTTTTGAGGAGTGGTCACCATGCCTTGTGGCAAAGGCTGTTGCGACCGGGGAACGACACCGACTCAGAGCTCAGAGTTAACCAATGCATTAGCGTCGAAAAGTACGTCGTGGCTCGCTCCCCTGATGAAGGTACTCGTTGGAACTGCGTTCGTCATATTATGTTTTGTTATTCGTCCCGGCTTCATCCACTGACCAACCAGTGCAAAGAGGAAGCAGTCCGACGCACAGTCGAACGTTGTGGAGCAAAGCCTCGTCCATTGGGACTATATTGAGGCTTGAGATTCCTGCAACTCGAAATATGATACTCGCGGAAAATACAGAGCCTTTTGCAGATCTTGGGGCAAGAATTCAATTGAAGATGAGCCTGCATTACGCGATGCGTCCCGAGCTTTGCTAAGATCAATGCATGAAGCAGCCACCAGAAGTGTAGAGATGCAAGCTCCAAAGAAACAGCTATGAGTGCAAGGAGAGCATGATGGGTCATGTTTCCGTTCCAATCCGCAAAATATCATCTGACTGATCGAGTGGGAGCCGCGCGAGGAGATATAACATCACCATTGTGGTGTCAATTAGTTCCTGCTCCTGGCATGACAGGGTAAAGAAAGGTACCAGATTTGTGCGAAGACACACCCTAGTGCAGGCCGTCAATCCCCTCGGCGGGTAAGACTCAGAATACCCTACCAGAGTACATTGGCATACTTCTCAAGTCAAGGATGTTTATTAGCGGACATTCACCTTCATCTATACTAGCTGTTTGACGTCGTTTCGGCTGCATGGCATGTTGAATCAAGCTTGGGATTTCCGAAGGCTAGTGACGAAGATGATAGCATATTATTGACTTCAAGCATTGTTGCTTACACCTCTGATCGACGAAAAGGGGGCGGGTTTCTGTGTCCCCCTTTCTTGGGCGAGGCAGCGATATCCTGCTTCAAAAGTGAGATGACGGTCCGATTTGTCTCTCGTTCTTCTTCAAGTGTGGTAATTCGAGCTTGGAGCTCTGCAATTTTGGTCTCTTTGGCTTGGACTGCAAGCCGAGTGATGTCGCGACCCCTGACAATTCCTTGTGTTCGTAAATCATGCTTGTCCAGTAAATCAATCAAGTTTTTCTCGACCTTAGAGCTGAGAGACACTCCGTGTAGTATTTTCAGTGCGTCGACAGCAAGGGTTGAAGGCTCGGCCGCACTCTCACGTGCGTTTGGCTGAGAGATATATCTGGCAGGTGTACTTGATGGGGAGAACAATCCGATCGAAGATGAAAGGCGAGAGGTTGTGGGAGTCGCAAATACATCATCACTGAGTGGCCACTGCTCACGATCACCAGATTTTGTATCCATGTCTCGATATGTCCGTTTCCCAGGTGAGGAAAGAGCTGTTGTGCGAGCAACTTTGTGAGGCGTCTCGAAAAGGGTTTGATCCAAAAGAAGTTCTTGCTCGGCTCTGAGGAGGCCCTCGTCATCGCTTGAAGACCACCCGAAACTCTCATCATTGTTGGCTGTTGCCAGCTCTTTCTCTGGACCTGAGATGCGCCCGTGAATATCAATCGGTCTCTTGTTGGTTTCAGGTGTAGGGGGGCCAGCGGCAGTAACCGTGTTCGCCTTTCTGGGGGTCTGAGGAAAAGGAGGATATTCGGAGCGTGAGTTGGTCAAAACAGCAGCCTCTTCGCGGACTTTGGCGTCATCAGACCAGAGAAAGAAGCCACAGCGTTTATGTTGCGGCTTCTGGCAGGTGTAGACTTGCAGGACCAAAATGAGCAGGGGATCAATGGGAAGATAGAGACACATACACCACCTTCCATGGTTCTTGCCACCGTTCTTAACCTGAAATTTGTCGGCAGGAAGTCGTGGGTTGCAGTCGCACTGCCAGATAGCATCGACGAATGCGCCTCGCTTCGTGGTTCGGCGAGACTGCAACTGTGGATTAGTCGGCCTTGATGCCATGGTCACATTGAGAAAGTCAGGGGCGTCACATGAATGACCTGTGCCACTGGCACCCAAAATAAGGGAAGGGAGAAGTCTCGGATGCACCGCACTTTATTGGATGAGTCGATGACTGATGCAGGTCCAAGTTGTTGACAGGATGACGCCACCGGCGTAGGCGGGCGCTGCTACAGACGCAGCCTCGTGGACTAATCAGGCAAATCCTGCAGCCTTGTGACAGTCTTCGGCGTGGTCTAGCGCGGTGTACGAGTACGCAGCCTTGCACCTGCCAATTTCCCTCCTCGGTCGGCGTCATTTCCTATTTTACAATCCTTGACCCCAGCGAAACATCCATGTTTCCAGTCCACCACCACCACCACCAACGCCAACATATGTACGTATTTTATCCCGATTCTTGTTAAATTTACCCCCCAGAGATCTTCTTACCTCGCTTTCAACATAATATTGACTTTATCATTTTTACAGAGTCGGAAAACTGGTCTACAATCCTCAACCACTCAATTTATTCCTCATCGAACGCGGTCTTGATCGCGCCGGCGACGACTCCTCTACCTCTTGATATCGAAGACACACTCCTCTCAATCCTCTCAGCCCTATCTATATCATGAATACATATCCTTCCCATCCACTGCCTCCATAGAAGAACACTCATCATGGCTCCTACTGGTGGAAGCAGCGGAGGTGGAGGTGGAGGAGGGGGCAATATCAAGGTCGTGGTCCGTGTGCGACCCTTCAACAATCGCGAAAATGAACGAAATGCGAAATGTATTGTTCAAATGCAAGGGGCGCAGACCGTCTTGCAACCGGATGCAGAAGAACGCCTCAAAAAGGGTGGAAAAGGAGGTGAACACACTCAAAAGACGTTCAAGTTCGACAAGTCGTATTGGTCCTTCAACAAGTCAGATCCTAATTATGCCGGCCAGGATAACTTATTCAATGACCTGGGAGTTCCTCTACTGGATAATGCTTTTCAAGGCTACAACAATTGTATCTTCGCCTATGGTCAGACTGGATCAGGAAAGTCTTACAGCATGATGGGTTATGGTGAGGACGCTGGTGTCATTCCCCGTATCTGTCGAGAAATGTTTGAAAGAATAAAGGGTGTGCAGACCGACCCTCACCTAACCTGCACTGTTGAAGTTTCTTACCTCGAAATTTATAATGAACGTGTACGAGATCTACTAAATCCTGCTACAAAGGGCAATCTTAGAGTCAGAGAGCACCCCTCCACCGGTCCATATGTTGAAGACCTCGCAAAGTTGGCCGTGAGGTCATTCCAAGAAATCGAGAATTTGATGGATGAAGGGAACAAAGCCAGAACGGTGGCTGCAACAAACATGAATGAAACTTCCAGTCGTTCTCATGCTGTCTTCACTCTTACCCTGACACAAAAGCGACACGACGCGGAAACCTCAATGGACACTGAAAAGGTCGCCAAAATATCTCTGGTCGACCTGGCAGGTTCTGAGAGAGCTACTTCGACCGGCGCGACTGGAGCTCGTTTGAAAGAAGGTGCCGAGATCAATAGGTCTCTTTCAACTCTTGGTCGAGTCATTGCGGCACTGGCGGATCTCTCGTCAGGCAAGAAGGGACTCAAAGTTCCATATCGAGACTCGGTCTTGACTTGGCTTCTGAAGGATTCTCTTGGTGGAAACAGCCTGACTGCCATGATTGCTGCCATTTCGCCAGCTGACATCAATTTTGAGGAGACACTGAGTACCTTGCGCTATGCAGACTCTGCCAAAAGAATTAAGAACCACGCAGTCATTAATGAGGATCCTAATGCCCGTATGATTCGTGAACTCAAGGAAGAGCTGGCGAAACTCAGAAGTCAACTTGGAGGGGGTCCCGCTGGTGTTGGAGAAGAAATATACCCTCCTGATACTCCACTTGACAAACAAATGGTCTCGATGGTTCAAGCTGATGGCTCGATCAAAAAAGTAAGCAAGGCCGAAATCATGGATCAACTCAACCAGAGTGAGAAGCTATACAAGGATCTGAATCAAACTTGGGAGGAGAAACTTCAGAATACCGAGCAGATTCACAAAGAACGGGAAGCGGCCCTAGAAGAATTGGGTATCAGTATTGAGAAAGGCAACGTCGGGATGAGCACACCCAAGAAAATGCCCCATTTGGTCAATCTTAGCGACGACCCTCTGCTTGCTGAATGCCTTGTCTATAATCTGAAGCCTGGAATCACCACCGTGGGCAATGTTGATTCTGAGACTGCCTCGGAGATTAGACTGAACGGGTCCAAAATCTTGGAACATCACTGCAGGTTGGAGAACGTGGAAAACGTTGTCACAATTATACCCAACGAGAATGCTGCGGTTATGGTCAACGGTATCCGCGTTGACAAGGCCAAGAGGCTCAAAAGTGGGAACCGCATAATCTTGGGGGATTTCCACATTTTCCGATTCAATAACCCTCTGGAGGCAAAAGCTGAGCGTGCTGAGAGGAGTCTGCTGAGACACTCCGTCACTGCCAGTCAAATGAACTCTCCGTCACCGACACCCTTCAGACCAGGACATGAACGTTCATGGAGTGCTGCTGGATCTGAGTTTGATGGAGACTCCAGCAGAGCCCAGTCACCCGGCTTGAGTAATCGAGATTCAGATTGGTCTTTCGCCAGACGAGAGGCAGCTGGAGCTTTGCTCGGAACAGATCAGAAAATCACTCAACTGACTGATGAGGAATTGGACAACCTCCTTGAAAACATCCAACGAGCTCGCGAAGAGCGTCGAGGTCGACCTGAAAATAGGATTGGCGAACTCGATGACGACTCTGATGACCTGTCCTCCTTCCTGGTTCGAGATAAATACATGTCTGGTGGAACCACCGACAACTTTTCTCTTGATACTGCACTGACCATGCCAGCTACACCTTCTACACACATGGGCTCACAAGAAGGTGAACCTACGTTAACACAGGCTGAATTCGTGCAAGAAGCTCAACAAGCCGAACGGGCAAAGGCTGATGATGAGCAAGCAGCCTCCGAGAGAGCAGAGAGACAGGCAGAACAGGAAGCAAAGACGAGTCAGATGCAACAGCAACTTGACCAAGCCAAGCAAGAATTCCAAGAGGAGCTTCGCAAACAAAAAGAGGCCTTTGAAGAACAGATTAAACAGATGGATCTGGAGGTCCGGACTCAAAAGGCAGCCCGGACTCCAGCAGGATTTATACCACTTACCACCGCTGAGGTTGCGATTGCACGCAATGTTATTGACAAATGGCAACAACGCAACTATATTTTGATTGCGGAATCAATTCTTCAAACCTCTGGCCTCCTCAAGGAGGCCCAAGTCATGAGCAAGCTCTTGGAGCAAGACACTCATTTCCAATTCGTGATTTTGGATTTAGGACAAGAACGCGGGTCATCCTACGATCTGATCCTTCATGATATCTCTATTGACGAGGACGATGCCTTGGCAAACGCACACAAGCCATGTCTTGCCATACGCGTTATTGACAGTGAGCTCGGCTGCATACACCTATGGTCACTAGAAAAGTTGCGATTGCGGGTGGCGAAAATGAGACAAATGCATCAGTTCAAGAACCAACCAGAATATTTACAGCATTTCCGTATGGATAATCCATTCAGAGACTCAGATCAACCATTGTTCTCTCTAGTCGGCGACGGTAGTATTCCTTTAACGGCAGTTTTTGAGACACGGGTCCAAGATTTTGTGGTCGAGATATCTTCGCCATCAACGAGACAGGTTGTTGGCAGAGTTCGATTATCCTTGGAGCCGTCATTAGCGGAGTCGCCACCGTCGAGCATCAAATTCAACATTATTATGCGAGATCTGGCCGGGTTTGCCGAGCATGAGGGAACACAAGTTCATGCTCAAATGACAGTTCTAGGAACGCCCGACGAGAGTGTTGCCACAACTCAACCTATCACCAACTTTGGTGATGGGCCTATTCGCTTCGAAAGCATTCATCATCTGAGTGTTGCAAGTTCTGGTGAAAAGTCGGCCATTATGAAAATTGCTATTTTCGCACAGGTCAGCTCTACACACCTAGACAAGCTTATCAGCTGGGATGAATTGCGTGAAATGAATGGCCATTTTCAGGATGAACACGCAGGTGCCCGCATTTCAGACTCAGAATACAATTTAGAAGAACGTCACGATGTGTTCGCACGGGTCCAGGTCCTCGAACTAGCTGAAAATGGTCAGTACTTGCCTGTTGAAGTCGTGCAAAACAATGCAGATGATATTGGCGCTTTTCAACTTCATCAAGGCCTTCAGCGCCGCATCTCTGTCAGTATGACCCACAGTTTCACGGAAGGCCTCCCTTGGGACGATGTCAAAGCTTTACGCATTGGCGGAGTCCATTTGATCGATTCATCTGGACGTGTCGCCGACCTTGGATCGACGACCCCCGACATACCATTGAAACGGATTCAAGAACCGATGATTAGAGACAACGCCGATGGTACGTCAAATATCACCATTGTCGGGCAATGGGATAGTTCGCTCCACAAATCGCTTCTCCTTGATCGCGTCACCAACGAGCAGTCTCGGATACAAATTGTCCTTTGCTGGGATGTCATCTCATCTCGGCTCGAACAAGCCATGACATTTTGCATCGAGCAGCAACTTCAGATTTTGCCTAGATCATACGTTCGTCCTCAATCAATGTTTAAATCCTTCTGGAATCAAACGCGAATTACTCATTCGACGGATGGGATCTTCTCTATTGTTGTTCGACCAGTCAGTGCGAAGCGTGCAGCTGATCTATGGCGTCTGGATACTTCCAAGAACTACATCAACGGGGAGGAGCTGCTGGGCAACTGGAAGCCAAGAGGAGTCTCACTCGTCAAAGATTACTTAGTCGGCCGGCGCAAGAGACGACAATTACAGGACATTGAGTCAGCTAAAGCGGCCCTTGGTCTGCGGAGACTAAGCATTAGCAAGATGCGATCTAGGGCCGCCTCGCCGTCGAATATCGACGCAAGGGAAGAACAGCTTCTTCGCAAATTCCTGGCTATCTGGCAGAAACGCAGCATTGAGCTCTCCAACCCTATTTTCGATGATGAGGTACATGGCTGCAAGACAGATACTCCGCCTGCCCGAAGTCTCGATGAATCTTCCTCACAACGCAAAATCAGATACTTGGCAAGTGTGACGGCGGTGATGAAAAATCCTGTTTCCCTCAAATCTGGATATCTTCTCATGCCATCGGAAGACTATCCCCCTTCGCCTACAAGCTCGTCCAGCACTGGAAGCAGTATGCAGTGGAAGCGTCGCTTCATCGATCTCCGCCCGCCATATCTATATGTACATTCTGTTCCCAACGGCGAAGCGATCAATGCGATCAATCTCACAAACGCTCGTATCGACCATGACCCGGACTTCAAGAGACTGCTCGGAAGTTCATCTATCTCGACAGGTGACTCGTTGGATCGAAATCCAGGAAATGGGCACAGGCGGACAGGAAGTAGTGATTTGCACCACGGCCTTGCACATGTATTCGCTGTATATGGGGAACAGAATACATTTCTATTTGCGGCTAGGAGTGAAAGTCAAAAACTGGAGTGGATCTTCAAGATGGATAGCTATTTTGGACAGGATGGAGTGGCCGAAGAAGATACATCTACTGATCTAGGCCATCAGGGCTAAGGTCCTTTCAAGGCAACGAGGACAATCAGGAAACCCTTCCAGGGATGATTGTACACCTGGATGGGGGCGCGCGAAGAAAGAATAATTTGGGCCACAACTGGAGAGTCAATATTGGAGGGAAGATGGAATGAGCCTTGTGATTTTGAGGCATGGGAATAATACCGTTACAGTCCTCACATTTGTCGTTTGAGTTGAGATACCCCTTTGATTTAAGTAGCGCCGGGCAGATATACATGGAAGCAATACGCGAATGACTTGCACAGCACAAATGGCAACGATAGAATCTTCGTAGTCGCAATTACCCATATGCCAAGCTCACTGCTTGAGCACCAGCAAGCAAGATTAGGATGGGAAAGGTTAGTGGTAGCCTCGCAGACTGTTATATATAGCAACGGCCAAATTGCTTCGGTGAACACTAATACCGGGATGCCGACAGGTTGACAGTGTTAGCATACCGCTGACCCAGGTATGTATGTAGTGAGACATGGCTCCTTCACCAAGCCATATACGGAGTACAGTCAAGCCTGAAGAAGAAAACAGTCAGAGTTCGTAATTCCACAATGAGGCTACAATCTTCCCTTCCCCCCAAGAGAAACCGCTATGATAGCGCCGTATTCCGTACCCAGCACTATGGTGCGAGGTTCTCCGTACCTACCAGGCATCTTCCGTCAAGAACGTGCCGAGTACACACTCGTAGTACATCCGAGGTAGCGAGTTGAGCCTATACAGTAGGTATCTACGAGTAGACAGTGCATGACCCAGTTTCAAACATCCAGTAAAAAGCAGCCTAGTTCAACGAACTTTTTGGATTGCATTCCCCTCCTTGGCCGCCTGACACATGACGAGAAGCTGCTCAGACTAGACGGAATGGCATTCCATTTAGGATGTTTGTGTGAAATCCGGGCTGCCTCGTGCATTGTGTACGAGTACAATGTTCAGAGCATGATACCTCGGGTCATTACATGTACCTAGCATATGGCCCAAGGCCATTTCACCTGATACTTGCCTTTACCGGTTGTTCGCAGACCGCTCTCGGTCTCAGGCTCCATACGGAGTACTCTTCTTGTTCGTCCGGCCTTCGAGATTCTTCGCACTTCGAACTAGTCGGTTGGGTAATGTTGGTGCCGAAACACCTACTCGTACGAGCAAACGCCTGTCCAAAACTATTATTGGAATTCGCTTCGCTTGCTCGCTTGCTCGCTTGCTCAACGATTGATCTGGTTTCTGGTCTCTGGTCTCCAGACTTGCGTGTCCCCGGTGTGCAGGCTAGCCTTTCTCGGAGTTGGGACCTGTTGTGGCATACGGAGGACTACCATTGGGTATGGTTGAGAATCTTGAGATGTCTCACCTGTCTGCGTCCCATGACGAATCGTCCACGATCTATCTATACGACGGTTTCTGCCTTGGCATTGTAGTTTTGTGTCAGTATTGTCGGTGAAGGAGAGCAAGCATACACGACCTGAGAGAAGTATAAAGACGTCCGGGTGGCCGGGGCGCTTCACAGGGAAGGTTCTCCCCGTATGCAACCCAAACGCCTCTCGTTCTCTACCAGGGAAACGCGCATCGTTCGTTCGTTAAGTAACCACATCGCAATTGCCATTGCTACCCAGAAATATCACCCGCCGCCGCCTCCCCTATCTTGAACACATTGGCTTTTGAGTGGACTTCGTTCCTTAGCCCTGTGTCCGATTCGACCATGACACCAACCCCCAGTATCGCAAATATGAAAGGCCTCATGCTCCTTCTCCCCTTGCTGCATCTTGCCGCGGGACAATCCACCGTCACTGCTGCCCCCTCTGTGGACTCCGGCGTGGTCGCCACTGCGACCGCGGTCCCCTCTGTGATGTCTGGCGGGTCTGTCACTACCATTACGGGCAATTTGGATGGCACAACTTACACCCAAACGGGCGTCACCACCCTCGTCACTGTCATGAGCGGCGATATCAGCGTCTTTTCATTCGATGACTTTGGAACCCATGCGCCGGCGACCACCACCGTGGACTTTTCGATTATCACGGCCAACCGCACGATTGTGACACTTACGCCCGCGGGCAGTGTGGTTCCTCCTGCCGACACCACCGCCTACGCCTCTGCAGGCATAGCCAACGTGACCAACGCGATTGGTACTTCCACTACTGGAACCCGTTCAGGAACCGCGACGAGCACCCAGACTGGGCCTGCCAGCTACACCAATGCTGCTCCTGCCGCGGACGTCAAGTTTGGTTTGGGCTTCTTGGGCTTCGCAGGCGCCCTTGCCGCCGTTGGACTGTAGTCTGTCACGGAAGGAAATTGAGTGGGTAAAGAGAGAGAGGGGAAGCGGTTGGTATTTGAGCATTTTGGCAAGCAGTCGTGTTACCATATTTCGGGGGCGAGATTCATTTCGATATCGGAATCGTGCATGGGAGATGAAAATAATAGGGCGTTTTGCTCTGGTCTAGGCATGAAGAAATTCTCTTGCTTGGACTGGTTACTAGGCCACCCGATCCATTGTACGTACCTCAGAGTGATCAACATTCTCAAGCGTGAACCCGACCTTTTATGCCCTTGTCAGCGTAGCCCAATACAAGCTTTGTTGGACGCTACCAGATGATAGACACCTCCGAGCAGACCTGAGATGCACTGCTCCACGACTATCCCAGTGCTGAGAAGAAGAGGCATCAACTCTGGGTCCTTCAGCGGGGGAAGCTCCCTACAACTCATCGCCAACCGGAGCGGCGACCTTGAAGAGGCCAAACAACACGGACCAGAGCCCCGCCATGCCTTTCGCGGTGCCCTTGGCGACATCTTCAGCTACCTCTCCCGCTAGGCTTTCTTCTTCGCTGGGATCGCCCGGAATGCAGGTCCGACCGTGCTCTCCATTTTCCGTATCCATTACTCTCGCGCGTCGACATCCTGCTGGACATTTTCCTGAGCTGTCGTACTGCCATCTAAAGAGAGGGTCTGTCTCGTCGGCCAGAACATCAGGGACAATGCGGGTCTCGGTCGGTAGGCTCGATGTGTGTTCGAAGAGCTCAGACGAAGACAAGCTCAGCTGAGGCCACCCCTGACTTTTCAGAGTCTTGCCCGACGTTCCGTAGGTGTAATCCTTGAATCCAGCCCATCGGATCGCGGTGGCACACTGTTTTCCAAGAGATTAATACTTCTCATTCCCATCCGAGTCACATGATGATAAGAATGCCAGGATCGGTAGTGTTGCCCCTTTGGTCCTTCGATTTGTTTAGGTGGGTTGTTTTGAAGCACATATGTAATAGCGATTGAATGGAATGGTGGAGGATACTGGACTCACCATCGGACATGCTTCGGCCGTTGTGTAGATACTCAAATCTCGGAAAGCTCTCAGCGCCTCAGCCCCGCTGAGATTGTAGGGATCTGAGGTCAAAATCCCCGAGCAATTATTGATGGCGGCTGTCTCGCCTGTAAAGGGTCATGTCAAGACAAGCTGCACAACATAAAGCCAGTTGCCTTCGGTCGGCTCAAAATTCCATATCAAATAGGGCTAGGGGAGGCTGGCATGCTTACCATGGAGGGTGGGATTGCCGAGCTTCATGATAGAATTCACGCCCAGGCAAATGAGTTCGCCATGCTCCGAATTTGTGACATCGGTGTGATTTACGATGGCAGCACCGAATGCTTCAAAGGGGCAAGGAGTGCTGGTCAGTTCGGACAGGGCGTCGATTGCTCGCTGCATCCAATGTTCCCTGGTAGCAACCGGGATCGGGTCATTGGAGGAACAAGATGCGAGAAGAGGGAGCACTAGGATGATGGTGGTGGTAAACGACTTCATCGGAAGCTGCAGGATTGGTGTAGGAAGCCAAGGAAAGAAGGAGAAGTTGCTAGGATGGATGGTGTTGGATATGCGCGAGGTAGAGGTAGAGTTGGGCAAGGAGAAGATCACATCGGGGAACAACAGATCCCGAGAAGGTCAGTAGCAGTCCCAAAGTGGCCGGGTGGCAGTTCTTTGTCGTCGAATGCGGGAAGTTTGACAGCTGAAGGCTGTACAGTATGTATGTATCTAATGCTGGAGTGGATGATCCGAAAAAGGGTGGCCTGTGCCCCTCCTCCCCTCGACTTCAATTTTGACGTTTAGGACTTCTAAGTTCTGGCATATGCCATCGCGCGGCCCTGCAAACATCGTAAACAGCGGGCACAGGGCTTGTCGAATTGTTGTCTTGAGTGCATGGTTGGCTTGGAGTAGATAATACGGAGATACAGATGTAGTGTGCAGATGGTGTATTAATACAACCCCTCGGCGCTGAACAACGATGCAAACAAGATACAGTAGCTGTGCCTGCTCCCTGGGGATTGACGTAGCAGTATATAACATACATGTGTATCTGGTGATGGGGCAGGGCCGGCCTCGGTATTCGAGCCTTGTTCCACTTTAGGCATCTGTACAATAGGTAACCAGCTACAGGGTGGGAATACGAAGAGTTCATTGCTCCAGGGGCCTCGGGCTCCTGGTCTTTGTTGTTGCGGGGTCTGGAGCCTCGCTAGGAGCAGTGTCTATCGAGTATTGACCTCCTGTAGGTACGGAGTACCTTGTAACGCTTGACGACCTTGACTCCAATGACAGACCCCATGGCTGGTACGGGAATACTGACAGCTTACATACTGTATTAAAGATGTCACCGGTGTTTATTATTGCAAGATTTGTACGCCGAATCCGTGCAGAAAACACGGACACTATTCGGGGGGCTCCTACCAGGGCACCAGGTGGCGTGGCTAAGCCTGCCACCACCTCAATGGTCGTCAAAGGCAAAAAGGTCAGGTCGCAACTCCCGTGTCCCCCATGCCTTTTAAGCCAGAGCAGGGCCCGAAGACCGTGTCTACTCCGTACCCTCATTGTCGGATTACATACCCTTTGTTGCACCCTACATCACGTTATCACCGACTGTGAACCACGTCTGAAAAATCTAATACCTCTCGAAACCCTCAGTCTTTGTCGGCATTCTCTTGTTCGGTGGCGGTCCAGGTCTCCAAACCGCCTTGCTCACGTGGCTGCCCGGGCCCTCCACTTGCTACCTGCATCGCAATATTTCCTCTAGATTTAATGCAAACTAGGCGACGCGAATGTTGCCATACATAAACCACCAGTCTAGGTTGCCTTTGTCTCATCATGCTTTCATTTAGATGTCCTGCAACGAGCATCTCGATACAGCTACCTTCCTAGCATATTGCACTGGATCACTGGATCTTTTGACTACTGCCTCCTCATTTCCCCACCGCGGTCTTGTTGATGAGCTCGGTTATTAATAGACATAATGGCATTCTCATCATCTTCATCAGAAGACAATTTTGGGGCAGCCCGGTCGTCATTGCGAGACTCAAGGTTTACAGGCATCAACAGCCCCTCGGAGGCCTCGAGTCGCGGCAAGGCTCCCGACGGCCCTCAATTTGATATAATCTCCTGGTATCCAAAGTATCAAAGCTGCCAACGCTACTTCTTGGACCATGCTCAGTACGAACCTCTGGTTCAGGCATTTGCCTCCTTCATCAACATTCTGCTGCCATTTCAAAGACTACCTCATCCGGTCCTTGGCTTCAGCTCCTCCAGAAGTAGCAAATCTAGACATGACAGAGACTCGGCAAGACCTTCGCCCTCCGAGTCTTCATCGGCTGCGGCCTCGGCAGTGTCTTTAATCCCATATCTACGTCGATTGGTCGTGACCGGTATGGATGTCCCTCAAGTATTGCATGGCTTTTTTGGTGATGATTGGAGGGCTGGTGTTGGACCGCAGCAGGAACAAGAGCGGCGGAACTATCTTTTTGCTGCTAAGAGTGGAGGGTGGGCATCCGTGAAGAGTGATTACGATATCTTGCCCTTGGAGACCGTCCCGTTCATGCGACCATTGAACGACCCATCCGAGGGAGAGATAGAGGCCGCCGAACGGAGTTGGTCCGAGTGGCTCGCTCTGGAGGATTGGATGGTCGGCTCTCGTGCTCCTGGAACAGGATAAACAGGTGCGTTCGCAGACCCCAGAGCATTCTGCAATGGCCGACAGCACACGACAAATACAATCTTTTAGCGCGACTCAAATCACATGATAACCACGATATAAAACGATCGATGCTGCTGGAAATAGCGAAAATAGCGCACATTTCTGGAATTCTTCTTATGAGTGATAGTTGGTACATGTAGTATCAAGGCCCATCACAGAAAACACTTGAACGCCATTCTCGTAGTTTGTCCCCCCCAGTATCGGCAGCTGGATCAAGTTGCCGATAGAGTACTTCGTAGAATAGCAAGAGGCTGACTCTGGTGTCTTCCAGGTTGAGATGCCTATTGGTTGCTCATTTACTTAGCACCTTTAGCGCAAGGCTGCAGCTTGGTGAGGAAAGAGGCCCGAGCGCCTTCACTGCCCTCTTCATTCCTTCGCATTTTACATTTCATATGCACGTTGGGTTTTTGATAGGACCCTCGAGATCTCCTCATAGCCAACTTTGCCACCTTTCTCTCATATTACACTCAATCATCTTTGTCATGGGAAGCCCAAGCGACACAACCGATGCGCAATCAATAAGATTCGCCACTGTCTTCTGAATTCATATCGCTATCCCGCGGTTGGCCATGACTCTATTTGATCACTTTACGCCGCCGCCGGAGTTCACCTTTGGCTTTTCAACCACCTGCTCTTAACGACTGTATCGATCCCATTTCCCACTCTTCATACTGTAATCATGGCTAGCAATCCTCGTCTCCTGCTCAACCCTAAACAGGCCCTCAAGACCAAGAAGCTGTCAGGTGAGTTTGGCCTTTCCACCTCGCCACCCTCACACCCTGAGTCATAATATCACCCCGTCGGACTCGGTAACCCAGTGGCTATGCATCATACTTCTACTGTTAATGATTTTGTGGCCAACCGATCAGATCGGTGATCACCAATTCGCTTTTTCATCTTTGTTATCTTGCGTCCTTTCATCCAAGAGTAAGCCTACTGACAATTTACTAGAGAGAGACCCCATGAATAACGAATCTGCAACCGTCATCAAAGATGCGCCCTCGACTTCATCTATGGCTGGGCTCAACCGTCAAACCGGCATGCCTGGGATGTATGACCACCGGGCGCTTTTGAACCCTCGTGTGCCAAGGAAAGAAGTTGTGCCAAAGCAAATGTCAACATTTGAGCCTCAGTTTCCCGTAGATCGCTCTCTTGCTGCACCAGAATCTTCTAGACTGATCTCCAAGGGGGAAGCAGTTGGTCCCAAATCCATGCTCGAAGGCGTTTACGGAGTTGAACGTCGTACCGACTACCCACAGAAGAAAGTGAAGATCACGAAAGACCCTAATGACGACATCGCCAAATCTCAGTATGGAAACACGCGCCATCATAGTAATGGAATCGTGGGAAACTACATGCGACCTGACCCAGAGAAAGCCGCCGACGCTACCAAGCTGAGCTCGCTTGTAGATCTGACCAATACCGACGATGATCAAGACGACGAAGACATCCAAGTCATTACCTCCAACTTCGACCAACAAGTCTGCTATGGCCACTTTAACACGGTGGTATATGCTCACTGCATTCCAAAGCCCAGGGGAGAATCGATGTTCCAAAACGGGAACGAATGGCCAGTGATGAAATGCACACTACGTCGACTACCAGCTGACAACACTGTCATTGACGTTCTTGATCCTCACGGAATAGCGTTTGGTAAAGTGAACGGTGACTTGGCTTCCGCTTTGGCACCTGCTATGGACAGCCTGCGAGGTTTCAGGACTCAAGCTCGACTAACCAATCGACGTAAACAGCCCGATGAATGGCCCCATCGACCATGTTCTGACTCATTGCGCATGATTCTGAACCTATATGGTAGACGTGGCGATGTCGAAAAGGTTGGGAAACACTTTGGACGATATAACTTCTGGCTACGGGCACCTATGGCTCCTGAACCCGGTTATCCAATTGTCAACCCACACGCCCAAAAGAATCTTCCCCTTCCCAAGGTCCGTGGTGAGAACACCGGTCGAGCTCTTCCCGAAGCGAGAACCCTTGAGGAAGCATCGTATGAAGTATCCAAACTCTTTGATTCTTTTGCCAATGAAGCGAAAATCTTAGCCGATACAGAACCTCCCTCTACGGTCATCACGACTCCGCTTCTTCCTCACCAAAAGCAAGCCCTCACTTTTATGCTGCAGCATGAGCAGCGGCGGACATTTGGGAAGGAGGAGTCCGAGAATTCTTCATTGTGGCGTCAGAAAAAGCGTGGCAATGGAGACATAATCTATCGTGAGGTCGTGACTGGGATCTCAGTCAAAGAGGAGCCTCCTCAAGTATTGGGTGGACTGTTGGCAGACGTGATGGGCTTGGGAAAGACACTTGAGGCGTTGAGTCTCGTGGGAAGCACATTGCAAGAAGCAGAACAATTCGGTCTCGGGGGAGTTGTTCGATCTGATGAAACTGCCAGTACCATTCTTGCCAACAATAAAGCTACCCTCATTGTCTGCCCGACCAGCACGGTCAAGAATTGGGAGGATCAGATTTCACAGCACGTTCGATCAGGAAGTATGAATTTCTACGTTCACCATGGACCCAACCGCGAAAAGAACCCATATGCTCTGACAAAATACGAAGTGATCATCACCACCTACGGAGTCATCGCGTCTGAGTTCAGTGGTCGAGCAGCCACTAACGGGAGTCCTCTCCGACGGTTGAAATGGTTCCGGATCATCCTTGACGAGGCACATACCATTCGGGAACAAAAAGCCCAGCAATCGCAAGCTATCTATAGTATAGATGCAGAACGACGATGGTGCTTGACCGGAACTCCCATCCAAAATCGTCTTGACGATTTGGGGTCGTTGACGCGCTATCTACGATTATACCCTTACGATACTGCAGCACGGTTCAACCAGTACATTCGTGGTCCTGCACAAGCTGGTGATGCATCGTTCCTGAAAGCCCTTCGAGTATTCGTCGACTCTTTCACACTCCGCCGTTTGAGGGACCGTATTGATTTGCCAAAAAGAAACGATTATGTCGATCTGTTGAAGTTTTCCGAAGAGGAGAAACAGCTCCATGACTTCTTCAAAGAACTCTCACATATCCAGATTAAGGAACTGGCACGAACCAAGCAGAAGAACAGTGGAGTTCAACACCACGTGCTTCGCGGAATCATGACCTTGAGATTGATTTGCGCACATGGCAGAGAGCTCCTCAAGGAAAAGGACCTGGAAAGACTCAAGGGACTCAGTGCCACAGAGGCAATTGATGTGGATGAGGATGAAATGGTGAGCACCATAACTGGGAAAGCAGCGTACGAAACTTTGACTTTAATGGCCGAAGCGGGCTGGGACGTATGCCGCAACTGTGCAAAGAAGATCAGCAGCGAAAACAATCAAGGTGCGGTGGAAGACGAAGACGGGGTTCGGTGTTACGTCTTGCCCTGTTATGATCTCATCTGTGCCGACTGTTTTGCTCCTGAAAAGGCGTCTTTCGATGGAGTTCCCGACGAGCAGGCAGTTTCATGCCCTTGGTGCTCAGCAGTCATTGCCGCGCAATACGTTGGATTTAGTGGAGCAACGGCGCAAGAGATCAAAATCGCACCTGATGACACAATGGCAGAAGCTGACAGTGAGGAAGATGACAAAACAGCACGCGCCGCGTACAAAGGCCCTCATACAAAGACTCGAGCTCTCCTTGCGGACATTGCAGCCATGAAGGAAGAAAGTGAGCCCCTAGTGGCAGCTGGAGAACGACCATTGAAATGCGTCGTCTTCTCCGAATTTACCTCTCACCTCGATTTGATCGAGAGGGCACTGAGTGATCAGGGTCACAGGTTCGTTCGCATTGATGGAAAGATGTCACTCAACAATCGAAAGAAATCTCTCGATGCGCTTGCTTCAGACGATAACATCACAATTTTGCTGGCTTCAATCAAGGCTGCAGGTCAAGGACTCAATCTCACAGCTGCTTCGAGGGCCTTCATCATGGAGCCGATGTGGAACCCAGCGGCTGAGGCGCAGGCCGTAGACCGAATTTACCGCATTGGACAGAAGCGTCCTGTTGTTGTGAAGCGATATCAGATGGAAGACAGCATTGAGCGAAAGATCGTGGAGTTGCAAAAGCGCAAACAAGAACTTGCAGATGTCTCGATGAATCAAAATCACAAGCAATTGAGCAAGCAGGACGTTAGAGAGCAGCACTATAAGGAAATCCTGGCATTATTCAAATGATACGATGACGTGACGATACAATGCACCACAGCTGAAGTGAGAAGAATTGAGAAAGGTGTAACCTATTTGAAGACATGCAAATTCTTGGGTCACATCGCTTGACGTGGCCCTGACCCTTCATAGCACACAGATATTTGTGTCTTAGCAGACAGCTTTGAAGTCACCTGAGGTAGTTAGGTGTAATCTTCATGATATCAAAGTTTGATTTCCTTATCAGCGCCTATGTCCATGACCGCGCGGGGTGCTGCAAGCTTTAATTAGGTAAGTCGAGTTGGTTGAGACGGGGCCGGAAGGCACATCGCTAGTTAAAACGTCTAGGCTCGCTTAGGCGCAGTAGCGGGCGGCGGGTGGCCAAAGGGCAATTTGGTCACAATCTGTTGAGATCTTTGATGGGATTTTGGGAAGAAATGGAGTCGGTGACGACAAGGATGCAGGCTACCTTTTCTTCCTCCTCACAAGTAACAAGCAAATCATCTGGGGCCCCTCGGCCCCGCCACACTCGCCGCTGACAAGAAAAGCATGGTCTCTGTCAAAAGACTCCAGCAATCAGTGCCTTGCCTTGTTGCTTGGTACCTGGTAAGTTCAACCTGCCTAAGCTGATACTGTTACTCGTCCTTGCTGACCGTTTCTGCGTCTCCATCGGTGACCGCTCATGCAAGATATTAGTCTTGCCCTCTACGCCTGACTTTTTTTCGACGACCCCCCCAGCCCAGGAGACTAGCCTCTGTTCTTTTCTCCTCCGCGATTCTCGAGCTCGTATCAATTGTGGCAGCTTCCCTACATTCTCTTGTCCTTGTGCCTTCGCTGCTCCCTCCTGGCCCACCTATTCTATCCCGCGCTTCTCTCTGTATTTCTGTATTACCTGCCCTAAAATGCACTCGAAGCACTGAAGCAAAACTAAACTCATCCAGGTGCAGAGTGTCCTTGACCTGCGAGCAAGATGGTCATCGTTGACCATCACGAATACCTTTGTGAAGAGGAGAAACGCTTGAAGGAGGATAGAGAGCGGAAGAAGTATTGGAAGAAATGGGGTCCTTACGTTGCCGAAAGGCAATGGGCCACCGTCCGAGAGGATTATTCTGAAAATGGTGATGCCTGGAGTCATTTCTCCCATGACCAGTCAAGGTCACGGGCGTATCGTTGGGGCGAAGACGGCATTGCTGGAGTCTCAGACACCCATGGTTTCCAGAACATTGCATTTGCCTTTTGGAACGAAAAGGACGACTTTTTGAAGGAGAGGCTGTTTGGCTTGAGCAATCCTCAAGGCAACCATGGAGAGAGTCTCAAAGAAGCCCACTTCCATCTCGACAATACACCCACTCATTGTGAGTTGCACATTCTCCTTCTCATCCCGCTCTGACTGAAATGTGCTTCGAGCCTACATGAAGTACCTCTACAAGCTTCCACAAAGACGATTCCCCTACGAAGAATTGATCAAGGAGAACGCCACCCGAGGCAAAGCCGAGCGCGAATTCAACATCATTGACTCAGATGCGTTCAAGGATGACCGGTACTTTGACATCTTCATTGAAACTGCGAAAGAGACGGACGATCCAGATGAACTGTTGTTTCGGATTACCGCCTACAACCGCGGCCCAGAGCCTGCCCCTTTGCACATCATTCCGCATGTCTGGTTCAGAAACACATGGACTTGGGGTCATGAGTCGGAGAAGCTAAAACCCAACATTCGCATGGTGGGGCCTATGACTGCTCAAACCAAGCATCATAAGCTGGGAACCCGCTTCTTTCAATTGTCCCCGTCCCCAGGCTGTGGAGTCGATTCTGAGGATGTTCATCCACAGTTGATGTTCACTGAAAATGATACCAATCATGAAAAGCTATACAAGATCAAGAATAAGCAGCCATATGTGAAGGATGCCTTCCACAGATGGATTGTGGACGAAGAGAAGGGTGCTATTAACCCTCGGTGTACGGGTACCAAAGCTGCAGCATGGTATGATTTCGGACAGGGCGAAGGCGTTCCACCAGGAGAATGTGCTGTCGTCCGATTCCGTCTCTCCAAAAAGTATGACGGCTACCTCAACGAAGAGCTCCTGGACGACATCATGGAGCAAAGGCGCCAAGAGGCCGATGAGTTCTACTGGCGCATTAGTCCTCTTCCCATGGCGGATGATCTCAGAAATATCCAAAGGCAAGCGCTAGCTGGCATGTTGTGGTGCAAACAGCACTACTATTTCATTCATGATCAGTGGGCGAATGGTGATCCCAATATGCCACCCCCTCCAGAACAACGGAGGAATATTAGAAATGTCCACTGGAAACACATGTATCTCGATGATATCTTGTCTATGCCAGATTCATGGGAATACCCGTTTTTCGCCGCTTGGGACTCGGCATTTCATTGTATCCCACTTGCTATGGTTGATCCCGAGTTCGCCAAGAAACAACTGGATCTATTTACCAGAGAATGGTACATGCATCCCAATGGACAGCTTCCTGCATACGAATGGAATTTCGGCGACGTCAACCCTCCTGTGCATGCTTGGTCCGTATTCAGAACCTTCAAGATTGAGCGTAAGATGTATGGGCGTCAGGACCTCGACTTCCTAGAACGCGTTTTCCAAAAATTGCTCCTCAACTTTACCTGGTGGGTCAATCGCAAGGATTTTGATGGCAAAAACGTCTTTGAAGGAGGTTTCCTTGGCCTCGATAATATTGGTCTCTTCAACCGATCTGAACCATTACCCACCGGTGGTGTCCTTGAGCAAGCAGATAGCACGGGTTGGATGGCTTTCTATTGTCTTTGCATGCTCAATATCTCTCTTGAGCTTGCCAAGCACAGACGGACCTATGAAGACATCGCCTCGAAGTTCTTCGAGCATTTCATTTTGATCTCTGACGCCATGTCCTTCCGTGCTGGCGGTAAAGAAAAATCTCTATGGAATGATGAAGATGGTTTCTACTATGATGCCATCTCCTGGGGTGGACCTTGGACTCAGCAGATGCCAGTGCGGTCTCTGGTCGGCCTGATTCCACTCTATGCCGTGCTCACCCTCGAGCCTGAACTCATCAATAAGTTCCCAAATTTCAAGCGTCGTATGGATTGGTTCATTGAAAACCGTCACGATGTTGCCGAGCGAAATATCGCAAGCATGCGTAAACGTGGGAAAGATGAGCGCCTCCTACTCTCATTGGTGAGCAAGGAGCGCCTTGAGAAGATTTTGAAACGCATGCTCGACGAAACAGAGTTCTTATCAGAACACGGTATTCGCAGCTTGTCTAAATACCACGAAGCACATCCCTATTCGATGGATGTGAATGGACAAAAGTTCACTGTTGGTTACGTGCCCGGTGATTCTGACTCGGGTTTATTTGGTGGCAACTCAAATTGGCGCGGTCCCATTTGGATGGCTGTCAACTTCCTTCTTGTCGAGTCTCTTCTTCGTTTCTACATGTTTTATGGTACATCCCTACAGATCGAGTGTCCCACTGGTTCGGGTGAGTACATGCACTTAGGACATGTCGCGGAAGAGATTCAGCATCGTCTTCAGCATCTCATGGTCCGGGATAATGATGGTCGTAGAGCCATCAACGCAGGGAACGACACTCTTGACTTCGACCCGCATTGGAAGGACTACCTGTGGTTCTTCGAGTTCTTCGACGGTGACACAGGCCGTGGACTCGGTGCATCTCACCAATGCGGTTGGACAGGCCTGATGGCCAAGATGATTCACGACACGGGTATCAACTGTCGTCTACCTCAAACACCTCGAACACCCAGTACCGCCGCAGCACACTACTTCGATGACATTCTCTCTCGGGGTCTGACCAGGAAGAGCACCTATGGTGCAAGTACGCCAGGTCTCGACGGACCTAAAGCACCGCGGATCCGCCGGTCTAGCACAAGCCGCAGCATCGGCAACCGAGCAAGCTTCGTGTCTAGCGTGAATGGCGACCACAAATCTGTCGCCGGCACGAGCGACGCCGAAGGCGGTGGTGAGAAAGACAGATCCTATTTCCCCGATCTGTCCGAGTCCGAGGCCTTTGGCAGGGAGGACGCTCTTGAGCGTGATCGCCGGCGCTCCGTCGCGGACAGCCACTATGAGAAGTACGTGACCGATCAGCTCACGAAGATCAAGACGGATGAGAGCGTTGCTGTCTATGAGGACGAGTTTGAGGCGCAGTTAGATTAAGGCAGCCTAGTTTAGATTATGTCAAGGTATTCGTCCCTCGCGGTCTGAGGGCGGTCGACAACGCTATAGATATACGATATTGTGTCTTTTGCTTTGCAGCCACAGAGTCAAAGGAGACACAAGACTTAGGGAAAGGCTGAAGGAACTGTTATTGATCTAATACTATCTACTTAGTTAGCTAGCATATAAAAGTGAGCACACTAGAGATCATCTTCGAGCCACGGTCACAGTTTGCCAGACTTGGTGCCGAATAGACGGGAAATTAGGGAGTGCAAAGCATTCAAATAGTAGAGGCAGAACGTTTCGGCATAGACTTACATCCAGGAAGAGGGAGAGGGAGAGCGAGAGAGAGATAAAAGTGTAATGCTGGACCCATGCCTTCTTGTCGTCCCATTCAAACACCCCCCCTATCGAGCTATTGGAGGTACTTTTTCTTGTTCACAAGCAAATCCTTGAGGAGAGGGGGAAAGCCCCTAGACAAAACAGTCTGAAAAGCACGAGGAAGTCGAGCGTACCGGGTTTCTGTCTGTCTGTCTGTCTCTCTTTTCCATTTATTGCAGGGGGATTGGATGAATCTGATATATACACGTTTGTTTCTTTGGCTGACTAAATGAATAATCTGGTCCCATTTCCCCTCCCAAGCGTCGCACACTTCTTGTTTTTCCACACCAGTTAAAAAGCTTCCTGACTGCAGCCCCCGTTCAATTTCTAGCAAGCAAGAATTCGGACAAGTCCCTTCCACACGTCGACCCTCACTTCTATCACAGACACACCAAATAAGGGGGTCGGGGGTAAAATTCGATTCATCTCTTCTTCTCCGAATTCATTTATTTTGGTTTTTTTACACGGTGTCCGTCAACAGCTTGTTGAGTTTGGAAATCTTGCTCTGGACACTGAGATCGATGGTTCGCTCGCCGACATCGACGATCAAGCCACCGAGGATCTCCGGTTTGACTTGAGTGACTGTCTTGAGCTTCTTGCCTTGGCTGTACTCTGACTTGGCAATGGCTGCTTCCAGGCGTTGGAGGGTCTTACGGTCAAGTTCCTAGAGATAGGTGCAAGATCAGGGGTCAGCCATAGTTTCCTCTCAGATAATTTTATTCTCGCCGGTCAAACAGAAGGGGAGAAGTTTTCCATACAGTGGCACTCGTGATTGTCAATTCCAACTCCCCTCTTGAAGCACCGATCAAGGTCGTGAACTTTTCGGCCACGCCTTCTAACAGGCCCAACCGATTGTTCTCGGCAAGAGCGGCCAGTAAGTTCTTGACTGTGCCACTCTTGTCGGCACCACCGGTATGCTTCTCCAGCTCGGCAATGATCTGGGATTTATCACTGTCGGACAGAGTGGGTGCTGCAAGGATGGTTAACAGTTTGGGATCGGATTTCAGGAGGGAGGATAAAGAGCCAACTGCTTTGGCGGCGGATTCGAGATTGTTGGTCTTAGCGGCCGCAACGTACTGTGAGAGAGGAAAAAACCCAGTTAGCTTTTATCTCACTTTCTGGGGCGAGGTTCAGTCTTTCTGCAGTTGAACTTTTCGGTTCTCTGCTCTCAGGTTTCTTCGGATTCATTCGCATACCAAAGCATTCGCATAGGTTCCATCGAGACCAAACAAAGGTACTGGGGGCTTGACATCGGCAGCGGGAGCAGCGTAGGTTCGGATTGCGGTTCGGGAGGCTGTTCGTCGGGCAGCTGCAAATGCAGGCCGTGCGAGCATTGAGGACATCATCTCGAGTGTTATTCTGGGGATTGACAAGCTACAGTCGAGGCAAGCTTGCGAAGAGTGGAGAGTGAAGGTCGATTGGGATCTCGCATTGAGCTTCAGAACGAAGTTTGTCGTAGGGAGGAGTTGCAAACAGGCCGAAAGCTCACCTTTGAGCTAGTGCTAATATGGACTAGTGTCAGGTCCAATGCCAAGGATTTGGATCCCAGAGGCAGGTGCAGGTGTAGGTCGAGCCACAGGACAAAAGAGGACAACACAGTACGGAGTACTCCGTACTTGATATACTATGGTGATGACTGCACAGGTTCTCGTATGCAAGTGAAGGCCATCATTCTGATATTTCACATGTCATCGATGTCAGCACCTGTAATGTGATCTAGTATTCGCGGGCCCTGCGGCCAATATCCCAATAATAAAGCTCAAGGAGTGACCTAAACTCCCACATCACTACCTTGCCAACGCCCATACGCGAGTCATTCAATGAGTCCATCGCTCAAAATGCCAACTCTCGACATTATCCCCAATAGTAAGCTGAACACCGCTAACGTCGATATTTTCGTACATATTAGCAATGCACGCTCTAGCTTGCTTGTGCCAAGGACCCCTACCGCCCTTGATGGCGTCCTCTTTGCTCCTCCATAAACCTAAAGGGCGGTCAGTGGTGGAGAAATTTGGGTGGTTTATTGACATACAAGTTGCAAGGTTTCTTCGGTCTGAATCTGGCTCACCATACCAATACTTCAGTAGCCCGCCAGCGGTTGTAGCTTCTTCGTGGGACTTCTTATCCAACTTGAACAGCAGATCGTTATCGATGTCCTTCTTAAGCTTTGACCGAAACTCAACAACATAGAATTGCTGCCGTGTCCATCGATGATCTTCTCTGTCCGCAAGATCCTTCAGATGATTCATAAGAGCCGACCATTCGAATGCGTCCTCGTACTTGGCAATTGCATAGCCGTTGGTAGCGTTTTCGAGCTTTGTCAATGCTAGTGCCAAGAGGCGATACGGAGTATCGACAGTCCTGAGGTCTAGTTGATGCTGGCGCTCAAGGTATGGTGAGACGATCAGCCAAGGAGAAGACGAGTCATGTCCTTCAACGTGGACCGGTTCATTGACAGGCTTTGAAGGCCCATCTCCACGCTCTATTGTCGAAGCCTGGAGGAAATCTTTCTCACTGATAGCATATGCATGATCAGCCACTCCGTCCGCCCTCGCGTTTGGTGTACTCGGAGGCGACAACGAAGCCATTTGAATGTCCGAGATTCACGACTCCTTGGGATGCGCACTGAATAGAGAAGCGATGTTGTCGATTGCCAGTCAAGGACAGACCAGAAATAAAAACATGTAGGAAATTACCTATAGCGATTCCGTCAGATTGTGGGTGTTGTGCGAGTCGTTGGTCGTGTATCATCGGCCGAAATTGTGTGAACGAGGCGGCGGATCACGCCATAGAAGCTTGTAAAGGGGTGGGCACGACCTTCTGTATGAATGCAATGGCGATAAAACTCAAGAGGGCAAAAAGGGAAGGAAGGAAGCGGTGAGATAATGGCAAGGTTGTATACAGTGATACAGTATATACTGTTATCCAATATGCTCGCTTCTTTACCTGCAATCTGACTCCCCAGTCTCCTGCTTCCCATTGTCCACGCTGGAGTTCAGAGAAGTAAGGCGGCACGCGGGAGCTGTCCATCCGTGAGGGAATTGCAGATTGGTCTTTCTGTTCCCAAGAATTTCATAGGGTCCTGCAATACATGTGTCAGGAATACAACCAGCATAAGTACGTGAACAGAAACGACTGGACACTTGGACGGGATGTGGTTGATTCACGCCCGCCTTGCCGGATTAGGAGAAAATTTGAGCTCAGCCGATAAGGATGGTGTTGGCATTGGGCACTGGCACTGGCACGGCGCAGAGCCAACACTCGCGGCCGACGGAGTTCTAGGATATGACTGCAGCCCCCTCTGGAAATCAAGAGGGAGAGTGCAGGACATGAAAACCCAGAATCGAACAACATCTCCTGGAAAGGGCGCGACAAGGCTGGTTGTCAGTAGCAATAGACGACTCGGTGGTGCTGCACTGGTGGTTGACTGGCACCCAACTGGGAGCCTTGGGACCTCCCACCTCCCAGACTCCCACCGGACCTCCCACCACGGCAGTTGCAACCTTCTCATCTTTTATTCAAGTGTTGGAGGGGCAGCTTCCACCACGCACGTTGCAGGCTCCTTGTTATTGGCCTGTCGGAAGTTGATATTTTTCCGACGCCGCCAAAATCCAAATCTCTCCCTTTTTGTGTCGGTGACTTAATATTCTTCTCGACTTTCAGTCCTTCCTCGACCCTCACTTACATCCCACGCAGACCATCCCCTCACTTCTCCCTCAAGTCGAATTCAGAACCCGTCTAATTTCTCTTCTCCCTCTATCTCCCTGTTTCTTGACTATCCTTCGCAATCATGGACAGTGCACCAGCTTCCAAGTTCAAGGTGGCCGACATCTCGCTCGCTGCGTTCGGTCGACGTGAGATCGAGCTTGCCGAGATTGAGATGCCTGGTCTCATGGCCATTCGCGAAAAATATGCTGCTGACCAGCCTCTTGCTGGTGCCAGAATCGCCGGCTGCCTTCACATGACTATCCAGACCGCCGTTCTAATCGAGACCCTAACCGCTCTCGGTGCTGAAGTCACCTGGTCCAGCTGCAACATCTTCTCCACACAGGATCATGCTGCTGCCGCCATTGCTGCAAGTGGTGTACCCGTCTTTGCCTGGAAGGGCGAGACTGAAGAAGAGTATGAGTGGTGCTTGGAGCAACAATTGAAGGCCTTCCCCTCGGGAAAGACTCTCAACCTCATCCTCGATGACGGTGGTGACCTCACCGCTCTCGTTCACAACAAATACCCAGAGCAGCTTAAAGACTGCTATGGTGTCTCTGAAGAGACCACCACTGGCGTCCACCATCTCTACCGTATGCTCAAGGGCAAGAAGCTTCTGGTTCCTGCCATCAACGTCAATGACAGCGTCACAAAGTCCAAGTTCGACAATCTCTACGGATGCAGAGAATCCCTCATCGATGGTATCAAGCGTGCTACTGATGTCATGATTGCCGGCAAGATCGCTGTCGTCGCTGGCTATGGTGATGTTGGCAAGGGCTGTGCTCAAGCTCTCCACGGCTTTGGTGCCAACGTTCTTGTCACTGAGGTCGACCCAATCAATGCTCTTCAGGCTGCCGTTTCTGGCTACAAGGTCGTCACCATGGAAGAAGCTGCTGCTGTTGGTCAGATCTTCGTCACCACTACTGGCTGCCGAGACATCCTTGTCGGCAAACACTTCGAGGCCATGCGCAACGACGCCATTGTTTGCAACATTGGACATTTCGATATCGAGATCGACGTTGCCTGGTTGAAGAAGAACGCCAAGAGTGTGCAGAACATCAAACCCCAGGTTGACAGATACCTCATGCCAAGCGGCCGCAACATTATCCTTCTTGCTGAGGGCCGTCTTGTCAACTTGGGCTGTGCCACTGGTCACTCGTCGTTTGTCATGTCCTGCTCATTCTCCAACCAAGTCCTCGCACAGATCGCCCTTTACAAGGCGGAGGACGAGGCGTTCGGCAAGAAGTATATTGAGTTCGGAAAGACTGGCAAGAAGGAAGTCGGCGTCTACGTGCTCCCAAAGATCCTTGATGAGCAGGTTGCCCTCTTGCACCTTGACCACGTCAATGCCAAGTTGACCAAGCTTACTCCTGTCCAAGCAGAATACCTCGGTTTGGAAGTTGAGGGTCCTTTCAAGTCCGATATCTACAGATACTAGACATTTCCATTCTTACACAACTGCGAAAGGGACATAGTATCGGTGCATTTGTACCGGCGTTTTTTACGGTCAGGACAGGGAACATATCTGCCGGAGGGAGGTATTAAAAGTTTTGGTTTCTAATGCTCAACGCACTAGAAACATGGGGAATCCAAAGAGATTATGATCCCCAACGATGGAATTCGAAGAACCAGGGGAAAATCATGCCTCAACGAATTGATGATGAAAGAAATAATGGGAACAGTTCAAAGAAGACTAGAATCAAAAAGGTCAATTATGGAAAGTTCATCCAAAAGAGAAAATGTCCTTCAACGGACTGCTTGAGAAGAGCTTCATCAGCTCCCTCATTGATACCCCCGCTATCGTAGATACATAGCAGCAGAATACAAACACTGTTTAATGGTGACGTCTATTTCTTCCACAGTCATATGCAGGGTGTATTAGCTCGCTTTCAGGCGAAGGTCAAGGTCTAAAATAAATACAATCGTCAATTACTCGCCGTTTAGCGAAGACCGGTCCACCAAGGCCTTTCACTTTCAGTCTTCTTCATTCCGGGGTCAGGTGTAGTGCCTAACCATAATGTAAGCATCCAGCTTCTCATCAAGTTTTGTCAACATACGGGAATTTGTGGAGAAGGAGAGAGCATACTTCCTGGCATGTAGATACCACTACGACAAAGCAAATATCGAGTCTCCCATCCCTGCTATAAATACTCTATGTTCGACTGCTCGTCGGGAACTCTTAGGTGACGTTAAACTCGCGGGTTTGAAGATCGACTACAGCATCGCGGAAATGGTGCGTTCCAGCAAGATAAATATTGGACAAAGCCCTTGCGAGGCGGTACAACCTTGTTTTGCCAAAGGTGGTGAAATTCAATCTTTGTTTGTACATAAAGAATATACCCTTGGAGTGAGATAGTGTTCCTGAATTGGCTTTCGCACGGATTATCTGGCCAGCAAGGCTGATCTCGCTCTCCGATAAAGCCTCCAGTGGATGCAGAGGAGTTGACGTTGTAGAGCGTTTTTGAATCGAACAGTAATCAATCTGTCTGACAATTTCTCCTCGATCGAGTCTTAAAATGTTGCCCATTGGCCAGAATTTTGAATATCTCCCAGGCTGGACGTTCGGCATATGTTGTGTTAGCCGCATCTAAGGGTTCACGTTCCCCGTGGATACCATGCACCAGACCCCTTCATTGGATCGCCGTTCAAGCATGAAGGAACGGGTCATGCTATGACAGTAACGGTGTTAGCATCATTCCGGTGGGAGCTTGGGATGCGGCGCTCTGGGCGGTTCGCGGATAAAATGGCTCGGGGCTTGTTTTCAAGTATATCATAATCAAAGGTTGGAAGGAAGACCTTGGTAAGGACAGAACCTCGTCGGATCATGATAATGCAGCGCTCTCCGAATTGCGGATGGTGGATTTCATCGCTCGGCAATATAGTGACGTTAAACTGTGAGTCCCAGAGCTCTTCACTGGTTAGGGAGCTACTTGTAAGTGCTCTTCCACTTGGCAAGATCTTGAAAATGGCTGTACGCCCCTTGGGGCTAAGGAGAAGCGAGCTTGCTCAAGGAAAATACTGAATTCCAGCCCAAAAGTTAAGTTGAAGAATTCCCAATGAGTCAGACTTCAGAATGCCTCAAGGAGTAAGCGAAAGCAGATGCCGACCTATTTGTTCTGAAAGCCGATGGTGGATTGTCATAGTATGAAGTAGGACAGGGAAGGATGACAAGCTTGATGAAGAGCGATTGACGGAAAGGGAAGGAAAACGGGCCGTTCAAGGTCCGGGTCACGTGATTACGGATAAAGCTTCAACATCCAGGCTCCCCGGCCCCGAGCCGTGGCCTCAGAGGCCTAGCTGAGAATCCTGGAAATTCAAGTTATCTATTTCTTGAAACTCTACAGATCTTTTGCTATCCAGTACCTCCGATTTGTCTTGAAAAACACATGGAGCATCGACGACGTTTGGTCTATTGACCTAACCACTAATTTCCCCAGATAGAATTAGGGACCTGGTGTCATTCATGATCAAGGCAATCAATTCTCTAAGTCGCCTCGATGTACCTAGCTCGACTCGATCTCGATGGATGCAAAGGTTAGATCAAGGATTTGAACCCATGCTGTCGAGTCACAACCCTCGGGGTGCCTGATCCGGCTCGACACAAAAGCTCGACAAGGCCTATGACCTCAACACGGCTTGCCCTCCGGAGTGCATTTCGGAGCATTTTCACCATTGTACGAGGTTGCCGTTGCTGTTGGACTATTACGCAAAACATCCCCCAAAAATCAAGACAATCTCAAAAAGCCTTTGCCAGTAGTGAACAACCCATGGCTCCGAAGAAAGGCAAATTCGCGAAGCCAATCCGGGCCCATATCAAGTGGACCCATTTTGTTTGTTTGCCTTTGGCCACTGAAGCATCAGTCCCTCAGTTAAAGGAATCATTGGCGAATTTCAGGCACCTCACAACCAAAACAGAGGACGCTGCCTGGGGGAGTGCAGGACGGACTGCCAGTGAGCATGTACGGTCTTCGAGCTTGCCCAAACAACAAATTAGTCATGACGAAGACCGTAACTCGACCAGCGAATTGGTAGATCAGTCATCAACTCCGGGTTCACAGGATCTCCGCAAAATTCCCACTGGTGCGCATCGACCTCCTGGGACTCTTCATCTCACACTAGGAGTAATGGATCTATCTGCGAAGGAGGACATGGAGAGAGCATTGCGATTGCTAGAAGATCTCGACTACGTGGATCTTCTTAGGCAAGCCGAGACCATGGTAAAAGGACGTCAACTAGAACGAGAAAACAGGAGGAAAGAACGACTGTCAGAAGACAAGGCCCATGACGAAACCCCCACCTCAGCAGCTCCTCTAGAGTCCCTCCATCGTTCGATCTCTCCTCCATCACTCTCTTCTCCTTTTTCAAAGTCGAATGATGTCACAAGTCCCACCCAAGACTTACCGACCCCGATTTCCGTGACCCTGCACGGGCTTGGAACGTTCCCATCACCGCGTTCTTCAAGGGCATTCTTCGCGCATGCACATGACCCCAGCAAGCGACTGCAAACGTTTGCTGAGCTTGTACGCCAACGATTTATGAACGTGGCTTTGATCACCGACACTCGCCCACTTGTGCTACACGCGACAGTTGCTAATCTGATCTACGTCAAGGGCAAGAAAGCCCAAGGAGGAAAAGCAAGAGAGATTGATGCCAGGGAAATCTTGAGATTCTTCAATCACCTTGAGAAAGATGACGAGTCGGGTTTCAATCAGCAACAACCGCTGGAGCCAAGTGAAGGGGGCGTTGCAGAATTGTCACATTCGCAGTCGAAAGGCGCCCCAGACTCGGCCACAACCCATTTATCCTTGAGCTCGACATTGCTAGATCCTCAGTCTTCTGCCAACACAGGCGATGACAACGAGCCCCAGGGCCATATCTGGGCTCGTGATATCAAGATTGACAGAGTTCGAATCTGCAAGATGGGAGCCGACCCATGTGATATTCCTGATTGGGGAATGGAGTATAAATATATTGGAGAACGGATATTTTTACCCTGATGAACGGAGAAACTCGAAGCTAGGCCAGGCTCTCGTGAAAGCGAAACATGAAAATGTAGAATGCTAGATATATGTATGATGGTGTCTCAATGGATCTCAGTTTTGCTTCATACTTGTATGTATACATACCTCAGTTCTACCGACCCAGAAACAGGAATATGGCTCAGACATTAACCAAAAAGTTCTTTTTTATTGGCCTAATCAACAGGTCAAAGGGGTTCAATAAGGATTGCTTCTCTAGATTTGCTTGCCTGGAACAACTGTCCGAGTTCATCACTGCAAACTCTCAGCTGTCCTGGGTGCAAAATCCCGCTTTTCGGCACAAATCAATCCATTGGAAGTTGGAATGATGGAATGATTCGGCTTACTCCGGTTGGATGCAAGCTACGCCAGGTCTACATCACGAGGCTCCTAAGCACTACTCGTTGAGGACAAGGGACATGAGACAAGTCCCAGCTTGTGCCCAACGTTAACAACATTGACAAACCGCAGATCGAGGCGAGTTTGTTTGTGCCGATGGTCCATCAATCCGGGGCTGTAGGAGAGGAGGGCGGAATGGCGGACGTTGTCGCTCGAATGCTATCTTGCCACATATGATTGCGGTGAGCTTCGAAGTTTGTCTTGCGATGTGGTTCTGGGCCCGTTGACTTGACATGCTCGCTTGCTGCGGCATATCAGATCCTTCTTCGGCTCTGAGCAACCAAGCAAGTGGAAATGGAAGGCGGCCTGGGTCGAATCTGGTGGGTCCCGACGACAACGGATCTGGGTCTCGTCGCTGGCCACTCGGACTGGGCTTGAGTCTTGATCGCGGGGCATAGTCCGTCTGGGACCATCCCCCGGTTGCGGTTGGAATATGGCACCAATGCGTGGACTCGATGCCGAGGCTTCGCGTGCTCAGGCATTTCCTGCTGAAGCCAGTCGATTGCTGTGGGACTCAAATGAGGTGCCCAGTATGATCGGCGGTGGCCCAAGGTATTCCTGAGCTGCAATTTGACGTTGTTTCGCACCTCGCTCTCAGACGGCCGAGTTGCCGGTTCTGGATGTGAATGTTCTTTTGCACATTTACCTATCGATACAACAAAGTCCTCCCAGGGAGGATCCCCAAGTCCAGAGGTTGTGTGTTTCGTCTTCATTCCTTCAAGCTTTCTGCTTCTCTTCTTTCGGCAAATCATCCAAATCGAAAATAACCCTGATCATGAGGCTGCAGCTGGGACAGACGGCGATATCCTCGCCGTCTCTGAGATCACCGAGGACGATTTCGAACCGGTCACCGCATGGGCAGGGATAGTGGTAGAGTTGAAGTGTCTTGTCGAAGGTCATATCTTCGATCTCTATCTCGTCGTAGATGTCTAGGGCGTCGGCTTCTTCTTGTTTGGATTTCGACGTGGCATTGGATGTGGTTGAGTGGGTTGTGGTCGCCGCAGCCGCAGCGATCGTCGTCGTTGAAGGCATGGTGTTTGCACCCAACGACGTGAAGAAGATACCGGGCTCCGTCCCAGAGCAGAGGGTCCAGTGAGGTTGTGTTGTAGACCGCCCACAGATATGGTCTGGGTGAAGGGTTGCACCTTTGGACGAGGTGCAGGCGGAACTTGATCACATGCAGTCGATTTATCAAATAAAAACCTTGGACTTTTGGTGAAATGCGGGGCACCGGAAAAGGAAGGCCGCCCGGTCGCACTGACTGAAACCTTGGCGAAACCACCAAATTACCAATGGGCCTCGAAGTCTGGCCGTAGCGGTGGTGATGCCGCCAGCGGGCAGATACGATACAAATCTAAAGGAAGGCAAAACTGAAGGAAGGATCGGCAGGACAGTCTTTGAGAAATGAAGCGAGAACTGATTGATCGCTTGAATGCAATTTTTGATATCATCTGATCGCCGTAGTGGTCACAACCACTAAAATATGCGATGGACCATTCTCACCAACTGGAGGACTGCACCCAGCCATGTTGGCAGCGTCCGTTCTTCTGCTCGAGAATTCGAGGACCTGCTTGTGATCTCATTCCATAGATGCAATCTACAAATACCACCGAGGTTGATATGTAGGAGTGACATTCCGTCCACCGAGTTACACCTATCTGTATCTCCACAGGGACAGGGTGTTGTGTCGCTTCCAGGTCTTTCTTCGCCCAGCAGTGGTCTTGTTGTAGCCGTGTCCTTTGCCCAAACCACGAGATTTCTTGCCGGTCGCTGTGAGGCCACGGGATTCGCGATGCTGAAGTAAAAGGGTTTGTTAGCCATAGATGATTCTTCTTCCTCACGCCTTTGCTTTTGGCAAATGTGCCTGGGTCTTACCTTGTGGACAGGGTTGACAATCCAGTTGATGCGAGGATCACGACGAATGGCTTTGTGCTGAGGATCGACTAGAATGACTTCGAAATATTTGTAGGTTGAATCTTGGTTGATCCAGTAGGAGTTGAGGACGCGTAGGTTGGATGCACGGCGACCAACTCGCTCTTCAGCGGTTGAACGGAGTGAACGTTGATACTTGAGTTGGTTCACACCCTGGTTGGTTGGCTTGCCTGTTTATTGAATCTCAGCCTAGTCTTCTTTTATGAGGTTACTTTGGGATGAATTTCATACCGTAGGTGGCACCCTTTGGCACTGGTCGCTTGCGGCCACCACGTCGGACACGGACACGGTAGATAACGTAGCCCTGCTTGGCCTTGTACCCAAGACGGCGGGCCTTGTCTGGTCTGGAAGGGCGAGAAGCGCGGTGGATGACATTCAATTGTCGAAGCTATATTGATGCACTCTCAGCAAAGTTCAACGAGTGTATAGCAAGACACAATCAAGTTGCGCCACAGATGAGAAAAGGGGGGGTATGCATGGTCCTCCTGTTTCTCATCATGATTCGGGGAAGCTCACCTCCCAGCAGCGGACTCGGAGAAGGAATCGCAGGACATCGGATTGCTTCTTCTTTTGAAGTTCTTCAACGTATTTGAGAGCACCCATCTAGAAGGAGTCAGACAAGTTGGAGAGGAGATACGCAAAACATCAAACACATACCTTGACTATTGCGCCCAAATAGTCTGTTGTTGGTGATTGTAAAAGATGGTGGATCGAAATATCGAGGTGCGGGAGAGTCAAATCTCACAATTTGGAAAGAGACAGTTGTGCGCAGGCTTGGCAACACCAGCTATGGATGGCTTGGCAACGAACCCAACCAGAACCGAGAGCCTCGCCACTGCAAGGTTGAAGAAAGGACTTCAAAGTTTGAAGTACCAATTACAATTTACGAACCAGAGCAACCACATTTTCGAAAGCTCTTTTCAAGGACAATGAAATCCTTACATGAGTCTCTTGAGTTTGCATCTCGATGCGCATTTTCGTTTCTGTGACTGTTCGCTGTTTGTGGCTTAGCTATTGAGGCGGCCTTCTGTACTTGATATTCATCAAATCACTCGCGTGCCGCTGGATTGCTAGAAAAGCATAACTTCTCCATTGCACGCTCAGTGCCTCGAGCAATGGTATCCCATCCTCTTGTCTGCTTCTCAGGTACCTCCTGGTCCTTCCCTCTCAACAGAAGTAGTCTTCCTCGATGTTCATCCTCGGCTGAGAGCGTCCCAAGTCCACTCCTGACTTCATTGAACCCATCCGTGAGAAGTCTTTCCATCTCAGTGCTCACGACGTCTTCCCCTGCATGTACTGTCTTTGATGCCACATCTTTTCCCCCAACAAATGAAATCCTGATGTCTTGGATATTTGGGGGCAGAGGAGTCCGTTTGGCAAGATGGCCGTGGACGTAGACTACAGCATCTGACTGCTTGAGCAGATTAACCAAGCCAGTGCAGTATGGTTGTCCTTCAGCACCAAAGAATTGTATACGTCTATTAAGTTGGCGAGTAGACATTGAGGCAGATTAGAGACCATCGCTGAGACCAGCCAAGGCAGAATTTGATAGCAAGAGAAATAGCTGTTCGAACCGTTCTGTATCGGAAGCACTTTTATACTCGGATCAGCCAGGATTCTATATCGAAGCAATGTGGAGAGTGCATACATCTCTTCTTTAGCCAACCTCGAGACAACATCTGTCTGCCGCTGTTTGAATGCTTCGAAAAACTCTGTGGCCACAAATCCGTCTCCTTGAAATTCTCGCAGATCTTGCCCATCTGCTCGGTGTCGATTCTAGGCTCTTCATTTTCAGTTCTGAGAAGGAAAGAAGACAATTGGCTGGCTGACTCACGTCAGTTCTTCGTCATCGAGATCATATAGATCCTCGATTGTGCTTTGGAAGATATGCTCGTCTGCTTGATCTTCATCCTGGCTCTTGCTATCGATTATTTTTTGCTTGTGGGGAGGTGCTGTTTGATGATCTAGTTAGTATGTGCTAGAAAGCCGACCTTTCGTAGGACATGTGAGCTTGAAAATACTTACTTGCTAGGGGTCTCTTTACTGGCATGATGCTCTCGTGAGGCCGGCACCTATTCGATTTAGGAGAAGAGTTGACTTCAATGCGCCGATGGAATGGCTTAGTGGACGTGTTGTCGCGTGCACAAGAAATGCTTTGGTGGATGATATTGCCCTACCTCTTGAATGCTCTCACAAGGAAGGTACTAGGCACGACCATAGTTTCCTAAAAACAGCTGCACAGCTGCCGAACAGGTTGGGAGGCTTTGATGCCTGGAGCCTTTCTCTACGTAATTTTTGGGAACAGTTCACTCTCCCTATCTTTCAAGGAAAACGCTCCATTGATATCAAATCCATTCCATTGTAATAGTATGATACAGGAAGACCTATGTATGAAACGATTGACGTCAGTGAAGCTCCAATGCTGCTATTTCTTCCTCATGAAATTGATCTTTCTCTCATTGCCCCGACCCTGCACAGCAGTCGCAATTAATTCCTCCTATTGGTAGTCCTGACTGTCTGAGGGCGCTCCGGCATGAATCATGCCCATAAGCAAACATAAAACTCTTTTTGACTTTGGTTTGTTAGAAAAGGTAACCAACAATCCGGTAGTCGTCGGCAAGTCTTTGACGCAGAGTATTGCGTTTTCGTTGAACCATTAAAAAGGAAGGTCCGCCGGTCAGTGAACATAATAACCATCATCAAACCCTGAATCGTCTGAAAGGGTTTGTTATCTTGTCTCATTCCGATGCTCAATCTAAGCACAAACCCAGCAACATAAAGAATCTTGGTGTCTTGAAAAAGCTAACGATCTACAATTTTGTCTCTGTCCAGCCTATGCATTTGTCCGCAATAAATTAAAAGGAAAGTCTTTGAGGCTGGCACTCGCGCCAATTTGGTTGGGATTATATGGAATGGTGGGTTAGGAACCAAGCGAAAGACCTTGGAATCGACCCATCCAATTGACATCACCTGGCTGGTTAGGTCCCCTTGACCTGAAGTCGTGTCGGTTGCTAGCGAAATTGGGGGCATTGGGATTGAGAGTTGGGTAAGGTTGGCCATAATATGGCACAAAGGGATCCATCTGACTAGGAATGTTTGGATTAAATGCTCCCATGCCTGGTTGAAGTTGTTGAGGACCTGCCCCAACGTCTGAAAATTGGCCAAAGTAAGGAGATCTTAGTCCTGAATTTTGACCATTGAATGTCCGGTCCGCATCAAAAGTGTCTCCGAATGGAGTTGTGACGGCTTGCGGACCGAGGTTATGGGTCGCCGGCTGTTGTCGTCGACGATGGCGCTCATCTCCAGGTGGTGTACTATATGCAGGAGTTAGACCGAGAGAGGCGGTCGGAGTCTGGAACGAGGCTGGGTTGATGGCAGACATCCAAATTCGAGTCTTGTATATTTTGAAGAGGTCGGTGACGAGGTGATTGAAATTGATGTAATTATCGGCAAAGTAGTAGAAGGTGAGCTTTTTGCTATCCCTGTTGAGGTGTTAGTATTTTGGGACGGGTAGGTACTCGGACAACTCACATCTGAAATTCAGCGTCAAGAATTTCCATATTAAGCCTGTGATCTATCACCTTTTGTTGGCAAACTCGCTTCGCTTTTGCTTCGTTGCCTTCTTTGTCTTTCAAGGCTTGGATCTCATGGTTCTGGGCGAGTCTCTTAATCATCTTGGGCTTGAGATCTGGATGGGAAGCATCATGAGGGCCGTGATGTCCTTGAGGACCCATACCACCCACTGCACTGCCCTGTCGTCCTGGCATTCCATTGGGATTAACCACATTGGGACCTCCATTCCGGCTTTGCATCGAGAACATCATCAACCATTTATAATGTTCCTCTGCGTAGTATTCCTTGTAGCGTCGGGCATCTTCCCAGGAGACATTGGTATGCTGAACCGTGCCTAGGTCAGTTCCACGATCTGCTTCGACAATAACTAGATCTCCAACGCTGACATGCAATCCAGTGCCTTCTTGGATATAAAACACCTCGGAGCGACAACATTTGAAATTGACGATGAAAAGAGGTTGACTGGCCGGCTCGAGAAATGGGGCGATGGATAAATGCTGGCCATAAGCATGGGGTTCTCGATGTGATTGATGCACACGTGCATCAGCGGCACGACGGGTGGATTCCGTGGTATTGAAATATGCTGCTGCACGTTTGCGGTTACGTAAGTACATGATTCTCAACTGGGCTTCACTGGGATACAGGTTATAAAGGGCCAACTCACGATCATCTCCCTGGGAAACTGCCTGGGAACCACTTTCATATGCTGTCATTTCGTCCTCGCGTCCTGAAAAATCAGTTACTTCTTCCTCCAACAGGGGCCACAAAATTGTCTCACCAGTGGAGCTGAATGATCCCTGTCGCGTGGGAACATCTGCAAACGAATGTCGGCGGCTCTGGGGAGCCTCTGGGATGGGGCCAAAGCCGAGAGATGTTTGCCATTGGGCTTTCTTGTGTCCTTCGAAGGGCCGTCCGTCAACTGGCGAAATCGACTGTCTGTCAATATAAGTCCCAGTCTGCTCACTCATGCGTCGGGCGTTGATGTCGCGATCGGCGTATGCACCCAAGGATGCAAGGTCATCTCGATCGTCAATAGCGGTCTCTGTCTCTTCCGGAACGGGTGCTCGGAGTCTGGAATTACGGAATCCTGATATTGGGAGTTGAGAGGTAGCTGCTGTCGCTGACAGCGTGCGGTCACGGGTTTGCGCGGCATGGCGAAGCTGAGCATTCTCCTTCTCCAAGATCTCAATCATTCTTGCTTGTTCTGTGGTGAATGAATCTTGAGGCTGGCGCAGGTCTTCCTCGCCATCATCTTCCCTCAACCTGCCAAGGCCTCCTGAATCGATGACACTCAGACCACTGGTCCTCGATGTCCTGCGCTGTAGTGTGGGAGGAGGATACCCTGAGCCTAACCTTGCACGAGTGGCTTCTGAGGACGTTGAAACCGGATTGGCAGAAGGCGCCGAGGTGGTATCGAGCTGGCCCACTGAATATGATTGAGAACGATAGGTTTTAGGGGTTGGTTGCAGAGGGATTGAAAAAGGGATGCCAGCATCGCTATTGGTTGGTAGAACCTCTTGCAATCGAGCTGGCGGGTCCTTGCGGGTGTCTTGGCTCCAGATGTTCGACCATCCAGTGTAAGAAGGAGGAGCGCCGGGCCAGCCTGCTGGGTTTGAGGTATTTACGTTAGTCCAGGGAGATGCCTCAGTACCCGGAGTACCTGGGTGGGATCCTGATGGACTGTAAGGTCCGGGGATAGAAGACTTTCGGTTGGCATTGGCCGAAGAAGTATCATTGAGCCACGAGGTTCGGCGTACACTTCTCCCTGGCTTAACATTATTTGTAATGGATGCTTTGGCATGATCGACTTCATCATCGGATGAGGCGAGCGCTTCTGAGTCGGGGGTGGATCTGCGTAGACCAGGATTTGATTTCTCGAGCAACAGAGAGGCTGATGCTTGGTGCACGCCAAAAGTGCCGAACGCTGGCATAGGCGCACGGCTCTGCAAAGCCGACTTGTTGGGTGTGTTACTCATTGTGGTAGCGAGGAACGATAGTAGAATCCAAAAACAGTGAGATTCTGCGACTAATTTCTAGTTAGCATTGATGCTCAAATGATGGGGCTCGGCCGCGAAGGCGTGGTTGAACAGACAATCATCACGCCAGGGCGGGTAGACAATGAGCATGATCAAGACCTCAGGTTAATGGACGTCTTGTTCTGATAGGAATATGTACAGGCGTATAGAGATTGAAGCTTGAAACTTTGAAAGAACTTACCTTGATTCAGAAGGAGACGAAGTGTCGTTCAACTTCCTTGAGCATGTCTAATGGCTAGGTAATGTGGACAATGCAATCGGGCTTGATTAGCAATGACTAGTGCAAGACTGCTGGTATTGGATGCTATGCGCTTGACAAACCACAATCACGTGAAAAAGCGTGAGTTGAAGAATGTGAGGAAGGTGGTCGAGTTCGGTGGTGGTCGAGGTGAGGTGAAGTGAAGCTTTGGTGGCCTGTTGCAGCGTCTCAGCAGACTCAGGAAGTGAATGCGTTAATGCGTTTGCGCGAGGAGACCAAATATTGACTACTAAGTGCGCCCCCCTCTATGGCCCGGAGACAAAGACAAAGACAAAGACGGAGAGCGGCGGTATATTCTGTCAAAGGCAACAAACAATAGATGGTAGAAGTTGAAAGGAGTGTGGCGCAAGAGTGTTTGGAGTGGTGAAAAGTGAGCACCACGGAGAGGTCCGCGGCTGTGTTAAGAGTTGGTTGACTAGTTAGCGAAGAGCTGGGTGGTTGCAGCAAGTGGGCCAGCACAGAAAGGCGCAGGGTAGGCGGGGGAGGAGGAGGAGTGAGTGAGTGAGTGAGTGAGTGTGCCGCCTTCCCCAGATTCTGGCAAACAGGCTTTGTGCAGGCCCTCACGCGACCCGAGCGAGAGCAGCTCAAGATGGTGAAGAGTCGACGGTGGTCGATGGTCGATGGTCGGTGGTCGGTGGTCGGTGGTCGATGGCCAAATGGTGGTGGAAGCGGGGTTGGGGATGGGATAAACCGTCCGGCTTGACGCTTGACTTGCTGGGAGGATAATTGGTCTTGCTAGGAGCCTGGGAACAATGTCCAGCGAAATCCAGGTTTGTGATGGAAGGGCAGCACAGAGTAATCCAAAGCTAACACTATAGGAAAAGCAGTCGCGCGGTGGCAAAGGAATAATAAGTAGCAAGCAGAGGCAAATACACCACGATGACCTGGTATGCGACGGGCTGCGAAAGGGACAGAGCCAGCACTGGACAATGACGATAATCGACAGACCACCAGGACAACACAGAACACAGAACACAAGGTCCAAAGGAGAAAAGAGAGAAGAGCTTTGGGTTTCGGATAGGATGTGAGTCTACGAGTAAGCTACCAGAATTGAGCGTCGAAGCGTGAAAGAGGGGTTGCAGCCGTAGTCGCCAGGTGGTTTGTGGTTGGGTTCTTGGGGCCTCTTCATGCTTGGACACGCTTATACCAACGGGGATTGGTGCGGCCCTCTGGGCTGAAGACGCCCCCCGAAGCCTTTTGAGGCAAACTGACTTTTTGGAGGGAGGAATGGGATGGTGACCCGGTGAGTGGAGCGTGTGGAGAGCGTAGTCGAGATTGGTTAAACCCCGAGCACTTGGGCACTTGGAAGGGGCAGGGGAGAGCGTAGTCTGCCATAGTATGCAGTACGAGGGACGTGGTAGAGCTAGCCTGGCAAACTTGTTGAACAGGAACAGGGAGGGCACAGACTGCCGTATGCAAATGCGAATGCTTATGCGTCTGCGTCTGCGTCTGCGTCTGCGTCTGCGTCTGCGTCTGCGTGCTCTGGTTGTGGCAGAGCTTAAAAGGCGGCTGGCACGAGAGACACACAGACACTGGCAGAAGTGGAAGTCATCATGGAACGAGGAGGGGCAAATCAAGGAGGACAGCGAACAGGAATATTCGCACGTTGGCAGGGCAAACAAGGGGAACAGGGCAACTCATGCTTGAGGCCTGGAGCACGTTGACCAACCAAGTCTGGGACATAGCAGCTTAGCTGGTGGCCGTGTGTACGGAGGGAGTACCTGTTAGACTCCAGAGTGAAACCAGTAAAGATCTGTGGCGAGCCGGGGTTGGTTTGGGTGAGTTCGTATGTAAATATATCATGATGACGAGGGAGCAGACGAGGTTCGATTCCATACCAACGGAGAGGGGGCACGAGGTCTTCTTCCCTGGTTACGCATGGCCGGGGCATGTCCACTTCGTAGTACTGGAAGTACCCCGAACCACAACCACACATACACCAAGGGGCGGCTGATTGTCGTGACTGTCATGTTAGTCAGGACTCAGGAGTGCCAAATGCACGTGCTTCCGAAGCGGCCGATGCAGATTGCGGGGAAATCCAAGTCTTAACACGACCACCACAGACAGGTATGAGCCGTCGTCACCGAACAAAGACTGGCAAAACCTTAGATAGACGGCAGACATACTTGGCCGTCAAGGGTTCTTCCCCGGGGCTCATGCAAGTGATGTAATTTTACCAACAGTGAAAGAGTCCGAGGAAGCCTAGACAGCCCATCTCAAGAGGTTGTTTAGTTTGTGTAGACAGGCCATCCAGGTCGTGCATCAGGCCAAATCGACGATCGGGGCTGGCCCACGAAGGCCCGAGAGCCCTCCATGTGACTTGTCAGGCGCGGCTAAGCCTGTTATGGCGGCCGCTGCAACTATTAGAGTCTGTGAAACTCCGTATACGAACAATGGAAATAAACTTTTCGTTGACCCCAGAGGAATTATATGTTTGGTTACCCTGAATGGGTAGTCTGGCAGTCTGGTAGCGTAGAACTCCCAGTAGAATCTTGTCATGGAAAGTATGAGATGGCAGTTGTAGTGGCACCCTGTCTCTCGACATTCATGTTCTGAGTTTCAGCGGCATTTCGGGCACTGCACTCTGACACGCCTTGCGCTGCCATGTACTGTATCCATTATTGGTCTGATTGCATGATCCAACTAACTGAGCAGCGCAGTGTCTGACCACATATACATATTTGCCCCCATGACCTGGCCTCCCTGAAGTGTTCCAGGCTCCCGTCATTGGCTCTGCTCTTGACCCGATATCCGTAATAAACGGCCACCTGACGTGCTCCAAACCATGTTCTTCCCGTATACCATAATTGGTATCCGGTATGGAGTTGCTTAAACTCTACTTTCCTGTCCTCCCGCATCCGGAGTAAGAGTTCGATCGTAATCAACCTAAGCTGTCTCTCCCCCATCCACGAGACAAGGGATATCCTTCCACGGCCCCTTGATCTGCTTCCGTTATTCCACTAAGATGGCTTACCAAATGGCTTTATTGGCTCGCGGTTCCATGGTCAAGCCTGGTACTGCCACCAGCCCTACTCTCGGCTTGTACAGTAAAAGGACCACTGGCTCTTCGTACACATTTACTTCATCTCATTGCGGTCGATCCATCAGGCCCGGAGATTTGTATTCCCAAGCAAAGAGGATCCACAACGGATCGTGCCCGTAGAGACAAAATTGCAACCAAATTTCTTGAGCAATCCATTGATCTACGCGATCTTGAAGTATCAAGTGGCGGGGAGGATTCACCATAGCTCCGAGGAGATGCATGCTAATTTTCATTCAGCATAGTCCAAACTGCCTTTGCCGACAGTCGAAGGAACGGCGTCAGGTCCTTTCTGCTGACGAAGTTTTTCCTCGAACTTGGCGAATTCCTTCATGGCAATTTCTTCCTCTTCATCCAAGACCTGATTGACACCCTTCACTTCTTCAATCTGAAATCACGTTAGCAATGTTGTCCAAGATCAAAAGGAAGGACTCCACTTACATAATGCATCAACATGGACTCAATACCATTCTTCAGTGTCACAGTGCTTGAATCACACGTCCTGCAAGCCCCTCGCAACTTCAAACTTACGACTCCATTCTCAAATCCTCGAAAATCAATATCTCCTCCATCTTCTTGGATTGCGGGTCTGATGCGCGTCTCGAGGAGTTCTTTAATCATTGCCACAACCTCATCGTCGTCATCATCTGCGGCCAGACTGTCTTCTCCCGCGCCTTCTTGGCCATCTCCTGCGCTAGTTTTGTCCACTGTATTCACAATTTGCTCTCCTGCTGTAATGGCTTCGGTGATCAAGCTGAAGACTTCAGGCTTGATGTGCGCCCAATTCACGTCTTCTGCCTTGGTCACCGTGATGAAATCCGGGCCGTAGAATACTGACGAAACACCATCCACATCGAGAAGTCTGGCAGCCAAAGGTGAAGGATACGGCGCAGCCAGTGTGGCACGAGGCGACGTGTATTCGAGGAAGGTCGAAGGGAATCCTTGGGGAAGGATATTGTGATTAGGTAAGAATTTCAGGGCGGATGCATTCGGAGTCGATTGGGTCTGGATGTAAATGCTTCGTAACTGCGAGCCGATAGACGACCGCTCTTGAATGCCAAACTTCAGCGCAGGCCTGTGTCGTGCTTCTGAACAGCTGATAGCTGGTATCCGTGCCGATTGATGAAGACTGCGGGCGGGCACAGAGTGGTAAGTATGGTCCGATGCTAGGTACCGGCCAGCTCTTCCCGAGGCCCGGAGTGAATGAAGAGAGGCAATGCCACGCATAATGGAGAAATGGAAACGATCACGGAAAGAAGTCGAGGGGTTTTTGTTCTTCGAGAGAGTGTTATCGATGTGCTAGGTACTGTGAGAGTCGGTTTACAAATATCTTTTCCCCGAAGACAAGCAATGACGACAGAAGCCGAGGTCGATCACGTGGAACTTGTCCAATCTTTGTTGGCCGGCACCCATCTCCAAGTTCTCCACTACGGAGTGTTTCATCGAAACACTGGCACGTCACTCAAGAAGGTCTTGCTTCCTATCGACAGATCTGTGAAATTTGATTAAGCCGGTCTAGTTTTGCCTTTTGTGAGAGAACTAATCTCTATCATATTATACATCTTGGTCTATATTAGACCTTCCCTCAAGAACATACCCAATGGCTTCAATGCCGTGTCATGTCTGTAAAACCCAATTCTCAAAGTATCCTTGCCCGGCCTGCAAGTCTCCCAGGTACATTACTCTACCATATGTCTACATTGCGTTACTTTCATCACTCATCTTTTCAAAGTTGCTCGTTACCATGTTTCCAAATTCACAAGGCCCAGTGCGAGCTCCTCAATGCAGGGGCAATGAATAAGGACCCCGTCCCTGTGATCGATGCCTCTAGCGTGAAGGCATCTGAACCAGCCATTGTGGCTGATTTGGTTGGAAACCCACAATTCCAACAATTGTTTGAACAGTTTCCTGCTCTGAGGCCACGACTCAGGTGGATATTTGATGCTTCCACAGAACAACCCGATTATCGTCCAGGTCCACGTTACAACAGATCCAAGACTTCGAATGATTCATTCAATAGTTCTAAGCTTTCACCTGAACGACGCCTTGCTCGTACGATGCATCTGCTGGACAAAGAGCTGAAAGCACCATCAGCCAAGACTAACGGGATCAAAGCTTTTGCCGAGATGGTGGCTCAACTATCAACCGAGGAACAAGACTCGAGTTAAGGTGGCCAATATTGTCAACCGATCGATGCTTTTTCAAACCCTGGACTAATGGCCCGCAAAGGAGGTATGGGTGGGCTTCTGGGCATGTTTGCTGTTGTGGGAGAGCCTTTTCTCGATATTGTAGTCCATCTGGAAAGCGGTCGATGAGGCTTCTCCTTAGGTTCGTCATCGAAGTAAAGATCTATGACCTTTTCGATAGGGGACCTTCGTTGAAAAATACTCATGATACTCTTTGATCGTCGCGGACGAGACCGACTCGGCTCGGTAATGGCCACCTCTCTCTTCTCGAGTTCCGGCCAGGATTCCCTTTCCTCGTCGACTTCCCAAGCTTCACCATCGAAATCAACTAGATCGAGTCTGCGTGGCCTTCGTTTCTTGTACTTTAACTTCAAAGTCTTGGCCCCTTCGTGGAGTGCGAAACTTTCGAGTTCTCTTCGAATTTGATCTTCTCGCGGTGAGCAGAGTGAAAGAGGGGTCAGAGGAGGACTCGAGCTTATGGTTACTGTGGAACCAGACTGTGGTAGAGACGGGACGGGTAGGATTGGTTCTCGATCGAGCAGTAGCAAGGGGGGTGCACTCCAAAATCCACCATGTCTGACCGATTGCCTATTGTCCGCCTTCATTCGTTGCCGGGGTGGTTGAGAAGGAGACTCTTCTGTCTTCCCAGAGGCTTCCTCGGTTGGAAAAGTTTTACTCGATGTTCGAGGCGGAAAAGTCCATCCGACCGGCGTTGCAGGGTAAGGCTCCTCAATATCTGAATAATCAATCTCCTCGGAACGGTTCTCCTGTCCAATGTAGTGCGCCTCTGGTAGAAGGCTCTGATCGTGTCCTCGGTCCGTTGTCGCTTCCTGTCTCAATTCGGAGCCTGGAGAGTCTGCTGTGGTTAGGGAAGAGAAAGATGGCCGCTCAATAAGAAGCTGTACCTCAGATTTGTTCGTTGGTTTCACTTGGATAGGTTCTATCGAACGATCGGACGCCTCTTCCCGAACGTTATTCTGGATTGGAATGTGCAAATCGCATCCACTTTCGAGGCTGGCCCTATTGGAAGTCACCATCCTCCCAGATACCAAAAGTTGACTCCCGGTCGTCAACCGCGTTATCTGCCCGTGATGCGGAAGAGCATTACTCTGAATTATTAGAAAAGAGTCTTCAATATTTCCTGTCTCCCCCTCCAAGTTCTCGTTATTCCTCTCTGCCACATCGTTATTACCCCCTTCGGCGCCGCTGACCAAACTGCTTGTTGTTTGAGAAGATCCAGTTTTGGGTGATCCGGCAGGAGCACCAAGAAGCACCCGGTCATCGCCGAGCAGTTGATTGATCTCGAAAGAGAATCGTTTAATGTTGATTTGATCAGAATCATCTGAAAGACGTCGATTCCTTTTGAGACGTGCTTCGACTTCCTCCATCTCAGCAGTATATTTGTCCAGGCGCTTGAAAAAAGAATCCAAATCAAGGTCAATATCTGTTATGCTCCCACTTGGCGATGGGGACGCCGATAGAGAAGCATTTCCAGATCTACTTTGATCTCGGTCGATCCAATCCTTGGCCGTTCGCACATCATCACCACTATACTTGATGCTAGAAGTGTCGCTCAGCTTGTATGCATTGCTGGAATCGACAGAAGATGTGGACGACATGGCGAATAAATTCTATGGTGGTTTACCTGAAGAATATGTGCCACGACCGCTAGAGGGCCAGCAGAGAGCATAGCGTCGAAGTGACGAAGGTGACAGCATTTGTCAGTTATACGGAAATCATATTGACGCGTGCCACAAACCTTAGCAAAGCATCGCCTCGTTAGTTCCAGCCTCGAAAAGTTCACGGCAAAGAAAACAGCCGTGCAATGAGAGAAAAGAGAGCATGACCCGTACTCCTGATGAACGGGTATGCATGGCGTTCGCCAAAACCTCCGTTCAGGTCGGATGTTGAATGCCACACACGATGAAAAAGGAGAGGATTGTAAGTCAGGCCTCCAAATGGGGCATGGTGGAAGTATTGAGCGGCCCAGAAGCTCAAGATTCAATGATGGCGTCTGATAAAAGGGCGCGGGTGGCTTGAAGAAGTGTGATTGAGTTTTTAATGGTGTTGCAGGGGCAAGCGAAGAAGGAACCCATTTTTGGAATTACGCTGGGCGCGTTCGAAACGCGTTCAAGCCCAGCACGAGGAGAAGGAAAACCGGCAGGAAAGGCACCTTGAAGACGCTGGTGCTGGAAGCTCCAGGATTCAGGACCAAAGCCCGCCTCAAGATCTGATGCCGACCTTGACCAGTCCGAATGGCCAGTTTAAAATCTTGGTACCCGTACTCCGTACTCGTGTATGATAATTAGTTGTCAGGCCTGGTTTGTGCTAGCTAGCCCAGAAGTATGGTAGCGAACAATGAGGTAGTGAAGTTGCCAAACCGTCCCACTAGATCGAACTGGGAATGTATTTCGGTCCTCGGGGGACTCAGTTGCAAACTTTCAAGTTGCAACGCGATCAAGCCAGGCACCGGGATGGAGATTGCAAGGAGGCTTAAAACAGGAGAAAAGCTGGCTGGAGGACGAATCCTCCGAACAAAACACGGAAAGCCTTGTGGTGCCTGGGCAGTAGTGGGAAAGTACGGAGTAATTACAATAGAACCTACACCCTAATCTTCCGTCCCTCGGTACCTAGGACGAGTAGGAAATACGTGCTGAGTACCCCGTACCGGAAAATCCAGGTTAAAATCCAGGTAAACTATACGACGGTACGGCGTCCAAGGTGCTTTCTATGCGGAGGCCCAGGGGCCTCATTCCGTCTAGATACCATAAAGGAAGGTGTCTCAGGCACCCTGTATCCATACATTGTACGGATACTTCGCACTCACCTCATCCCCTTGCAAACATACTGGGACCTGAATTCGCCATGCTCAGTACGGAGTACCTAGTAACCCCCCTGACAAGGCTCAGTGGCAAGACGCAAACGTGAAAGTCAGCGTGGCTCAAGGTCGGCATCAGATCTTGAGGCGGAATGCCTGTTACTAGACTCTTGATGTATTTCTGACCATCTAGATAGTTGGGTCCCTCACAGGATAGCTATAAGTACGAGTGCACTGTAAGTTACATAGAGGTTCCATTCGAGTTGGACCAGTAGAGAACCTAGGGGCTAAGAATAATGACTTGGCTGGGGCAACTGCTAGGGAGAAAGTCGCCGTGGAAGCGACCACATCGCTACTTTAGTGTGCCAGTCCTGCAATTCTCCCCGGCCAGCCACGGCGCAACAGTCTTCCTTCGCTTGGCTTTGCTTCCGGCACTTCACATTCCGATGAGCCTGTCGGTGGATTACTTACAGACTCAGCAGGAGTCACCGCTGGAGCAATTGGTGACGAACGTGATGACATTCGGTCGAGTCACTGAGATGAAAAAATATCATGAGCCAAACCGTGAGCCAACAGATTCTGAGCAAAGTGCAGAATGACCAGATTGAGTTACTGCAAGGTTGGCAGCAAATTAAACGATTTCTCTGGTTGGTGGTTGGTTGGTGGTGGCCCGAGGGGAGTCTCTTTCGGCCCCTGGTGGGTGCTGGACGGGTAGATGGCGTAGCCTGAGAGAGGGGATTGGGGGCTTGCTGAGACTGGGGTGAGCTGTGTTTAGCCTGGAGCTCGTAAGTCGCATGCCTAGAGCGTTTTAGGCTTGACGGCGGGTTTGGTGCCTCTAGCCGCGCCGGGAGGCTTGCATGGGCATTGGGACTTATGCAACTACTTGCATCGTTCCCCGCCGGAAGCTCAGAACCTGCATCAAGCCCAGACAAATGGTTGATTCACACTGGCCAGCGCCCAGGGTCGAGGATGGAATGGTACCTTACAGACCCATTGGCACTGCTCCCCAAAGCCAGTCATCCCAAGTGTCTCCGATCCTCCATCTCCCACTATCCATGGCCTATGAGACTGTACTCGTATGACCCATGGACGACGGCCCATCAGTACTCGTAGTGCATCGCCCACTGCAGTCCGCATCCCCCATCACCCACCCTCGTCCCTGCCCCACGACCACTACCAGGTATCACTGCTGCTGCCCACAAACTTTCTCGCACATGGGCCAGGCTGCTACCTAGTGCTGTACGAGTAGAGACGACTTGTCCAACACTTCAAACCTGGTCCAAGAATATTCCGTCCTCCATAGCGACCGAGCACCGTCACAGTGCTACTCTTGGTCTAAGAGCTGTTCTGTTCTAGTTGGCTAACACCAGAATCCGACCCGAAGACGAGGGTTGAGAGACGAACACCGGCAGCAAGACCAAGCACGCACATCCAAGCCTTCAAGGAGCGGCGCACCACGCCCGCAACAAGCATCCACAAACGAACGTCTGGCCGAACAAGATTCACCATCATTGCTCTTCTAGTCTGGTCTGCTCTCGTCGCCCTCGATTTCTTTCCTGAGACGACCAGAATACTACTGCAACCTTTTTTGTTGTTGTTGTCGATTTGTCCTCCCAATCCAGTTCCCCTCTCTGGTCTCCGTACTCCGTACCTTGCAACTTCATCCATTTCCTCGTCTTGTTTTTGATCGATATTGGATTTCTGTTCCATACTCTCGCCACGCTACTCTCGCTCCAAGAAAACACGGCAGCAGAGGGCTCAGGGGTCTGGTAATTGATTGTGCCGGCCCATCAAGCGTGCAACTCACTTACTACTGTACCACCAACACCTCATCGCTCTTGTCTGGCACGGAGCTCTGGTAGTCTGCGTGAGCGTCCTCGCCTGCTCAACTCGACTCGACCTGAACTGACCTGGTGCTCCCCTCCAACAGCAGCTCGTTCGCCTCAGTACAGGAAATCAGGACCCATTCATTTGGCGTTCCTGCTCGATGTCCCACGATACCCATGATATCTCCCATTTCTCTCTTGCAAGTGCATTGTTCAACTTGCTGGCTTCAGCAACATCTTGGTTTCGACCTTTGTCAACTTTCTCCGTTCTAAGTGTGCGGTCGACATGAGTTTCGCATGAACCCCGGTGCTCGGTCTAAGTTAAGCTAGCCACCATGGATGCCCGCTCCACCAGATTTCGATCTCTTGATGCAAAGGCGGCAGGACCACCACCAAAAACTCGAGAGCGTCACAATTCTGTTCCCAACGGCGATCGACACAAGTCACAGCAACCTAGACGTCAATCCGCCACCACAAAGCCGAAGGAACCTTTAGACCAGGGTCAGCGAAGCTCAAAGACGAGCTCCCGTGCCGATCCATCCCTTACCTCACCTGACCAAAAATCTTCTAGCACGCGACTCTCCCCTGGGCAGCATGCTTCTGCGCATTCCCACGACAGCAAGCTCAATTCCAAGGTATGCATTCGGCTTCCTGCCTAGACGTTGATTCCGCTGTTGCACCACGACCTGGCTCTATCCCTCTGAGAGTCTCTGCATCCTTTGTTTATCTCACACTGACCTATCACTACCAGGCCAAGGATTCAGAATCGCTCCCAATAATCAACGTCTTGATAATTGGCTCCCGAGGATGTGGCAAGTCCAGTTTCATTCGAAATTCCCTTGATCGGGAGTCTTTTCTTCCAGAGACAGGATCAGGACTTTCTGCTCGAGTCAAGCTCACAGATCAATATTACAGCATCAAATTCATTGAACTCGAAATAGATGACGTAGATTTTAGCAGTGAACGACGCATAATATGGCCGCTTCATGCTAATGGGGCAACATTTCCAGTACTTGACGCGGTGTTCTGTCTTTATGATGCTTCAGACAAGGACAGTGTCGCCGATGTTCCAACAGCATTGAGTAAGTAGAACCTACGAGCCAAGGCTCAATAGCGTCCTCCTACATAGTTTTCTTCGCTGACTTCCATCTTCAAGCTTCCATGACGAATTCTGGGGTTCGCTGCATGCTACTTGCATCCAAATGCGACAAGCAGGACTCCGATCAGATATCTGCTCGGTTTCACGAACAAGTTCGCCGTAATCTCGCCAATGTTGCAATTGCTGAAGTTTCAACGAAAACTCCTGAGAATACCAAACGACATTTTCTAGCAATGCTTCATCGAGTGATCTCTTCTCCCAGAGGTAAGTTGGACAAACTCCAATGTTATTGCTTTGCCCATTTCACATCCCCACTTCAAACGGGCCTAGTGAATCTGGTTCATGTGCCACTATTTGCCATAACACATTACTTGCCACATGACTTTCCCCCTCCACTGTTCACTTTTCATAATGACCTGCTCGGTCTCCGTATTCCTTGCACAAACTGTCCTTTGCAATGAAGCATCAAACTCACTGTGCGTCTAGTATCTTCGCATTCCAAATCCACAAATACATCTTCCCATTCGAGCACCAATCAACGCGTATTATCCCGTGAAACATCACCGAAGAAAAGTCGAAGTCGAAGTCGGTCGAAAAATCGACTGCAGGTGTCAAAGTCTAAAGAGTTTCTTTTGAATCTCTCGGCTCGGCCGGCGGTTATTGAGTCTGCAGACGAAGAGACCGAATCCTCAGAGGAAGAGGAAGACCCGCCAGCGAAGCCAAGAACAAAACTTCGACTAGATACCAGTAAAGCATCTGAAACACAACATCGCCCGACAGGTCCCCATACGCCGGTGTCTTCAGAAGAACAAACGAGTACACTTGTGTCGCCTTCGGCCACTGGTACATTGATACCAGAAACACCAGATTCATGCTATGTCAAATCAATGCTTCGCCCGGTATCCACTGAGACAGCAGATAGCCGGGTATATCAGACATTCTTGAATATGGATGAGGAAACAGAGCATTCACCTGGCAAAGAATCTGAGCAGTTGGCAACTCCATTTAATAACCTCAGGGTAGACGACACGCCTAAGCAAGAATCAGGAGTTCCGTTTAAGGACCTCATTGACAAGCTTCTGATATTACCAGCAAACAAGAGCGACTCAAAATTTGTCCCTTCATTCTTATGTCTCTATAGGGCATTCACCACCCCTTACAAGCTGCTCTCCGCAGTTGTCGATCAGTTCGTTACGATAGATAAGACCAAAATGGTTCATTTCACAAAGGTTGCAGAAATGCTACGATATTTACAGGTGCTAGCACAATGGACAGCCACCTATCCTGGTGATTTTGCCAATGGCCCAGCGCGAGAGCTAGCTTTGACGTTCATTCAAAGCATCGAAAACAGCAAAGTATTTGCCCCAGCAGCAAGAGAAATTAGCAATAATCTGGATACTCTAATTGCTGACGAGGATTCTGACTGGGCGTTTGATGACTCACCAGGTGCGTCGAAGGGAAAAGGCGCGTCGACCAACCATAAGAAGACTCCCACGACGTCTTCAAATTCGATGCGATCTCCAAGTAATGAGAATGTCTCCAAAATGGGCCGAAAGGCAAATTATCGGAATGATGACAGCGACGACGAAGGCGACGGTGCCAACTCTTCGACTAGAGGGTCTGGAGTCCATTCCAATTCGTCCAGCATTATCATCAAAAATTATAACGCTTCCAGTCAATCATACTCCAACCTGATGCAGTTGGAGACTGCTAAGTTGCAGGCCGAGAGACTCAAACCGAATCCTCATATTCGTCTTACCAAGTTTCAATGGCACCAATTTATGGAAACCCCGATCGATGACCTTGCTCGGGAGATCACTCGAGTTGATTGGACAATGTACTCTTCTATCAGGCCGAGGGACTTCGTCCGACATGTTTGTCTGACCACAGAACAGAAAAGAAACTCTCGTCGTGTTGACAACATCAGCATGATGGTAAAACACTTTAATCACCTGGCGTTATTTGTATCAGGGATGATACTTCTGCGAGATAAGCCAAAACACCGTGCGAGAGCATTGGAAAAATTCATGGCACTGGCTTGGAAAGTGAGACAACTCAACAACTATAACTCCCTCGGCGCCATAGTGGCGGGTATTAACGGACATGAAATTGGTCGTCTCAACTCAACCAGAGAGATGGTTCCACATGAAGTGCAGAGGCAGTTCCTGAGACTCACAATTCTCATGGGCATTTCAAGATCTCACGCCGCATACCGAATGGCCTGGGAAAATTCATTCACAGAGAGAATTCCCTTCCTTCCACTTGTCAGACAAGATCTTACCATGGCAGCAAGTGCGAATCCAACCTTTATAGGTTCAAATATCAACTGGAAGAAGTTTGAAATCATGGGTGATGTGATTGTGGGCATACAGAAAAGTCTAGAGCAACCGTATTCGTTCGGCCAGCGGACAGCTCGTACCGAGGAAATCACTCGGTTGATTCTTGAAACCAAGATCGTTGACGAGTCAGAGGTATGCTTGTCGGTTCCTTTATCTTCCATCGATCTTCTAACTGACACACCCTCCAGGACTCGGCCGATCCACGAAGTGAATTATACGATCGAAGCATTCAGGTTGAACCGACAGGTGCCGATTCTAAAAAAAAGTTTGAATGGTTAAGGCGTTGAGAGACAAAAGGCGGCAATAAAAAATTCTCGGTCGCGCCAAAGAAAAGTATAGTACGGGGTTTCTGCAGCCTCGAATCATCCACGACTGTATGAAACGATCCACACCAAAAAGGCCGACAAGAAACGACGACGAACCCGATAGAAAATGAATGCGGTGTTGATTCCGTGACTTTTCAACCGCATAGTCTGAGCCCCAGACCCCTCCACGCGGGTCTGGGTATGAAAGCAAATTATGCAAATGCATTTATGAGTTTACGACATGGAAAAAGAATTCATGACCATATATTAGGAGCTTATTGGCCTTGGCACTTTCTTTGAATTGGAACGAGAGAATGGCTAAGGACTGTTTGTGTTCTGTTTGTTGTTGCTATAAAGACTCAGGAGGGTGAATGAGCTGGGATACAGAGGCGAATGAAACGACCCCAAGGTTAAACATGTGGCGTCTTGTACTGCTCTTGTGACGGACATATTTGATTTGTCGATGGTGAGGATGTCTATATTGCCAGCAGGTTTCGTTAGAGCCGCAATGAAGTCAGGGTACTTTGTCGATTGGGAGGGAGATCGGTACAAAGATGGACCTTTCTTCGTACATTCGCTGGCTTAAGTCGTGCAATGAGGATGAGAGAGAAAGGTCGAACGCACGCCGTGGCAAATAATATACCTGCGCGATCTAACTACTGCAAAGCGTTCCCTGACTTTCCACATTCTCGATACAATCGCCACTTGAAGCCTTTCTTGGAACAGCCTTGATATCCTTCCCTGCATGAGCATGTTCAGTCTCGTCTATGGTGTGCGCGCTCTTGGGGGAAAATAAATGTCTATGTTGTATTCCACTGGAGTCAGTCTACCCTTTTTCTCTCTCTCACGTCCGTCCAGTTCAATTGACCATCTCCCCCCAACCTCTTACGTAGACAATCTGTACTCCATACGAGGGCCATGCACGCGTACTTCCGTATCCATCTTCCGTGGAATCACCATCAGAAACTCGTATGTAACACGGACCACGGGTTTTCAATTCCGACCTCAATCGGCGATTTTGCAGACAGAATTCTCCCAATTACAAATCTTCCTTCTCGCGTATTGTTTCAGGGTGACCACCCGAGTCGAAAGAGAGAGAAAAAGGAAAGTTGAAAATCCGAACCCAAGGACAAAAAACCGAGATTTCAGGGTGCACGCTTATTGGAATTCTTTTTTGGACTTTTTCATCGCCTTTGATTCTCGGATTCCGGCTCTGCGTCTTGTCGCGTCTACTCTGACGAGAACTGACTACTCAATTATATGCTCGCAAGTGTCTTTCTAACACAAACGTGTCTCATTATCCTGGACGTTCCAAGCTATCGATGCTCGAGAGAGTCAAATGATTTATAAAACGAGTCCCCGCGACATCTCGCTTGTGATGAAGAGCAAAAGTTCTCTCAATTTCTCGAAATTGTCTGACGTAAATCCATGCATCTAGGGTTCAGTACGGAGTGCTTCGAGCCCTTTTGCTACCAGCCCTTTTGCTACCAGCCGGAACGGACCAGGCGGAATGATTGATGACCAAAGCTAATGCTTCAGAAAAAAAGCTATACTTCCCTGACTAGTGCTGAAACTCAAATGGAAACCGCGATATTGGTCGCCCTTGTTCATTTTCTTTCCCATGTGTAGAATATCTGTCGCTTGGCAAACACATACATACCTCCTGCCCAGTGCAGGAATCACCCTCGTTTGGTTGTTGTATGCACCTGCAGTTGCACTATATCCACAATGTCTTCATCTAAAGCAAGTGTGGAAGGACCGTACGGGTCAAATTGGATTCGGAGATGAATTTTGAACGTCCATCTCGGGTTTTCCTGGGCGATTAGCTGGGACTGGGCTGAGAATATCCTTTTGCCGGTAGTCAGGCACTGTAGAACAGAGGCGTCCTGACCAACGGCTGCAGATGCATCAGGAGATCAGGGCCGAAAAGTATTCATTGGAGTCTGCTATGTTCCGAAGTAGCTTGTGCGTCCTTTGTCCGTATTCGAAAGGGTATATTGCATGAAGTCTAGTCAAGACCATTGATGCGTTGTCAAATTTGCGTTCTCTTCAGACATGTTCATTGGCATTCGAGGTGCGAGCCGACAACCGATGTCGTAAATGCACACTGGGTCTTGCAGAAGTGCAATTTGTGGATGTCAAAGAGGCACGAGACGGCAAAGTAGGCCGGTCACAAAGGTCATGCTGCAGACAAGGCCGGGAAAACAGTGCGTCGGATGCAATGGGCATGGATTCCGTGACAAGGGAGGCTGTCATGCATCGCGGTGCGCCACGACTTTCTGATACGATGGAGAATAATCCATGTACAACAGGATGGGTCAATCATCGACCGCTGGTGGCGGATGAGCCCATTCAGAGCCCCTCATGCTCTGCAAGGCATCTAAGGAAATTTGCCTAGAGTGATCGGTGATTCATTCTCGCCAAATTCCCTCCCTGCATTTAGTGCCCGTAGACCAGGCCCTGCTTCCGCTTCTGCGTTAGTGTATTCCTCTGATGACATGTAACCGCCCTTTCCCATGTGCGATGCAAGTCCAAGATGCGCATAGTAAGCCGGTCGAACCGATGGTGTTTCGAGGGCATGAAAAACCACCTTCGGGTCGTCCGATCGGCACGCATAAATGGATTTTGACACGGCTTTACATCCTCTCCGTTCGCAATGCTGTTTGATCAGTGTCTCGCACAAGGTAAACTTTTGACGCTACGAGCTGATTCCATTAACTGCAGGTTGCTCTTTCTGGCTGGCTACAGGAATGGAAGCGTCTTGGGGCGCGGCAGCTGCCTCGAGGCGAGCCTGCTTGTTCTGCACAATTCGCAAAAGATTGCGGAGCAGGACGACGATAGTTACCTTGCCAATTGCAGGGACATAAATGGAGGCCTTCTCTTTCACCTCAGGAGTGAAATTCTGGACGAATGTTAGTCACGCTCGTATTCTCTAATTTGAGTCGGCACAGATGACCACAGATGGACGATCTCACCTTCTCACTTGAAAAGTTGATGCATACGGCGCCTTCCTTCAACAGGTGGGTCGGGAACTTGTAACTATCACCGGGCACACCGGTAATAACAACATCACATAGAGGGGCACGGTTTTCAAGGGTCCAATCCTTCAGTTCGATGATGTCGTGTTTGCGTTTGCGGATTCCCTGTCCTCTGGTGAACTGCTGTACGCCAGTGACATCAACGCTGTAGACGCAGGCTCCATCATTTGCGAGCAATGCTGCCAAGGGCCGTCCAACAACTTCCGATCGGTTCACCACGCAGATTGTGCGTCCGAATAACCTGTTCCCGTACGGCAAAATCGTGTTATAGATTTGCAGGAATTCAAGAATCTTGATCACCGCGAGTGGAGTGCAAGGTAAGATGGATTTCATAGCCTGTGCATCATCTAGATATCGAATGTTTTGATACATGTTGAAGATGTATTGATGGCTAAGGCCTTCAACGTCTTTGGAGACATCGACAATCTGTTGGAGGTACTGATCTTGCCGGTTGTTGAATATGGGGTAGTAGACGATGATCCCATCAATGGCAGGGTCGTTGTTGCCGGCAAGGATTGCCTCTTCAACGTCATCCTTAGCGACAAGTCGCAGAGAATACTGGAAGCCACTGAAGAAGTCGTTCGTGTCAGAGCTTTGATCAGTCCACAACAACACAGAGGACATTGTGAGCCATTACGGGGATATTCCAACCCACTTACTTGTCTTCGGATGTCTTCTGGGTCCAGTCTGCGTAGACCTTCGCAGCTGGGTCGTCGTTGCCAAGAATCCCCAATAAATGAGGCTTGCGATCGAGGTTCCTGAGTCCAGCCTGAATTTCGCTCAGGAGACCTTTGGCAATTGTGCCAGCCAAGATGACTTTACAGCTTGAAGAGGTGTCTTTGGACATTTTCTGGTTCGTAGCTAGCTCCCTGGACGTTGTGACAGGTATGAGCGAGAAATTGTTCAGGATTCAGGAGAATCAAAACTTTTTGATTGGTTGAGAACTACATCGCCCACGTGATGCTTGGCATCGTTGCGCTACGGGCTCAATGTGTCCCGGTATCACGGTCTACTACCTAGCTACGTGGAAGCTACATAGGTAGCAGGTACTCTTAGGATCTGAGGATGAGTCCGAGATTGGATTCGAGGCTCCAAGGAAGTTCTCAGCAGTGACAGAAACATTAGACTAGTTGACTAGTTGCAAGAGCGGACATAGTTACGTCGAAATCAAGACAGTTGACGCAGATTTACAATCATCGGGTTCATTGCCTTATCAACAGCTAGCCCTTGATAGGCCACGGTCCAGTGATTATATCTTACTCTGAGCCTTGCCTTCACCTCGAGGTACTTTCCGCTCGACACCTAGTGACTCCAAGTCCTTTTTCTTGTAGTAATGTGGCGCAACCTCTACCAGCCACTCCGGCTTCAGAGGCATGCAGCTCCTCATGTACTCCTTACTGGTTAGTACCAGCTCATGATAAATGACCCACTTGGGTTGATTCTCCATCAAAACGCTAGACGGATGGATGTAAACAATTTGACCGTTCTTGACTGTGTGGTAACTTTGCCCGTCACGCTGTAGCCGTGCAGAGTGCGGGAAGAACCCTGCTGTAACTGCCTTTTGGATCGGTTCAATATTCGACTGGCCCCCACAGGTCTTGGTTGGATCAACTTCTACCCGATCACATAGTCTTGCCAATTGATCGCGAACATCTCGAGCCCGCGTCAGGCTTCTCTGTTGCAAGAAATTCTCCTTGGCCCAGACATAACTGTAGTCGGAATCAGTCCACTCCTGGAAGATGTTCAAAAGAGATACGTGATCGCCGCCCTCCTTGTTGGTAAATCGGGCCCTTGCGCTATCAGCGTGGATTTTCTTATCTTTGGGGCGAAAAAACAGTGCAGAAGCTTCTCCAAGCATTGCGATGATTGAAAGGATTTCTTCAGTGCACCCAAATTTATCGGCAGCCAAGATAGATCGTGCAAGCATAGGGTCCGTTGGAAATTCAGCCATCTGACGGCCAATCTTGGTCAACTCTCCCGCATTGTTCAAAGCCCCTAATGCGTAGAGCTGTTCAACTGCCCTCACGATGGTATCTGTTGAGGGAGGATCCATGAAGTCAAAATCCAACAAGTCATTGATACCCAAGCTTTTGAGCATTAGGATCACGCCTGAGAGATTGGTCCTCTGGATTTCCGGAGTTGTATTTTCCTCCAGCTCGTTCTTGTAAGCCTGGGTGGTGTACAGCCTGAAGCATTTTCCTGGTCCAACACGTCCAGCTCTTCCAGCTCGTTGGCCTGCCGAGGCACGACTGCAAGGCACGACGACCAAGGACTCCATGCCAGTCCGGGGATTGTACTGATTCTCCTTGACAAATCCGGGATCAATCACATATACAATGCCGTCGATTGTAAGGGATGTTTCTGCTATATTCGTCGCCAGGACCACCTTCCTGGCGTTCGCAGGTGTAGGCTCGAAAATCTTTGCCTGCAAATCAGTTGGCAGATTTGCATAGATCGGGCATATGATCATTTCTTTAATTTTGCTTCCCAGCTTCCGGGCCGTCTCTTGGAGATTTGCTTCCATTGCTTCGATCTCCTCTTGACCTGTCAGGAAAACCAATATGTCCCCCGTACCTTGGGTTATGTGGATCTGAAATACGGTTGTAATGGCAGCAGCGAGGTAGTTGGCCTCGGGTTGCGCAGTGTAGTGAACGTCAACGGCATATCTTCGACCTGGAATGTTGAAAATGGGGGCGTCATCAAAGTACTTCTGAAATTTGCGAGCATCCATCGTGGCAGACGATATCAAAAGTTTGAGGTCAGGTCTTGCTCTTGCTATATCCTTCAAGAGTCCGCAGGCAATATCGGTACTGACTGTTCGTTCGTGTGCCTCATCGATCATCAGCGCCGAGTATTGCGATAACTCGGGATCGGTCAGGAGCTCTCTGAGTAGCATACCGTCGGTCATGTATTTTAGGACAGTTTTGTCGCTTGTATTGTCCTCAAATCGGATGGCATAACCAACCTCGTTACCGAGTCGCTTCCCCATCTCTTCGGCTACTCTCGCGGCGACCGACATCGCAGCCACTCTGCGAGGTTGAGTACAGCCGATCTTCATGCCGCCCTTAGTAAATCCAGCTTCGTGAAGATACTGTGGTAATTGCGTGGTCTTCCCACTTCCTGTCTCTCCCACAATAATTAGGACTTGGTGTTCGTTCACAGCTTGGACGATCTCGTCTCGGAATTGGTAAATAGGTAAGCTTTTTCGGGTTTCTTCCACACTCTTTGCCTTGGCTTCTGCTGCACTCAATCTTTCGGCCATCTCTCGCTGTTCTCTGTTCATGCCTCGGCCAAGATCTCCGCCTAGTGTCTCAGACATGACAAACTGCATTTGCTGGCTTTCATCGAAGACGTAGCCATAGTCCCCTTCGTCGACGTACTCAGCGCGCTTAATCTGCCCTTCTGCTCTTTTTGTCTGTTCTCGCTCCCACTCCTCATGTTCAGTCACATACTTTTCTCGCCCAGATTCGTCTCGGTCGACATATCTCTGGTAAAGGGCTTGCTCTTTCTTTCGCTTGTCGATCTTTCCCTTTTCTGTGATATAGTCTTCTGGAAGAGCGTATCCATCGAGATGGTCATCAATGTTCAACCTCTCTTCCGCCAACCGCAGTACTTCTTTGTTTCTCGCGAATTCCTCCTTTTCCCTTCTAGTCAGGTCTGGATTATCTCTCAATTCGGCTTGCTCCTCGGCGACTTGTTTCCGGAGAAGGGCGAGTCTTTCCGCCTCTCTTTTCTGAAGGTAGTCCTGTCGTGAGCGTATTCTCAGGTCGGGCATTGCCTGTGTCCTAGCCGCGGCATCGTCGGCGAGTGCTCGTCTCTGTGCCGCAACACTGTCCTTCGCACCGGATCTATCCTCGATAATCTTCTTAGATCTTTCGGAATCTCGGTGTGCCAACCGTTTCGCAAATTCATCCCGTTCCTTTTGATCTTGGTCTCTTTCTCTTTGAGCTATCTCTTCTGCCGTTTCTGTTGGAGGTGTGGGCGATATTATTCGAGGGGCAGCTGAACCGTCTGATAATTTGACTCGTTTGGATGATGATTCTGCAAAATTTGGCTCTGGGGCCTGGTCTTCATCTTTGACATATTCTTCATCTCCCCATCTTTGCTCAAAGTCATCATCGTCGCGTCGCCGTCGGTGAGCAGTGTGTCTCTTGTGAGCTTTAGTTGGGGGTTCGCTAGGTCGTTGTTCAGACATCCTGCAGACCCAGAGGGGGAATTGACTGGGAATTCACCTAGACCATGCGCAGGAAAAGCCAGTGTTCCGACACTTGATGCGTTAAAAAGCAATGCTAACTACAAAGGCAAGATTTGTGAGAAATGGCTAATGCGCTGGGGCAATTACATTGTCGTCGACGCAGGCAGCTTTTACTCTTGAATCTCATGGTCGTTCGGACGAGGTTCCGTTCTCCACCCTGGTGGAATCGACTGTATGCTTCGCACTATCTACATTCTTTCTCCCTACGGCGAAGTTCTTCCCACAATTGGAAGCCTGGGAAACGATGTGAAAATCTGTTCATCCACTGCTGATAATACGCCACTTCCTGAGGGAAAAGACAGATAGACCCCTCAGGGGCGAGTCAACCGGCTCCCGCGAACTGTCCGTTCTAGTCCTGTGGCGACTTTTCTTCGGGAGGTTGTTGCCTCAGAGACCTTAAGGAGCAATAAGCAGACAACGAAGTGGACAAGACATTATTGCACTTTTGAAACTGGTAAGGCTTCTGACATTTTGCTGTTCTGTGAGCTAACCACTTCGCGAGCCCTTGCTTTCTGTCGCAAAACCCTGGTGAAGATGTCTCCTTCACGACTATGCAACCCATTCCCGTGCGACAACTTTCCTCTTCGACCACTGATGGGCCAAGCTCTCTGCCGGCACCCTCTGAACCTCCTCCCACAGCAATTTACTCAAGTACTTGTAGATGTATGTCGTAGCACCGTTGTAATTGATTGAGTGGTCACTATCCGTGAAAGCAAACATGTCCATATTCTCACTCGTCACCCCTTCAGCGACCAGCAAGTCGATCAGTGCGGCGGTGTTCTGGTAATGGACATTGTCGTCACCCGTGCCGTGCATAATGGCAAATCCACCACGAATGTCCTTGAACCCTGTCGCATTTCGAACCGCCGTTTCATTGTACCCAGCTTCATTCATGGTTGAGGTTTTCATGTATCTTTCCGTATACATTGAATCGTAGAAGCGCCAGTCTGTAACCGGGGCTGTGATGAGTCCGAGACTGAATGGACCTCCAGACCCTTGAAGCTCCACCACCTTTGCACTCAAATAGCCGCCGAACGACCACCCCCAAATGCCAAACTTCTCGGGATTGACGTAAGAAAAGCTGGAAATGATCTGCTCTGCAGCCCAAATTTGGTCAAGGGGCTCATAGCGACCGAGGTGGGAGGCAACAATTGCACGGAAGGCACGGCCTTTGTAGCCAGTACCACGGCCATCAACAGTGTAGGTGATATAGGCGAGTTCCGGGTCGCTGGCAATATATGCTTTGAAGTTCAGGGCTGAGAATGTTTGTGAGACCTCTTGGGCTCCAGGGCCACCATATGGAATAAAAAGTACTGGATACTGATGAGAGGAGTTAAAATTGGGTGGGAGTCGTTGCATAACGTTAAGAGTGTAGCCATCCGGGTGTTGAAGCTCAAAGTATGTTATATTGGGCAAGTTGTATTCTTGGATCGCATCATGGAGGACAGAATTACTTGTGATGGTGGACAGAGGTTCGGAGGAATCTGTGGAGTAGAGATCTTGATATGGCACATCGGGACCCTGATATGATAGGAGATAGTAGCCTCCAGAAGGTGAAAAAGATGCCGAATAATACGCGGGCTCTTCGTCGTTTACCAGAGGCGTGATCTCTCCGGTCGTGTAAGACACACTGTACACATGGCGGGACGTGCTGTGAAAGGTCGTTGATCGGTAGTAGATAAGTTCTCTTTCCGAGTCGACACTGAGAATGTCGGTGACTTCCCATTCACCAGAGGTGAGAGTCACATTGTCACCTCCAACGACTGGGAAGAGGTACAAGTGGTTCCAGCCTGATTCATCTGATAGATCTACGTACCAGGTCTCGTTGCTACCATTGACGGAGCCAATGTAAGTGATTGCTAGATTGTTGTCGAGCCAGCCGTCTGAACCATCTCTCTCTCGAACGGTGCTCGTGTTGCCAGATTCAACATCGACAAGCACATACTTTTCCATATCTTGCACGCGATTAAAAACGTGTAAGAGCACGCTGGAATGTTCGCCGGTAACCCAGGCCACCTCACCTATGATAGTGTCATTCGCTTCAAACGCTTCCACCAGGATAGGGGAACCTTCCAACGTCTGGATGTCAAGCAAGGTGAATTGGACAGTTGGATTTGTGGTGCCGACCTTAGGATATCGGAGCTCGAGCTCAGAGGGGTAAGGAGAAGCAATTTTTCGATCGTGCATGTAGTAAGGTATTGAAAAGGTGCCAACCCCCGTCTCATTGAAGCTGAGGTAGGCCAGGTAATTCGCATCGGGGCTCCACCAGAAGGAGTACGCGACGCCAAATATCTCCTCTTCGTAAACCCAATCAGGCACGGCATGGAGAATATCCGGTCCTCCATCGGAAGTGATTTGTGTTACTTCTGAACCATTGCTGATGTACAAGTTGTTACCACGAACAAAAGCGATGGAATTTCCAATGGGTGCCCAGGAAGCATACTGAACGTCGCCCTGCTGTTCTTCGTCCAACGGCAAGGTCTCGTTGCTTGCGACATCATAAATGACATAATCAGCAAAGTATGAATGGCGGTACTGCTTCGTATAGTTCGTAGAGAACAGTACCCGCTCCAAGCTTGGCTGAATGAAATATTCCCAGTAGTCGGATGGAACTGCGCCGGCAGGTACTAAGATAGATGTATTGCCAGTGACGAAATCCTGGAGCACGAGATCACCTTCATCCGACAAAGTGACACCGACGCCATCCTCGCCTCCAGCAAACCAGTCAATAGAGGTTGTATTACTTCTGAGTCTAGCGCTGGGTATTGTGTCATTAAAAGCTAGAAGTCGCGTTCCATTTCCCAGAGGTTGTTTGGGTTGACGAGGCACCTCAATGGCAATGGCACTGCCTAGCGCCAGCGCCAGAAGGAATCGAAAGTTCAACACCATGGCTGGAATATGGGCACAACCTGGAGGAGGGGACCGGCTTCACGAGCAGTTTTTTCGTGATTTGCCAGTACTTATACTGCACCGCTTGCCACCGAGCGGTCCTGACAGTCGCCATAATCATATTGGGAAATGCAACCTTACCTCGCTCTATCTCAGACAGTACGTAGCCAAGATTGATTGCGCATGAAAAGCTGGTCATTAGCGAGATATGGACGATACTCCGCAGCCTGTAGGATCCAAACTCAACGAGACCTTCCTATTTGGAATACAAGGCTGTTGATCTTCCTTTCAAAGGTTTCTGGGCAACTTGGCGAGCGGGCAGCGCTGTAACGTAACGCTTTGCGTTGACTCACGCAGTCGTCCTAGGCTTCATATCTGGCGAGCCCATCAATTGTTCCCTAATCGATAGTATGTTATAAGCTGGTCGTAGGAAGGTCGGCGTCATACCTGTATTTGTAAGCGATAAGAAACTCGCCAGTCGATGGCTGGGAGGACATCAAAACACACTTATGTAAGTCGGCTTCACGACAGCACCAAGCTTACAGTACATAGGTTGTCAATACACAATAACCAGACCCCGAAGTGCGAATGCTGGCTTCTAGACGAATAGCATATTTCAATCTGGTATCAGCCAGACGAGGGATGGCGACAGAAAAATTCAAGTACTGCAACAATACCCCCAGCCCTGTTATTTTCAGTTGATTTGATCATTTTGATTGATATTCTTGTTCATTTTATACCTCATTTATGCCTACAAGTATCCTAACACTGTAGCTGTTATTTGGATTATCGAATTATAATCCAGCTTGCTCTGTCTCCTTCGACGAGACTTGACGTTTACCTCCCGGTCTACATAACCTGGCATGGTGGCTGTCGCCTGGCCTTGACGGGTGACCTCAAGTGCTACCGCCTGTTCTCGTACCCGCAGTGTCAGGGAGGATTGTGGTGAAGATCGCTGTGGTGTACCATTTTTCGCTTCTCGTTGTTCTGCCAATCAAGTTCATCCTGAGATACTCAAACAAACCAGAATGAATGTGCGCATGGTTTAAAAGGCCGAAGCTGATCCCAAAAACACAATCAAACAATACCAATATTTCCATCAATTAATTCTGACAGGCCATCGCAATCATAATACTGGAGATTCCTGGAATGAGTGATCCACCCACTCCGGTCAAGATACCATTATCCATACCAACTATGCAAAAAGAGTGGTGTACCCAGGCGATTGATCGCACACCTAGATGATCAGACATCTATCATTTCAGCATCCTCAGCAAGAACCTCATCTGCTGGTCCCCAGTTGCCTTCAAAAACTGTGGCTCCAGCTCGTCGTCTTGCCTCTGCCCATCGTACTCCTTCAGTGCTCAGCAGATTCAAGGCCAGAGGTCGGTCGTTCGGATCGGGCGAGATCATCCATCGTACCACACGATCCAGCGCTTGCTCATGCGATGGATCAATCATGAACCGAGGAGGATTGACAAGTTCACCGCTACGAGGGTGATACACATTTTTCGACGAGACTTGGCCTGTCAGCATCTCGTTGTCTTCCCGGATGGTAACCTCCACACCCGTTCGACATGATTGAGATTGGTCAAGGAACGAATTCTCTCGAGAAAGAGGGTTTCCGGTCGAATCCCGCTCTATCCCGCTAGTCCCGGAACTCCAGGTGAGGCTAGGAACATCACTCATATCTCCATTTCGCAATTTTTGCCATGAGACGCCGTTATCAGGCAACTCGACATTGCCAGCAGTCTCCAGCATGATCAGACCAAGCGCAAAGATATCGGCTGGCTTATCGTATCGTCCCATCAGTATTTCAGGTCCGATGTATTCTCGATCACCTTCTGCCTCGATACCAGCCTTTGCAGGCCATCGACTTGCCATTCCGAAGTCGGCGATCCTGAGAACTCCCTCGAATGTGATAAGAATGTTTGCAGGTTTGAGGTCGAGATGGATAAAGCCGCTCTCATGAATGTGCTTCAACCCCTGTAAATAGTTAGTTTGATTTCCTTCCCAGGATCAAAAATATTTTACTTACCACTGATAGCTCGAGTAGAATTTTCCAGATACGGAAATCATCAAGCCTGGCTTTTAGCCCCATTTGAGCGAGGAAAACATCAAGTGTACCTTCTTCACAAAATTCTGTTTGAATGTAGAGGTGACCCTGTTCTTCCCAACTATCGACAAAAGTCACGATATGATCTGAATGACCTAGCGCCTTGAGCACGTCCACTTCTTGAATCTTTCGCTGGCGGTCTTTGGCTCCAGTGTACGGGTATCTTGACTTCTTGACTGCCCAGACCTTCTCGGGTATTGATCCTTGTGAGGGACGACTTGTAGACACCGAATAAATTTTGTGGAATGGTGATGCCTCGGGTGGTTGTGAAACACGGAATACTTGTGAAAACTCTCCAGAACCAATCAAATCCACCTTCTCAAATCTTGAAGTCAAGCTGATGTCCAAATTCGAACCGTCTACAGCCGTAAGATTTAGGCTTGGACGGTTGGAGAAATTCGAGAAGTATTCTCGCGGTCCAGTGGGAGTTGCTGGTACAATCGAGCCTTTACCTGTGTTGCCTGGGTTCCGAGGACGTTCAGCACGACCAGAGATGGTTAGTCCGCTCGGATCTGGGGGGAAGAAGCCTTCCAGGGGCGTATGTGGCGTAGTACGTGGGCTGACTAGAGACAGAGAAATCATCTTAGCACGATCTAACGCAGGAGAGTTTAAATTCGAGATGGGTGGATCCTTCCTCGGGAGAGCAGCTGGGAAACTGAGGTTCTTGGACATTCGGGCGCGAGTATAAGAGTCTGACATAGGAATAACCTTAGGCACCGATGTAGGTCTCAGGTTGGCGGGTGGAGAATACTCCATCATACTATCACTGTCCCTATCGACGCCTTTAGGTGATGCTAAAATAGGAGACAACTTACTGTTGGTCAAACGGGCTCCAAACCCGGAGGAGGGTGCGTTGTGAGTTGTTGTCAACCCTCCACTATGGTGAGGCGAGGGCGAGATGGAGTTGCGACTCTGCCCGTCAGGGAGGTGCTTCGTTGGTGTCGGGGGATAATCTGAGTCAGTTGACTGGCTATTGGCCCGAGTCAAGGGCGATCGAGATTCTGTCTTTTCGTCACTTTCAATAGATGCAAAGCTTCCTTTTCTGAGCAGATTGTGCTTGCTAGAGCGGGTGCCAAATATGCCGGCGCTCCGAGCAAAAGGAAATGCTGAGATTTTGGGTTGAGTGTGATGTGGTTCCAACGGAGTAGAGGGTTGTCCAAAAGAAGGTCGTGTTGCTCTGTGAACGGCAGGTCTTGGGGCGGCGAACTTTTCATCGGCTTGAAATAACACAGACTGTTTTTTGCATGGCGTATCAGGCATGTGAGCTTTCGGTAGGCCAGCATTGGGATCTTCAACATTTCTATTTCTCTTCGAGATCAAACCTGTTGACATGAAGGCTGCAGGTAGTGGCTTCGCTGCTTTGTAGTTTCCTGGAGTTGCGAATGAATTTTGAGTGGGAAATTCATGATTTTCTGGGGATGGCACTGGTCTTGAGGCTCCAATTGGCAATGACTTCGAAAAATCATGCGATCTTGGCCTGTTTGGTCGATGAACAGGCTCGTGGGTGGGAGAGTCGTCTTCATCACCTGTGAATGAAGATGATTGGGTCAAAGTACGCGACAGAGGATGGCGGGATAGTTGTTGGCTGTTCTGGATGGATGTTGCCGGATGTATTGAGGCGTTGGGCAAACTCCCTTGGCTTGAAAACGGGCTTTCACGGCGCATCGGTTCGAGGTGATTGTCCAAGGACATCCTGAACCCTCTCTTACTGCTCGTTGGTGGTGTGGACGACTCAAGCCAGGACTTGTCCAAGTCCATGACATGGTTGAATTTCAGATTGCTGGGCCGGTCAAGCTGCCGTTGCTGTAATGTTGATTTACGCAAAGACGATGAGCGCTTGGGAATGGTTGAAAATCGAGTCGAGGACAGGGAGTTGTTGCCACCAAAGAAGTCGTTGTCATCTTGGGAGCGCTTGTCTATGAACATGCCTCCGTCTAAGTCATCTGATTCAAAAATACTGAAGTCGAGTCCAGGACCATGAAGGCTTCGTCTCTTTGCTGAATTTTCGAATGATTGACTTTCATCCGATTGAGGCCCTTCTGTCCGCTTCATCGGACTGAGAGGAGCAATTGTAGACATGAGAGTACCTCCACTTCGACGCTTCTCCTGCCGTGTTTGTGCAGTCTTCCAGGTGAGTGGCTCTTCCGGTGGACGTGAATCATTTTCGTTCGCTTCACCTGTCAAGCATTTTAAGGCAAGCTCACGCTCTGCTTCCGTCGAGCTTCGCTTTCGTAATGGCAGAGGAGAAGAGTTTCCACCGTCGCTTGAATCTGCTAGGACCCGTTTGGAAGGGCTCTTGGGAGACGTTCGAATACGGTTCAGTCCATGCGTTTGGGTAGTGCGCCGGAGAATCGGTCTTTGAAATCGGGGAGTTTGGGAATTTCGACTAGAGTGCGGAGATATTATACTGGCCATCTGTGACAAGGTCTCTGATGTAGACTTCCGTGATGGTGAAAGCGGTGAAGGAGAGAAGGGAAGATTGCTCGCTCCTGGTGACCGAAACGGATACTGACGAAAGTCCGATGTTTTGGAGGGCGAGCGAGACAAGGAACGTCGGATTTCTCGGATAGCATCAAAGTGTGAGATGGCTTTGGGTGAGTGATGGTGAACAGCTTCTCGATCCTCACGATGAGGAGAGTAAGTCGCCATCATGGCTGGCAGCGTGTGTGGAATCAGGCCGACACTCTTCTCGTCTCTCCAAGTTAATGGAATGCCATCAAAAGGGAAAGGTGGCTGAGACAGTGTCTTCCAACCTTCCACTGCTTGACCACGCAAAGATTCCTCAAAAACCCAGCATACTGGAAGTACAGGATCCACTGCAAGCGCAACGGTGATCGGTTGTTTTCAGTGGGAACGACCTCTGAATGTTGAATCTTCCTGAAAATGTAGATGCTGCTTCGTTGCCAAAGCCCGCGTTGGGATATCAATACCTTGAGACTCGTAAAGGAAAGAAGGCGGGTAATGGGTAGTCGAGGCGGTAGGAAGTTGAAGAGACTAAGGGACCGAGATGCCAGACGATGCGTATAGACGGAGACCTTCGGGAAGTGTACGGCTCGGAGAGGGCGGCGATGTCAAGAAGTGAGTGCGTGTCGTGGTGATCAGGGTTTGGGCAGCAAGGCAAGTGTGGGATCGCGTGGGAGGCGAATCGAGCAGGCGCGAATGACGATCTTTGTGTATGAGATCAGCTGTCGAGAAGGGTGACTGAGGGTTGAGGTGGTTGCAACGGAGGTTGGGTGGTCAGTGGTGAGTAGGATCAAGGATGATGCGTTGCTCTCGATTGAGTGGATGATGGCGATGATGATAGACAAAGGTTCCAGGGTCGGGTTAGAGGCTCGATCGAGTTTCGACTCACACAAGAAATTGACTGGACACGTTCGCCTTCAAGTTCGAGGAGTGGACGCGTCGGGATTTGCCAAGACTTGTTGCGAAAAGTAAACAAAAACCCGGTTGGCGAGGTGTGGACTTTTTGGGCTTAGCGGCTTCACTAAGCTTGAATGCCTACCAGGCACCGAGGGATTCCCAAACAGCCAGCCAGCCATCTACTATTAAAGGAGATACTGTAGAAACTCCCCAGCTAGGGAGCACAAGTCATCGTAATATTGAATAGATCGGGTGACAAAGGCAAGCCGTGTTGGACCTGTTCACCGCATTGCTCTTGTTTGTCTTCTGACAATTGACCTCACGCTATCCGAAATTGTGTACGGCAAATCAAATTTCTACTATTGTGTGGCTTCGACGGTCATGGAGCCGGCAAGGACGCACGGGGCTACCAACTGCAAATTAGAGGGAGCCACGTAGATCGGACTGGCACGGAAGATGGATTTAAGTAGGTATACGGTACGGAGTGCTCGAACGTATCGACCAATTTGTCGCTCGCACGATACTCGTACTCGTAGTATGTATAGTACGGAGCATTCCGTACTCAGGTGGGTTTCCGGAATCCCGCACACTCTCAAGCCACAACTTATGTATTGTATACTCGCAGCCTGTAGTACATACTGCGTAAAACTTCGCAGCTTACCGGTACTCCGTACAGAGCACTCAGTACTGGTACTCGTAGGAGCCCAGGAGGATGACCACCTTGGCGAACATCCGAGTACCAAAGCGGTTAACCCCTTGTTCTGGGGACTTCGAAGAAGTCCGCATCCTTCTTTGTTCCCAGACTCTGGCTCTAAACGAAATAGTGGACAGGGGCGGAGGTAACCGTGTCCATGCCCCAGCTAGTCTCCACTGGCCTTGTTAGCTGCCAGTGCAGGTGCTCGTATGGATGGGTTCTCCTGGCGAGCCACCCCCCCGTTGGATGCGACTGCACTTAGCGCCTCGGGGGAACAGTTAGGGTGCATAGAAAGCGTGGTCGGTTGTCGGCCACGGCCACCGCAGAATGCCACGTTGAGATGTGCCGCAGCCTGCAGCTGTTTTCAGGCTTTACGTTGCCGCCACATCTGTCATCCAGAAACGCCCCGAGAAAAGGGCAACCAGGTCCCTCGGGCCAACTATAGTCTGTGACGTCTATGCGAGTACTCCGTACCCCGTACGACGGTACGAGGGATCGCAGGAGCCTAGGCTCCATATCCGTACCGCACAGAGGCGTCACCATCCTTTTCCCAGACCTCCCTCATCCGTTACCCCTTCTCCCGTGGCGGTGCCGTAGCTCCAACTTCCACTAAAGCCCGACCCTGGCCTTTGCTTGCTCAGGCTGTTTCTTCTCTCAACCAACTTCAACTTCCGCCCTCGCCAGTCATCACCCGCTTCAATTCGACTTCAGCTTAACTCCACTCTTTGTCTTGTTCTCCCATTCACTTCCGGTCATTTGCAACCGCCCCAATTTGTACGCTCCCTCTTGACTGATTTGGTGTACGGATATCCTATTAGCAGTATTGCTACCTGTCCTGCGAACGCCCTCAACATACCCTCCGTTCGTTTGGCCAGCAGCCTTGATTCCATCAATCAACTTTGCAATCCTTCGTTCAGGCACCCGCACGCCACCCTTCTCATATGATTCCCGGGAAACACACGGCGTGTCCATCCACCGTCACTGTTCTAACGTGACCTGCCGCTATGGTTCTCTCATTGCAGCCGCTGGTGCATTAGCCATCTGGCCGGAATTTGATATTCGCAGAGGAACAAAATATCGGCCAAAGTCCACACAAAAGGAAAACACCCAACCCGACTATGTCTGCACCACCCACCGAGAACCCCCCTCCCTTGGCAGCTGGCCCTGTCGATCAATCAAAATCCTCGCGAGAGAACTCTCCTGCTCGCAACGCTCGTAGCGTCACTGCCATACCGCAACTATCCCGATCCCGAAAAAATAGTCAAGAGTTTAGTCCTACCCGGAGTTCAACTACAGTACCCTCCGCTGCGGCAGTTCAGCGTGCTCTTTCGGCGCACCGACCCATTCTACAGCCTTCAAGTGTCGACGGCGTTTTGGAAGGTGCTCGAAATGGCGAGAGACAGATGAAGTCCGGCCAAACTTCACCATCTTGGCGAGCGGCTCCAAGAGTGAAGTCTCCTCCTCCCACTAAAAATGGAGCGAGAGTGCCAGCTCCTAAAAAACCCGAAGCAGAACAGACGCCCTCCAATACATCGCTAAAGAGATTGGCCGCTGTGTCTATCCCGGACCAGGCTGCTGCTATACAAGTGACCAATAGTCCGGAACAGGCATCAAACAATTCGAATACACGTACCCCAGGGCGCGGCCCCAGTACTGGGACAAGCTTGCTTGAGACTGTCGCTGAAAGCAGTGTTCCCACGACGCCGTCAATTGGCCCCATGCTGACCTCTCTCTTGGAGCAAAGAATTGATGTTCAGTCCCTGGATCAAAAGGTTGACAATCAGCCAGACGCGCCGACTGCTAAAGAAGGTGATGGGAGCGGCGGTGATATTAGCAGCAAAACAAACACCGGCAAGCCAGAAAATGGCAGAAGGTCTAGAGCACCGAGTACTTCACGACCCCCATCAGATCTTGCTAAGCGCTCTTTCCCAAATCTAACCACCACCAAAACTAAGCCTACTACTGATCCACCCCGAACCATGACAGTGGAAACAGAAACCGTGACTTCAATGCCACAACTACTCAATCCTGATCGTGGAGCTTCAGGTAGAGATGGTACCGGTAGCGTTAGGGCCAAGCCCAGCACCGAGACAATCCGGCCCAAGAAGGAAAAGAAGAAAACATCGCGTAAAGCGCCGTCGCTACATGCAGGGACAGCAACATCCAAAGCAGACCTTTTTGAAGCCAGGGTTGCAAGTGCGGTTGATGAAGCGGATTCTTCTGACTCGGATGAGACGTTTGTGTATGAATCCAATCCAGCCGACCGCCCTCCTCGATATCACTCCCGCACACCGAGTGCTACGTCTCTGACCAGTCAAGATCAATACGGTGCACGGAGTAAGCACGGAGTCAGGAACGGAAGCCAGGCGATCGCGGGCAAGAAGAGCATGAAATTCTCTAGCAGTACTTACAACAACCATTTGGATGGAGAACTTGGGGTAGATGGACGTGGTAGTCAACGGAACACCAGTTCGACTCCCCGCCATCACCATATCAGTCGGCACGGACGACCGCATCACACATCAATCCTTGATACTGATTCGCCATTCACTCAAGCAAGCAAACAATATTCTCCTCGTTCTTCCGTCAATAACGTGTCTCGATTTTCAAGACCAAATAGTCCTCGAGTGTCGAACGGTCGACTTGCTTCCAGCCCAAGGAAAGGAGAGCCTTATGACGCATATGACGATGCAGCTGATGACGAAAGGGCACCATTAATTGGGTCTGTACGAGTCAACCGCTCACGACATAGCCGTCGACCGCATAGTGGCAGCTTCCGTCAACTTGATTACCATGATGGCTATGAGCGGAGCTACTGTGGTCGATGGGGCAGCTGTGCTTTCCTAACATTTATTCTAGTTCTGGTGTGCGTGGGGATCACCACATTTGTCATGGCGGTCAATCGACCGTTGATGGATGTTTCTGTCAAGCATATTCAGAACGTGCTTGCCTCAGAGCAAGAAATCATGCTAGATTTACAGGTAGAGGCAACGAACATGAACCTCTTCGCTATTATTGTCAGTGATTTGGATGTCAACTTGTTTGCGGAAAGTCCGTACGTGGGATCGACAGAGAAGTGGAATGGCGGGAAACCCACGTTACGCTGGGTCAAGCGAGCGAGCTACTGGCCACCTTGGCACTCAGAGGACGGAGTAGATGAAGGCACGGACCCGATCGATGACCCGGAACCTGGAACCCAAAAGATGCTACTGGGAAGGATTTTTGAGTTTGATTCACCACTCTCGTTTGAGGCTTCGCCTGTGCGCCGGACGCATTCAACTTCGGTTGGGGAGATACGTCTGGCGAAACCAGGAAATCGCACGGAAGAAGGCGGATCTGCGCGTTGGGAAAGAGTCTTGCAACATCCGTTTGATTTAATTGTACGAGGGGTGATCAAATACCAGCTTCCCTTGAGTTCGAAACCGAGATCAGCGAAAATTGGCAGTCGGATTAAGGTGCTCCCAACGGATGACACAGGTGATAGCCCTGGAGACAAGCTATTAGGTGGGACGGGTTGAAGAATTTGTTTTAGAGCGGCTACGACAGCGGGCTTGTACAAAGGTTGACTCTATTACGGTCTGGACGAATTTCATTTGTGAACAACAACAACATTAACAAAGCGCAGCCTTAAACAGGTGGCTTACGATGATCAGATACCCCAGAGCGCACTAAAAAAGCATTGGGATTGCAGTATAGCTGCTTATATGGTGGGGATAGAACGAAAACACCTTGCGAAGGAAACAATCATTTTGAGACGTGAAACTGGGCTTTCTTCTTTTCTGGCGAGTTGGGAGCGATAAAGTGTTTGAAGCTGGAAGCAAGACTGAAGAAAGAGTAAAAGGGAAGCACTCAAGCCTAGAAAGTTCAGGTTCAGGTTCAGACAGTTGCAGTCATGATATGCATATAATTCCCTCAGAACGTAAGACATGTATTGACTTTGGCAGTCGTGAATGAATGGCATGGCTGCCGCTCTGACTGATCTCGTTTTGCTCTATACTCCTAGTGGCTCAGTGAGGCGAGCAGCCTTGGAGATTCAGTATTAGGGACGGAATAATACAGCGCCCTGTATTGAGTACGAGAAAACCCGTACTCTTCGGTTTAATTTGAACGTGCTGAAGCTGAGACTGTGCGAAGCCACGCCAGGAGTCACAAGTCACAAGTCACAAGTCACGACTCGTGGCGGAAAGTACAACCGTACAGGGTGCAGAAGACATAGGCGCCTGATCTAAAGTTTCGAATATCTAACAAAGCCTGAGGCTGGCACCCAGCTGGTATAGACGCCGTCTGCATGCTGTAGTGGTACTGACTCAAGGTGGTACCTACCTATGACTAAGTTTCAATACTGTTCTCAATACTGAGCACGGAATATGACATAGACCTAGTCCGCTGGCAGTGGTGGAATGCGAGCCCATAATCGTATCAGGTTGCAAGTGCAGTGTGCAGCCGTTGCCCCTCAGGCCCCTCGGCCCCTCCTCAGCCTCCCTCTGTTCCCTCCCACTGAGTGCTTGGTAGGGAGTCTCCGCTTGGTACTGTACTCAGCAGGTAGTCGTATTCCGTACTGCCCCTCCCACGATCTCTCCTCAAAGTTGCCCATCGCTGCCCAACCAGCACATTTCCAACAACTCAGCCTGCATATGTCTCCCGACCCGGCGGAGTAGGCTTCAATTGCTCGTTCATTCGTTGGGCTGCTGGGCGCGCACACATGGCCTGCTGCTGGTGACCGTACCACGCAATTCGCGAGTCACTTCTTCTACGCCTCCCCCTACTACTATTAGCATCTGATCCTTCGTCCCAACCTTGTCCCTCCACCGCTCTTCCTCATCACCACCACCACCCATCTCTCTTCGCCCTTTCTTCCTTGTTCCATCTAGTCGTTTCAATTTTCGCTCCCTGTGAATTCGATTCTACCCCAAGAGACTCACTCCCATTGACACCTCCAAAGAACACCTTCACTCTACCACCCTCTCAGCCTACTGCAGTGTGTCAATCAACACCTAAGCCTTACTGACAACAAGGCACAATCCATCGGCCATTGCCTCCCCCCCCCCGCCCACCCTCAACATGGGTTCGGTCTATCGAGATCGCTTCGATGACTCCCGCACTTCAGTCTCTTCCGCTCGACGAGATGGGGGTGGTTACACAACTCGCACTCGCTACATCGTGAAAGAAGATGACTCTCGCTCCTCTATTGGTCGAGATCGCCGCATTGTCCCCGATCGAGTAGAGGAAACTCATATTGTCCGACGAGAGGTCGAGGAACCCGCCCGTGAACTACGTCGAGAAGAGCCTCGCTACACTGAGCGTGAAATGGTCATTCGTCGTGACGAGGACACTCGCAGCCAGTACGCTTACGACACGCGACGTGAGGAACCTACAACTGAGCGGGAACTCATCATCAGACGTACTACCGAACAAGAACCCCGTCGAGATGACACTGCTTCAGTTATGCGCTACGATGACCGTCCACGGACTGATCTGAGGGTCAGTGAGAGCCGTTATCGTGATGACTACGAAGTCCTGTCCCCTACCCGCGGTATCGACGATAGGGACCGCGACGTGCAACGCTACACACGCACTTCTGAGTACTATAGTCCGCCTCAGCCTCAGACTATTGTCATCCGACAAGAACCCATAATAATCAGGGAGCGGATTCGAGATGATGACTATCAGATTGTACGAAAATCGGATGTCGAGGATGAAAGAACCGTTGTCCGTAGGGATCAACCCCGTGGCGAGGAAGACTTCTTTTACGAGAAGAAAGTGCGGGAGCGAATTGACGAACCGCGTCGCGATGAGGATGACTATTACGAGCGCCGCACGAGGCGTCGGTCAGTCAGCCCACACGATTCCGTCTCTCAAAGGGGCCGTGACTATAGCAGCGATGATAGCATGGTCTACGTCAGAAAAGAAGTTCGGGAGGAGAGCCGTGAGTCTAGCCCGGATCGTCGCAAAAACCTCGCCGCAGGTGTCGCTGCTGGGGTCGGTGCCGCCGAGTTGCTCAGAAACCACAAAAAGCGGGAGGGTCGTGAAACATCTCATGGAGTAGGCCGTCTCGGCCGAGATCTCGGAGCTGGTGCTTTAGGTGCCATTGCCGCTGAAGGCATCTCACGAGCAAGGTCTGCCCACAGAAGCAAAAGTAGACGTCGTTCCAGGGATCGCCACTCTCGATCTCGCTCCCGCAAACGAAGGAGCAGTTCGAGATCCAGATCACACTCCAGATCTAGGCTGAAGACACTTGGAGCCGTCGGCCTCGGGGCAGCCGCACTGGCCGCCGCAGCCACAATCGCGACCAAACGCCTTGGTAAGAAGGAGACCGAAGAGCCCCCAAGACGTAGTCGATCACGCCGCAGAAGAGAGGAGACACTCTCCGAACTCGAGAATGACCCCACAGCTGACGACGCGCGCAATCCTAAACATCGTAACAAGCGAATCGCCGAGGCTGGTGCTGCTGGTGCTGTCGTCGCTGGCTTACTCGAACGTGCGAGAAGCAAATCTCGCAATCGTTCCCAAAGTAAAGTCAGACAGGCACTTCCCGTTGTTGCTGCCGGTTTGGGCAGTGCTGCTCTTGCTGGTTTGTACGAGAAGAACAAGGCAAAGAAAGAGGCCGAGGTAGTCCAGAAGGAGGAGCGACGTGCACGCTCAAGATCACGGAGCCGAGCCAGGACGGATGCCTATTATGATGGCCCAAGAGATGCAGCCGTCAGTGATCCCGGTTTGATCGAGTACGGCAACGGACCAATGCATGGAAATAATTTTGGTCCGGACTATTATGGCCGGCCTGCGCCCGTCGATAACTACTACAACACCTCAAATGCCGTGGTACCAGCTGCTGCGGCTGGTGCGGGAGGTTATGCTGCTCAGCGAGGACCGAGGAGTAGAAGCCGCAGCCTGAGCCGGGAACGTCGTTCACGGCGATCGTCCCGTAGTTCCAGCGCCTCCCCTGGGAGACGCCCACATAGTCGCCGACGATCACGAGATGCCGCGAAATATGCTGCTGCGGCTGCGGCGGGTGCGATCGGCACCAGCGAATACAACAGACGCAAAGAGGAGAAGCGGGAACGCAAAGCACGAAGACGTAAGTAGAGCCTACACATTGCGGGAGTCAGACTGACACATGCTTTACAGGTCAAGAGGAAGAAGAAGCTGCATATAGAGCCCATGATCCCTACGAGGATAGTTACAACACGGGGGCTCCATATGCTGCTACGCCAGATCCTTACGCCGCTCAACAAGGCTTCTACCCACAAACTAGTCAATTCCCGCCTCCGCCTGGGGGAATGCCAGGGCAATACAACCCACAACCTGCAGCCACCCAAATGCCAGGAGCCGCACCATATGGTGGTCAAGTCTACCCACCTCCTCCGGCTGGACCTCCTCCAGTCACCAATAACTATGATGCATACGCATCCGGTGCCAATCCGTATGCTCCACGTGGTCCTGAAAATGTGAGTGCTGCGCCGAATCCTGCGTTTGGCAATTCTTTTACACCCGCCACTCCCAATGACCAGCATCAAGTGCAAGATGGTATGTCATCGTCATGTAATATCCGACACAACGTCTGCCACAGTACTGCTTGCCCTCTGTAGACTTGCTAACAACGAGATCCACAGGTATAAGTCGGGATTTCGCCGCCCAACCGCCGCCCAACATCAATATACAACCCCCTTCTACCACAATCTCGCCTATTTATCCAGTCCCCGTTGCAACTGGCGCTCCTTCTCATGTTTTCCCTCCTTCCCCCAACGACAGAGTGCCCGATCTAGCCTCATCACCACCTCCCTCAAGTCCCCGAAAGAGTGTTCAGTTCTCAGAGAAGCCAGAAGTCTCAACATTCTCTGACCCAGTTCCAATAGATTCCGAAGCTACCAGCCCAGAACGCCGCCACCATCATCGACACTCCCACTCTCGGGGATACGAAGCCGAAGACGACACTGATTCAACTCCGGATGATTCGCGAAGACGCAACCAAGACCAGTCTATAAGATCACGGGATACTGAAGACGCCGTGAATGGAAACGAAAAACGAAGACATCGACGACGGCGTTCACATGATCCTGGTTCTTCTCGTGGAGAGCCAAGCTCGAGGGACAGGTCAATTGAGCGTGTAACGAGCCCCGCGGATTCTGAGGCCACAGTGGATTTGCCAGCACGTTTTGATGAAAAGGGGCGAAAGAGAGCAGAGCCCGGTGACGATCCTCTCGCCGACAGATTCGAGGATATCCTTTCTGGGAAAGGAGCCGCTGGAAAAGTCCTCGGTAATTTTTTCGATGGGTTGTTTGGACCTGATGGAAGGAGTAAGAAGGGCAGGTAAAGTCTGTATGTTCTTTCCGTTTTCAAACCGTTCTTTGTATATTGAGCGTTCATTTTGAGGCTGGTGACTGGCGAGACATGCATGATGGACATCACAGCATGTTTTGGGAGTATACGAATTTCATACTATATCATGCCGCACACGAGCACGATGGGGAATTTCAGCTATGAGTAAATGGGTGATTACGAATTAACGACCATGAGACAAACCACACGAAATGAATGAATGACCCAAATTTCGAATAATTCTACTCCAAAGAGCTTTCTGATGATACGATATTAAAGGAGCATTCTTCCTTGACATACCCTTGACATACCATTGACATCCCGACGTCGACAACGACCGTACTAGATAAGTACATATTGGCGCTAATGAATGACGAATCGATACGGAGATGCGTCGCGAGTTTCCACTTCTCTCATCACTGTGCTTAATCACCTTGTAGCTCATTGATGTGCTAAAGACTGACCCCCTCAGAACCGTCCTGCTTAAGCAGCACTTCATATTCCACCAGCTAGGCTAACTACCATCCTTCAAAACCGCTCCTGCTTCTTCGAAAACCCAGTCGCCGCGTCCGCGAGCCACCTGCCAACCTTCGACGCTGTGCTCTTCCTCCTGGGCGTGCCTTGGCTGGTATCGCTGGCCGTCGACAGCTGCCGCTCACCCGCTTCTACTTCGCTTGCAGCAGATACAGTCCTCGCCATGCCGGCGTCCTCGTCGATCTGGCGCCGTTGTGCTTCCAGCTGCGCGAGGCGCGCTTTATCCTCGGCGCTGCTGAGCAGTGCTGATTGAGATTGCTGGCGCTCGCCTTGAGATCCACCCGCCTGGCTGGCCGAGGGCTGGGAGGGAGTGGGACCTGCTGCTGCTGTAGCCCTAGTGGCGTCGACGTATGAAGGGAGATCGCCGTGATTAGGCCTTGCTGCGGCTGCTGAAGCCGCATTTGACGTTGTTTCAGGCTCCGAAGAGAACGCTGATCGCATCGATTCCCTCTCGCCACCATTGCAGCGTCCAGTAGTAGTCGCGGCTACATAGCCCGGCGGCCCACTAGTGGCACGACGCATATATGAGTCCTGACTCGAGGGACCCGGTGTCGGGGAGAATGGCTGGAAGCCCTTGGAGCGGATCTTGGCCTCTTCGATACGTTGGTCTCGCGTCGTTTTCTCCTCCGCGCTGCGCTCTTTCCAGTACTGGTAAAGTGGGCCCCGTGAGTATTCGTTGTTGAAGATGGAGGGTGTCATTTCGCTCTGGGTCTGGTCCCGTGGGAGACAACAATGATTTGTACTGAGTTAGTAGTTAGTATTTAGTTTGTTGTTGAGGCCGTCCGATCGACAGAGGTGCGGTGGGAGTGGGAAAGTTGATAGTGAGGCTGAGAGATGACGATATGCTTTGTCCCCTTCCCAAGAGACTACACCTTGCCACGGTAGGCGTATAGCTGTATCCTGCAAGCGATGTTCGATCGCTTTAAAATAATAATGAACACAATTACTTGTTCGCAGTAATGACTCGTGACGTTTTGCTCAACAAGGCTCCAGTTCTGGGTGTGAAGGAAGAGCAGTGCCCTTTATGTCGTCGTGCTTATTTTCTCGAGGAAGACGTCTGTCTACTCTTCGTTTCATAACGATCTCACCGGGTATGTACTTGATAGTGATGCGTAGCTAAGCTTTTCAACAGAAAGGTATATATGGGAGTTGAGTTCTTATGGAGCCCCACCGATTCCTTGGGAACCCAAGTCAACCAATGGTCCTTGTGAATGGTGAGAGGAGTCTGCCCGGAATTAGCGGCACGGCAGAGGGTGCGAATACGATGGTAACCCCTTGCTGCATGTAGTTACGCAAGCTCGATTCCGTACATACCCTGCGAATGTTCAGGTGACAAGGTATTGGGTATAATGTCTCGAGATCTATTTTTGGAGGTGAGTGATCAAGGCACATTATTTGGTCATGTGGTAGACTGCCAGTGGCTTCTACCGCAGTGAGGACAGAACGGCAAACTTCGGACTTGCCCCAGGCAACGTTTTGGTAAATTTGACGCACCGGGTTAAGGATTGATCCGTCGATGAGAAAGAGAATGAAAGTCTTCCGATAACTGGACAACTAGGTTTGACAACATGGATGTTTTGGAAGAGACGGCTTCTGGCACGATATCTTTGTTTGAAAATAACCTGTCCACCAGACTGGGAATCCTACCACTCGTCCAGTCTAACAAAATACCACAAGCCTCGGCCACAAGGACTTGAGCACTCAAGCTTTGTCAAGAGAGGAAAGTATGAAAGTTGAAGACATCATTTTCATTGCTGTCCGAGGCATCCCATCATCTCAATATTGGCGATCCCATCCATGATGACCACATTCTGCGGCATGGTATTTGTACTTGATTTATCGCCATCAATCCCCGAAAAAATGCATGCATCACATTTAGAAAACAAGAGCGGCACCCTTCGTCTTCTTGTCACCACTGAAATCGCAGTTAGTCTCACATCAAAATGTTTGGCGTGTTCGGAAATGGGCCGTACCCAAGTTCGAAATGCTTGCAACGCTTTAGTGATAATTGAGCCTTGGTCTTGCATTGTGTGCACTCCAATCTCAACACGACCTTCTTGGTCGTCTTTGCCTTCTTGTGGAACACGGGTTTTGTTTGACCACCATAACCGGACTGCTTACGGTCGTATCGACGCTTTCCCTGTGCGAAGAGCGAGGCCTGAACTGGTTGTTAGCCGATCGCGGGGGAAGTCACGGTCGTCTGGGTTTGGAACGTACTTTTCCGGCCTTGTATTGTGTGACTTTGTGTTGGGTGTGCTTCTTGCAGGTCTTGCCCTTGCAGTATGTACGACGAGTCTTGGGAACGTTAACCTGGAAGGAGCTGTGCATTAGCATCTGTTCTCGTTCAGGCTGTCATGTCGCAATAGTGCTATAATGAACGCAGGCTTCTCGATAGCAGTCTTTCTCCGTCATTTCAGCATCTTAAGCAAGAGATCCCCAGGGCCCTCGAATATTGCCTCCGTGCAGAATGGCACGGGTCGCGCACAATCACTTCCACCTTTTAATCTTCAATAACTGTGGTTCGTCCGTCTGCCAAGATATCCATCTCTGTCCAGAGGTGTAGTCGATTGAGGTGGTATGAAGGGTCTTCGGTCACTTACCATCTTGATTGAATACAAGCACACGCTGCTTGTTGAAGGTGGTGGATATGCGTGCTATTTCGGTGTCAATCACTCGAGTTAAAGATGAAAGGTCCGCAGGCGAATGCCAAGACCACAGAGGTTTTTGATTCTTAGGGCTTTGTGGGCAATTCGACCCGCTTTGTGAAGAGGGAAAGTATGCCGATCTTATCTTATCTCTATGTGCTTCCCCTTGACCCCGCATCAATGGCATCAATTGCCCAATGCTTCAGATGTACCAAGACGTTGACGAAATCTTGGAGAGACGTGGATCGTCGAATGATATGATATCGTGCCACCCATCTCCTTACTCGTCGTGCATCTCTGACTGGAAGCTGGCCCGACGTCAGGCCTGATCTGTGACCCTGGGGCAATGGCAAAAGTCGACTTTGAAGACTTGTCCGGTACTTCCACCCCCATCACAGCTAATCCATTTGATGGCTTGATCAACGCTTGCCATGGTGAACCAGTGCGCTTAACGTATTCACATTCACTTCCTATCTAATGGCGTTTTCAGAAACTAATCCAAGAACGTTATTCCCAGCATCGCATCAGGCGCAATGCTCAACAGAAGGACAAAATACTTGCAAATGACTTCAAAGGCTGGATTCTAGATGAACACCTTGTCAAATTAGACGGACCTCAAAGAGACAGCACCTATGTCGATCCCCGGAGCTGCCTCGTCTTTTGGGCAAGGCCGCCTGGTAAGGTGAGAACCTTGATAGATGTAATACAGTCGAAGCTCAAAGACGCTGCCCCAGGTAAGCTCAACCATGACCCGGCCATATTCGCGCTCGTGTTGACTATTCAGATCTCTGGTTGATGCCATTGGAAAACCTTCATATGACAGTCATGGAAGTAGCCCATTCGAAAACAGAGGGAGAAATCGAACAGTTGATGGATATCCTCCATGCACATTGTAAGGAGATTGCCGACCATACCACGAGTCATCGCGCACGATTGATCAAACCACTGTTAAGCTACGACTCCGCTGCACTGGCACTAAGCTTCGTTCCAGCCGCCGGAGAGCGTCCACCGCAGGGTCGAACGGCGGCGGATGACGAGTACACCTACCACCACCTCCGGGGCGACACATATACCGCTTTGACTGAGGCAGGAGTTCAAGTGGGATCTAGATACGTTGTTCCTTCTGCCCATCTCACGATCGCGAGGTTCAATTCACCCAACGTCTTTGGTGGAGATCCTCTGGACGGGAAAATTACGTTGGACCCGAAGAAACGGAGGCATTGGATAAGTGAGGTCGAGACCATCAATAAGTGGCTTGAGGCAGAATACTGGCCGATGGAAGACGCTAAAATCAAGACTGGCGGAGAATGGATCGTCGGTGAGGAGAAAGGACTTGATTTCCGTAATGGAAGGCTATGGTATGGAGGAGGCCAGACCATCTACTTGGGTCAAGGTTTCGTCCACGGAGAGGTGTGAGATGTCTCCTTTGATTTCGTGCTAATGTGTAGGCCAGAATTTACTCTTGTCAATATCACATAATCACATTCCTATCACTGGTCCCGATGTCGATTTTTGTATCCCAGTTTCGGCAAGCTACCCGCACCTCACAGTCTATGATTGGCCTCGAGCTGTAATTTTGGGGTTCATCCAGTACCCTGACGCTGTTATGACGCTGAAGATACCATGGGGGCGGGCCGGCCAAGGCTGCGAACTTGGTGATCAATTGAAGACAATTATTAAGTCTATCGTATAGTTCATCTATAAAGGAGACGTGAAATTGGGTATGCAATCCATATTTGTGCTATTCCCGTCCTACAGAATCAAAAATGGCGGTTCCAACTCCACCCTCATCGGATACACGAGACAAGTCTGTGATATTGTTCAACCGAGCAGCTCACTTGCATGCTGAAGACCCGGAAATCAGAATCCATTATGTCGAAGCATTGCCGGGAGACAAGAAGGTGAAGAAAGGCACTATACTTCTAATTCACGGTTTCCCAGAGACGTCTTACCAATTCCGGCACGCAATGGTCCCTCTTGCCGAAGCAGGCTATCATGTCATTGCCCCGGACAAGACTGGCCACGGTTTCAGCAGCAAACCGATTGGTAATGTCCATCAACAAGACCCCTTCACCAAAAAATCACTCGCCCACGATCTTCACCAGCTCTTGACTGAGCACATTGGAATCACAAACCCGGTCCACGTTGTGGGCCATGATATCGGTGGCATGGTTGCGCATGCGTTTGCGTGCCAGTTTCCCGATAGTGTGGCTAGTGTCACCTGGGGTGAATGTCCGCTTCCTGGGTCGGTGTTTTATGAGGAGGAGAAACACTCAAGTCGGTGGTGGCATTTCGACTTCCAGAGCCATATGCCAGATATCGCAGTTGCCTTGGTGCAGGGAAAGGAAAGGATGTACCTGAAGCATTTCTACGACAGATTGACGCAAAACCAAGCGGCCTTCACTCCAGAAGTGGTGGACTATTATGCCCAGCAATTCGGTGCCCCTGACGCACTACGTTGCGCCTTTCTCACATACCGTGCTTTCGAGATGGATGCCGAGCATAACAGGGAATGGCGTGAGGAGCTTGGGAAAATAAATTTGAAGAATATGGTGTTGTCAGGTAGTGAAACCATGCATGCACCAGCAGCTGAGGCTATGGCAAACGAGTTCTATGACAACGTCCACGTTGGTATAGTCCGTGACTCTTGCCATTATCTTGCGGAAGAAAACCCTCAAGGCTTCGTGTCTGAGCTTTTGACATTTATTGAATAATAGCCACTGCTTTATGTAAGCAGGAAACGGTCCGATCGTCTTTGCCTCACAACGTAGGGTATAAAAGCGATCCCAGAGCAACCTTCCGTTAAGCTAGGCTGCAATCATACTAGAAACCATCATTACCTGCAACACCCTAAGCATTTATCCTTACTTCGATTTAAAAGTCAAATTTTACGAGTCAGGATGGGCTCTGTACAAGAAGGAGCAGTACTGCTTCTTTGATAATGAAAGAGTAATTTGTGCTGCCGATTACTGTTGGGGCAGAGGTCGCCAAGGCACGAGATGTCCTCGGTGTGGTTCGAAGTTGTTTAAGTGATCATGGAAATGGAAGTCGGAGAGAGGTTGAAGCTTCAGACCGACGCAGAATGAAGCGTGACGGCATGCGAGACGGAGGAAACCTACCCCATTGCGCTTGATCCCTGACTCGGGGGATCGCCGAGAGGCGCAGCATCAATGGAAGACAGCGCGCGGGTTGAGTACCTAACCGGCAGAATGGATAGAAGCTTTCTGGATGATATCTGGGGTCCTATCGGAGCACTCTTCCAACCTCTACCTGCTTGAGAAGAAACCGCGCTGACTGCAGCCTTTTGTCGCGATGGTCATACGGAGCTTACCAGACAAGGCTGAGGCCGAAGTTGACTTGGTCGAACTGGTTTTTCGAGCGACATCTTCCGCAATGGATGGGCCCTCTCTACACGCTCGCCACCAAAATGATCAATTTGGTCTAGACCTGAACATGGGACATCTTGGACAGCTTGCGCGAGATTTAATCATGTACTCTGTCAAGTTTTGGCGATGTCCGGGGTTGAGGGGAAGGCGGACAACATGTTCAAGCCGGGGACCGACTCACTGAACGTTTGCAATTTGACGCCCCAGTCAGTCATGGGATCTCGGCTAATGGAATCCTGAGGGGAGTATTTCGTGTTTACAGGCATCTAGATAGAATCTGTGACAAGGAATAGGACCACTTAAAGCTAGAAAATCGAAGTTGAAACTACTCGTAGCACGGTCGGTGCTTGCCACTTGGACGAAGCCCGCTCGAAACTTTCCACTATTGTTTTTGTGATACAGAGATGACTCTTGGCAAAGTTGCAAGTTGTAATGACCGAATTTTGAGAAATTGAGCCCAATATTGAGCATCAGTCACCTAAGTAGTGAGCTCTCGTCAGTTCTTCGAATCCTATATCTTTTGATAAGGTTTTAAACACTTGAGAGTCGGCCTACAGAGCCGCTCTTTTGAACCTCTTTGCTACATAAAACCTCGATGAAAGGAGAATCCCGAAGAGGCAGCAGTCGCTATCGGGCATCGACATCGACCTTGATCTTGAAAAGGGGTGAACCCGGAGGGAAGCTTGTCAGTCACGTAATCAAACCCTCAGGTCAATCGTAATAACGACCACTCAAAAGTTACAACATCGAACCACCTGTGCGTGACGCAACTTCCTCTCCTGATGAGGTGAGCTAAGTTCCCTGAACAGTCATGTGCAAGCATCCAAGAATGTCAATAGCTCTCCGTAACATTCCTCGGCTGTCCCAGGGTTTGAAGCTTCAGCAGCACGATGCATGCAGGTCCAAACCTCAAATGGTTGTGCCAACCTGGTAACAACAATCTTGGTACACTTCACAGGCAGAGGAAGCAACCCTCTATGCTTGCCAATTAGTCTGGCGTCATGGGATCAGCGATCGCTTGCGGATTGATTAGGACCGAGTGTTCACAAAGTTCTCAAGCTAGGATAGCATCAGTGTAGAATTTGTAGCTCTGACTGGTTCGTGTGCATAGTCTCGCAACTCTGGGCGCCGCCACAGATCCTCAGTCATGAAGGTTCCAACCTGGACCTCTCCGATCGGTAGCGCGGCATAAAATGGGGAATTTGGCTCATAGGAGAAGCAAGGGGCGTCCTCAGATATATAGCCCACATGGGGTACTAGAAGACCTCCCATCCTCGATTCTCAAAAGTCATCTCTTATCCTCTAACCACTGGCTACACCATTGACCTCACATTTCAGCAACCCGCAAACTCTTTTCCAGCCATCCATCTTAAACACCAGCCATCACGGTTTCAGCAGAGAAACTTGTTGACGCCATGGCGTACGCATACTATTACGACATCCCTCCTCCACTGGTGGATCATCCCCACGAGAGAAGTCACCAGCACCAGAACCTGCTCCAATATCTCGCTCGACGACCGCCTCATCCTGAAACCCATCCAAACCAGCCGGATGTCGATATTCGTGATGGAATCTCAGAATTCTTCGTCGAAGTCGAAGTACCCGGAACCAAAAAGCCCAGCGAGGTGACCGTGTCATGGACGGGATCACGTTCTCTTTTGCTGACCGGTAATACGCTAAGACCAGACTATGGCAAAGCCGAGAATGCTGAAGTTGAGGAGGAGAAACCGAACCCTCATTCTGGGGGAGTCCATTTGCTTGTTGGCGAGAGGAGGGTCGGTCCTTTCAGGAGATATATCAATTTCCCCACGGACGTGGAGAATGTCAGTGTGACATTGGAGGCTGGGCTGTTGAAGATTCGTGCACCCAAGAAAGGATTCACAGAAGCAGCAGCTGCGAAGGTTGATGTCCAGCATGAGTGATTTTCGCCGAGGTGGTGCCTCGTTCTTCCATAGCAAATGGCCCTAGATACTAATATCCTTGCTACATGGAGTGATCCGAGTCGCAAGCAGAGTTTAGTTGAAGGATGAACAGGACAGCCTTCGTATTCAAGAAGAGCCCTTCAATGTTTCAACGTCAGGATGAGGTGCTTTGTTGGCTTGATTGTGAGCTGGATTACAGGTCTTCGCAATTGACAGCTGAGTGTTCGATACCCTCTTAGCAACGAGCTTATTCGTGCGCCATAACAACAGGTTGTCCAGGGTGATCACTTGTAACCTGGTTAACCAAGACGATTTGGGGTGATAAGCGGAAACTTACCAATAAAGTAACAGACCACGACAATTGGGATTTGCCAGCTGCTGAATATAAATGCTGTAGTGGCTGTTCCTGTCGTGAAGCTGAATAGACACAATACGGCAAGACCGGCTCCAACGATTGTTCTTAGAAGAATAGACAGCCACTCGCCTATAGTTTTCTGTGTTTTCCCAAACCAGTACATAACAGCGAGTGCAATTAGGAAACACCCAGCTGCCAGGTAGAAGTACACGAAAACCGTGCCAAAAACATTCATCAAAGCGTTTGTTCTCGTGGTTTGAGATTCATATGCACTGTGGTTTGGAAGATGAGGCCCTACAACCGCGAATTGTTCAAATATCGCATTGAGAACTCCATAAAGAAGATCAGTGAGGATCGGCTCTGCTTGGTCCTGCCACTGAGTCGAATTGTACGGTACTGCTGTTATGGCACTGAGTGATGTCAGGTTGTTTTGATAATTGTAGAATTGTGCCAGCTGGTTTTGCTTATTCCAGCCATCAATTGTACTGATTGCATTCTCGAGATATGCCACAAGACCCGCCGTCGAGTTGACAGAGTCAGGAATATCGACATACACATTTATCCATGCAGTACTGACCAACTAGCCATTAGTATCTAGGACACAAACGTTCGAGAGAACAGTCGCAAAACTTACAGGTAGCGTTTTATGATGCTCCAAAGAATCAACGCAGAGCCTCCCTCTACCGTTAGGAGTATCGCAACATGAAGAGGGAAATGGAGCATTGCCCAGATTTGCTGACGAATCGTCCCGAATCGATCGTGCTCTATCTGATCAAAGTAGAGAACCCATATAAAGTACTGCACAGTCTTAGCATGCAAAATTGATCTCATACAAACAAACCTACTATTAGCAGGACACATGATGCAATGATACCAATATCTGAACCTCTCACAGTGCGCACGTTCCAAAGAATCTGAGACACCGACTTGGTGATCGATATAATGCCTTCCCCCATCATAATCAAAGTCAAAAGTCCTACTCGTTCGACAAGATGCGTCCGCTTGAAACTCACCACACGCCACGTGCATGAAATCGCAAGAACCGAGGTCGCTTCCAGAACGGCGACCACATACCAGGCAAGATACGTGTCAGGGTGCGCCAGCCTCGTTGTTGCTTCACCCGAGGGATCAGTGCCGTCAACGACGTCGAATCCCCAATACGTGCCGAGGAACACAACCGCAGCAATAAGGAGGGTAGCCATGGTCGCCAGAAGTGGAATGCGAGTGTTGCGATATTGTCGTACATACAGCAGTATAACTCCATACTGCACTATTAGTATCAGTCGCGATGTCATCAGGATCATACTCATTGCCTGGAATGCTCTGGCATGGTACCCAACGTTGGTTGTGTCGTAAATGACGCCCACCATAGCAAAGCCGGTCATAATGCCAAAAGAGAATGCCTTACAAATTCGATCGAACACGGAGTCGGAAGCAAATCGGACATCGAAAAGGGAGGTTTGAAGCCAGGTAAACCACAAAAGGGTTAGGAAACCAATATAATTCCGTAGAGCTGCGCTCGTTTAGCCGGGTAACCAGAAGAGACATTGGCAGCTCACTCTTGGAATCGACAATCTCATGATTGCCGCTGAAAGACGTCAAGTTGGCGACAAAAAAGAGGTCGTAGAAGAGCTCAATCGTGCTGGACTCAGAACGGTGCTTGAAGGGCGGAAGCTTTGATCTCTGGCTTGCGCTGCGCCTCTCAATACTATCTTGATTTGAATGTGACTCAGCAACACTTGTTCCCGCCAACCCTTGGTCTGGTTGACAGCTTGCATGTTCAGGGTCTGCGAGAGGACTTGAGATCCATGGTGTGTGTTTCCGTAATCTTGGACCTGCCGAAATTCTTCGATCAAGAGCCCGTCCAATGCGCATGACGACCACAGAGGTCTGGTTGTTCGGCCTACGATTGTAGAAAGGTACGTAGCATCGACGACGAGTGAGTGGAAGAAACAAGAAGGGTTGATGTCGCTACGTGGTTGCTAGTGTCTAGAATGAAAACGACGCAGACAAGAACATAGGACAAGAAGATATGCTGGTTTGGTGTCCATCGTTCCTCCCACCTCTAGCGACTGAAGCACAGACCAAGCACCCAGCTTCCCACATGGTGGAGTAGTACGCTGTGGCGAACGCAACCAGAGTTGCTGGAAAGATCATGGCTTGAGCCGGTATTGTCAGAGTTTCATTGGCGAGGTTGTAAATTCTGAACGAGGTGGAGGGTTGGGAAGGTTTCTGTTGGCAGATACCAGCTCAGAGTTCAATAAAAGGACTCACAGACCAATAGTCATCTGCAGTCGCCATCTCGCCGCTCGAGTCAAGTTGGTCGAGATTCAGCTCGAAGCCACAACCGACGCGGCAATGGAACTAAAATGGAGCTCGAGCCACGCGATGCGACCAGAGCTGCGAACTGATCCAAAGCTGACTTGTTCTTTTTTCGTTCTTATTCACCGTTGCCAGAGGTACGAGGCCGGATCTCGGGCTTGAAGAAATTCTTTGAACTGCAAAGTTATTTTGAATGTTGCTGTAGACCTCATGGCCGAGGCTACCTAATCTTAGCAACCATGACGTCACTCACTCACTGCATGACCATACAGTGAGTATGTGTATATGTGCATACTGTACCTCCACCCATCCACGTTGAGCATATATTCATACCTAGGTGCCTCATGTACATATCAGCAGCAGTCGCAGTAACATATCTAGACTTCAAGGTAATGCTCTGATATTTTATGTTCACGTACTGCGCCGCCTGCGCTATTGCAATCAGGACTTCTCTCATTCTCGAAAAGTCATGCAAAAGAAACATCTAGGCATATGCTGAAGAAACTGCCATCCATCAACTGTTCTCTATGGCAACACGGATTTTCAAGGAAACAGTCCAGAGGCATGAAGCCGTGTTAACCTTGATCATGGTCATTCCTGACGAAGTATGAAGCGTTTTTCCATCAGCCATACAGATCGTTCCGACACCGAGTGCAGACTTGTATGTAGCAGTCATTGCATTCCCAGATGAAGTAACTCGGGGTCCAGCCACATTCCCAGCAAACGCCGGCAAACTCTCTTGTTTTGTGGAAACCATTGTGAGGGCAGTTCGGCTCTCGACGCAACTGTGCTTCAACCAGTGCGATGGTACTGGGTTGACTTCGACGTTGCGCCACCTGTTCAGCGTGTCGAAGAAGTCGAGTTTCATCCCATCTTTCACACTTGCAATTCTTCCAAATTGCGCAGCACTCGTAGCTAAATTCAGCTCCACAGTGACACCTACAGCGAACGAGTCAGTAAATCTTCAGAATTTGGACCGGCAGGGAAGAGAGTTGGGCCATTGCGTGTGGACACATACATCATATGATTGCAGCCGAAGGTAATCAGAATTGCGTGGCCACGTCGTGGACAAGTGCTGGCGCGGTTTTCAGCCTTCCACTTTTCGAATTGAGCATCTTGGGGGACCAGGCACTGGTTTTGGACGTGGAATGCTAATTTGCATGTTGAGCAGGCGCATTTCTTGCAAGAGGGGCATACCGCCAGTCTATCTTTGATGGTGTTCGGGTCAATAAATGCAGAGCATGCTGGTCCATCGCTATATGTTCGATCATCCGTGCCGTATTCCATGATCTTCTTTTTCAAATTAGCAACAAAATTGGTACTGATCATCTTGCTGACCGCCGGCCAATCGACTGAGATGCTCAGAAGGTCTTTGCAACACCTAACAGTAAAATTATTTCCGTTGTGGAGAGCAAGCTCAAAGGCCTGAGTAAGCACGCCTGACAACCTCGTGGAGGATGTGATTCATCTAGCTTCAGCAGGTCCACATAGTCGTCAAAGTGAGTGCTGCCACTAGTGTCGATGCGTTGATCTTCATAGTAGCCGTTCTGCCCGTTGATTCTGGAGGCTCCATTGTTCGAGATTGGGTTTCCTTGAGCTCCATGAATGGCATTCAAGGTTTGCATCATCATCAACCAAGCTTTCAATGACCGCAGTGTCTGCCAACATTGCTCGGTATATGCTTTGTTGCATTCTTCGGTCTGCCTGCCTTAGCTGTTCATTTTTGAATTCTTCGAGCTGGACCTGGAGGGAGAGGGCTCGGTCACTAAGGAAAGAGGCGGCTTGAATCTAGTGCGAGAAGGACCTTCCTCAATTCGGCTTCCAGTAGGGTACCAGCGTGGTCGGCATCAATGACTGATTCATAGATGTGATCCATGTCAAATTAGTAAGGTGAATGAGGAAATGAAGGGACCTTGGCACATACATAGAGAAGCAGGTTGAAGCCGTTCAAGCAATATCAACAAGACAGCGAGCGAGGTATTGTGGTCTCTGTCTCTTGGAAGGGAGAAGATAGCATGGTCAACGAACAAGACGCGAAATTAGGCAGTCGTGACTCTAGCCACAAAGTACTAGCAGTCCACAGAGGAAGGTGCGCGACTTGCACCACCATTTTGCAAATTGGGAAGTCGCGAACTCCTCCTACCTTTATTTGAGACGTGGCGATACCATGCATTCAGCGCCCTGATTGACCTGTAGAGACAGCCATTCAGTTGTGTGCCACGTACCACTTAGGCTTGGTTGTGGATAAAGATGTCTGGTGCCAGAATGACTGCCCTCATGCTACGGTTGGTGAGATTGATGAATGGCTTAGCTAAAACTGAGAGATAGCGCGCGTGCGTGGCGCGAGAGCGAGAGAGAGAGAGAGATGGCTTCGAGCCTTCCACATACAGTATAATACCTTGGTACTCCATATACTGGAATGTTCTGTAGGTACCAACATCTTGCCACATTGGGAGTAGCTTCAGGGGAAAGAGTAGATATTTGATTATTGTTGCCGGTTGACGCCACAATTGGATGGTGCCACATCGGATCTCAAAAAACTTTTGGCGGGATCCAAGGCTGTGAGGAGCAAAGACGAAGTGAGTAGTATTCAACGAAACCAAATAATAATGTACTAGTACACCGACAGTTCTCCCTCTCGATTACTATTCTTTTTCTCCAGGCTTTGTGTCTTGAAGCGCTTGTTGCCATCCTCGTCTGTTCTCTATTCTCATCAAAATTCTCCCCCATCATGGCCGCAGCTGATGGTGCCAATGGCACCCCCCACTCCAAATCCTCCCTTCCAGCTGTCTATATTGTTGCTGCTGCGAGAACTCCAGTCGGGAGTTTCCTGGGGTAATTGCACCAAGCATTGAATAAGCATTCAAGAGCTCTGACATCTCTCAAGTTCTCTTTCTTCGTTGACTGCACCTCAACTCGGCGCACATGCCATCAAATGTACAACATCCCACTGCCTCCTTGCAACCGTCGGACTGACCAGATGACTAGCCGCTCTCGAGAGAGTCCCAGAGATCAAACCCCAAGATGTTGAAGAAGTCTTCTTCGGCAACGTTCTCTCCGCAAAGTTGGTGTGTCCTCCTTCACCTCCTTCACCGATCTAACAATCGATAGTGTTGGTCAAAACCCTGCCCGCCAATGCGCCCTGGGTGCAGGTTTGGAACCCTCGACGGTCTGCACGACCATTAACAAAGTCTGCGCATCCGGCCTCAAGTCCATTATACTCGGTGCGCAAACCATCATGACTGGCAATGCAGACATTGTTGTAGCTGGTGGCGCAGAATCGATGTCCAACGTCCCTCATTACCTCCCCACTCTACGGACGGGAGCAAAATTCGGGAATCAGTCACTCGTTGACGGTGTACTAAAAGATGGTCTCACAGATGCCTACGGAAAGCAAGAACATATGGGTCTTCAGGGTGAAGAGTGTGCGCAAGACCACGGCTTCAATCGTGAGCAACAGGATGAGTACGCGATTCGATCATACCAAAGAGCGCAGGCGGCTGCGAGTGAAGGTCTTTTTGACTTTGAAATTGCACCTGTACAGCTACCTGGTGTCCGTGGAAAGCCCGGTGTCACAGTGGACAAGGACGATGAGCCGAAGAATCTCAACGTTGATAAGCTGCGGTCCATCAAACCTGCTTTCATCCCCAATGGCGGCACTGTAACTGCACCCAATGCATCACCCCTGAATGATGGAGCAGCTGCCGTTGTTCTGGTATCAGAAGCCAAATTACAAGAGCTGAACATTAAACCCCTCGCCAAAGTTTTAGGTTGGGGCGATGCAGCACATCAGCCTAGCAAATTCACGACCGCTCCCGCATTGGCCATTCCCAAGGCTTTGAAGCATGCTGGTGTGAGCCAAGACGACGTTGACGCCTTTGAAATCAACGAGGCTTTCAGTGTTGTTGCCCTTGCTAATATGAAATTGCTTGGGCTGGCCCCCGACAAGGTCAACCTTCATGGTGGAGCAGTTGCCATTGGCCATCCTCTGGGAGCGAGTGGTGCACGTATTGTCACAACATTGCTCGGCGTGCTGAAGGCAAAGAAAGGGAAGATTGGAGCCGTTGGAATCTGCAATGGTGGTGGTGGTGCCAGCGCGCTTGTTCTCGAGTCTTTGCTTTGAGACATCCACAACAGGTTTCATCGACTAAACCGTGAATGAGACTTACAGCATACGTGGGTACATATTGAGCGGCCTGGGATGGAAAGAGGGGATCTCTGATGGAGGCAAAAGCGAATGCAATGCAAGTTGACTGCTGTCAATGTAATCGATAGTTGAAGTGAACATAATATACCCTTCTTGCAGTGCATCGCATCTCAGTATCCATTGTTTAGGCTCTTTCGCATTCAGTTGATCGTTAGTAGTACCGAGTACGGAGTACACCGAAGTGGACGAGGCTCGGGTAAACGTCGGTGTTATGAGGAGAAAGGCACCAGATCTTTACCCCAACTTCGCAAATTTCACGAAACAATTCCAGCAAGTCTTTCCCCCACCAGCCAAGCTCGACATCTTTGAGCTTGCAAGCAGTCATGGATGACCTTTATGATGAGTAAGGAACTTATAAACGCGTTCGACGAACTACTTTCGCTAACCTTAAATGTAGGTTCGGCAACTTCATCGGTGAGGCCCATTCCGACGATGAAGGCACGCAAGATGGCGATATCGGCCAAAACTATGTCTACGACGAAGACTCGGAGGAGGACCAGGGAGTGCAAGATGAGCAAGTGATGGATGTTGATGACGAGGGGCCCTCCAATGCGGTCATCCTTCATGAAGACAAGCAGTACTATCCAACGGCGCAGCAAATATACGGCCAGGATGTTGAAACACTCGTCCAAGAGGAAGATGCACAGCCGCTGACACAACCAATAATTGCCCCGGTCACACAAAAGAAGTTCCAAGTGCAAGAAGCAGATCTGCCTCCTGTTCACTACTCAAGAGAGTTCATGTCCGATCTTCTCAGTTTCCCAGAGGGAATCAGAAACATCGCGGTTGCTGGGCATTTGCACCATGGCAAAACTGCCTTTGTGGACATGCTGGTCATGCAGACACACAATCTTCAAGAGCGACTTGACAAGAGAATTGGCAGAAGAAGAGATGAACAGTTAAGGTACACGGACACCCACTTTCTCGAACGAGAAAGAGGTCTCTCCATTAAAGCTGCCCCTATTTCTCTTGTCATGCAAGGAACTCGGGGGAAATCGCATATCCTAAACGTTATTGATACTCCGGGACATGTAAACTTTGTGGATGAAGTCGCATCAAGTCTCAGGCTAGTCGATGGTGTCGTACTCGTCGTGGACGTTGTTGAGGGGGTCCAAATCAATACTCAACAAGTTATCAAGCATGCAGTCCTGGAGAATCTACCCATGGTCCTTGTGGTCAATAAAATGGATCGCTTGATCCTCGAACTCAAAATTCCGCCGACAGATGCTTATTTCAAGCTGAAACATGTTGTGGAAGAGGTGAATACCATCATTGAGAACACTATGCCAGGGCGTGGAGAGGCGAGGAGATTGTCACCCGAAAAGGGTAATGTTGCTTTTGCTTCTACGTCAATGCAATGGGTCTTCACGCTCCCCTCGTTCGCGAGGATGTATGCCGAAACATATCCAAAAGTCGATGCGCTGGAGTTCTCAAAGAGACTCTGGGGCGATATTTTCTTCAATCCGCGCAGTCGCAAGTTTACGAGAAAAGCCGTCGAAGAAGGTGCTAAAAGGGCATTCGTCAATTTTGTGCTCGAGCCTATCTACAAGCTTTATTCCCATACAATCAGCGAAAGCCCAGAAGATCTTGAGGCAACGCTTCAAACGTTGGGTATTTCCTTGAAACCATCACAATTGAAGTCAGACGCAAAAGTCCTGCTTGAGCTGGTATGCGCACAGTTTTTTGGTCCTGCTTCGGGGCTCGTCGACATGATCGTGCAGCATCTTCCCTCACCTGTCGAGGGTGCAAAGAGGACTTTGGACAATTATTATACGGGTCCAATAGACTCCGAGATTGGCAAGGCCATGTTAAGCTGCGATGCAGATGGCCCCTTAGTTGTCCACATCACCAAGCTGTTCGGCTCTCCGGACGCAAAGACCTTTAATGCTTTTGGCCGTGTTATGTCTGGCACCGTCGCACCAGAACAACAAGTCCGAGTCCTCGGTGAAGCTTACAGTCTTGAAGATGAAGAGGATTCAACAAATGCAGTCATCACGGCCACATTGTTAGGCTGCTCTCGATACAATATTCCAGTCTCCGGCGTTCCTGCTGGAAACACTGTCCTTCTCTCTGGGGTTGATAATTCCATTGTGAAGACCGCCACGGTCATAGCCGCGCAACTTCCAAATAACGAAGATGCGTATATCTTCCGGCCCATTAGACATTTCACCGAGTCCGTTTTCAAAGTTGCTGTTGAGCCCATCAATCCATCTGAACTTCCAAAAATGCTTGAGGGCCTTCGCAAGATCAACAAGTCATACCCACTCATTACAACGAAGGTTGAGGAATCTGGAGAACACGTTGTTCTCGGGACGGGCGAGTTATACATGGATTGTGTTCTGCACGACCTTCGGACCCTCTATGCGGAAATGGACATCAAAGTGTCTGATCCTGTCACAAGGTTTTGCGAAACTGTGACCGAGACCAGTGCAATCATGTGTTATGCATTAACACCTAACAAGAAGAACAAATTGACCATGATTGCGGAGCCGTTGGACGACGGAATCGCAGAAGATATTGAAGCAGGCGTTGTCAAGATTCGGGAACCGATCAGAAAAGTTGCCAAATTTTTCGAGGAGAAGTACGAATGGGACAAACTTGCTGCAAGATCAATCTGGGCATTCGGGCCTGAGGCGATGGGTCCTAATATCCTATGTGACGACACGCTACCATCCACAACGGATAAAAAGTTGTTGAAATCGGTTCAAGAGAGCATCAAGCAGGGGTTTTCATGGGGCACGAGGGAAGGCCCCCTCTGTGAAGAACCCATTCGCAATACCAAATTCCGCGTGACGAGCGCAGAATTGGCCTCCGAAGCCATCTTCAGAGGAGGTGGCCAGATCATTCCAACGGCCAGAAGAGCAGTCTACAGTTCGTTTCTGATGGGCGGGCCGCGACTGATGGAGCCTGTCTACAGCGTGCACATGACGGGACCCGCAGACTCTATCTCCGGGCTCTACACAGTGTTGATGAAACGACGAGGTCACGTTGTCTCTGACGGACCAGTTGCTGGCACACCACTGTACGCCGCGAAAGCTCTCCTCCCGGTAATCGACAGTTTTGGTTTCGAGACTGATCTTCGAATTCACAATCAGGGAGCAGCAAGTGTGTCTCTTGTGTTTGATCGTTGGGATGTGGTCCCTGGCGATCCACTCGATAAGAGTATCCGCATCCGGCCTCTAGAGATGGCAGGTCCACAACAAGCAGCGCGAGATTTCGTTCTCAAGACAAGAAGGCGCAAAGGATTGAGCGAAGATGTCGATGTTAAGAGGTTTTTGGAGCCGGAGCTGCTCGCAGGTCTGAGAGAGAGCGGTGTCTTGAATTGATTGACGTACAACTAACCAACGCTCTTCCGCAACGTTCGGCCGAGCAAGCACAGCTCCCTGCGGAGTTAGCGATCCGCAGGCCGAGACCGAAGATGATAATCCATTTACTACTGCACGCACACAAGTGTCCCTCTTTGCATTTGATCGGGAACGGCCCGTCCGAAGTCCAAAGGCCAAAAAAGGGCAACACAATCTTTCTTTCCGTCCCCGACGGAGGAAGAATTGATAAAGCCCGATGTCTGCAGCATGCAGGTCCAGCCAGCTTCCCCAGAAAGAGCCACTGCGGGCCTCGCCGCGCGCACTAATGAGCGTTCACCAGCCCCAGGAGCAGACGTGAGCGCCCGTTCGCAAACTTGCACCGATGAGGCCTTCCTAAACCCCGGCTGGCGCTGATCATACCAGCATTGACCTGAGGTAGGCCTATACAACCCCTGACACGAAGTGGTGGATTCAGGGCAACAGGTCATTTATATCAATACTTTGCACTGCTTCCACAGTACGCGGGCTCTATTGTCGGATGGTTAGACTTTGGCTGTACGTAGGCAGTAATTGCCTACCTAGGTGTGCTGTTTTAGTGACACGATGAGAGGCGCACAACCGGGACGAGCAGTGTGAGCAAAAGATTCCAGCCAGCCCCAAGGAAATGCCGTGTCACTTCCATGGTCAGGGACTTGGGATTTTGCTTACAGTACAGAGATGTGAAGCTAGACATGCTTTAGATGAGCAAAAATGGAAAAGGCCAATGATACCGAGTTAAAGCTTTGATTGACAAATGCGTTCAGTTAAACCTGCAGGAACACTACATCGACCTCCTCGCCCTTGCGGACCGACACTGCGGCCTCGAAGCCGTCGTCTTTCTTCAATACATCCCTCGCGATCACCAGTTTACTTTGGACATACAGCGCCCATCTCCCCGGCTCGAGGTTTCTCGCTACGGGATTGACAGTGACTTGCTCTTCGCAGCCTTTGCCGACGTAGTCCCAGCCGCGAACGGTCAGGATCAGGGCAGATACCTCTGGATCCCACTTGCCTCGCAGGACACTGACGCCTTTCTTCTCCCCCACGAAGTGCAGGTTGTCGATATACGGCGTCGTCTGGAGTTGCGCGGCGGTCCAGGGCCGTTCGTACATGATGCGCTGGCCGTCCTTCACGTTGAGGCGCGCGTACCCAAGTGCCGTGTTCCCTGTGTAGGGTGACATGAAAGTCCATTTGACCGTGTCTTGACCATCGTCGCTGAACTCGAAGGCATTATCGTTGCGGCGATAGTACAGACCACCGTCCTCCCACTCGGGGCTCAGGTGGGTGTCGGCGTACGCTAGTAGGCCGTCAAGCTCGGACTTCTTACCAAGCTCGGACAGCCATTGGGTCACGTAGCCGAACGAGGGCTTTGTGTATGGGAAAGGAGGCTTTTTGGATGCTGCTATCTCCTCCTTCGCTTTCGAGACGGCCTTCCGCAGGAGTTCCGCTTCTGATAGTGAGGGTTCTTCTGCCGAAATGGTCCTGACGTGATTTGCAACGATGGGTGGTTGTAAATTGGTCTCTCCTGTGGCGGAGTGTGTGATGAAGCCGAATGCTTGTTTTTCGTACAGACTCTCCACCACGCTTGGATTCCAGCTGTGTAGAAATGCACCGCCCCTGGCAGGTTGAAAACTCAATTAGCAGAGACCCTTTCGAGACCGGACGTCTCAATCTTACCATGCCGTGAATGCCAAATCTCGGGCTGGGACAACGAAGTCCTGCTTGACCATCCACCAGTCGTTAAAAAGGTTAGAGTCACCAACCATACCACGCTTTTTCGCCCATGCTGCTTGGTATTTTGGGAGGATCTCGTCCATTGCGTTCGTGCCATCTCGAACGTCGTTGTATCGCATGGCGATAAGCTAAAGGAAGGATTAGACATCAGTCGCGAGATGTAATGACTGTCAACACATACCGGAAATTGATTACACACTATGAAGACCACGTTTGGCTCACAACAGACACCAACCCAGTTGTTGCGCTCCATCTCGTCGAGAATGGCCTTTTGCAAGGTCCGGTTGCTATATTTAAACTCTTCCAATCCCAAGCCCCAGAACATGGGATCCCACCTGAAGACAATGGAGGCATCCTGCTCAAATTCATCGTCGTCGAAAAGCATGCCGTAAAGGCTGGTCATGAGTAATAAATGGCCACTGTACATGATGTTCTCCTTGACAACTGGATCGGGCCAGGGCTTGCGCAGCTCAGTCAATGATGGATCGGTGAGGATGCCACCGAGGGAGGTGTTGAACCAATAGCCCCAGACGTCACGACGGAGCATTTTATGAATTAGTTGCCGGATCAACGGTTTGAAAATGGTGCGCAAGGCAGGCAGATGGTGGTAGTGAGCAAGGCCAGCAGCGTAGCTCATATTGGCCAACTGATAACGGTAGGCATCGAGGAACTCTTGCCCGGGCTCAAGAACGCCCATATGACGCCATTCTCCATCTTGTTGGAATGCAAGATTGTAGAAGTGCCGAAGATGACCTACCTGCTGTGGAGAGAGTTTGGGATATTTGGACAGATCGAGAGGTAAATCTGGGGATAGAGTATTGAGAATCTCCCCTGTAACTTTGATAGTGGGGGAGAATGTTTGGGTGGTAGTTGTAGTCATGCTGGAGCTTGACAGGTAGAAGGGAAAGTATTCTCAAAATGCTACTTCGACAATGTGACAAGTACGGCCTGGAAAGGTTATATAAACCAGAAAATCTACATGGTGGCCTAACACACTGGCAGTGGATAAGTAAGCAATTAAGTCCTGATGAGCCAAGGGGAGGAGATCTCTAGACGAATAAGTCGACTCGCAACGTCACCTATGGCGACACCTGAAAGGCCCAGGTTTGACATTCTCGACGCCAATGCGAGGGATGCCGACACGGGAGGCGGGCCGTGGTGTGAGAAGAACACTAAAGCCCGAGGAGGACGAGAGTTTATTGTCTGAGAATCTTGAACTCGAGTCCGAGGACGAAGGACGAGTCAACTATCTATCTACCGCAGACTCGGTACCAAGAACCCGGACTCTGGAATACCCTTGCTGTGGAGCTGTGGAGCGCCCCAGATGAATGCACATAGTCAGGTGATTCCGGTGCTGGAATAATATTAGACCGCTTGTCGCCACGGTCCCCAATTAATGTCACGTGCTTGGTTCTGAAAGCGGGGAAGCGACATGGCAGTTTGAGGAATAGCATGGAGATCAGAGGCACTATTAGTCACCAAACAAAATGGCAATCTGCACATGAACAACCACGAACCTGTTCAATGGAGGCACCAGGGTTCTGGAACCACCCTGACCTACCTACAGGTACATATGGGCTTACACCTAGCTGGTATAGACTTAAGGGACTTAGGTGATTAGTCGAACAGAAATCCATAACTCTCCATTACTCAGGCTCACTCTAGATTCCAGATAGACTTTGTTGCTTCATTCCTTAACCTCAACCAAACCAAGGGCAATCCCACATTGTACAGAACCTTCCACTCCCTCCCTTTCCCGCACACTCCTCGACTGTAACATCACACTCGCTTCGTCTGATCACGCTCTTATCCCATCCATAACAGCAATTCCCTCTCCTCAATGTGATTGTCGACGATCACACCACCGGCAATCCCAGATCTCCGCTTCCTGATCCTCCTACGTCATCTGCACTATCTGCTGACAATTCCATCAACAACATCCAACACCAACGGAGACGGCCACTGCGAGGGCAATGGTCGTTCGAGCTCTTCATAATGCCGATTCACCTACTTCTTCCGTGACCCCAGCTTCACGAGACAATGCCCATACGGTCGATGACTCTGGCAAGCCCGATGGCTCTCAACTCGACATCCCTCCCCCAACCATGGCCGCTGAAATCGCTCTCGCTGCCCTCGCAACACTACCCACCCCTCTGCTGGTCCTCTCCTCCTTGAAGACCGTCATCATGGCCAATAATGCCATAGGGCTGTTACTTGGACTTGAACAACATGATCCACAGTTGACAATCACCGACCTGTTGAGAAATCAGACCTTGTCGCAAATTGGCATTGACATGGTTTCCGATGGCGCACCCATCTGGGTCAGTTGGGACAAGTTTCTAGACAATGTTGCGACTGGCTTCTCGCACGCTTCCGAGGAATCTACCTCTCCAGGTGACTTCCTCCCAGGTATCGCAAGCGGCGAGACGACCCCGACAGCCATCCCAGAACAGCCGAGAGGTCGTACTCCCATGAGAAGGAGAACCCACAAAACTCAAGATACAGTTGTCGATGTGGTCTTCTCCTTCAGAGCGAGTCACTCCCATGCACGCCTTCCTTCTAATACGCAATCACAGGCTCGGAATTCCCCAATACGAGCTTCATGTCGCATGATCATTTCCATCTGGTCGTTAGACACTGAACGTTTCTTCACTCTAAGTTTCACCAGCCCGCCCGATCCCAGTCGTTCGAGTCACCATCGACACAATAATCAGGCTCGACCGTCACAACGGACACCATCCTCCCATTCTACCAAGTCCTCTCGTTCCTCTCAATCCCAAACCCCGAGTTCTTCCACCTCAAATTCTCAAGTCAACTCCCCTGCTGAACATGTCCTTGGCGCTTTCCCACCTACCAGTTCTTCTGCCCAGTGTCTTCCTCCACCAACAGTTACCGATTTTCAGAAGATCGTGAAGATGAAGAATGCTATGCTGAATGCCATCGACATTCCACTGATCACAGTCTGGCGCGACGAGAGTGTCGTATTTCCAAATAAAGCTGCCAGGAAGTTGTTGGCTGTAGAGGCCGATCCCACTTCTGACGTAAGTTACGATTTCAAATCCCGTTTCGCCCCATGGTCCTCCGACTTTTCGCATGAGCTTGCCGAAGAAGATAATCCCATTGTCACTCTTTGTCGTACCCAGAAACCATTTTCTTGTTGGAAGGTGGGGATGATCGACCAAGGGACGACAAAGAGATCTACCTTCGATGTGAGCGGTCATCCTGTATTTGATGAAAAGTCTGGTGACTTCTTGGGCGGTCTGATGGTTTTCAAAGATTCCACAGAATATACAGAGAAGATTGCCTCACAATCAGCTCAAAACGAGGAGCAATTTCGTCTCATCTGCGAAACAATGCCGCAGATGCTGTGGACCACCCGTCCCGACGGTTTCCATGATTACTTCTCACAACGATGGTATGACTATACTGGTTTAACACCAGGCGATAGCATAGGTCTAGGCTGGAAATTACCCTTCCATAAAGAGGACATGCCAGAGACCAGCCGTAAATGGATGCATTCACTGGCCACCGGAGAGGAATACAGGGTACAATACCGGTGCAGGAGGTACGATGGAGAATGGAGATGGATGCTCGGCCGTGCCTCGCCTCTGAAGGATCACAAAACTGGGAAGATCCTTAAATGGTATGGTAGCTGCACTGATATTCAAGAGATCATTGATGCCAAACTAGCCGGTCAACAAGCACGCCAGAATTTGCTCGATGTCTTGAGACACTCTCACATGAGTTTATGGATCATCGATCGTGAACAAAAGGTTACATTCTTCGAAGGGGGTTTTCTTGATAATGAGAGCACCCCTGCTGGAAAAATTGGGATGTCAATCTATGATTTGCTAGCCAACTTTCTCGACCCGAATTCTACCTCGGAGTTTGAAGATGCCGTTGGACGAACATTGTCAGGAGCGTCCGATCTGGAAGTTTGCGAGAACAAAGTCAATGAGCGATGGTTCCGGTCCAAGCTAGTTCCACTCAGAAGAAAATGGGGTCCCAATGGTGCCGAAGACGATGATTCCGTTGTGGGGGTCATTGGCATTGGTACCGAAGTCACTCAGATGCGCCAGAAAGAGCAGGAGAATATTAAGCTGCTGGCTAACGAGGGGGCAGCAAAGGCAGCAAGCAAAATGAAGAGCAACTTCTTGGCGAACATGAGCCACGAGATTCGAACTCCAATTGCAGGCGTTCTAGGAATGTCAGAGTTGTTAATGGACACGGTCCTCGACAGCGAGCAGAGCGAATTCGCTCAAAATATCCAACGATCTGCAAATTCCCTCTTAACAGTCATCAACGACATTCTCGACTTTTCCAAAATTGAGTCAGGCCGCCTCGATATAGAAGAGGTCCAATTTAGCTTAGGCGTCTTGTTGCGCGACGTTAGCAAGATGCTCTCCTTTGCCGCCCAGCGAAAAGGATTGGACTTCGAGAGTGACGTCCATTTGGGTCCGTCTGATGACGTTATTCTACTTGGTGACCCAGGACGAATACGGCAAATCTTAACCAACTTACTCACCAACAGCATCAAATTCACCTCTGACGGATTTGTGAGAATGAGTGCTCGTGTTGTAAGCGACACAGATGAAACCACTCTTATCGAGTTCACAGTGGAAGACACGGGCATAGGCATTGAGGAGGAAGTCAAGAAACGACTTTTCAGACCTTTCAGTCAAGCAGATTCAAGCACAGCCAGACGGTTCGGTGGCACAGGCCTTGGATTGACTATATGTAAAAATCTTGTGGACTTGATGCGTGGATCCATCCAATTGGATTCCAAATTGGACGCGGGGACAAAGGCAATATTTTCCATACCATTTAAGAAGGTTGAGTACAGGACTGGAACTAGCGCTGCATTGCTTGAGGTGGGCAGTATGCCGGATCGGCTACAGTCTGAGCTTTCCTTATCAATGGACGGATCAGCAAATGAGGAGAGCAGAAAGTCCTCCAGAATATCTCCACCCCTAAAGCCTCCTGGATTTCAGAACTCCAAACCATCTATTGGTGCGCCTGCCCAACAGGTCATTTTGAACCCGCCTATCGAAGAGCAGATCGATCGTGGAAATTTTCACATCCTCGTTGTTGAAGGTTCGTTGTCCTCCTTGTCCGTGAAGTCGCTTACTGACGCGTCTAGACAATCCTGTCAATCAACAAATTGCTCTCAGATTCATTAAAGCCCTCAAATTCTCGGTTAGTGCAGTCTGGAATGGCAAGGAGGCGTTGGAATACCTTTTAAAGGCCACTTCTTCAGACTTGACGGCAGAACAAGCTAAGAGCTACCCCATTCCCTCGCTTGTATTGATGGATGTACAAATGCCAGTACTCGACGGATATCATGCTACCCACATGCTCAGGCACCATGCTCCGTTTACGACCATACAAGCAATCAACCAGATCCCAATAGTCGCGATGACCGCTTCCGCCATCCAGGGTGATCGAGAAAAGTGTGAGAGGGCGGGAATGGATGACTACATGGCCAAGCCCGTGAAAAGATCAACTCTCGAGACAACCATTCTGAGATGGATCAAAAGCGGACGCTCTCTTAAGGAGGTAGCAGAAACCGAGAAGCCCCCTCTTGCAATGTCCGCAACAGATCATTCTTCTGACTGTGCAGCACACGATGCTATCGCCGCCGAATTCCTTGCGGCAAGCTCGGCCACTAAGCCGCAACTGGAACCGATTTTGGGCCTTGACCAGGACGTTCCTAATAATGTCGGCAGAGCTCCAGCCAGGAGATCGAGTGTATCTAGGTCTTTAATGAGTACACAGCTCAGAGGAGGAGAAACTGAGGGCGACCGTGTGATGTGCAGGGCGGATGCGGAGGACCAGGCAAGAGATCTTCGTGATGCGAAACTGTTTCAAGCCACCGAAAACACAGCAAGCCAAAGGCCAATAGTCACACTCGGGCCCGGGACACCTCCCAGCTCTGTTGCATACGACGTACCTATCAGTCAATCGGAAGCGATACAGATAGGTGCGTCTCCTACTGCCTTGACAGTGGAGAATGTCACGTACTTCAATCTTACGCGAGATGCGGACATGGACTTACTAACAAGGCCGACCTCTCCAAGTATCACCTCGAGCCGCAAATTGAATGCTTTTTCTGATATCCCAGGTCCACCTCCTGAGGGTCTTCTGTCTGCAGTGGATATCGCAGGAGTTGACGCGAATGCTGAAGCTGTGGTTCAGGCTCTCTTGGACGATGCTCAGCACTCGGCGGCTGCAGACAAAGCACCTCTACAATTGGGAGCGCCGTCTCCCAGGAACAGGAAAAATCATGGCGCATTGTCTGTGGATGATAGACAACAGAGCGACTGGTCGACCAGCACAGCGCGACCAGAGAAGAAGCATGTCTCAGGCCACGGATAATGCAAGGCACAAAGTCTCTGGCTTAGATCTCGATTGTTATGCGGGATGCCAAAAATCAACAGTTTATCCCCAACTCTGTTCTTGACGTTTGGCGTTACTGGATTTATTCATCAGATTAGTGATGATTGGGTACCAATGTTTCCATCATTTGAAATGAGCCATTATTAGACGGCTTTTCTGCTGCAACGTTCTACTGGTTACGGATGACTTATGATACGGTACTGGTTATTGTGAGCGGTCTCAAGGATAAATGCATCCCAACGCCATAAAACGTGGGACATTAGCCATGAAAATATATCTAAAAATGGATGTAAAAGATGGTGGGACAGGGCTTGGTCGAGCTGGCATATAAACTTTGAGCTCGCTCCGATCAATATCAGGATTTACCTACCTAGGTAGAAGTTACCTTGGGAAACTATCGAGCGTATGTTGACTCGTAAGCATTGCAGGATGCATGTCCATAATAGAAATTGCCCTTGTCTCTCCATTGTGTAGGTTCCGAGGGCCAAGGTATGACTGTATGATAGAACTGCGGCGTGAACACAATACGGTGGATTTTTCTGGTCGATTTCGCCCTGCCTTGCCCCTCCACATGAGACCCTAAATCCATCTATTTGGTGACGCCTTTTCGAGAACCAACCGTCACTACCGAAACATACTGACTAAACTTTCAAATTGCTACCTTTTGCTATCGATCCATCCTCCGCAGAATCATAGTACTATCTGCCTTACTCACCTCCAGAATCTTGTGCTCTCATTTCCGCTCGACTTGCAATTCTCGGAGCAGTCCTTGCTAGGTTTATTGCACAAGCTACACTCGACACTTCTCCCGACCCAAAATGCTAATCAAGTACGGCCTGCCCTCATTCCAAAGCCAAAGACCCTGAGCCAGGAAATCCAAGCTGACTTGGTATTGCAGAGTTCGGACATTGACCGGCAAGGAAATCGAGCTTGATATTGAACCTGACTACAAGGTATCCTTTTGCGTCCCCTCCCCCGCGACTACGCGAACTCTCAGACTACTGCCAACTCTCCCTCCCTCTGTGCATAAAGGGTGGGAAACATCCATCCATCCATCGACGCGACCTTAAGTAAGCGCGCGAACGCAACACTGACCAGACTTTGTGCCACAACAGGTATCGAGAATCAAGGAGCGCGTGGAAGAAAAAGAAGGAATACCACCGGTCCAACAGCGCCTCATCTATGGTGGTAAACAAATGTTCGTCTACCCCACCCCGTCTCGTGCAGTCTGCTCTTCAAAGTCTCTGTGATAAACAATCACTCATCTATCTGCAGGGCTGATGAAAAGACTGCGGAAGACTATGGCCTAGAAGGCGGTAATACCTTACACTTGGTTCTTGCCTTGAGAGGCGGTAGACGGTGACGTGACCTGGTGACGAATGCCACAAGAGATACGAAACAGTGTATGATGGATGGGGATGAGAGCGAGAGAGCATGAGCATGAGCACATGGCGTTTTACAAATTCCGATTTTCATTCATCTTCGTTCACGTGGCTGTGGTCAAAATAATGCCAATCAGAACCATAGGGAGGAGGAACGGTTTTATATTAGATGTTTTCCGAGAGAGCGTCGGGGATAAATTCTAAGCCGTTACGAGCTACAAGGTAAATGGCGAGGTTTCCCTGTGTTTTGAGCTGATGCACAAAATGTCCTTGGCCGGCAAACCTTTCTCCTTCCAGACTCAGTGGTGGCGCGAATCCAAAAGCCACCTGGGGCATGTCAGGCCAGAATCTCCGCGACACGAATCCCTTCGAAAGCCGCTCTAAGATATACCGGGCGGTCTTGCAACCTTCTTAGATGATGCAACAAAGAGTGATGGCGGTTGCTTCCTCTTCAATGTGTTTGACAGGGGTGCCACTCTCATGGGACTGGACGATCGAGGTCTCTCGAGGTCATTGAGTACCCCCAGTAAACTGGATGAGGCCTTCGGCGCCTGAGGCTCTGCGTCGTCAGAATCTTCGAGAAAATCGGCTGTTAAATCTGCACCTGCTGCTTCCCTTTCGTTCCCCCCTAGTTTCGGCGCACCATTTTTGAGTGCCCGCAGCCTTGCTTCTCGATCAACCGTAAGATCGTAAGGAGCACTAGCCGGCCGCTCAATGGGTTTGCGTCCGTGTAAAGGTGGTCGAGGGGCCCGGGCTTGTGCCTTGGGTGGAGGAGAGGTCTGGGGATTTGGCGTAGGCCGCTTCTTGAGATCTTCCACAAACTGCATGGGCGGTTTGGCAACAGTGGTGGCTCGCTTCTTCAACTCGTGCATGGGTTTGTTCATCTTGGAGGCATGTGCGTCTCTGGCCTCTTTCCGAATCTTCTCCATCAGCGTCATTTTGCTTGCACCTTTGCTGCCCGTTTTCCCACTGATGTAATTGTGATAAATTCTGGCTCGCCGTGCGGGCTGATGGGGTAGTATGGTTCTTGTAGTCATCTGAGCGATGTTCTGCTCCTTCTCGTTCTTGATGTTGGTCAGTGCTGCCTTCAGCAAGGCCTCATCGGCGATGGATTCCTCGTGCGCTTCCTTCTTCAACTTGCGGTAGACCTTGTACCAATTCTTGGGGTCTTTCGGTTCATGGCGTTTACTTTGCCAGTCGGGAATGTCGCGCTTTATAAAACCCAGCCATATCTCTGCGTCTTTGCCAATGATTTGAGGGGAGTTCTGTTCGAGTTGGTACTGTCGTAATTTGTCAGTTAGACGAACAGCCTATGCGAGAGTGACAGTCGATGGTGGGGGACTGACCAATTTCTCCGGACTTTCGACTTTCAATAGCATCGGTCTGATAAGTTCATATCTCAAATCGCCGATATCTGTGATCCTTGCGCTGTAACGAGTACAAGCGCGGCGGGCCATATCGACCAGGCTGTCGGCCCCGATGATTTGTGCCATGATGACCGAGAGCTTGCACTCAAGGAGCTTCAGACCAGCGTGGAGGAGAAAGATATAGTAGTTTTGGAATTCTTTGCGCAAGTTGAATGTCTCATTTGGAAGTAACAATCAAAGACTTTTGAATCTACGGGGAACAGGTAACTCATACAGAGCAGTCATGTAGCGAAGGGGGGGGGGGGGGGGCAGACGGGTTAGATCGAGGTGTTAGCTGAATTTATGTTTTGTGGATTCCGCGGGAGGGGTGACTGTGACTCGTACTCGTGGGCTGCTGTACCGGTATGTACTCTGTACGAGTAGCAAGGGTAGACTCTGGCTGTTTCCGGCCGCAGCCTCATCACGTGAGGACACTAGCTTGCTACGGCAGAGCATATCTACAGGATCTTGTATCCGTCAATTCAAATTGACTCGGAGATAGTGGTCTCTCACTTTTCTGATATCGTAATACAATGGCCGCATTTGCCGTGCTAGAACAAGCTGAAGAAGGTAAGTTTCAGCCTCTCAATCTATTAATCTTCCCATAACTTACTCTCCTCACAGACAAGCTCCATGCTTCACGTCTTTTGGGTATCGAAGAGCGGCCCTTCAAACGGATCACTAAACGTCTACTCGGGCCTTCCAACCCTATCAATTCCTTCTTCGCTCGTTCCTCGGATGCTACGGGCGATGAAGCCGAGAATACCGACCCAGAACTCAAGCACCAGCAGTTTGTCCAGAATATCCAACGCTTTCGCGAGGAAGTAATCCTTGATTTCGCCGCTTTTGAAAGCAGCATTGCTCGCATCCAATATCTTCGGGCCGCCAATGAGCGTGAACGAGAGCGCTATGCGGCGGAAAAATTGAAAATCGAAGCCACTGCTGATGAAGTGCGGAACAACACTGCCAATCTCAGAGTCCAACTAGATGAGGCGCAGAAGACGCTGGCTATCAGAAAAACATATGATGTCCTTGCCGACAGGATCACCAAGAACGCCTCCTTGAAAACCCGTGACGAACAGCATGTCAATATCGAGAAGCTTAAGGCAGAGATCGAAGAACTTGAACGCGAATCTCAAGAACATAATCAGGCCTGGCAGGAGAGGAGAGAGCAGTTCAATCGAGTGGTGAATGAAAGCCAGCGGTTGAGGAGAGTAATCAGAGATGAGAAGGAGCCAGAAAAGGATGAAGAAGCTACTGAACAGGATGATGAGAATCTACTGGGTACGGACCGAGAACGAGATGGTCTATCCAATGCAGGGACCCCACGAATGATGGATGATGCGCCTACACCTCTTCTGGGCCATCATGGCGGTGTGACACCGAGGTCTAATCTCGGAAGTACAACGCCGAGGCGAGGCGATGACATGGAGATGAACGGCCTCGGCAGCTCTGACGCTCCTCCGAAGGTCGTCGTGGACAAACCAGCTGACGAGATGGACATGACATAACAAAACCGGGAGTCTGTACTTTATCCCCACGGATAGCTAATGGCTCTCTTGAAAGAGCGCCTATTTCAAAAGCGAAGCAAACCATCGAAGCAAGGAGCGAGTGTGTACTTTCTCTACGACAACCAAGCGTCGAATACAAGCAAGGCTGTTCCTAAAATCCTTTGGTCCTTTGTCAAGTCCCTCAATGATTTGCTGGACCCACTGCTTTTTTCAGTAAAATGATCAGCCTGCGGAAGGGCGCCCCTCAACCGGGTCATTTGTGGTCTGGTAGCGTTACCTGGAATGTGGGCCACTTTAGTCGTTTCGACACTCGCCAGCCAGAATCGGCAACTTATGTCTCCATGCTATCTCTTCGATGGGGCTAACAACTCCCATGCTACCCTCAAGTCCTTTCCCCTTGCAGGGTATCTATAGGGCGGGTTGAAGCAATCTCACCTCCCATGACGGCACCCAAGCGTCCTGCATTGTCCTCTGGCGAGAGTCGCAATTGAGAAGTTGGCAACTCCAGTTCAAACTCTACTGGGCGAAACTTCGGTGGAAAGATCCTAAGTCGCAGCCACCTTACTTCTGCTCGGCGCCGGCAATTGGATCGTCCTTCTGTGCCTCCTTAGCCGACTTCAAGGTCTCCATAGCATTGTTGCGTTCTTCGTCTGTGGTTGCGTTGTCCTGTGATGCTACAGTTACTCCATTTGATCACCAACGTGAGATAGATTTTCAGGACGCACCAAAAGACTCTCCAGCTTCTCCCTTGCGCTGGTGATGCGTTCCCGGACTGCTGGTATCACGGCTTTCGTCTCCTCCAGTGCTTTTCGCTGTTGCGAATCAAAGTATTAGCCTTCGAGACATGCTTATAGTCCAATAAATAGTCAATGATCATCGTAACAGCCTTCGTTGCAGACGCTCGAACACTGCCTCCTTCACAAGGACGAGATCCATTTAGGAATCAATTTCGCCCTCTCTCTGCCCGCCTAGCAACGTAGCGGACTTCCCTGATGTTCGCGACGAAATAGGAAAAGGAAAAGCAACAGCAAATCAAGGCAAAGCAAGTACATACTTCCTGTTTCAGCTGGAACTCCTCATTCCCGTCACTATCACCGGTGCTGCCGGGAGCTTGGTTTTCCAATTTCGCAATCCGCGCCTCTTGTTGCTCTTGCTCTTTGAAATACGACTTTTCCTCCTTGAGCAAGCGCTGGAGCGAGGATGTCGCGATTTGGACTTGGCTGGGTGCCATGATATTGTTGTGTGCGAAAATACAGAGAATTAGGAGTAAACGTGGGGTGTGGGAGCATTCCACAGTTATAATTTTGAAACTTGCGCTGCGTTGCGTTGTCTACTGTAATGTTTGGTGTTTTGACGAAGTTACTGATGAGTATGACGTCTGGGGCCTTGCAGAGGAAGGGGGAGCCAGCACGACGGCGCGAGAGTTGGTGGGCTTGGCGCGTAGAACGCCACTCCCAGGCTGCAGCTTGGGTCGGGTACATACTCGTAGGTATCTATGCTTTTGACTACACACACCACCTACGGAGTACAGCAGACATCTATGTGGCTCTCTCTACTTGCATAGCTCACTGTACGACGGGTAGATTTTGGAGAGCTGGTGAAGTTTGCTACTATATCTGGTGCACGCGAACCTCTTCCGCAGGATCTCTAATAGCACAGATCCACGCAACTCAAAATCACTCCGAATTGCGGCTGGTTCGTGATTTTCGCACGATACCTGTATGGTAAGCCTTGAGAACGACATTGTAGTCAGAAGCGTCTAGCTTAGCAGCGTCTCCATCCGCTTCTGGTCTGGAATCGCGCAATTTCTAGTCGGCAATTGACCACGTTCTGGCGACGTCAAATCAAGCCACGGGTTGACCAAGCACTCGGAAGGGATCGCCCAAAAAATCATGCGAGTGGCGCATCCAATGATGACAAAGATGGTCGTGGATGCGTCAAGAGAGGCCGATGGCACATGCAATGGGCTGTCCCATCCAGGTGCCTTGTTTAGGATTCCAGCCTACGTAAGCAAAAGTCCCGGCCGAGTTCACATGAGCAGGGCGCAACGGTACAGGATTTCGAAACCCTATACCACAAAACTTTTGTTAAGGTATAAATGAGGACAACCCTGTCGCTTCTGTAGGTTGAAATCATAATACCACTCTTGTCAAGTTTATGACTTTCGAGCTCTTATCGAAAACCACATCTTCCCAACGCAATCCTATTATGAAGGCAATCACCATCACAAACTGGGGTGCTCCCGCCACTTTCACAGCCGATCATCCTTCACCTCCTGCTCCATCATCAGACCAAGTCACCCTTAAAGTTCTCGCCGCCGGACTCCATCAACTCGTTAGAGGCCAAGTCACCGGCACCCACTACAGCACTAAAACTGCAACTCTCCCTTATATCCCGGGTGCCGATGGCGTTGGCACCACACCCGATGGCCAAACCGTCTACTTCAACAGCATCTCCCAGGGAGGAGCCTTTGCGGAAACCATAAACGTTCCCAAAGTTGCAATCACTCCCGTTCCTTCTGGAGCCAGCCCTGTTCAAATAGCCGGTTTGGTCAATCCTGGGATGAGTTCTTGGATGGCGCTCAGGACTCGAACCGAAGGCCTCCGACCAAATTTCACAGTCGCCATCGTCGGAGTTACAGCCATCTCGGGCAAGGTTGCCGTTCATTTCTCCCGCAGCTTGGGTGCCGGGCGAGTGATCGGTCTTGCCAGAAACGCAAAGGAGCTGGCCGCCATTGACCTGGATGAACGGATCGTTCTGAACGACAATCCCGAACAAACCGATTACTCGTCCCTTGGTGATGTTGATGTTATCCTTGATTATCTTTGGGGACCCAATATTCTGGCCTTATTCAAGGCCTTGAAGTCCTCGGTGCCTACTCAAGTTGTGCAGATCGGAACACTGGCAGGACAAGAGATTCCTCTCTCCGGAGCGATACTGCGTGAGAAGAATATTACAATCAGGGGCTCGGGCCCTGGAGCGTGGTCTTTCCCCCAATTTGGCAAGGAACTACCCTCCCTCTTGGATGCCGTGAGCAAATTGCCAAATTTGGATCTGAAAGAACGGAACTTGGAGGACGCCGAGGCTGCATGGGGGGCAAAGAAAGATAGGACGGTTTTTGTTCCCTGACTGCTTGGCGAGAAAACTTGCTGTCCTTCCAAAAGTCGTTGGATGAAGTTTTAGAAAATGATATGCAGTCGACCTGTCTCGCGTCTTGATCACCTTCAGCGTCTTCCTTCGTAGTCTTTACCTGAGCAATCCGTTCGTCCTGTCCACTAAGCCCCCACCTCTACCTGCACCCATATACATCTTACTGTCGTAGTCTCTAATAAACCCATCTCACTCTCCGTTCGAAGACTGGCATCTTGGAGCTTAGTACGCACTGCAAATTCGTCCGGGCGTAGTGTTCTCATCGTGGCAGTCTCTTTTGAGTCGGGTTCTGGACTACGCCAGCCAAGATCCCACTTTCCCGTTTCACCAGTAGGATCATGGTCCGGCCCAGGCAATTGCGGCAATCCACGTTTGAACCACGGCTTCTTTTGAGGTCTTTCAGGTAATCCGGGAGTAGACTGCGGCGTCAATCGGCATTCGAATTGAACCCTTGGCTCGTGCCGCTCGCTCAACGGGTCCTGCTGTGGGGATTTCCCTGAAAGCTCTCGGTGCAGAAGGGTGTCAAGCTCCTGGACTACAGACGCCTGGGTCCAGAAATTGGCGCCATTATCCTCACCGGACAGATATATTACAGTACCGGTGGTGGAAAGGCTCTGGAAAGGAGGAGCTACCACATTTGCAGCACTCAGCTCTGTGCGCGTAGAGGGTAATGAGCCCGAGGGAATAATGAGGATCGTCAAGTTATTGACAGCGTTGGCGAGATATGAGGAGAAGCACGGAAGGATGTGTGAATCAATCAGAGATTGGAGTCGCCGGGTCCGTTCGTGTCGAATCATTGAAGTTATTGATGAGGTACCGCCGGATGGTGATTTTTCTCTCGCCAAGCGTGCCTGTGAGACAGTACTAGTCCAGGTATTTGAGCTGATCGAGTCCTCATAACTAGGAACTGGATCCGCATCCTCAAATTGGGGGAAGGTAGCTTTTGACATTGGTACAATAGAATATGTTCTTGTTGTTCGTCTTTGGAATGATGATTGAGGTGTTGGAAGCATGTGCCTGAGACAACTAGGGAGTCGATAATGGTCAGTGAAATCCAATGCTTTTACCTTCCACGCAGTCACATTTGGAGAAGGGGGTATGGACTGCGGGAGATAGGAGGGGGCCTGGAGCCTCAGCCTGGTCGTGAGTTCTGAAAATTGATGAGAATGTCCTCGATCAATACTCTAGACTGAGTACTTTGGACCCTAACTAGGATTGTGAGGAATATTTTTGCTAAAAGTCGCAAGGTCAATTTGCTATCGATTTTGGGAAGGACTAGCTGTAACGAAACCGGTGACTGCGAGTCGCATGAGGGACATCGACAAGAGTACAAAGTCGCTCCACTATATCGATTGACAACTATTGCTTTCGAATTCCGCCTTAGCAAACCAGATAGCCCATTAGGCACCGTGGCACAGTGACAGCTGAACCGAACCGAGCCGTTAAGGATTGCATCCAGAAAGTAAGCTGGGTGTCCAGAAGCTTTCCACACACTCCTACTCGGTAGACTCCTCTCCGAATCCGAGTACGTAGTACGATAACCTCAATAGTCCGTGAGTGAGAAGGTGATCTGCATCGATGACGGAGATGATCAAGTGACAGCAAGGCAAGGGGGAATGGCCCGGAATGAGAGTCCTACACCACGTGCAATGGTTTGGAGAACAATGTACCGTGGGAACTTGGGAGGTCAGGCTGATTTGTGCTGCGCCTCGTGTCCAAACATCTTAGTGAGCTACTGTACCAAGACCCCGCACTAGTGCTACGCGGCGAATCTCCACTTGCAAGTGATCATTGGACAACTCCGAGTGGTCTAACCAGGCATTGCAGGCTAGCAAGGTTTATCCTAACTCCACTAAAGACAGGCTGTACTCATGGAGTAGTTCTCTCGTCTTCAGTGTTGCGCCCCATTATTAAATAGCAGAGCTCCGTCTTGCCGTGAGACTTCGTTTGCTCCACGGAACTATGTTTCGTAGACTGTGAAAGTTGACCCATCTCCAAGAAAACGAGACAAGAATCGCCTACGCCCTCCATGCCGAATATCCGAGAGTATTCACGGCATATTTCTTGGACCCCACCGTTAGGAAATGCGCATTGTCTTAGTTACTACTGTACATGCCAATCCCGCAAGGCAGATAAGAAGAATCAATAGTATTAACGATTAGGAAGCCCCCCACCGGTGGAATGCCTGATTGGTATCCGCGTGACCTTTGACCGGACCCATCTTGGAGCGGAAATATTCTGGAAGCCGTGATGGAAGGCTTTCTGACTGGTCAACTGCTTTCATGTATGGGTCTTTCTGCTCAGTCGGCATTGAGAATGACTCTTAATTGTCTCTTGGAAGTCAATTACTGACTAGCACATGGTATCTAGGGCATGATCTGATTGGATATCCAACGAAGGCAGCCTCGCGCCGGGGCATCAGTCGGTACCTTGGAGGCTCAGGATCCATGTTTATCACATACCTTTTCAAACTAACCACCTAGGAAGAGGAGGCTGAGCCTGAACCTCCTGTATAAACTATACAAGTTTCGTGTATATAATTGTACATCACCACCTACTTGTTTGCATCTCCTTTCTTTCCCATCAATCACTTTGAGACACAGAATCCTTTTGTGTCATATTCAACCTCCTAGACTAACTTTCATTCCTTCCTCTTTGTCACTTGCATCAGTCGTTACTTGTTCTCTTCCCACGTCCTATCTTTCTGACCTTTGACCCTATACCGACTCATTTCTAACCAAATCCAACCTCAAAATGTGGTACCACATTTCGGATGCGAGCGAATATCTCGTCGTCACTGGTGCTGGCGTCGAGGATGTCCGAATTGTGAAGAAAGCCTTCGTTTATCCATGGCAACGGGTCGCCCGCATTTCCGTTTCCCCCTTTGATTTTTCTCTCAACCTCCAGGCCATGACCATTGAGAAGCTGCAGTTTGCTCTTCCGGCGGTATTCACTATCGGTCCCGACAATAAGCCTGAAGCTTTAAAGAAATATGCCCTCCTTTTGAGTGGAAATCCCGATGGCACGCCGGGGAACTCTACTAGGAAGGCGGGTGAGGTAATTGTCCCAACGCAGAGAGGCCATGTTCAAGACATTGTCAAGGGCATCATCGAGGGTGAGACAAGAGTCATTGTCAGTTCCATGACCATGGAGGAAATTTTCAAAGAGCGGCAGGTATTTAAACAAAAGGTATGGTTACAAACTTGCTGGCCCCCGGATCCAAAAGCTGATGTCCCCTCTCTAGGTTATTGAGAATGTTCAGAAGGAACTCGACCAGTTCGGCCTTTGCATCTACAATGCCAACGTTAAAGAACTCCAAGATACCCCTGGCTCGGAGTATTTCGCATTCCTGTCACGGAAAGCCCATGAGGGCGCCTCGAACCAAGCACGTATTGATGTGGCTGAGGCCCGCATGCGCGGCGAGATTGGCGAAGCTGGCAAGAAAGGGCACACCAAACAGGAAATCTCCAAGATTGAAGCCGAGACGGCCGTCCTAGAAACCAAACGGAAAGCTGATAAAGCACAGGCAGACGCTGAGCTCACAAACAAGCAGACCGATTTGGACATGGGCATTCAGATCGCACAGATCAGGGCTCGCAGAGCCGCCGAAGCACGCGATGCAGAGTTGCAGAAAGACGTCGAGATGAAAAAGGCGGCAACTGAGCTCGAAAGACTTCGTGCGAAGGACCTGGTTAGAGCCCAAATCTCAAAAGAGACTGCTCAGCAGGATGCAGATGCTCAGTTCTACCGTGAATCCAAATCTGCCGATGCCAAAGCATACGCCGAAAAGCTAGACGCCGATGCCCAACTCTTCACGCAGCAGCGACAGATTCAAGCCGCGGTTGAGCGGCAGATGAAAGAGGCCGATGCCATGTATCATGCAAAGATGAAGGAAGCAGAGGCGACCAAAGCACAGGCAGAAGCATTCAAATCTCTTGCTGAGGCATTTGGTGGTCCACAAGGCCTCCTTACGTATATGATGCTTAAGGAGAACACCTATGAGAAACTGGCTCTTGCTAACGCCAAAGCTGTCCAGGGCTTACAGCCAAAGATTACCGTCTGGAATACCGGACCTGATGGAAGCGGAAGTGGAGCTGAGGCTGCGGGTCTTGCGCCAATCAAGAATCTTATGCAGAGCCTCCCACCACTCTTTAGCACAATCCAGGAACAAACTGGTATCACCCCACCAAACTGGATGCTGCAGATGCCCAAGGGCGAAGGTGCAGGATACACAGCGCAACCCACCAAACTCAATGGTCAAATGACTACCGACGACAAGCGAAAGCTGGTTAATACTAAATAGCGCTAAATGAACAGAGTAGCGTGTCAGGTAAGGTTGTCTTGATGGGCTGAGGGTTGTGTCGAGCCGCCTATACTTTTTTTCATTGCGAGCGAATGGAGGTTGTTGTGCATGCTGCTTGACTGGTTTACTGTCTTGTCCGTCGGAGCATTGAACATTTGAACGTACAAGGCCTGCAAGGCTTCAAGTGGTTGTAATTTTACTAGTCGCTTATTCCTTTTGTATAATATTACGACTGCCAGTTAATATACCACGAATGACGAAGAATTGCAAACCGAGCCTACTGATTCTTGCTTGACCAAGTTTGAGGCCTCCATTCTGCAAGTGCAGGGAATAAGGGCACACAGCAGGCCGCAAAGAGAGATGTTTCCCGTGGCTTTTACATACCTGGTCAGTCTGCCTCCTCCCACATTGATAACTCGGCAGTTTGTCAGCACCAAACCTTGAAGACAGCATCAGGAGATGGCATGAGATTTCCCTCTACACGGCTTTATCTCGAGAGATTGAACACCTTAATATTTGGGTCTCTTGCCTCGTTACAGCCTTTGCAGCCGTCGTTTGTGCCTGACTGAAGGCAGGCAGACTTTGTTTCTAAGATCAATAATGTCAACCGCGGTGTTCCCCGAATGCATTGCTAGTTTCTTGTCACCCTAGTGCCCACCATGGTGCGTGAATCTCTCGCGCTAGGTACTAGGGTAGATTGCCTCGGAGATGACGGTACGAATACGTGGGCTGACTGACTGATGGGCTCCAAAATCACAGTGTTACTTTTCAAGAGAGATTTTTCGATGGCGGGTCAGCCTTGGACAAGGCTGTAACGGTGGATGATTTGGTTCACTGGGATACTGCTCAGCTGGTGGGTCATGGGCACGAGGCCATGGGGGGGCTTTCGGTGAGGCTGCATCGAGGGAGAGAAGCCAAGAGAACACAATGGCCCAACGATTCTGGGATCATAAGGTCTATTATTCTCTAGACTTGTCGAAATAGATGGATATGTACATTATCATCAACATGATGTGATTTCTCTTTCGTTTTCCTCCGGTGTCGTACGTGATTTCTACTCCAGGCCGACATCTGCATGACGCTCCGAAACTACGTACAAGGTCGCTTTATATTGAATGGAAATGAGTTCTTCTTGCGATTCCCACGTGTAGGATAGGATTTCATGGACAGATCTGGTCTTCCCGTCTATCATGCATATAAAGGTTGAGTGCGACTTCGAGCCACAGGAACTTTGCGAGCAGCAATCGAGAGGCTCTACAACTTGGCTTTGTCGCCGACTTCGCCGATCTTGAGTTTCGCTGCGTATTTTTTGAGGACTGATTCGTTATGATACTATTGCGCCGTAAGTAAAATAATCCAGCATTGGCTCCATACGTTTCCCATCGTCTCGACTCTCGAAGCCGATCGACGCACGGGGGATACAAACATACCTTCCAAAATTGTTTACTGGCGTCTTTGCCCGCGACTCTCTTCAAAATCTTCGCGCCACCGGGATGTTCATCCACGAAGTTTGTCACATCATACACGGTGCCATCGACAATAATGTAGAGTTCTTTCGCCTTCTGGTCGTGCTTGGCGACATCTGCTGCGGTGAATACTTTCGACATCTTGTAGAGGAGGCGGGGCCTGAGTTGAGGCAGATGAGGTGGATATTAGGGTCAAGTTGAAGATCAAGGGAGTCCGCGAATTGAAGAGTGCCGAGAAGGAGGCCAGACGATGGGGTGATCTAGGTTTTGGATAGGATCTGCGCCGAAATTGACAGATAAGGGGTAATACGGGCAATTGACGCTTTGCAGGTAATAGTCGCTCTCAGACTGGTGTACACACGTTGCGGGAAAGTCAGTTCCTAATCTAGATGAAAAACGAAAGGAAAAGGTGGAATGAGAGGATTTAACAATCGGTGGACTTGATGACTATCGAAAGGTTTGACTGTGCCGACCACGACTTCACTGGAGAGATGCCGAGGTTCCCAAGTTGCCTGGGCCCGGGGGAGCGATGCGGGAGGACGGGGTGGTAGCCGGTCAGCCGATTTTGGTAGGATGCAATTGGATCCCCTCGAATGATGATAACTATTCCCAGCAACAATGGCGAGATGGCCTAATGTGATATTGACTCTGTAAATGTCTCTGTGGTGGGCTTCTCATCAACCCGTCGAGAATAAAACAATAATGTAAGCATCTATCTCTATGGTTGTGGTTTTGGTCTCTTGCCAGTGCATTGGCCTCTGTTGGTAAACTGTGTATTGATATTGTACGGCACGTCAATTTTCAGATCACGCAATTCTTCCTTATACAAACCCACCGGAGGAGAAGACGCCGAGCCCTCTACCTGCTGCGCCGTAGAAGATCCCCCGTAGTCTTGGGCTTCTTTCACGTCATCGCTTGTGGTGTTCGAGCTTTGGAAGTCGTGGATGTCCAGGCCAATCCCACGATACTATCTTTTCTCCTAGCGTTTGATGCTGAACAATTACTAGTCGTAAGTACTCAATACCTGGCCACTTGTGTGTCAACGCACCGAGACTTTTGGAATGGCGCCAAATGACTTCTCCCTGTCAACGCGGATCTCCTTGTCCAATGGACTTTCCATTCCTCAAATTCACCTCGGCGTTTATCTTATGTCAGGGCGTGAAGCATCCTCAGCTGTCATTTGGGCTCTGAAAGCTGGATATCGAGCAGTCGACAGTGCTCAGATGTACAGGAATGAGAAAGATTGTGGTCAAGCTATTCTATCATTCTTGAATGACAAATCCTTAAACACCACCGGGCTGACACGGGAAGACATATTCTTCACCTCTAAATTGGCTTCCAACGCGACCTATGAAGCGGCGAGGAAATCGATTTCCCAGTCTGTCAAAACAAGTGGCCTGGGCTATATTGATGTATTCCTCCTTCATAGCCCTTATGGAGGTAAGCAAGCTCGATTGTCGAGTTGGAGAGCGGTGGAGGATGCTATCAAAGATGGCGAGATCAAAATTGGCGGAGTGAGCAATTTTGGGGTCAAACATCTCGAAGAACTTTCATCATCGAAACCCCGGATCATGCCAGCAGTTAACCAGATCGAGGTTCACCCTTTCAATACGAGGACAAACATCGTCGAGGCATGCCAAAAGCTTGGGATTGTGGTGGAAGCATACGCGCCACTGGCACGGGCACTTCGTATGAAGCACCCGACGATCGTGGCTCTCTCTCAAAAATACAAGTGTACACCGGCTCAGCTGATGATCAGGTGGAGCCTGCAGCACGGATACATCCCACTGCCGAAAAGCGTGTCAAAAGAACGAATCGAAGAAAATGGAGATATTGGGAATTTTGAGATCTCGATCGAGGATGTCCAACAGATGGACAATCTAGATGAATATCTAGTTACAGATTGGGATCCGGTTGATACCGACTAGTCAAACGTGAGCATCAAAAAGGCGCTACTTTGGACGAACACTCTGCAAATTGGGGGTTGTGTCACTAGTGATGAACGCATTATTAAGACAGCCAGTGTAGGAATACATATTAACACCAGAAAATATCGCCAGTCAAGAGTCTTATGTACGCTAACTGTACACCGGCGGCAGTCGAGACAACTTTCCCACGTCATAGTGGCGCATTAGTTTGTCCATCACATGACACCGAAATAGAAAACAAAGCAGGACGATCCACAAACGATCGTTATTCCGCTAAAAAGGAAGAGAGAAATCGGGCTTTCCATATTCGGAGCAGGCGCCAACAGTCGAACTCTCAAGCTAAGGAGACCGGGCATCGGTGCAGTCCGGGTGACAGGTTTGGCAACTGAACTGCTCAGGGATTTCATGAAAGGTGGAATTTTGATGGGAATACAGGAGGAAGCAGAATCCTCTTGGATGCAAGGCACCGCTTAGTTATTGCGGAGGACCAGGACCAGGACCAGTGGCAGCGGCAGCCAGCAGCCAGCAGCATGACTACGCCGACAAAGACACGTCGATCCGAATGAATAATCAGTTGTTAGCTTGCAATCAAACCTCAAACATGCACAGAATGTCTACTCGTAAAATTCACCAACCATCAAGTGATCTCCAGACGGCGTTGACCGCAGCTTGCAGATGACGATTTGGTTAGCTCTACGTCTTCGCCGACATCATTTTAGCCCTCCATGTGCTGTATACTCGGTATTGGTTGGCCCGACTATACGAGTATTGAAGCACGCCGTACTCCGTACGGAGTGCAGGGTAGAACTGCTTGAAAGTCAGAGCTGACTATGTGCAGTGGCTTCATGGTCTTCTCCTGAATTGGGTGCTCGCCTCTCATATCTAGTTAACCGTTTGCCCAACTGAGCATCGGAGAATCTTTGGAACATTACCTACAACCACAGATGATACGAGGTAAGGTCAAAAGACCCTCGGCTGGTTGCGACCTTGATCCTTTCATACCCACAAACTTTGTGAACCAGGCGGGAGGGAGCGATTAGCGCCCGCCTTCTTTCGCCCCTCAATGGCTTCTGGAGTAACAGGCATGCGGCCACGGCCACGGCCACGGCTACGGCAAAGGGGAAGGCTTGTGCCTAAGAACTCCGTACTGGGGGCCCTGTGCCCTCGAATTCGTATCTTAGGTATGTCTACCATGCCCATGCGCACATCCCGAGGACCTACAAGCATGGAGTATTCATGCGGAGTACGAGTCCTGGGAGGGCGAAAAGGGAGCTTCTGGATAGAGTCAGATAGTCCACTTCAGCTGAGGGAGTTAGGACCCAGGGGTAGAGGTGCTGAGTCGTGAATTTCTTCCGTGACGCTCAGAAATGGACCGTCATCTGTCCCCAATTTCCCTCTCGGCAGCACTCATGCCGACGATCAAGAGATGAAGTGGTCAGCCCAAGCGCAAACAGGGTGCTTACGGTGTGCAAACTTGAACGTCGTGTAGCGTCCAATATGCCACAGGGCCAACAAGTGGAAACGCCAGAGAATGATCCTCTTCAGTCCTCGACCGGTCGGTTAGGCCTCAGATTGGTCCCCCCCCTTTGCGTGCATGGGCCGTTGTGAACTTATGATACGGAGATGCACATACTTGGTATTCAGGGGTGGGTTCTTGCCCTATTGCGGCTGCTTACTCAGTTGATGCCGCCTGGGAACGCCCTGGTCCAAGCAAAAGCCTTGCTTCCTTAGCTTCAAACAGCTGTCATAATCCCCCGTCATTGCTGCGGAGTTCAAGCGAGCGGCGAACGATAGGTACGAGTGCCACATATGTACTGTGCTACCGAGTACTCAGTACCTATACCTGTCTTGAAGGCGATGCTTTGATGACTGGGTCCTTCCCATCCTTACTCTGCCTCTATCTCCTCACTTCTACTTCGTACGGATTACCGGTATAGAAGTCAAAGTCATGACTGTCAATACCACCTCTCGCCACCTGGTGTATCGTTAGTGCTGTCATTGTACCATAAGGGCGAGTCACTCTGTCCATCTATGGTACCCTGTATTCGGGATATACTCGTACAACCCTAGGCCCTACCTCGTAGCTAGGGCCTCTACAGCCTAAAGCCTAAAGACTACAGCCCTGACAGCCCCTAAGCTTCGTCGCCCAAGCTCACATACTCGTACAGTACATCCTTTACCCACCTACTCTGCCGTCTCGTATCCCCTGCTATCCACCCACCAAATACTCCGTCGACGGGTCGCTCATAGCACTCCGTACTACGCCCAACGCCAACACTAAACACGAAAACTCAGAACCCCGGCTCCGGTCCCATGCGCTGTCGATTCGAGACTACTAGCTAACGGCTAGTCTCCTGCCGCAATTGAGCCTGCCTACCAGGTAGAGATTGGCTGGCAATTTGTTGCACTCAACGATTCGTCTGTTCGCTCGTTGGATTGTGGAGCGATGCCGCCCGATGATAACTACCAAAAACTGCCCCTCCGCATGTTTAAGCAACGGCGCCCTGCAAACACTACAAACCTGCGTCGATCTCCTCAATCCCTTCCACCTCGTCGTTGGTTTCTCTCACCTACGCCACCGTATTTCCCACGGCCGTCCCCCGTCCCCCATCGCTCTTTTGCCACTCCTGCGTCCTGAATAGTCCTGATCAGGTAACCCGCAAGAACCACCCACGAATCGTCTTCCATTCTCCCATTCTATCTGCGATACCATTTTTGTTGCCTCTCCATAATCTACGAGATCCTCAATCTCCAGGCCGAGCCGTTTCTTCGAAAGGATGATGTTCCTTGTAGCCAGTTGGTAGTAGTAACACCTGTGGCAACCCAAAGACCTGCTCTATACTACCTATGCACCTACGAACCATCCACTCGCTCACCCTCGGCCTGCATATTTATCAGCCTTGTTCTCAACGCTTTCGAGTTATTCGGTCCATTTGCTGGCAATTAGGGCGACCTGTCACCATTTTGATATCAGTTGTGGCAAACACATAGATACTCTAGACCGTGTTTACCGTGCCGAACGTCCAACTCCATCATCCTATTCCATCACGGATCTCCACTGTTGCAGACGCCTTTGCGACGGGACGAGGTACTCGAAGCATCGCGATAATCTCCCCCGGCGCAGCCTAAGCGTCATCTGGAACATTCCTCACTTTGTCCCTTCGGACAAGGTGGTGACGAGATGGACTTCTCTTACTTCACCTCTGCTCCTCAGCCATACCAATTCTTCGGTGGGATCCAACATACACCATCTGCATCACATGCCCCGCAGTTGGATGATTTCCGGACCGCTCCATCAACTGTAGGTATCCCAATGTATATCATCTTTCCTTGCTCTGACAAGGCGCACAGGACCAGTATGATGCTGCCTTTGCTGCATTTCAGCAGAGTTTCCACTATGATCCTTCCACCTTTTTGGCCCAGCCACATCCCGTAACAGATCAATCTCCACCAAGAAATGCTCGACACGATTCCATGATCTCAATGCCCGACGTGGACATGGCTAACGTTTCTATGCCTACGAACGATGCAACCCCAGACGATGCCGGACCTACCAGAAGTAGCAGTGAAGAGAAGGATAATTTGACCCCCCAACAAAGTCGGAGAAAGGCCCAGAACAGAGCAGCGTAAGTAATGTCGCTGTGTACCTCCTTATTCCTTGAAGACTGAACGTGATTTCTCGCAGGCAACGCGCATTCCGAGAGAGAAAAGAAAGGCACGTCAAAGACTTGGAGACCAAGCTCACCAATCTCCAGCACCAATCCGTCACTCTAAATGGCGAGAATGAGCGCCTACGAAGAGAGCTGGCAAAGATCGCCACTGAGAATGAAATCCTTCGCGCCACGTCTGGCTCCGCTTCCAATGGCCCAACTCCCTTTTTGGAGGAACCAGACGAACTAGTGGGCCCTCTAGGCTTCGTACCAACAGATGTGCCAACAAAGGGCCGCTCTCCGGCTAGCAGTGTGGCTTCTGGCATGGATTTGAGTTCTAAGTACGCCCACTTCAGTACGCTCAAAACTCTGACAGTGGACGATGAGACTGGTGAGCCAATGATGGGTTCGGGCGCCACATGGGACTACATCCAAGCACACGAACTGTTTCGAAAGGGCTTGGTAGACGTTGGCGATGTCTGTGAGCGACTCAAGAAGATGGCACGCTGCGATGGACAGGGACCGATATTCCTGGAAAGCGACATCCGACAAGCGATTGCGGAAAGTGCTGTTGCTGGGGGCCGGGATGAGTTAATCTGATCACTACGCTCAAAGCGTAACAGTTCACATATCCTGTCGTCGTTGTCCTTAACCTCGGGTACGAGACCAGTCCACTCTGAAAATTTAGCGTCGGTGTTTCTGGGAGCATGCATTTGATATTATTGATCATTGGAGGGAATGCATTTTTTGGAGGAGGGTTTGACGAAATGTGGTGTACCACATCAGATGGGGCCATTTCGTACATATACAGATGAGATCTGAGGTTAGCAATTTCTGATGATCATCAGAGTCATATTCAAGTTGTTGTCGCACGCGCGGGTACGGCTCCTCTCACCCACCCCAACCGCGAGCACTTGCTGGACTAAACCAGTTCCCATCGGTTGACAGGCGCAAGGCCGTCTGTGAGATAAGGAGAACTCCAGACAAGTATCAGCGCAGGGATTGTTGGCCCCGCAACCAGGGTACATCGTACGTGATACATACCCTTCAGCTCACCTCGCTTGCTACGCTGCAGCACAAGGCAGTGACGACGTCCGTAAGAAAATAGGAAGAGACTATTATGTTATCAGGAAGGAGAGCAGCCCACATTGCAAGGGCGAATCACTGGTATCGACGCGATTATAACAGAATCCAGGGATATCCGCAAAGGCGCTTCCTTAGAAGGAGCTTCACTTTGCATGTATTGGCTTCACCGCTATTCAATCTAGATCACGGACAAAATCCCTGAGAACTTGGCCACCCGCCAGTTCAATTACTTGAAAGTTTGGTGCTGTTAGCCGCACTAGGTTTCAACAACAAATTCATGAATTGGTGTTGGATTGGGGATCATATCATCGGCCCACGACATGCTGATGATCGTGGACTTGGGACTTTGCGTTCTAGCCCTTCCTGGCTGGTGTTACTGTCTCTCAACTGTATCTGCACCATACCGGGGAGGAAGATCCTGTGGATGACGACGCAGACAACAACCATGCTGTGAAGGGTTGGATTTGATGTTGACATCTTTCAGGATGGATCTGGTTTTGCAGGATTCGCCTTGGTATCTGTGGGGCCGTGCAAGCAAGCCTTCCAGCGCTCGTATTAAGGCCGTCGCAATATTGAAACGGTGGGAGATATATCGTAGTTCGCAGATACTCAATCCCAATCGTCATCGTCATCGTCAGCAACCGCTTCCTTCCTTGCGTTGAGCCCTTCATCACTTCCTTTGCGCCTCAAACGGACATCGTTCTCGGCAACAGCACCGACCTCAAGTAAAACCCTCTCGATATCTTCTTGATTCGTCCGTGGACCGTTCAGTTGCTGTAACGTCACAATTTGTCTTTTAATCTCACCGTCTTTGTAGAGAAGAATGGTGGGCGTATTGCGTTCCGGGTAGCCCTCGATGCACAGATCCGCGCGGATTTCGCAAAACTTAATGTCGCCGAATTTAACGGCCAACTGACGCCAGAGTTCTGTGAGGACCCGTGACTCCACGTTGGTGCCTAGGGAAGAGGTCAAATTAACCAGCACAAACGCCTTGGAACTCTCCTCGGTCACGTCGCGCGAATAATCCGGTTTTTGGAGTGGGAACACCTGGCCGTAGACGCTTTTCTTCTGCAGGGTGGACAGCTCGGCCAGTCGTTGTCGACGGTACCGCTCAAGAAATGCTGCGTCCTCTTCGTCCTCGAGGTCGTTGAGTTCGTCGAGGTCCTTGTCCTCGAGGCGGTTTTCATGTGCCCGTTTGGCCGCTTCGATAAGAGCTTCTTGGATGATTGGCTCTGGGTCTGGTGGCTTCTCCGGGATGATACCGTGTTTGCGGAGTATGTCGTTCCTACAGGCGCTGTTAATAATGATGGTCTTTTCTTGTTCTTTTTTGCGTGGTTCGGGTGGACAGACCACTCTGTGTCGGCATTTGGATTGTCCACGGGGACATTCACTGGCATGTCCATGATCGCATAGGTGGACCGTAATCCTCTCTCTTGTTATGAAGAGTTGTTGGGTTTTTGAGACGTTGGGGAAGAAAGGCGAGGCAACAGCGATTGAGCCATATAGAAATAGAAATAGAAATAGACATGGCAGTGCAGCGCTGAGTCCGAGTGCAGTGAACATCCCTCGCCTCGCCTTCTCACGTGACTGAACCGGGCTCAACTCCACACAAATTAAGTTATTGGCAAGGACACCGTAACTGACTACGGTCCATCTTCCCTCTGAACTCGAACAACAGACTTGATCCCACGAGGCTGTCGTGAACTCTCTCCGCAGACTCTGGCTACTCGGCCCATTAAGCCATCGCTCTACTCGTCTGTCTCATACCGCAATGATTATTCCGCGGTAGTCCGCTACAATTCCACCCTTAACAGATCCTGTGTGCCCTGGGGCATCCCCGTCCTCCACCATAGCTCCCGCTCCCTCACTTGATACCTCCCTGCGGGATCCAATTCAACCATGAGTTACGCAAAGAAAGACGAGGATGCCGACCACTCCAGTTTCAAGCTGGATCGGACCTCTGTTTTCCAAGATGGTAATCCAAAATCCACTTCCACACATTTGACTGTCTGTCGTTGAAGACGCACCTCACTGATCCCTTTTTCTCGCTCTCTGCAGCACGACTCTTCAATTCCTCACCTATATCTCCTCGAAAATGCCGGACTCTCCTCACCAAAATCGGTGTACTTCTCTTCACCGGCGAGAAGTTCCCTACCAACGAAGCCACCACCCTTTTCTTTGGTATTTCGAAACTCTTCCAGAACAAGGACCCTTCTCTCCGCCAAATGGTCTATTTGATCCTCAAGGAGCTAGCTGGCACAGCCCAGGATGTCATCATGTCCACGAGCATCATAATGAAAGATATGACCGTCGGGAGCGAAATTGTTTACAAGGCAAACTCGATCCGTGCTCTCTGCAGGATCATCGACGCGACCACCGTCCAGGGCATTGAACGATTGATCAAAACCGCCATCGTCGATAAATCGCCCGCTGTTTCCTCAGCCGCCCTGGTCTCCTCGTATCAACTCCTCCCAATTGCAAAAGATGTGGTCCGAAGATGGCAGAGCGAAACTCAGGAGGCCGCCTCCTCCTCTAAGTCAGGCGGAGGCTTCCTCAGTTTCTCCACGAGTTCCCAGCACTCACTCGCAACGGCGAACACCAACTACATGAATCAATACCACGCGATCGGCCTTCTCTATCAAATGAGGTCCCATGACAGAATGGCATTGGTCAAGATGGTCCAACAGTACGGAGCTGCTGGGGCGGTTAAATCCCCTGCCGGTATGATGATGTTGGTGCGGCTCGCAGCTAGGCTTGCCGAGGAGGACCCAAGCTTGAGAAAGCAAATGACACAGATGCTTGATGCTTGGTTGCGACATAAGAGCGAGATGGTCAACTTTGAGGCTGCTAAAGCCATCTGCGCTCTAAGAGATGTCACAGATGCTGAAGCTGCACAGGCCATTCATGTTCTTCAGTCATTTTTGACCTCTCCCAGAGCCGTGACGAAATTTGCAGCAATTCGCATTCTCCATACTTTCGCCTCCTTCAAACCAAAAGCTGTTCATTCTGCTAATCCCGACATCGAAGCTCTCATCTCCAATAGCAACCGATCAATTGCTACTTTCGCTATCACCACTCTGCTCAAGACTGGTAATGAAGCTAGTGTGGACCGCCTCATGAAGCAAATTTCAAGCTTTATGGCCGAGATCACTGACGAATTCAAGATCACGATAGTAGAAGCAATCCGGACCCTTTGCATGAAATTTCCCAACAAACAGGCGGGTATGCTGACTTTCTTGAGCGGAATTTTGAGGGATGAAGGCGGCTATGAATTCAAACGCGCTGTGGTCGAGAGCATGTTCGATTTGATAAAATTCGTGCCTGGTAGCAAGGAGGAAACATTATCCCACCTTTGCGAATTCATCGAGGATTGTGAATTTACGAAACTGGCGGTTCGAATCTTGCATCTCATCGGTACGGAAGGTCCTAAAACTCCCCAGCCAACAAAGTATATTCGATATATCTACAACAGAGTTGTCCTGGAAAACGCGCTCGTAAGAGCAGCTGCAGTCACCGCACTCGCAAAATTTGGCGTGGGACAAAAGGATCCTGATGTCAAGAAGAGCGTTGAGGTGCTCCTGACAAGATGTCTGGATGACACGGATGATGAGGTCAGGGATCGAGCTGCGTTGAATCTTCGACTAATGCAAGAAGAGGATGACATTGCTGAACGCTTCATTAAGAATGACTCGATGTTTTCCTTATCAACCTTCGAGCACAAGCTTGTTATGTATGTGACTTCGGATGATAAGTCCGTGTTTGCAAGTGCATTCGACATCAAGACAGTTCCTGTTGTCTCTCAAGAGCAAGCCCTTGCAGAGGAACGAACAAAGAAACTCACCACAGCAACTCCTACCATCAAAGCACCGTCGACCGGACCGGCGAAACCAAAGGCAAACGGACTTGCGGAAGCCCCAAGCGCTGCTGCTGCAGCACAAAAATATACCCAGATTTTCTCCAGAATCCCCGAGTTGGCTGCCTACGGTCCAGTCTTAAAATCCAGTCAAGTGGTTGAGTTAACGGAGAGTGAGACTGAATATGTTGTTTCAGTTGTCAAACATGTCTTCAAGGAGCACGTTGTGCTTCAGTATGATATCAAGAATACGATGGACCAAACTGTCCTCGAGAACGTCACTATTTTGGCATCACCTTCGGACGAGGATGAGCCAACTCTAGAAGAAGAATATATCATCCCTGCACCGGCATTGAAAACAAATGAACCTGGCGTTGCATATGTGGCCTTCAAGAAATTGGGCGGTGAACAAGCCTTCCCGACTACTACTTTCACCAATGTTCTCAAATTCACGAGCAAGGAAATTGACCCCAACACCGGCGAGGCGGAAGAAGGTGGTTATGAAGACGAGTATGAAGTCGAAAACCTGGAATTGACAGGCGCCGACTTTGTGATGCCTGCCTTTGCAGGTAGCTTCGATCACGTGTGGGAAGGAACCGGTGCAAATGGTGAAGAAGCAAGTGAAACGCTACAACTATCCACAATCAAGAGCTTGGCAGGTACGTTGCATTCTGAAACCGGTAACTGCTTCATATGTAAACTGACTTGTTGCTACTAGATGCGACCGAACAATTGGCGAAAACCCTTTCTCTTCAACCTCTAGAAGGTACAGACGTCGCTCTGTCCAATACAACACATACTCTCAAATTATACGGCAAATCCGTCTCTGGAGGACGAGTAGCGGCGTTGGTGAAGATGGTGTATACAGCAAAATCAGGTGTAACGGTCAAAGTGAGCGCAAGGACGGACGAGGCCGAGCTTGCAAGCGCAGTGATCAACGCATTGGCTTAGAGAAACTGGGTAGAGAGAACTATCATATTCCCAGATGCTGATGTGCGGTCGGGACCGTGGACGAACCATCCGCATTCGTGCGTACTATTCTGTTACGGCAAATGATAATGCTCACCGACAGTGATGTGCCCATCTGTTGTGGACGGTCGAAATCAAAAGATGATTGACGTAAATGATGAAAGATGTAAATAAGATGATGTTCTTGTCCTCGAACAGATCTTTGTTTTTAATTGGTTGCGGCTGGTCTTGTGAAGAAGTAGACATGGAATCGCGGTTCCTTCTCGTTTGAGTATGAATCCAACACTGCACATCGTCAAACCCCAACACAATGGTTTGGGTTGTGTCTAGTTGACTACCTAAGCAGTGAGAGATTACGTTCTCAATGGTGGTATTCGGTCCCCACCTCCTTTTCCTCCACGATGAGCTATTTCAGCCAATTCGCCTAAACCCCACCCCCAAGCCCTACGCATCAATCGAACACCGTCTCAAGACGATATTTCCAAAGTGTTCGGATCCTCGAGCCTCGAACACATCATCGTTCCTGGTCCTGTTCCGTGAAGAAAAGCATTACCCAGACCCAGTTCGACTTGATAACATTTACGTCTGCCATCATCCTTTCTTTTTGCAACATTTCCGGGCGGGTAGGGTAGAAGGGCTGAAAGGGCGGTGCGATACCAGGCATCCTTGTTTGTAAGGTCCTCGCTCTAAAAAGTAATTACATCAACCCTCTTGATGCTGTGGATGGCGGGCGGGAAGGCGCGAGGTTCTGATCTGTCAGATTGACCGTCTGCTTGAGTCAGGGAGTTGGAACTAAGTGGGCATTGAGACAGCTCCTGGAATCTTTGGAACCGTGGGGCATCAGCGTCGAGTCTGTCTATTCGGATCGAAATCTAGTTCCCAGGAAGAAAGGAAAGGTGGTGGATCCAGTTGCTGATGGCGTTTGCAGTCTCCTCTGTGTGATTCCAGACTGGAAAAGGCTCACGTCTTCTTCTTCGATCGACCCTTTTTGACAGTGTTCGTGGGTGACACTACGTTGGGAGCGTCAACGCCGGACGCGAAGGTCGAGGGATCCAGGGCGGCGATTGCAGCGTCGGTCGAGAAATCGATGGCGTTGGTGGTAGTAGTAGTGGTGCTTTTGCTCGGGGTCTTACCCTCCTTTTCAGCTGTTGATAGAACTTCGATGTTACCGTTGAGCCACGCTTGCAGTTCTTTGGTCTGGAGGTAGCCGTGGGTATTGAACCACTGGGTGAAGGATCCCGACACCTCTTTATCCTCCCATTTCTTACCGGAAGGGGCCTCGTATGTGACCTTGAGCTTGTAGATCGGCGAGTGTTTTTTCGAAGAGGATTTGAGAGTGAGCTGATATGCTGAGGTCAATTACGGCCCCGATAAATTTTGGGGGGAGTTTTCTGTTCCGAACCTTCTGGCCGCCTTCCCTCACTCCGACGAATATAGTCCCCGCTTCAACCGCCCAAATCCAGTAAGTCAATATGCCGTTCAGGATGAAGTACGCGAGACAGGCAGGGGCGGTGTAGGCTTTCGTATCGTCCCAGCCTAGTTTGTAGTCGGCATAGAACAATACCCCGGCAATGATCACGGCACTGTACCCCAAAGCCAGGCGGACGTTTGTTGTGCCATGTTGCTGTTTGAATGTGTAAGGATTCGGTAAGGATGTCAGATAGGGGGATATGGCATCGTCGGTGGCATTCTTCAGATCTGGGAAGATGGGGTTAGCAAATGCTCTGGTCAGGGGTCCGGGTTTCGAAGACATACCATTGACGGAATATAGCGACACTTTCTGCGGCGGTGATGACATGGTTGATAGAACAGCAGGGGAGACGAGGAGCTATGTTTAAATAAAGGTGCCTTTTATCATTTCCTTATCTGATTGTCTGGTGCTGGTGTGTTGATATCTTCCCTGTGTTCGGCTTTGAATCTGGTCTTGAATTCGCCAACTGGACACGATGTTCAAAATCCTGGGGTTCGGAAAAGCTTCGGCACTACTGTTCTTCCGACTTCTGATTCCATTAATAAGTACTTTATTCCGGCCGCCCTTGCTCAGACTTTCTGATGAGACTAATTCAACGACCATATAATCCCACGTACCAAGTGGGTGCTTCATGTTCAATGAAAGCAGATCGCAGACACAGCTGAACAGCGGGACAGGGTGTGTCTTCTGCATGTACACATTCACGGGTTGTCTCACGCCGCCCTGAAGACTCGATCTCGATCTCGATCATTCAACCCTACTGCGCAACACTTAGAGAAATGATCGACCGGGCGAACATTTCTTCTACCACCTATCCTCAAGCTTAGACCTTTCACCACGAAGGGCAAACACGAGCGTTGAAGGCCTAAAAGTCAAGGGTCTATACCAATCAACCCAAGCAATATGTGCATCGTAAAGTGCGGAGTAAAGCGGCGGCTATTATTCAGAAGAAGCGTGACTCAGCAGCTCTTAAGTGCGCCGGGGTGATCGTCGCCCAGTCGTGCATGGCTCCTCCATTTCAATACTTTGATCGGCTGGCATGCAGAAGTACACCAGACAAGCTTCACGACTCCGCTCTCTTGCTTAAGTTCTTACCAGCTAGGGAACTTCAAGTTGCCTGGCAATTCGCTACGGCTGAAACCCGTGGTAGCATTATGGCATTGTATGTAGGTCTACTGTTGAGTCTACCTTTGCCACAGGCACCACGAGCATAAAGATGGATCCCGATTAGGTGATCACAGACATGTCAAGCTATCTGACTGGCTGTGGGTAGAGACGTAGGTTCGAAATATTGACACAACTAAGGTACACAACCATCAACTATTGGCTAGCGCTCGGCTCCCCTTTCAGTTACTGTCCAACACGGGTGGGTTGAGAAGCTACCCTTGCTATATGCAGAGATGCACTTGAATTCTCTATAAAGCAGCGTGTTGCAGGCCTTCTTCATCATAGATGGTCGTTAGAATAATGCGCCGTAGCTATAAAACAGGTTAATATCATAACTATTACGCTTCCCGAAACTGGAAACCAGTTGAGATCTCTTCGTGAACGTGCCCGACGATAATCAAGTTTGTTCATTAGATACTCAACATGTCTTCCACACGTCCAGATATTGATGTCCATCCAAAGGGCCTTTCCCCAGATGACCTGAAGATTAAGGAATTCGATGTGGTCATCATTGGTGGCGGTCCTTCTGGTGAGACTGCAGCTATGTACAGTGTCAAAGGGGGCCTCACGGCGCTCTTGATTGAATCAGAGCTGGTGGGAGGTGAATGTCCTTACTGGGCCTGTGTCCCTTCTAAAGCAATGCTTCGTCCTAATGAAACGATTGAAACCGCCAAAGGAGTAGGAGGCGCCAAGGAGAGACTGGCGTTGTTAGCCGCAAAATACAGTGCAACGCCCGAGATTGATGTTGAAGGGACGTGGTCTGCAAGAGATCGCTTTACCAAAGGCTGGAAGGATGATGCCAATGTTGAGCTTATGCGGACTTCTGGAGTGGAAGTAGTACGTGGATTCGGCAGTATTGCTGGAGAGAAGCGCGTGTCGATCAAAGAGTGGCATAGTGGATCAACTGTTGAGGTCACTGCGCGACAAGCAGTGATCGTTGCCTCTGGCTCAGCACCCAGCATCCCGGTAATCGAAGGCCTACAAAAGGCAGGATACTGGACGCCTCGTGAGGCAGTTTCATCGAATGAAGTCCCCAAGCATTTGATAATTATTGGAGGCGGTGTGGTCGGATGCGAGATGGCTTTCGCATATCGATCCCTGGGTTCGCAAGTGACGATCATCGGCGGGAGTGACAGACTTTTGCCTAGGATAGTGCCTGAAGCCTCGTCGATGATTAGTCTCAGCATGAAAAACTCTGGGATTAAAGTCTTGCTTTCGACTACAGCGAAGGAAGTAACCCGCGAAGGATCTACCGTCAAAGTCGATCTCGTTGATGGCACAAGACTTCATGGTGCTGAAATTCTTATTGCTGCAGGTCGCCGAGCAAGGACTACTGGTATGGAATTGGATAAAGTCGGTGCGCCGACAAACGGCGCCGCCATCACTGTTGACGAATCGCTGCGTGTGGTGTCAGTCCCAGCGGGCTGGCTATACGCAATAGGCGACCCCAATGGCCTAGCGCCACTCACTCACATGGGAAAGTACCAGGCAATAATCGCCAGCCAGTCGATAATCGCGAGTGCAAGGGGAATTTCGGGTGATGATAGTAAAGAATCAGATTATTCCCGCCTGTCGAGGAAACCAAGTGACAACGCCACGCCACAAGTCGTCTTTACCGATCCACAGATAGCCTCAGTCGGGATGACAATGGAACAAGCCCAAGCTCAGGGTTTGAAAGTCAAAGCGCACAGCGTAAAAATGCAAGGTCACGGTACTTTCCTCCACGCTGCCGACTATGACGGATGGGCCCAATGGGTCGTTGCAGAGGGGACAGGTCAAATTTTGGGAGCAATTTTCGTTGGCCGGGATGTGGCAGACCTCCTGCATGCAAGTACAGTTGCTGTCGTGGGGAAACTATCCTGGAGAACGATGTTTCACGCAGTACCCAGTTTCCCAACTCTTGGGGAGGTGTACCACAACCTTGTCGAATCGTGCGCCAAGTGATCTTCGGATTGTCCAAAGCAAAAGCGGAATCAGGGTATGGTTTGCGTTCCTTGATTCGTCGTTTGGTAGCATTCAGGTAGTAGGAGAATGAAAGTATTTTCTTTGCATTTCTCAGCCAAAAGTACGGCCCATGCAGTGAATGCCAAATCTCTACCTATTTGTGTGTCCAGGTAGTCGCCAGCCTCAGAAGTGACAAGATCCGAAGGGTCGCAAGAAGACTATTTCAAATCAAAGAACTTGGGTGACGGAAGCTAGGCAGCCAAGTCTCGGGTCTGGTAGATTGTCTGACTTCCTCATTTGGCTCGATTGGCTCAAGTATGCAGAATACCTTGAACGCTTATAACGTCAGTCGACAACAGTGGCTGGGAATAGGATCCCATGTGCTCCGAGCCATGGGCTTGGAGGTCTATGTTGCACGTCCAATCATGTCGCACCAAGATTTGAATATCTCTGGTTGGATTGTCTCTTGGAGATCTGGTTGTGACCATTGAGCTGTTGTTGATAATATGGATCTTCCAAGAAGTAATGCAAGTTTCATTCCCACTCCGGGAACAGTGTCAACGGTCTGAGGTTCCGCGATTTGTGCAATCCATTTAGCTGCGGTGACCGCTGCACTTTCAGCGTACGACGCGGATCGTGGATCTATCGCAATGAGAAAGCGGTTGACCATGGCCAAATATACAAGATATCTGGTGAGAACTTTGGATCTCCTTAGATAAGTTTCACGAGCAAGACCACAGGTAGTGTTCTGGTGGTGTTCTTCTTCAAGTACCCAATCCCATTTGACGCTCCAATCTGTATAGTTGTCGAGCAAGCTGTGTAGTTCGCTCACGATTGTATCTTTCTCAACGAGGTTCCGATGCATAACTGCGTTGGTGACTTTCTTGAATAGCACAGGTGCGAATGAAGTGATTTTCCACAAACTCACGACGGCTTCAGATCGATCATGAATAAGAACATGTGGGATTATCGTCGATTCAAGAGCTGATTGCCATTCAGGAGTGCTCAGAAAACAATCGACATCTACAAATGTCGCTTCTAGGATCTAAATGGGGTCAGAACATCAGATTAAATCTGCTCGATCGTCTTACCATGATCTCGGTCTGCGCTATGAGCAAGTCCTTTGCCTCCTCTGAATCGATATTTGTGGGACCAAGGGCGTATAACACATTGAAGCCACCCCTTGCGTGGCATATGTAGTTGCGCATAGCATTGTCCTCAAGAAGCTGAGATGAATTAGTAGAAGAAATGCCACAGGCGGACGGTACAAACTTCGAAAAGGCAAAGTAATAATGTTGCATACCAAACATCCCAACTGACACCGTCAGGGGAGCTGAGTTTAGTTTGCAGACTGCGCAGTGCACGTAGATAGTCCTTTTCAACCTGACGCTGGCACGACAGTTTCTGATCCTCCTCGAAGATCAAACATTGGTGGACTCGACTACCCACACAAGCTATGGCATCATCTAAGCACCCGCTGTATCCATATCGTTGAGGGAGTACTTTGACGACAGACTCCTGAGCTATTCGGCAGATGTTGAGCCACCGTTTTGGATTAGAGAGGGCATCTGTAAGTGATGCTACTTGAAGAAGTCTTGAAATCAAGTTTGGTTGCATTAAAATGAAGAGTTCGTTCGGTAGTCCATTGCTGACAGTCAACACAGATAATGGACCTGATATTTTCTCAAGCAACAACTAGGCAAGGGTGAGCTGGCGGCTCACTGCAGTTGCGGACACCGGCAGGGAAGCCTACCTTCTTGCGTTTTAAGGCCATCCGTTCATCCTCTTTGACCAATTCAGGGATCTCGTCAATTGACACCACATGAAGCTCGGGGACGACGCCCTCCGGGTTGGCCGTTGATTCTAGGAGCTTTCCTTTTCGTGCAGCTGCGCCAACTTTGCGAGAGATCCTTCGAATTGTCCGGCGATCCACATCTGTCAATTTCCGGTTTTTGGCATCTTGATGGATGAATTCGATCTGCATCTTGTCACCGACTGCGGATTCAGCCTGACAGGGGTGACCCGCTTTGGTGGGGATGTGGGCAAAGGCGGGATCTGAAGGTCTGCCTAGGTCATTTATGTACATATGAGGATTACTGAAAGAGTGCGAGCAAGATAAAAGAACGCACAGTGGAGGGGAGGTGTAGATAAGACTCGGTTTCAGCTTGAGGCGAGGCCAATTTAGTTATGTAGAAGAACAAGGGTTCGAGTCAACTTATAATACGGAGTGCTCGTACAGCATTATACTCGATACGGCATAGGAACGCTTCAAGTGCGCGGACTGTCGGAGGACAATCCTTCGGCCCCCCAACCCTCATCAGTTTCAAACATTCTTTCAGCCCTACGACGGCCCAGTGCTCGGGACACTCCTTGATACGTCGTGGATATTGGTCGTGGACAAGGCAATTATAACGAGTCGACTGGTTCAGTGGTTAGTCGGAGTAGTGAGTAGTATTGACTTCAGAGGATGTCAATTCGAGGCCAAAAGTTATCCTTAGCCGTTCAAAGGGTGATTTACGCCTGAGGTAAAGAGGAGGAAGAGAGAGCAAGCCTAATATTGCACATTACAAGTCCTGTGCGGTGGAGATGGATAACCGTCCGTTAGGAGAGGGCAATAAGCAACTGTCCAGAACGTCTTCGGACTTGGAACTGGGCGAGAACAAATTCCTGAGTACCCCTGCCTAGATTGTCTGGGTAGGTTACCTGCCTACTCCGTACTTATATAATATGTAAAGTATGTACTGGGAGGGACCGGGTAAATACCAACAGTAAGGTATTCGCTGATGTCTGTGGAGCACTAATGCTTTACCGTACCGTCATGGCTTGGCGTTCACGTGGTCGTCAGTCCGGTGAACGTCTTTCACATCGTCCTCTTGAGCCATCCCCTTTGGATAACTTCTACCCCCCAAGTGAAGACGTTGTAGCTTCGAGCCATTTTTCGGTTCAGTCGAATTGCCCCCCTCTAAAGATGGCGGTCAAAGGTGTTGAGCAGGTAATCCATCGGGATCCTGCGCTATTGTGAGTCTCGCATAACCTGTCCGGTCCGAATCAGCCTAATGTTCGGTTCACAGCTATTGGATTCTGCTTCCCATCACGATTGTCATGATATTGACTGGTGTCTTACGGCACTATGCAACGATACTGCTGGCTACTCCTCCGAAGCCTCCTCCAACACCTGGCGACTCGCGTGAACGCTCAGCCATAGTTCGCGGCGTCAACCTGCGCAATAATTCTGCCGCTCTGAGCAAATCTTCTTTCGATTCCCGAAAAGAATATCTTATCGATGGCTACAAGAAAGGCTCTTTCTTGAAAGGCGGACCAGAATCCAAAGGCCAAGCCGCACCCAATCCAATGTCGGATCCTGCGGCCATGGAGGGCATGATGGGGATGATGAAAGGGAATATGGCTATGATGATTCCCCAGACATTGATCATGTCCTGGATCAATGCTTTCTTCGCTGGATTCGTCATACTCAAGCTTCCGTTCCCGCTTACAATCCGCTTTAAATCTATGTTGCAATCTGGAGTCATGACCAAGGACCTGGACGTCAGATGGGTGTCCAGTTTGTCGTGGTATTTCTTGTGCCTCTTCGGATTACAGAGTGTGTTTATCTTCATCCTCGGCAATGAGAATGCCGCCAGTCAAATAGCGCAACAGATGGCTCAGGCAAATCCAACGGCCAATGCTAACCCATTTGGTCCTGGCCAGGATCCTGACAAAATGTTTCAAGCCGAAGCGGAAAATCTGGAGGTTTTGGAGCACTGGAGCGTTCTTGACGGTGCCGAAGATCGCTTACTCAAGATTTATGCTAAATGAATTTCATTTGAGGGAAGGGATCATCTCGGAAGAGAGGGCAATGGCTGACCTTCTGCATCTGGTCGAAAATGACACGATTTTGGTAATAGGTCTTGCTCTCAAAACCATCTGAAGAGATCAGACAACATGTGGCTAGTCTGCTCTATACAGCTAGGTACACGTCAATCCGGTTTCCTAAAGACTTATGCATTTAGATATATCAGCCAGAGCCCAGTCCACAAACCACTTGACGTATACCGTCCATGTTATTGATCTATTAGATGATGGAGGCAAGGTGTCATGAACCATCGCATAAATAAGCATGATTCGTACCCTTATCATGCGCATGGAAATTGAAGGAATCGAATTCTCGCTTGGAAGAGTGAACACTTGTCGTCAGCTAACGAGCAGGGTGTAGGTTTTGTGTTGGCACAGTTGCATCCCCATCACCCATGATTTGTTCTAATCTAATCGGGTGACAGAATGGTATGAATAATTCAAATTTAGTCTGCCGTGTATCTCAATTTGAAATGCGCGGAAAGTCCACGAGTACTTGAAATGAGCAAGTTTTTGCCCTCGAGACCTTCTCCAGTAGGGTCTTCTATGTCCGTTTATCGTGGGTGGGTATCGCGTGTGTATGTAAATGCCGCTCCAATGCTGAGTCAATCAAAGGATCCTTGTCCTTGTTCGAAAAAGAAGACCAGGAGATCAAAGAACTTTGTCCAGCGCTTTGGCTAGGTCATCGACCTCCTGGTCTTTCTTCTGCGTCACTGGCTCGTTCTCAGCCTCGTCAGCATCTTTTACTACTTTCTCTCGGACTTCTTCTTCCTCGTCCTCCTCTTCAGCCACTTCCTCCTTGTCGCTGTCTTCTCCTTCCAGCTCGTCAAGCTCGTCGAGTCCCCAGTGATCATCCGGATCACCGTCTCCACCCTTATCGTCTTTCCGCTCACTCAGCAGTGCTGCAAGATCTTCTACAGACGGATCTTCCTCCTCAAATTTATTGCCGTTCAACTCAACCCTCCGTAATTCGGACAAGCCGCCGCCTTTTGCTGCGTGGAGAAGTGCTTTAACACCTGCGGGGTTGATGTCATTGAATTGCAGTCTCAGTATTTCGACCTTTTTGTTGTTGCCTGCTCCAAGTGCCTCGAAGACCTTGATTGCGCCTCTGGCGCCCAACAGCGAATCACCGACGCCCAATTCTTTCAAGTTTGACCATCCGTTCAACGCCCTGGACAGTGTCTGGGATCCCTTTAGAGTGAACGTGTTGTCTTGAAGATCCAAAACCTCGAGGCGACTGCAAGCGGACAGACCTGACGAAATTAAATGTGATATGCCCTCCGGTCGGATGCCATTCTGTGTCATTTTCACACTCTTTATACCTGCTTTGTGTGCTTCATAGGCTTTGGCCCAGGCTGCCATACTTCCATTCTCCAGTCTGTTCCGCCCACAGACGATGCTTTCCAAGTCAGGGACATCCTTGCCCGATTTTCTGGCCTCGGCTTTTCGTTCGGCCAAAGTCGTTAGGGCGTCGGCGATTGCAGTCCCCGCAATAGGACCCATTCCATTGTTGTTAAGGATGAGATGCTTCAATGGAGTATGCTTGGAGAGAAAGTCGACGAGAGGGTCTTTGGTATTGAGTCCAAATGCATTGTCACTCAGATCTATGGTATGAAGGTTTGGACATTCTAGTAACGCTGTCAACAGCGAAGAAAGCGCGGGGGGGATCTCTTCGAGTAGTCGAGAGGTGAAGATGTCATGAAGATCTGCGCTTTCGAGTGTTGCCTTGGACGAGAGTATGGGGGCTAAAGCATCGCAGGCTGAGACACCGAGAGTGTTCCCAGAGAGATCGATATGGGTAATGGCAGAGGATTCGACAAGAGGGGCAACATGCTGGTCAAGATGTTCTTTTGTGTCAAGCTTGAGGCCTTTCCCAGCGAGGGTAAAGGTCTTAGCAGCCATTCTGAAGCGCAAGGATCTGAGACCAAAGGGCTGGCTTTGATGTTAATAGGGAGTCTTGTAGAATAATGTGCAAGTGCCCATACTCGATGCTGATAAACAGTGGGAGTCGGACACCCAGTCAAAAAGTATAGTTACATCGGAGTATTTTGCTCTTTACGCATTTATGATTACATAATACACACTGACGCTGGAGGTGTTTCGCATATTGTACGAGTAGGCGCGTCCACCGTCCCCTCGGCTTTCTAACCATCCTTTTCGCAATAGCTGATTCTATGCTAGATGTGATTCCACTGGAGGAGCACACACTCCTAGCTCCCGTCTCTTTTAATCCGTTCCGTATCGAAGGTCCTGATACTCCAAGAATCACAACCTTAGTCGCTGAGTATGGTCTCATGGAGAGCGGGATCGGCGTCCCAGGTCTGGAGCCTCTCATTCCCGTGGATTTTGATGGAGTCATGCCCTTCAACTTATGGACGAAGATCTTAGCGAGTTTGCCCAATGCTTCATTTAAATCTGTTGGGATCGAATCCAGCAAGCTGATCATGGCACTTGGTGATGAAGAAGCTGCAGTACTTAGGCACGCAGCAAGTATTTGAGACTGGATGGCTCAAGCAATGATCTAAGCAAGTCGCCCTGGCGCTGGAGAAAGTAATGTTGTCAAGGCAGAAATCGCGGCTGCTTTTGGCAAAGGAACGTCATCACCAATGATCTAAATTGCATCTGGCCCAGATGCCATCAATTTCAGCTCTCTAGCTTGGACCTCGAACGGCTCAGGCAGGCGATGCTGTCAGCAGCGAGATGTTTGGAAATTATGGGATGAGGTCCAGCCAACAACAATTGACCATTGCAGTTGGTAAAGTTCGCGAAGATGTTGAGCGTGCGGCTTTGGTTGTGCGTGCTTCTTATGAGGCTGGGCTTAAAGCATTGAGATCTAGGGCTCACCCTGGGGATGTTGCGGAAGCTATGTTGGAGCCTTTGCGGGAGGCCGACGCCTCGAACAAAGGGTCGCAGATTCGCAGCCTGAATCCGATTTTGGCCATTTGCAGCTGCGATGTGGATTTGGCACAAGTCGGAATAAGCAACAAATCGCCTCAACTGGACGCTACCTACGTTGGCTGAGGACCTGATTCTGAAGCCAGGAATGGGTTTCACACTAGAACCAAGCTCTTTCTTTGGCACACTAGGAGTCTGCATTGATGGGACTGTCCTACTTGGTGGAGATGGACCAACTGAGCTCAATATAGCCCACTTGGTGAGAGTTGAGATTTATTTTGAGCTGGAAAGCCATATCTGAAACGTCTCTTCAAAGTTGCGGCAATGATGAGAACAATTGGGGCAGATTGATGAAGGGCAACGCATTCTCAAAATATCAAAAATTGTCGTAGAACTGGTCTTGGGTACCCAACGAACCATAATTACATGTGCGAATATGTCAGAGGTATTGTTAGTATTCCTTATCGAGGCTGTAGCAAAAAGGGAGGCATGGCCTTGCGCTCCTCGTAGCTTTCCCCAACTCGGGTGAACTCTTCCGAGCTCGGCATCTTTTGAACCGCGACTCCGCGGTTTACGCAACCGTGTTTGATTGAACCAATTCAACCCAGGATGTGAGCAGTGCTTTGAAGTCGCTTCTCTTGTCGAGATGAAGAGCCGCCATGCCATCTCAGCTGCCCTGACCGCAGTGCTCTGCCTGGCCAGCGAAGTTGTATTTAATGTCAACGACGATGTCTTTGCCTATCCCCAGGTTTGGTTTGCGCTGAATGTCACAGGAATCTTGGACTGACTGATTCCAGTACGATATTGAATTTCTAGACCCGTACGTCCTACAAGACGATGCAGAGGTTCTCCTGAATTTCAAGAGTGCGGAAGCCAACGCCCCTGCCGCCTCAAGCGATGCTTCCCAAATCCAAACCCCGAAACCCTCGTCGCCGTTCGGAGGTCAGGAAACAATAACCCCAGATACATACGAGCGCATCATTGCGCATGGCCGACCATATCTCTGCGCTATACCTGTAGTCAAGCCAACAGGCCATAATGAAACGACCGCCGAACCCTCGACAACAGATCGGGAAAAAGAGCTGGAGCAAGCTGTCAGCCGAGGGGCAGAGTTACTGCAAGGAATGACGTCGAACCAATGTCTCTACTATTCTACTGGATGGTGGACGTATTCCTTCTGCTACAATGCACAAATCACTCAATTCCATGCGTTGCCTCCGGGTACAAATGGAAGGGTATGGCCTCCGCAGGAAGATCCCCAAACGCCAAGCTACGTCCTGGGCAAATTCAAAGCGCAAAAGCCGGCAGATGAGCCTGGGAAGGCCTCGGGAAGCAATGCGCTCTCCACCGAAGTGCAAACCAAAGCCGAGACGAATTATCTGGTGCAGCGTCTTGGTGGAGGGACGGCTTGCGACCTGACAGGTAATGATCGTAAGGTTGAGGTGCAGTTTCATTGCAATCCACAAATGACCGATCGCATTGGGTGGATCAAGGAGACCGCCACCTGTGCTTATCTCATGATAATCTATACACCGCGACTCTGCAATGATGTTGCGTTTCAACCTCCGAAGGAGAGCCGGGCACATTCCATCATATGTCAAGAGATCATTTCGCAAGCGGAGGTCGAAGCATGGGAGGATCGATACGATGCGGCGGCAGCTCCACAGATTCTCGAGCAAACCGCACCTGAAAAGATCTACCTAGGCTCAACTGAAGTCGGAGGCATGAAATATGTGGGCAGCGAGGGCAAGAAGTTAGAAAGAGGACGTATTGTGCTTACTCAAGATGAAAGAGCAGAGACAGTGGTGATGCAAAAAGACGGGCACATTTCCGGTTTATCCAAGGCCGAGCTGAAAAAGATGAAACTGGACCCAGACGACGTGGAGACATTTCGCAAAGAGTTGCAGAAAATGGCAGGCTCTAAGGATTGGAAGATTGAGCGATTGGATGATATAAACGGACGGACGCAGCTTCGAGGCGTGGTCTCCGCTAATGACGACGAAGATCAGAAAGTGGTAAACAAGTCGCCAGAGGATGACGAAGAAGAAGGTGATGGCGGTAGCCGGGAGGAGTATAAAGGAGAACTCTGAGATTAAGTTGGCGAGTGAGAACTCGCAGGAACTTGGTTATGATTTTGGAAGTCCATGGTCAATGAACAAAAGTAGCATTGACGGTTCCTTGGGATGCTAATGATGGGACAAGATCTGGGGCTGTGCTTTTGAAGATAGACAAGACCTTGCCGAGGTGGGCAGTGTAATTATGATTAGGTAGGTATACCACCCAGGTTCATATCAGCCATGAAATCAGTAGTAAGATATGAAGATACCTAGGTACTCCTCGTTGTATGTACAGAGCCCCGTCTTACCTCCAGATAATTACTTAGTAGGCATGGAGTAGATGGTGACCTGATCTCCAGTCAGGCACGTGTTGCACGTGTCAGGCAGTTGGGTGCAGAAATCAAGGACCAAGGAGCATCTCCACTACTGCTCAAGTAGTGGCTTCCCATTGCCCCCAGGCGTGCACCTGCCAGCCTGCCCGCTGCATCTGCGACTCACCAACCACTACGGAGGACCAGAGGACTATTGCCTCTAATTACTCGTAACCTAACTAACGAGTAAGCACCTAGCACCCCCAACTCAGTCCATGTGTATTATTCCTACAAGACTCCATAATTACTCCGTACTGCTAACAATCGAACTGCGCTTAATTAAGTGGCACTTTGCAACTGGATCACCATCTTCATCGCCATCACCACACGCCTTCTCCCTCTCACCTCTGCTCACTGTGTCATTGTCACCAACCCCCTGTGTTAACTCGATCCCATCCCAGCTACCATTTCTCCTCGACAATCCAACTTCGCTTCTCGCCCTTTGCCTGCTCGACCCGACGGCCGTCATCTGCACCGCCTATCTTACTACCGTTTCGCTTAGACACCCAAAACGAGGCAACACGTCCACGTTTGACCATTGACCATTATCCTTCTTCTCTAGCTTCTCCCCCCAACTCCTACATCTTCTCCTTGGTCTTGATGGCCTGTCCCTTTCTCACCTCCCCAACTGTCCTGTATTGATCCATACATTCCCCCATCCCCAGCATGGGCTTCGTGGCAATATGTACCGCCATTTACGATTACAAGCCTCAAAGCACTGGCGAGCTTGAAATCGACGAGGGCGAGCTGCTTTATATCCTCGAAAAGAGCCTTGAAGATGATTGGTGGAAGGCCAAGAAGAAAGCTGCAGGTGATGATGAGGATGAGCCTGAGGGTTTGATTCCAAATAACTACGTCCAGGATGCGAAGCCTACCCATACCGCGAAAGCCCTTTATGACTATAGTCGCCAGACTGATGAAGAGGTCTCCTTCTCCGAAGATGCACCTCTGGATGTTTACGACACCTCTGATCCCGACTGGACCCTGGTCGGATTCAATGGTGATTTTGGATTTGCGCCTGCCAACTATATTGAGATCTCTGGAGCTGCTCCAGCGCCTCCCTCAGCATCTTCCACTCGTCATTCCATTCCTCCGGCTCCTATCGCTCAATCTCCAACAAGTCCGGCATCTCCGATCAGGACTCCCTCAGGTCCCGCTGCTGATTTAGCACGGGTCCTAGCAGGTGGACCAGCTTCTCCCGCAGCCTCTCGAGCAATCTCTTCTCCTCCTCCCTCCTTTCCCCATCAGCAGCCAACTCCGGATGCTTCAGATGGCGAAGAAGGCCCTCCGCCACAACTTCCGCGGAGACCAAACTCTGAAACCATGTCTCCTCCAGCTATACACACCAGCTCCTATGAAGAGGAAGCCCCTGGTGTGCTACCATCTCCTCCTTACAACCGAGCAGTACCTCGATCTGATAACGACGATGCGCCTGTTCGATCGCCAGGGGGTTTTCATCTTTACAATATAAATGAAATGGTTTCAGCTATGGGGCGAAGACGGAAAATGCCAACTACTTTAGGCATCAATATCGCAACGGGAATCATCATGCTCTCTCCAGAAAAATCACGAGACGGTCCATCGCAAGAATGGACTGCTGATAAGATGACTCACTATTCCATCGAAGGCAAGCATGTTTTCATCGAATTGGTTCGCCCAAGCAAAAGTCTGGATCTACACGCCGGTGCCAAAGACACCGCTGAAGAGATTGTACGCGCGCTCGGAGAGATTGCTGGGCTGCATCGTGCGGAGGGTATTCGAGAGGTCATCGCGGCGGCCTCGGCGCCTGGCACTCACAAGAAGGGTCAAGTCCTATATGATTTTATGGCGCAAGGCGACGATGAAGTTACTGTAGGTGTGGGTGACGAAGTAGTCGTTCTTGATGACACGAAATCAGAGGAATGGTGGAATGTTAGGCGTTTGAAGAATGGCGCGGAAGGCGTTGTCCCGAGCAGCTACGTGGAAATTACTGGGTTAACTGCCATTGAACCCCCTTCCAGAACAGGTATTAACGCGGGCAAATCAGCTGTGGATCAAAATCGGTTGGAAGAAGAAAGACTCGCACGGGAAGCAGCCAGAGCTGATCGAGCTCGGCAAGAGGCAGAGTCTGCTCGAGCTGCTCGAGCAGAAGCGAGCGCCATTCCCCAACGTGGCAGCAGCTTAGCCGATGAGACATCTCATCGCAGAGATCGTAAGGAGCGAGATGACCGCAAAAAGGGCAGATCGAGGCCCGATTCGTCAAAGGTGAGAACATGGACCGACCACTCAGGAACATTCAAAGTCGAGGCGCAGTTTCTTGCTGTGGCCGAGGGAAAGATACATTTACACAAGGTAAATGGTGTCAAAATTGCCGTCCCTGTGACAAAGATGTCGCCGGAAGACCTTGCATATGTCGAACAGGTAACGAACGAATCGATCGAGGAGCACATACCAGTGGCTGATCTGATTAAGATGAAACGTCGAAGTCAAGCTTCCGAACAATCCAAGTCACGAAGCGGAGCATCGGTTGATCCGCGAGCACCAGACCAATCAAAATCGCCCGAATATGACTGGTTCGATTTCTTCCTCAAAGCAGGCGTTGGGCCACATCAATGCGAACGATATTCCCAAGCAATGATCCGCGACTCCATGGACGAATCCGTCCTGCCAGATATCACAACGGATACTCTGAGAACGCTTGGCTTGAAAGAAGGTGATGCATTGAAGGTTATGAAATACCTTGATCAGAGATTTGGCCGATCCAAGGGGGCGAATGCCAATGGAACAAATGGCGACCCCGGGTTCTCACTCGCAGGACCGAACGGTGTTCTACAGAATAACACCCGTCGAGGAAGACCAGAAGCAACCCGACAAGTCAGTGACGTGGTTGATCAAGAAGCGTTCAACAAGGAGTCTGAGGATAAGCCACACCCAGAGGCCAAGTCTACACCACTCACCCAAGTTCCTGCCAGAGAACCTCAAGGTGGGTTCGACGACGATGCATGGACAGTGAAGCCGTCGAAAGCTGCGCCTGCAGCATCACAGCCAGCTGCTGCCGCTACCCCTGTGGCAAAACCACCCACTGGCGCAGCTATCGACCTGTCTTTGCTCGATGCACCTCTTCAGCCAACCCCTGCTGTCCAGCAACAGCCAACGCCACAGCCTCCGACTCCGGCTCCCCCTGCGGCTCCCGTTCTACCCCAGCCTACGACATCCCCGGCACACGTTCAGCAAACGCAGCAAATTGGTGCCAATGCCCAGTTTTTTTCGCAGTTGAATCAACAGCCTCAGCCTCAAACCACCGGCGTTCAACTTCCACAGATCAACGCATCACGACAGAGACCACAAGCGCCTCAGTCAAACCTTACCGGGGTTGGGTTGCTCCCACCCCCTCCTCGGCCAACTTCAGCTCCACAGAACCCACAGCAAAACCAGTTTGGCCTTCAGCCTTTGCAGCCTCAGTTGACCGGTATTCCACTGACTTCTGCACTTCAAGCACCTCCTGGGCAAAGCCTCAATGACTTGAATCAACAGCGTTTGCAACAGCAGTACCAGCAAATGAGCCTACAGTCACAACAAACCGGATTTGTGCCTCAACCGCAAGCCCTTGGCCAATATGGGCTAGTACCACATGTTACCGGGTATCAGCCACAGCCGCAACTTGGACAATTCCAGCAACCATACATCAATGGTAATGCTGCTGGAAGTCCTTTTGCAGACCCAAGATCCACGTTCCAGCCACAACCTACAGGTATTCCCTTCCAACAAAGCCCACCACCTGGGGGTATCAACTCTGTACTGCCCCCTGCTCTTCAGCCACAACGAACGGGTTTCACATCCCCACTCCAACAGAGCCAGACAACCGGCTTCCAGCAGCCATATCAGATCCAACCTTCTGCACCCGGTATTATGCAGCCCCAGCAAACTGGTTTTCCACAGGGGCTGCAACCTCAACAAACAAGCTTTGGACAACCTCAAGCGAATGGCTATGGGGATTTCCAGCCACCTCCTGTTCCCCCAATTCCCCAGATGCCTACTCCGGCGCCTCTACAGCCACAGAAGACTGGACCAGCGCCTCTAGTCAAGTTTGGCGTGACAGAAGGGAAAAAATTGACTCCTCAACCAACAGGAAGGCGAGCAAACCTTGCTAATGCCAGTAAGTTTTTCAATCTCCATCAGGTTTATTTTGAGCAATGCTGACGAGCAACAAGCTGCCAACAATCCTTTTGGGTTTTAGAAACGACCTCTCAATCGCGATTGCCTGAGCGGGGCAGTATATATCGTGAAGGAATATGACTCTTGTGATCTGATTTTCGAACAACTCTAATTTCCAATCCGTGCTTTTCCTCTGAAACCACCTCCAGCAAATCGGAAAATCAGGACTAACAGCTTAAATGAGGTCAAAATTGTATTAAAATGCCGAGAGCCTCTTCTGGTTCAACGACAGTTGAAAGAAATCTCCTTGTTTGACACGCGGGCGATCAATCACATATCCCAAGGTCGTCCCTCCTTACTTGTGCATGGATGACATTTTGAGCATTTCTGAGGGATGATTTTGTACTTAGCGTCTTTTGCAGGCTTTTGAAACAAGGTGGAACTCGGTCAAACATACACTGGAGGTTCGAGTAGTGTCAGTAGGTACCTAGGTATATATTTTGCCTGATTTAATAACACGAAGGTTGTTGATGTACTACTTACTCCGTTGTTTCAAATATGTACGGGGAAACTTGACCGATTAAAATCTATGTTGCTAGTTCTTTTGAATCCGGTACTGCTTACCATCGCCAGAATGTTGCCCGGGAATTGTTACACGTAAATGCTGTGTGTACTCGTTACTTTCCAGTACTCGTAGCGCCTGATGTGTATGCCTCACAGATGCGGAAAGCCTTGACCCGACCAAGCACGTGACAGTTTGAAAAGTCGACGTCATCTTGAACGAGCCATTGGGTTTTTCATGGGGAAACCCGCTAGGTTCGTCCATCTCGCACCACTCTTGTTCAACAGCGCAAGCATACAAACTTGCAATTGTATCCGTATTCCACCATGCGTCGAACGTTCCTAACTATAGCTTTATTCTCCTCGCTCTCTCTCGCAGCGGCCCTTTATCCCACAAACTTCTTACGCAGCGGATCATTTCTTCCGGCTCGACTTACCAACGCCCACTCCGAGCAGGTCCAGAACCCGATGAACCCCGGGCCAGTCCAAGGCTCTGGCCCCGAGCAGTCCGTCGGCGGTGGCGGTGACGGCGGCAATGATGCTGGAGACACCACACTATCCATCTCGGACATCCTGCCACAGACACGCAAGATCAACATCTTCGCATCGCTGACCCGCGACATCTCGACCGTCACAAGCCGTCTCGAGTCCACAAACCCGGCAGACAACACCACACTCCTCGCGCCACTCAACAGCGCGATGCAGGCCCTGCCGCGGAAACCGTGGGAAGACCGCCCCCGCGACGACTCCGGCGTACGGGCCGAGAGCAACGAGGACAAGGCCGCCGGCAACCTGCAGCGCTTCGTCGAGGAACACGTCGTCCCCACGAGCCCTTGGCTAGAAGGCAGGAAACACAAGATCGAAACCCTGGGCGGCCAGGAGCTGTGGTGGGAGGAACGCGAAGGCCAGAAGATCATCCAGCCCGGGAATCTCGTCGTCGATGGCGTCGTTGGCAGGGTTGGCAATGGTGAGATCTGGGCCGTTACAGGGGTCGTGAACTATCAGTGAAAACGGAAAGACTGCGGGTGAAGTATGCATTGATTGTTAATTGGCGCTGATGAACCCTAGTCTGATGTTGTTCTATGAATGTTTACGGGGGCTTGCTCAGGCGCCCGGGCCCTGTCCTGATTATGTGGTGATGATTGATGAATTATGTACATTTTCCGCCTTTTGAACCCCCCCGCGCTATATAAAATTTCTGCTAAACCATACACAAATGGAATCACGACAGAGGTCTCGAAAGTCGTCAACGATAGAATCCCAAAACGTTTGATCAATTTCAGAAATCTCACTTGTCCTTTTCTGCTGGAGTGGCCGATCGCTCTCTCTGAGTCGAACCTTGGTGCGCAAAATAAAAGTCTAGCAAGCCGCTTTCCGAAAGCAATTTCCAAAAACACCAAAGATAGCAGATTCCAAATGCGAGGGCGCCAACGCATGCATTCGTCACAGTCCACAAGTCGGGTTTGTCGTCTGGTGGTGCGGCGAATGCCGCAAGCAAGTGCCAAAACCCCATGACGATGTAGGATTGAAAATGCAATATCTTGGTTGGGGTTCGTAGCTCGTCCGGAGCGAGGGGTCGGCCAGTGATATTCTCGCGTTCGGCGTCATAATACACGCTGACACTCGTTGGTGGAAGACCCAGAAGATAACACCATAACAGTGTCACGACGACGTAGGGGACTTGTAGCTCGTCTCGTTTGAGAAGAGGATACATGGTCCACATTCCGAAGAGATTTGCCCAGCCGATCCAAGCTCTGTATTCTTTGCTCATCCCTTTCTTGCTTCCCAATAACAGTGTCATCGGCATCAAGGGCAAGAGGACGGATTTTTCGTGGACTTGGAAGGAGAACAGGAAGAACCCCCAGGCGGATGTTGCGAGTGCGTATGGTAGTAATGATCTCTTGGGAACTGCACCGACTACAAGCATCGGGCCGGTGATGGACATGAGTGTGAAAAACGCGGATAATCGAGGGAGCTCAATGACTCCTTGCAGGTGCTTCAGTTTGTAGAATGTGTTTGTGAAGCACCAGAAATTGGCGACTTTGTCCTCAAATAGTCCACGTGCAAATGGGAACATCCGATGAACGACCTGCGTCACCTGGAGGATGACAATGTCTCGAGCAGAGTTGGAATCGAGGGTGATCCCACGATCGCTCAGAATTGGTGGGGTCGAGACCTGCGGAAGAAGAGTAGGCGCCTTTTGGTAGTATTCGTACAGGGCACCTCCAATAAGTGGTCCAAACAACACGACGAAGGCAGTCAGGGTGACTAAAGCGATGGAAAAGAGTCGACCAATACGTATTCTCGGAGTGATGCAAGAGCCTAGAAGGTATGCAAAGATGATGGGCGAGTAGTACAAAGCCATCTGTTTGAAGCCAAGAGCCGCAACAAAGTAAATGCACGACCAAAGAGAGCGTCCAGCATAGATGCTAGATAAGGACGCCACCATCAAGCCAAGCATGACGGTGTTGTACTGGAAATGGCCATGATCAATGAGCAGTACCGCAGGTTGCATCAAGATGGCCACCAAGGCAATTGATGCACTGGTGGTACCGGTGCCCTCTGCTCGACTGTAACGTCGTAAAAAGATTATCAAGGCAGGAACATAAGTCAAATACTCGGACACAATGACGGTTGCTCTCATGAACACTTTGAGGTTCTGGTCTTCCAAGCCTCGAGACGCATCAAGAGCAAACCATGTCTGATTGAAAAGCGCTCCCCTTTCCCGGTCAGCACATGACGCGCAGGATAATTGGACGATTAGCTTACACTTTCCCACAGATCCAGCTATGGTACGCTGTCAGCGGAGGATAATCCAATCCCCAATATTGAAGGTCGTAGAAGTACCACTGTGACACTGGCAGATTTATGCAGATTTCCATCCAGTGCCGTTGCGCTTCGAAATCGCCGTGCAGTGGAGGTTTCCCTAACCCAGAATGACCCCAGAGACCAACGCTCCATCTAAACAGGCCGACTATCATCAGGATCAACGGGATCAAGATCCATTGAGAGGTTGTTCCTCGAGAAGGCCATAGGAATGACACCAAGGGAAATTCTGGCGTGACGGCATTGTCTTGAGGATCAACCTTGACGATGTCGGTTATGGTGGTACTTCTGACTAGAGTAGGACCCGACTTCCGCTTCTTGCGAGGGCGGTGCGAGGAGGGAGTAGACATGATGGAGAAAGATATGTGTTCTGTCTCTGAGAACGAATGGATGGACTGGCTGAGGACAGATGAGCTTGGGTGGTTCTGGGAACCCCCCGATAAACGCTATCCCAGCCTATCCAGCAACAGCTCAGGGTTGCCAGCCATGGGGTCTACGACCCACCGGCCGGCAGCCACGTGACTTTAGGAGATAACCCGAGGCTCCGAGCCTTGGCAACAGGTTTTCCCTGCAGCATGCTGGAACTGGTAGCGTGCCTTCTCCCTGCCACCAAATTGATAAGAGCATCTCTACGCTAAGATAACACTAGCGTCATGAAAATTTCTGGAGGATTCAAGTTTCTGCCTCCACCGCTTTACACCTGAGTCTCTCTTTTCCTTTTCTCTTCCTCCTTCCCAAAATCACTTCTCTGATTTACATCAACATTCATATTGTGGGCATTTTATTCGAGGGCATCTTTGGATCGTCTATCGAGGGCTCTGTGGGTCTGTACTAAACTGAGGGCAAATTGCACATCTCGAGTCTCAGGTCTTGCTTGTCTAAATCCTGCAGATTCTCAGTCCAATTGAAAGCTTCGAGGGCATACTGTGGGCTTTGCAGAGATCATAGATTTCTGCACATCAATTGCTTCTGCACTTGACATCTGAGGTCGAGGGCTCTAATTCACTTTGTGGGTTGAGGGATCTGCCGTACTTCACGTACTACTTGCAACCGGGTTCTGAGGGACTATCTCATTTTTAATTGAGTGTATCAAAGTAATTCCCACACCATTTCCTCACCCTCTCGTTGCGCGCACTGACGTTTACCGATGCCAGCGTCCGAATTTACCATGTCCAAGACAAAGTCCAAGTCTGCTTCCAAGCAGGCGACATCTGCCAAAGCCGATGTCTTGACCAAAGTCAAGGGAGGTGCCGTCACAAAGCCCTCCCAGACTGAAAAGTCCAAGAGCAAGGATCTTGCAAAGAAAGTCGCTGTTAAAGAGACCAAGAAGGATACGAAGACCAAGAAGGTTAAGGAACCTACACCAGAGCCAAGCTCAGAGGAGGAGGAAGAAGACTCTTCAACTTCCGACGAAGAATCCGACAGCGACGACGAAGTCGACACCAAGCCAGCTGCCGTTAATGGCAAGGCCAAAGCCGTGAAGCCCGCCAAAGAAAGCGACTCTGAAGAATCATCCAGCGAAGAATCTGCATCCAAGGACGACGACGACGAATCCGAGTCTGACGAGGAGACTGTCGCTAAGCCTATCAAGGCCGTCAAGCCCGCTGTCACCGCCAAATCTGATTCCGATGATGAGAGCTCTGACGACTCCGAGAGTGACTCCGAGGAGGAAGTTGCTGTTCCAAAGGTCAATGGAGCCAAAGCTTCTGCCGTTAACGAAGAGAGCGACAATGAAGACGACAGTGCAAGCAGCGACGATGCCAGTGATAGTGATGATTCAGAAGAGAGTGACAGCGATGAGGAAGATGAAGAGGCTAAAGTCGATGTCAAGACCACCAAGCGCAAGGCCGAAGACGAGGATGTTCCTGCTGCTAAGAAGAGCAAGGTCGAGGAGGCTGCTCCAGCAAGCACATCTCCTAATTTGTTTGTTGGCAACCTTTCATGGAATGTCGACGAGGATTGGCTTCGTCAAGAGTTCGAAGAATTTGGTGAGCTCAGCGGCGTTCGACTGATGACTGATCGCGACAGTGGTCGTTCCAAAGGGTAAGTGGATAAAATTTTCGATAATATATGATTACCCCTCGGACTAACTCGTTGGCAGTTTTGGATATGTTGAATTCGTCAACGCTGCTGATGCCGCCAAAGCTCACGCCGCCAAGCAGGGAGCTGAACTTGATGGTCGCGCTATGAACGTCGACTTCGCAAACCCCAAGCAAAACACGGGAGAAAGGCAAGATAACCGCCGCAAATCCTACGGAGATCAGCTCGGTGAACCAACCGACACCTTGTTCCTTGGAAACCTCTCGTTTGAGTGCACAAGTGACGATGTCACCGACGCTTTCAGTCCTCATGGCACCATCATGAGCGTCCGTCTGCCAACCGATCGTGATACTGGGGCACCCAAGGGTTTTGGCTATGTGACCTTCTCTTCAGTTGACGAAGCCTCCGGGGCTTTGGAGGCTATGCAAGGAGGCTACATTGCCCGCCGTGCTGTTCGTCTTGACTACAGCCAACCCCGTCAAAACAACGGTGACTCCCCAGCTCGTGGCGGTTTCGGTGGACGAGGAGGAGGAGGCCGCGGTGGCTTTGGTGGCCGTGGTCGTGGCGGCGGCCGTGGAGACTTTGGCGGTCGTGGCGGTCGCGGTGGGCGTGGTGGTGCGAGAGGCGGTCGAGGTGGCAGCACCAACCGTGGCGGTTTCGGAGACTTCTCTGGCAGAAAGACGACCTTCTAAGCGACAGACATGACATCTATTTCCTTGGAAGTGATGTTAGATCGACCCGCGTCATGTCGTGATGATCTGCTAGATACCCTGAATCATCAGTAGCTACATTGGGTGCGGGGTTTCTGGGCCTTTGCATATCTCCTTGTTCGTTGCACTCAGGTAAGGATTGGATGCAAGGGCAACAACATACATGGTGTAAAAGTTCAATGGGTTTTCTCCCTTTTCCTACTGTAATCTCAACGCAAAAGAAAAACCAATAATACAGATGGGATGGTCTTTGAATCCTTCCATACTGCGTACACAGTAGTCTAGCTTTCCATCCAATACCTGTCCCGCGTTGAGTCCATCGACTACTGAGGACGGGCCGTGGCAAGAACAGGAATGGCCGAGATCGGCGGCGGCTCGCGGCACTTGGACACCGCCTCCCAAGATGGACAATAATGGGGACAGTTGGGCTTCATTCGGCAGAGTGTGGCGCTTGGATTGGGGGTCCACAGGCACCCAGGCAAACAACCACCCACCCCCCCCGCGGGACACCGCGTGACCCATCCTTGAATCATCTGAAGTGGCCATCTGCCTACATTCCACATCCTCTCAATCAGCTGCTCTTGTGTGTCGTATGGGTGAGAAACCTGCTCTCCAACAACTGACACAACTGACTACCCGTACGGACCTCCACCTTGCATCCGCTGGCACCAGACTTGGCGAGGAAGTGAGCCCCCTTACCTTGAGTCCTGCAGTACTGCTAGTATTGACCAGGTCTCCTCAATTTATATGATTTTGATTTTGACGGCACGAGCGGAAGATTCATGTTCTTATTCAGACCAAGTACATTGCATGCTAGGCTGCCAACCTTTGGCGTCAAGAGATCTCAAGAGACCAAGTGGGAGCCTCACGTGCAGATCTTCAAGTTCGCGTAATCTCCCATCCCAAGCCCGAGCGCAACCCATCCCAATCCCAATCCCACCAACCCCATCCACTATCCAACTAGTCGGACACCCGTGATTCCCCCACCATCACGTCGTCAGTCAGCGGTGAGACGCTCTATCATCACCATCACCATCACCCAACTACCATACCACATTGCTCTGTTCCACAGGATTGATCCTTTGCATTGCATTCTCTTATCAGGCCTACATCTCCCGCCGTTCCAACTGTACATGCGGGAAAGCATTAAGTAAAATCAAATACCTCCTGCGCCTGCTCGAACGTCGTTGACACCGCAGCCAGCCAACACGACCGATCACATCCAGATTTTGAAGACGGTCTTGATCTTTCAATATGAGGCCGTCTCCCACCGAGTACTCTGGCTCGCAGAGAACCGAGCGCGATAGACCAGACTGCTCTCCTTCCAGCTCAGCAGTCGCAACTACTCGAGCCGTTGGCTCAGAAGGTAACGCGATTTTCCCCCTCGATTGACTCACCCGTTTCGCTCATCACTTTGGCAAGACTCATGGATTGAGATTCCCTCGCATCCATCTTCTACATCCTTATCTTCGACCGCCAACGACATCGTAACTACCGGACTTAGTGTTCGGTCTCAAGAGGAACGCCTTTCGCGTCAATTTCGGACTTCAGCACATCAGCTGCCTCGTGAACCGCGAGCCACAAGTACCACAGGGAGTAGTCAAGATGAGTACGAAGAGAGCGAGAGTGAAAGTGATCGAATCATGAGTAGCTCCAACGAAGATATCGACCCAGACGCAGCCGGCGATGACGACGACACCTCGACAGCATTAGGTGTGAGGAGTATCAACAGAGTCTTTACTCCACAACCCAATGCATTTTCCCATCCTCCATCCTCACAACTTCGACCTATTCCCGACTCGTACTTCCCTGCTGTCCAGCCTTCTGATCAACATGCCAATCGGACAATCACCCAGCGCAGCTACCAGCACCAAACCCGTACGCGCAGTCACCCTGCTATGTCTTCCTATCAACCCGACCATGACGCCGCTCTTCGTGCCTCTCTCACGACACTACTTTCCTGCGCTGCCGCAGTGAGACCCAAAGGCCAGCCATCGAGAAATACAACCACAAGACCCCCAGCTCAACCCACTTCACTTCGGCTAGTACCAGAGTCTGAACTTGAAACAGCATCACAGCCAAGACGGACAACCTCGTCACCAAAGCAACAGAAACGGAAATCGCGAGAATCAAGCAAAGAGCGTCAAGTCAAGAAAGTGCGAGCCGCAAAGACAGCAATAGTAGGTGAAGAATTAATCAGTCCTACACTGGCGTCCTGGATGATCTCCGCAGGAGTTGTTCTTGTTTTCTCCGCCATCAGTTTCAGTGCTGGATATGCTTGGGGACGCGACGTGGGTAGAATTGAAGGCGAACTTGGCCTGACGGGAGGTGGTTGTAGCCAAGAGGCAGTACGTGGAAGCGGAACTGGACTCCGCCGTCTGAGATGGAGTTCTGGCGCCAGCAGTGTACGTGCATGACCTATCAGGCATATCTTGGTCGGGTGTCTCGGTGTTTGGATTCGGGTAAGGATCTAAGTGAGCCACATCTCGGGATGAGCTTTACGAGCGGGCTCAGGCTACTAATTACTAAATGCATTGGAGGAATGACGAGGAATGATACCCCGGCGGCAACAGTGTAATACAGCAGCGCGGGACATAAATACATGTGATCTGTGATCTCGAAAACGGCAGCGAGATATGGTATACACGAAGCATGAGCATGAATATGAATGGGAGGAGTATTTTCCATGGAACTGGAGGCAACTTGGGCGTTTTGATGGTTCGCTCTTGATGGAATTACGAGAATGCGGTTGCATACATAGACTTGATTATGGACTCCTGCTCGGCTCCAATATGAACCATTGTGCCTGAGGAACCCACAGCTTTTCGCCTTCTTGCGTTTTCGCCTGGTCGTCGTTTTTGAACAATGTGCCATCGCTAAGGACAGAAGCTAGCCACAGTATCAATTGTTGAAGGTCACCGCAGGAGCCAGAACAAGGGAGAGCCATGACCTCAGTTGTGTTCACAAATGGCCATGTTGAGTTGAAGACATCCACTAACCAGGGAGTAAATTCCATATTTTGTTACAGGCCATCCAATATTTCCACCACCTTGGCGAAGGGGAAAAGCCATCATCGATTCCAACCCTTGCATGCACTGCCAGTTTACATGCTCTTTAAGAAATTGGTCTCGCGGATATTCTTTCTATTGGCAACACGTGCGCTCTTAGTGACCTCCTGTCGGCGCTGAAGACTCGTGATGGCATCGTCGCTCGGTCCAGTGAGATCTTTACTCTGTTCGTGCAAAGGGATTTCGACGGGGATGTTGTTTCGTAGGCGCTCCTGCGCCTTGTCGTAGCGGAGTCGTTGTTTCTTAGTCATCGCTGTTGTGCAGGAAGAGAGAGAATAGTTAGCATATTGTGTCCAACATTTATCTTTCTGTTAAGACTCCTGGAACAACTCACCGGCTAGGTCAACGGAGGGCTCGCCGGCCTTGCTGTTCCCGTCCAGCAGCGTCCATAGCCAGTCAGGATACTCGTGGTCCTCCATCGCTTTGATCACCGGTTTGGCTTTCGTGAAGCCAAGTCCCTTCAATTCCGTGCCTGCTGCTACCGAGCTCTTCAAATTTTTGGGCGCGCGAATCTTCTTGGTTGGCGCATCGGGCATTGCTGAGACACTCGAGGCCTTGGAAGGGTCGGAAAGCGGCTGGGATTGTGCTGCATTTGATTGCGAGCCTGGCTGCTCCGCCGGGGACGCTGGTTGAGAAGATGCCGCATTCGGTGTTGCTGGCACCGCAGCTGCGTAATGTCTAACGCTGGAGGATGATAAAGGAACGGCAATTTGCTTCCGCAATGTACCAACTCGCAACCAAAATGCTCGTCGACAGCTGGAGCAGATCATTGTGAAAAGACCCTTGCAGGGCCTTCTTTTGGGTTTGGTGAAGTTCGTGGACAACCTCTCGGTGATGATTGTTCGGAGAGACGTCGAGAGTAAACTGCTTCGGTTCGCAGGTTTGGCAACTCAAAGGACCATGGACATGCACCGGTCGAACAAGCGAATAAAGAATCTCAGAATCGCTTCCCCAATGTTTACTAGCCTTGGCATGTTTGCTGGCCCCTTATTCGGGGATTTTCCAAACCCTTGTCCAATATTTTTGCTCGCCACGCCACGCCACGCCACGGAGAGAACCTCCTCACTGATATTGGCTTGGTGCTGCATATTGATGCAAAAACGAGCAATCATGACGTCCCAAAGCACCTTGCCTTTTGCTCAACGGGCCTCGAACCATCCCAATGCACTAGTCAAGAGACTGTTCAATATTGCTGAAAAGAAGAAGACCAATATCGTTCTGTCCGCCGATTTGACCACCACCAAAGAACTTCTCGATATTGCAAACAGTAAGTCTCGTAAAAGAGTTCGTCCTTTGCAAGTTCAGAGCATGATGAAAGGGGAATGAAAGGGACCATGACAGATCATCTGACATGACTCTTCGCCACTACACAGGTTTGGGGCCATATATAGCCGTCATCAAAACACACATCGACATTCTATCTGATTTTGGGCCCGAAACCATTCAAGGGCTCACCACTCTTGCGGAGAAGCATGACTTCCTTATTTTCGAAGATCGAAAATTCATTGACATTGGTAATACTGTTCAAAAGCAATACAAGGGCGGGGCTCTACGAATCCACGAGTGGGCCCATATTGTCAACGCCAGCATTCTAGCGGGTGAAGGAATCATTCAGGCTCTCGATCAAACTATCCGCGAGGAGAACGCACCCAACCGCGGAATCCTAATCCTGGCGGAAATGACTTCTAAGGGCTCACTGGCAGTCGGGGAGTACACTCGAATGTCGGTTCAAATCGCGAGGAAGTACCCACAGAGCGTGATGGGCTTCGTCTCCACTACGGAGCTTTCAAGCCATTCCCCTAATGCTGCAGCGGATGAGGATTTTGTAGTGTTCACCACCGGAGTCAATATTTCGAATAAAGGAGACGCTCTTGGACAGCAATATCAAACTCCAACAACTGCGATGAAAGGTGGCTCAGATTTCCTTATTGCGGGGAGGGGTATCTATGCTGCCGCTGACCCGGTTGCTGCTGTCAAAGAATATCAATCTGCGGGTTGGGAAGCGTATAGGCAGCGTTCGGCCTCGGCCAGTTAATGAAGAGGGCACCGGCATCAACGGTCTCGCGAAGGCCAAGTACCAATCAAACAAGTGGTACGGTGATCCTTCCCTCCAGTGTGACTTCAAAGTGATGGTCCAAGTTGTTGCCATCGATTTCCAATGGTATGGGCTCCAGGTCAGATCGCATATCGGGTCTATTCCCAAGAAGAGCACTTAAAGGTCGACCATTGGGCCATCTGATATCCACCAACCACATTGTTTGGTACTGGACACGAACGCGAGCGGATGAAGACCTTATTTTTGATTTGATTTTTGGAAGAATCTTGATAGCCAGCGCACTCCCGCAACTTGCAGCTGAGAGCTTCTGTTATTGAAATCTAACAGCGTACACTCTAGGGGATATCTGCTCTAGTGTATGTCTAGTTCTAATCTAGCCCTATCGAAAGGGCGATCGCCAGTCCCAGCTCCTCCTTGGGATTATGTGAGGGGAGAGGCGGAACCCCAGTAACAAACACAGTGCCTCTTAAATGTTACAACTCATGATGTCGGACGATCGCTTTTCCAACCTTTATCCCGAAAATGCCCAATATGCACCAAACATAACAGCCGTTGAGGCGGAAGCCAGGAGTGCCGATGTAATCTGTTCGGGCTTGAATGGATTGGTAGATGCGACCAACCCTTTGATACCTTTGGATGCAACACGGTGGGCAGCTCGATCGCTGAGGCTGACCACATAGTGTCTTGCGAAAAGATCGTTCTGAATCCACCAGAATTTGTTCAGGGCCTTCAGCACGTCCAGTTTGGTCTGGGCATCGAGTGCTTCCACGCCCATCACAATGTCCGTGACGGCATTTTCCACCCATCCGAGCAGGAGATTGACGTCGCGGTATTCCACAAACAACGCGGGCCTGTCCTTCCGATGTCTTAGCCCGGAATCCATCGATCCCGTGTGTACCTTCCCGACCATGTCGATATACGACCAGAATTTACTCTGCGGCGTCCAGTCATGGTTCGACACCAATCTCACCAGATATGCCTTCAGGAAGTCCTTGCGGAATTTGATGTTCGCGTGGTCGCGATGGAGATCTTGCACTTTCGAGCCCGACCCGCCACTGCCGTCCGTTGACTGTGCTGGCGCGAATGGTGCGGCGGTGATGTCGAAATTCAAGAGGTGGTCGTAGACTGCGTCGACGACGTTGTTGACGATTGGCGCGAGTACCGGTTTGCATGCTTCGATCAATGATCCGTCTTTCGCTGGGTCCCATAGGAGGAAGTCCTGCAGGTACTGCATCCGCAAGGGCAGGTCGGTCTCGATGAGTTTCGCGTCGATATGATGCATCTTTGCTGCTGTACGAGTCGAGATATGTCTTCCTTGGGATTGTGCTTGTATATAGTTCAGAACGGTCCAAAGTGTTGCCGATAATCGGGAACTCCAGAAATCTTCATTATAGGATATATTTGTTCTCATATAAACCACCAGGGACACCGTTGTTCAGGGTCTTAGTCAAGTGGGCCACGTATGTAACTCGCTATTGTGGATTGACGTCGCGTTATCGATATATTTCCGCGGTTATGCTGACGGGAATTTCAATGGGCTCATTGTGTTCTTGTCGCGGGAGAACGGACACTCGGCTTCACGATTAGACGAAGACGGTAGTTGGTTCCTCGCATCAAGGCAGCCCCTGGTGAGATAATATCCTCAGCCATGCTTAGGAACCTGGAATATGTGTCATCGATGCCAGTATCCGAAGTGAGAAATTTCCACAATCCAATCGGAAGACCTCTTTTTCCGGACGCTATGGAAAGCGGCCCGCTATTCCTCTTCCTTAACTCAACTGCTTTCTCCGCGGCATCGAAGATAAAATGCCAAATAATGCCACTGAGACCGTGCGCATTTGTTACGGCATACTTGATCTGGGTTCCTCATCTCGGGCTTTACAAACTTCGATCGGGGTTCAGGCTATGTGAATGTCCACTAATGGCTTCAATTACAACTTCGCTTTTCCGGTAAGTCATGCAGTATCTGTCCAGTCAGGATTAAGAAAGAAGACATAATGGCCAAATCCTTGGATGGATATCATTCTCATGCCCAGTACTATTGATGACTCCAATGTGGAGTTCAATGGCATTGAGAGTGAGTTATATCGTCGCTCTTGAGATAGGAAGTTAAGGTGTCTCCGCCCAGATCACGCTTTGGATCTATCGCATCCTTTTCCGTGGGTATTCAGTGGGATTGAAAATCGGGCTTTGTACTCCATCCATATGGGGTAACGATGAATCCCGATCATTGATTACCTAAACTGGCTAAATAAGTGGCTTCTTCTCAAGCATAAGACCCCCCGCAATGGACTCCTTTTTCCAACAGCTGTGTCACGGTATCCTCCCGCTCAGACTGCCCCTGGCAGTTTTGGCGGTCTTGTGTCCGACGTGCCAAATCGTGGGATAGAGCGACTAAAATGACATTCCCGTTAGCAATCACACCTTTCGGTAAGACATTCGACCGGACCATCATGCAACTTACCAGTGAAGTACCCAAACACGACTAGTACCACTGTCCAACGAGTGGAGTAGAAAGCTTCGACGGTCCCACTATTGACCCAGATGGAGCTGACAGGAAGGAGGAACGCAAGTCCAATGACGATATTCGCCCATATGGACAACCACCGACTTTGCTCATGGTCCTTCTTGGAAACTAGGGACATGAGAGCAAGAATAAGCAGTAGGGATCCGGCACTAAGATAGAAGTACGAACACAACTCGTCCGTGGCTGGTCGTTGGTATGCCGCTGATGATCTATGATCTAGTGGCTGGAGCCCATTCACGCCGAAGACAGAGGCTATCGCATTCTCTGCTTCATTCCACAGTCGGTCGATTCTTGTACCAGCCTCGAGTTGCCATTGAAATGAGTTGAAGGGTTGAGCAATGTGCTTGATTTCTTCGATCTGCTCCGTATAATTGTACAAGTTGAGTAAGCGAGTCCGATTTCTGAATGCTATGTTGAACAAAGAGTCTATGTCGTCTAAAAGGTCGGAGGCAACTTCACGTGAGGAAATGTAGCCTTCAAAAAAGGTCCTCAAGTCAGAAAAGTCATGTAGAGGATGTAGTGCCTGCCATGCCCCAGAGATCTGGTTGATGACTCTCGACAATATCAAAAAGCTGCAATCTTCCATCATCACGAGGATGGCAACGTGGAGTGGATAGTGCAGAATTGTCCAGATTCGTTGGCTGGTCCATGCGAATCTGTCGTTTTCGGCGTGGTTGAAGTACAGCATGAATATAAAATACTACAAATATCAGCACGAAGGGTTTGAAAAGCCGCCACAGGAACACTCATACTCACCATCAAGAGCATTGAGCAGACAAGCTCTCCAAGATTATCAGCAAGCGGCCACTTGACGGTGTCGAACAATTTGTATGTCGTTCGCGATAGACTGAGAACTCCCTTTGCCATGATGACGACAGTCAATAAGCCCAGTCTCTCAACGAGATGTGCTGTGTTGGCGCTGGTCATCCTCCACTTTGTAAAGATGCCTATTATCGAAGTTGCTTCTGCCACACATACGCCGTACCTAAATATCGGTTAGAGCACACCGTCGATCCAGTGATTTCAACATACCAGGCCAAATAGCATCCCGAGTTCTCCCCCAGACCCCAGAAAATCAACAGGAATGCCATTGCAGAGACCATCATGCTCCCAATTGAGTATATCAAGGGAAGCCTACTGATCTCCTGGTTGGAAGCGTTCCACAACACTATGATGTATTGTGTAGCCAAGATTAACCTCGAAGTAATCAAAATTGACGACAATGCTTTGAACCCCTGGATAGTAGACGGGATGTGGATTATGTCATAGGTCATCGTGCATACGACAAATACAGTCATAGTTATCCATGATATTGCTTTGTGCACATGGCGAAACCTGGAGTCGGCCGGACATCGAATCCCAAACAGAGTGGACTGCAGCCAAGTGACCCAAAGAAGTGTGAAGAAACAGAGATATGCTTTCAAGGCTAGTGAGAAGTCAATTTTGTCCACCATACTAGTGCTTGATCAATTTTCGTACTTGCAGCATCAAAAATCTCACTCCTGGCTGTGACGGTCGCAAGGCTGGCTACGACGAGGAGATCATAAAATAGGTCGACTGTATCGACTCCCCGCAGGTGTCGAAATGCAAGTTCATCCTCGCCGCTTTCACCATCCAGGACCGGTAGGCCCGTCTGGTGATTGATGTCGACATTGGATTCATTCTCCATCAACCTATGGTCCTCAGGGTCGTGGAAACGCGACTGGCTTGATAGTGGCCGCGCCCACCGCATTAGTCCTATCATGTATGCGGAAGTCCGGTCACCGTGATAGTCAGAAGCCGTGTATAAGATCGGAGGAGGGTCGGGATTGTAGGAAGAGCAAACTCCATGATGTTGAGTACTTTATAGCATGACTTCTATTCGAAGCAAACTGGTTGGTATATTTCAGCCTTGAGACTCCACTGAAATTGAATTGAACCCAATGGTCAACCCAATGGTCCCAATAATGATTGGCGATAGGTGCCCGGGTGCCGTAGATAGTGGGTGTCAATGCGAGCGCGGCGGGGCCATGATGTTGTCCGTGCGTCGACCATGGTTCTCCGTAGGTCTTTTCACTCTCATCACGGACGGAAAATAATCAATTTCGTGATACGAAAGAGTATTTATTTGTTCCAGAGCTCGACTATCTATCATATATAATATGAAGGCCATGCCCAACCTCCCAGGTCTGGTGAGTGATGGTGCCAGCCTCGTGGGGCGATAGTCAATTGGCATTCCCATATGCTCTCATGACGTACTGGTGGCAGGGGGCTGTGGGAAGTCAAAGGATAACCATTAGCTAAGCCATTGCTACGCAGATTCTTTCTGGTAGTGGTGTTGAAAATCATGCTTAAGATGAGCAAGCAGGAGACGGAGATGCGAGAAGGACTCCCACGAGACGAGACGCGACATGAGAGAGACTCCAGCATGGTTTGAACCAAGGACAGGGCGATCAAAGGTGGCTCAGAACTTGAGTAACCGTTTCGCAGCATGTGAAGGCAACATACAGGACTTTCGCAGAGAGGGCTGATATTAAACTTGCAGACTCGACATGATGTGCGAATACTGGAGGGAGAGTGAAACGCAGACACGGGATCCTTCCAGAGGTGCCGCTGTGGAGACCTGTTATTATTAGTCACGAACGCTTGTGGTCGGCGGAGGGGACTGTGCGATAGTAGCGCAACCTGGGGAGGGGTCATTGACATGAAAGTACGGAACTACGGGACGCACTATGACGGAGGCGGTTGAGAATCTTGTGTCCAAACTCTCTGCGAGGCGCCTCGCATGGTGGCCTCCGAATGGATTTTCATTCGTAGACACAATTGTTTACACAGCCTCATTTTGTTGCAAATGGGTATCCCATACGAGTTCCAATCCAGACCTTAGGAGTGAATGGTAACCAAGGAATTGGTTTTAGCAGTGCGCTAGCACTTTATCGAGTTAGTGTCCTGTCGCTTATAGACTATAGCGTGTTGTAGCCTTTCGAAAAGTGGCAGTGGCAAGCACGCGCATGAACCCGGCAAGAATACGAGATTGTGCCTGAGCCTTTGCAACATCTTGGCCCGGCAATGGCGACAAATGGCACCCGGATTTCTATCTTCCCCGAATTTCTCGGCATGCTGTCGCTTCTGCTGTCGAATCCGGGAACTTCCCATCCTGAATAATCCCTCTCGTTTGGAACTCTGTTGCCCTGCCTCTCCACGCTTACTCCCTACGAATCCAGAAGTCCATGCGACCATGTGGCTTGTCGCTAAGTGCACCACTCATCTCATTTCATTTGCTACGCTTAGCTCTTCGATAGAATCGCATTGACCACACTCAATACCGAGTTGTTGTTGCGCCCGTGAGAGAGATTGGCCAACCCTACACCAATTTGCCCCTTTGACTTTTTTTCCATTCGGAAACAGCTTTACCATTAAACATGCAACGCACCCTTCGTATATTAGAGACCTGCAAACCATCGGCCACTATGTATCCGTCAAACCGTGCACTCCTGTTCCCTGGAGCTAACTTGCGCCTTGACCCTCTACTATTATTACCGGTTAAGTACATTTCCTTTCCATCCCCCTCCCTCCTTCCTTTTGTGTCTCCTTTCACCATTCTTCGTCTGCTATCACCAAGCATCTGTGGAAGCTCGCCGAGGTGGGTTCAAAGGCGACGAGCTCGTCCATCAAAATGTCTATCAACCCTAGCCGGAGGTCAAGTACAGAGGAAGATTACCGTGAGATTGTGGAAGCAACTATCCATGATCGACTACGAGATGGAATAGCACAACATGCGAAGGATCTAAAGGCGAAGAAGCGCCGACACCCCTTCGTTGGTAGGACACAGGACACCGACCTCACCAGGGTGGCCACCACATTCTCCACGGACCTTGGTGTTGCACCAGAGACTCTTTCTGATATCGACCCTCGGCTTGACCCTCGGAGTGAAGCCTTCGACTTTCGGTTCTGGGCTACCATATTTCTCCAATTACTTCGCGAGGATGGATTCAAACGCCAAAGCGTAGGATTTTCCTTTTCCTCATTAACTGTATCTGGAACCGGTGCAGGGGTTGAGCTGCAAAAGACCATTGCATCTCCGTTTAAGGCGCTCGCAAACATAACCAGGATATTTCAGAAGACTGAAAAAGAACCCACAAGGATACTGAACAGTTTCAATGGGGCTGTTAAACGGGGTGAGATGCTCCTTGTCCTGGGCCGCCCCGGGAGTGGTTGCACGACGTTTTTGAAGTCAATCAGCGGCCATCTTGAAGGCTTGACAAAATCTGAGGAGTCAGTCATCGCATATGACGGAATACCTCAAAAGGTCTTCACCAAATTTTTCCCTGGGAGAGCCGTCTACAACCAGGAAAGCGATGAGCATTTACCTCACCTTACGGTTGGACAAACTCTGCATTTTGCTGCAACAGCGGCAACCTCTCGCACTCGGATCGAGGGAGTAACCCGAGAGGTACAATCCACCCACATGGCTGAAGTTATGATGAGAATTTTTGGACTTTCTCATGTATACAATACAAAAGTCGGCAATGACACCATTCGCGGGGTGAGCGGTGGAGAACGAAAACGCGTAAGCATTGCTGAAATGGCCCTTGCCCGATCTTCCATCGCAACGTGGGACAACTCCACAAGAGGGCTTGATGCAGCGACTGCTCTGGAGTTTGCCCGCTCATTAAGAACTCTTGCAGATGTCATGGGAGTCACCCAGGCGATGGCCATTTATCAAGCAAGTCAGAGCATATATGATTTGTTCGACAAAGTCCTCGTTCTCTATGAGGGCCGCCAGATCTATTTTGGACCTGTTGCCACAGCATCGTCATTCTTTCACACAATGGGATGGCAATGTCCTCAACGACAAACCACTCCAGACTTCCTTACATCCGTCACAAACCCATCGGAAAGAATACCAAGAGAGGGCTACGAGAGCAAAGTTCCAAGGACTGCTCTTGAATTTGAGCAATATTGGCTAAACTCTGATGATTACAAGGCCTGTATGTCAGAGCTTTCGCAGGATGCAGAAGCGTTTGGGACTCAAAATCCTCTGAACGAAGTTCGAGAAATTCATCGACAGTTGCAAGCGAAGCATGCTCGGAAATCCTCACCATATCTGCTCTCAGTTCCGATGCAAGTCGGTCTTTGTATGAAACGATCTTCGCAACTTCTCTGGAATGACAGAAACTCTACTGTCGCCTTGGCAATTGGAAGGATCATCCTTGCTTTGATCATCGGTAGTATTTTCTACGGACCTCCACCTACAACGGCAAGCCTATCTTCCAGAGGTTCTGTCATATTCTTAGCCACACTCCTTAACGCTCTTATGGCTGTCACTGAGATAGCTTCACTCTTTGGAAAGAGACAAGTTGTACGACGACAGAAAGAATACGCATTCTACCACCCTTTCGCAGATGCTTTTGCAGCATTCCTTGTTGATATTCCACCGAAATTCATCATCTCGACGTTGTTCAATGTGGTCTTCTACTTTTTGGCCGGGCTCCGACCAGAAGCTGCTCCCTTCTTTGTCTTCCTGCTATTCAGCTTTCTATGCATGCTGATGATGTCAGCCATCTTCCGAACCATTGGGTCTGCCTCCCAGCAATTGGGAGCCGCTTATGCAGTCGCCGGACTTGGTGTCCTTGTCATGGTCATCTACACTGGGTTCACGCTACAAACGACCTACATGCATCCATGGTTTCGGTGGATTAATTACATCAATCCTGTCAGCTACGTCTTTTCTGCCTTACTGGTAAATGAAGTTCATGGTAGACTATACAGATGTGCACCACAAAACATCATTCCACCTTACTCAAACGGGGTTTCCAACTTTGCTTGTGCAGTCATTGGGGCAACTCCCGATCAAGTTGATGTATCAGGTGATGAATGGGTCAAGTCCGGCTACGACTACAGCTACTCGGATATCTGGCGCAATCTCGGTATCATCATTGCCTATATGCTGGCGTTTCTCGTATTCCACCTCTTAGTGGTTGAATTCAAGTCAACAGCAACGTCAAATCCTCAACGCCTCGTCTTCCGCAACCGGAAAGCAGCAGAATCGGTTGTTAGAAGTGGTCAGGATATTGAATCCAATGCATCACAAAGATCAAACAACTTCATTGCTGCCGAAATGACTGTGGAAGACAAGCTTGAGCTTTCGACAAGTGTTACTGAGGGACAGCAACCTGCTACTGGCGACCGTAAACAACAGAGAGGTCAGACGACCAATGGAAGCCTTCTAACTTGGGAAGATATGACTTTGGATATTGACATACGTGGTACCCAACGACGTCTTCTTAATAACGTGTCGGGATGGGTCAAACCAGGTACAATGACATGTTTGATGGGTGTTTCCGGCGCGGGGAAAACAACCTTACTCGATACTCTCGCCCAAAGACAAAATACTGTTGGTCAACTATCTGGAACCATTCATGTGGATGGCATGCCATTGAAATCATCATTCCAAAGAAGGACTGGATACGTTCAACAACAAGACCTTCACTTGGAAACCAATACCGTGCGCGAGGCACTAAGATTTTCTGCTCTCCTTCGGCAAACAGCATCTATTTCGCGCGAGGAGAAATTCGCTTATGTTGAGAAGGTCATTGAAATGCTCAACATGGAATGTTTCAGTGAAGCCATTGTTGGTTCGCCTGGTGAGGGCTTAAACATCGAACAAAGAAAACTCCTTACCATCGGGATTGAACTGGCCGCCAAACCCAGTATCCTCTTTCTTGACGAACCTACATCTGGTCTAGATTCTCAGAGCTCGTGGACTATTGTTTGTCTACTTCGAAAGCTTGCCGCGAATGGGCAAGCGATATTAGCCACAATCCACCAACCTTCTGCGATTCTTTTCCAACAATTTGACTCCATTCTCCTCCTCAGTAAAGGTGGTAGAACGGCCTACTTTGGACAACTCGGACGAGACTGTCATACACTTACCAATTACTTTGAGGCGAGCGGGGCACGTGCTTGCGACGAGCAGGAAAATCCTGCAGAATATGTTCTCAGTCTTATTGGAAATGCCTCTTATGATTGGCCAGGGGCCTGGGTTTCTAGTGACCACTACAAACATATGAAGCAAGATTTGTCGATTCTTGCTACGGATCGTTCTACCGCCCGAACAGATACGGATGACACCTTGGAATTCGCTGCTCCTTTCACCACTCAATTTAGATATGTTTTGAAGAGGTTGTTCCAGAACTATTCTCGAAAGCCTGGCTACGTCTTTGCGAAGGTTCAAGCTGGATTTCTGTCGGCATTGTTCATTGGCTTCAGTTTCTTCCTCCAGAATTCATCAATGACAGGTCTTCAGAATACCATATTTGCGATATTCATGCTGAATGCAACTTTCTCAACGACGGTCAATCAGGTAAGTTTTTCGCTTCTTGTTCTTACTCCAAACTAACCCTGCATAGGTCATGTCAAACTTCCTTCCACAACGCTCACTGTTTGAAGTCCGTGAAGCTCCTTCCAAGATGTACAGTTGGGTTGTATTCCTCCTAGCCAACGTCATCGTTGAGATGCCCTTCCAGATTTTCCTCTCTATCATTGTCTGGGCGGCGTGGTATTTTCCAGTATTCGGCATGCACCAAACAGGAGAAGAAATTGGCTTGATGTTTGCTTTCACCCTCCAATTTCTATTATTTGCCGCCACTTTCGCGCAGATGCTCATCTTTACCCTTCCAAATACCGAGACTGCTGCAAGTCTTTCAACAATTATGTTTACCCTGACCTTGCAATTCAACGGTGTTCTTCAGCCTCCGGATGCGCTACCAGGGTTCTGGATTTTCATGTATCGAGTCTCACCATTCACCTACCTAATCGGCGGTTGGGCAGGTACAGGTCTTGCGGATCGGCCTATTGTCTGTGCTCAAAACGAACTGGCAATCTTTGATCCTCCCCAGGGTGAGACATGTGGCGTTTACCTTGAGAGATACCTCGAAGGTGGAGCCTTGGGGACGCTGTTAAACCCAGCAGCCTCCAACGCCTGTGAATACTGCCCAGCAAGAAATGCCGATCAAATCTTGGCTGCTTCATGGATCTATCCATCGGAACAGTACAGGAATTTAGGAATCATGTTTGCATACATTGGGTTCAATATCGCTGCCGGACTTGGTCTCTACTACATGTTCCGAGTCAAAAATTTCTCGATTAAAGGTCTGTTCCCAAAGAAGGCCGCAAAGGAAGAGCACGAAAAAGTACCTACCAGCAAGACTAAGTCCCAGAAGTTCCATTTTGGCTTGTCCTTGCTTTGGAGCATTATCCGCAACACAGTCCGCTAAGCAGAATTTGCCAGGAAATGTGAACATCAGTTCAAATGGAACATTTATCGTAGGCTTGGGTGGGGTGGGGGGAAAAGGCAAAAATTGTACATTGCTTCGAGTGTGCGTGTCTGTTCGGGCGGGTCCATGCAAAATTGCTACATAGGATTTCTTCGTGCAGATATCAATCTACTTTTAATGCTGGTATCAGAATCCTCAGCGGTGAAAATTGACCTCTCCAAAGTCAATTTACGTCTCCGGATCTGAGCAACGCGCGTAAGCTGAGGCATGCCCAAAACACCTTAATTCATCTATCTGTACAACTCAGCCTATTCGCTCAGGCGATTCCGTCTTCAGCCTAACAATCGGCAAAAAGGCACGTATATCTGAGCTCCACCTAAACCTCTTCCTGCTGGCTCACTACTTGGTCGATATTCTCCTGCCTTCCGTTCTGTTCCCCTTTCCCACGTTCCAGTTGAAAGGAGCAGGAGCAGGAGCAGGAATGTTTATTCATAAGGAGTACCTGGATTGCTTAAGATCGGTACGCAGTGCTCTGAACTGAAGAAGTACGCACAGGACCAGAACTTGAAACAGTACCGACTGAAATCCGGGCTCCTTGTAGTTACAAACGGGGCACGCAGTAGCCCTGGCCTAGTTAAGGCGGCCAGTAAGCCACAGTACTCCCTAGTTAGAGGAGGCCCGCAAGGGCGTTACCATATGGTATTGTCTGAACTTCGAGATCAATCCAACCGGCGAGAGGTACTTGCTGAACGCGTCCAATTAATCTGCCTCCATAGTCCACTGGCGAAGAGTAGATTGAAAAGGTTTTGGTCTACACATTAGAGAAACGGTGTACACAACAATGAGGGTAGTCGAGCTGTGCTTTCGCCATCCAAGAGTTTAATTCATGAGATCAACGGATACCCAGTTGTCAAATACTTGCTTCAACGTGCATGGTTCAATGCCGTGTCGCTAGAGAATTTGAAAAATCCAAGTCCTGAATTTGTATTTGTCTTCTCTCAAAGTCGATTGCACCGATGTGGCGCGTCGAGTATAATGCGCGTCGAGTATAATCGTACAGTTTTATTACAAACATGATTACGTAGAGTATGAGCCATGGCATGCTATCATAAGCTCGTTGGCGTTGTCCATGGAGAGCGATCCATCTCCATCCAGCCTCGATAACGAAGGCGGCTCTCAATAAATGAACGAGAGCAGTTAGTAACACTCACACAACCCCCTAGTGAAACCCAACTCACCAGACCCACTATCGTTCCATTTCCCAAGCGCCTCGCGAAATCGGATCTGTTCGTCGATCATTCAATCATGCCTTGAAGAAGCCCTCTCTCCAACGACCAATGTCCTTCGATTTTTTGTTCCACAACTTTTCCATGCGATCCATCTCCTTTCTAGCCAATTCGAGTTCTTTGCCTGTCGCCGCGACGTGTCGAGCGAGCTCCTCGTCGGTGAGCGCCCGCAGATTGATTGGCTCACGAGGGACATATGGAGATAAACCAGAAGCACTAGCGCCAACAGAGGAAGATTGTCGAGACGCATCGGGTGCCGTCAAAGCATCACCAGATGATTGAGTGCCGTGCGGATGTCGGCCTTTGCCCCCCGAGAGGTTGGTGGTCGTTGTTGCCATGGTCGCGGCTGTGCTCGTTGGGCTCAAGCTGATATTCTTTGCCTTGGCGAACAGAGCGTTCGTCTTTGAATGAGGTCCTAGACCAGGAAGACTCGTCTGACGAGGAGTCTTGTGTGGATTTTGCGAGGCTGAGGGTGGTGGAACGTCCCAGGCGCCTCCCAGAGGTACGTTCAAACGACCCAAACCCTCACGGACAGAGGCAGGGATTGTCTCCATGCCGCCATCATGCAAGATGTCGAACTCTTCATCGTCGCTAGCAATTCCGATTTCGCCATCAATCTCAGCGTCATCGTCCTCGAAAATCTCGAATTCATCGTCATCGTCCTCTGCAAGGTCGGCTTGCTCACCCTCACCCGCAACCCAAACGACACCATGCTGTTCGCCATGTCTACCGAGGTGCTCCATGCCCCCAGCAAGGTTCGAAAAGTCATTGTGTTCTAATGGGCCAAGACCGTTCATGGTGCCGACATCACCATATTCATCAAGATACATAGGTCTTCGCTCATTGAGCTCGATGACTCTCTTGGTTTCTTCTCCAGAAAGATGTCTCAACACAGAACCGTCAGAGGTGATCAGGCATTTTTTGAGCAGATCATCCTTTTTGTCGCCACCATCTGCAATGCTGACAGAGTGGCCTTCTTTCAATGCATGCTTCTCCTTGAGTGGCAGATATACATACCCGAAGGCGTCCGTCGCACTGTAGCCATTGCCATCTAGGTACTCCTGTCCGCGGCGCGAATCAGGTGGTAGTTTGTATACTGTCGAATTGAAGCTAGGTGGGTTCAACCATGGGGAATCCCTGGTTAGATCACCACTATGGATCATTGAGTGGACAATTTTGGGCATTGGTGAGACGTGCTCGTTCAGAAACTTTTGAATAGCGCCCGAGCGTTCAGCAGGGGTTGCATCAGGACCAGTGATCTTGTCAACTTCAGCGTAGAGATCACGAAGTGTGAACGGAGTCTTCGCCGCATCTTCTGACTTGATCACCGCTGGAACACTTGCTTCTTCCTTTGGCATGGAGGACATAGAACTGGACAACTTCTGAGTTTGAGTCGTCTTGCTGGCTTTGTAGGATACCACTGCTGACTTTTCTTTCTCTTCAGTCTTTGCCAAGTTGTGCTTCTTGGATGATGTGGTGACGGTGGTTTCTTTGTCGATGGTTGATGATTGCTGACTAGGAGGCGCGGGTTGAACATTGTTGACTTCATCTGAAGCTTTTGAGGTCGATTTGGTCATTTCCTCAGCGCTTGCTGCCGCACTGCTGTCAACTCGACGCTTCTGCTTCTTCTGTCTGGCGATGACTGGTGCAACTTCTTCAACCGAGGGTTGTGCTGAAGCTGACGCCGAACTGACAGTCCCTTCTTGCACTGTGGCCTTTTTGGCCTTTTCACGGCGCACCTTCTTCTGTTGACTCTTGCTTTTTCCTCGCTCGATTGCGCTGCCAACAATGCTGGGCGGAGGCGAGCTGGCGCGGGAGACATCATGTGAAAGGAACTCTGACAGAGCAGGGGTTGATGGCCGACTATGTTGAACCGATGAAGTAGAAGGTCTTCTAGAGCCTCTCTTGGCGGCTGGTGTCGGAGGCATAACGCCGGACCTTTCTGTAGTAGCTGACAAAGAATTGGGTTCTGATGGCTTAGAGGCCATGCCTGTAGTCAGACGCAGAGTCCTTGGACGAGCCGCTGAAGCCTTTGATGATTCAGATGGAGTAGTAGCTGCAGGGGTTGTAGGTCTGGGGCTCTGAGTGCCCGGTGTTTCGACGATGGCTGAGCCCAAGATTGGCGTACCGTCTTTGTCTTTGTCTGTTATGGGTTGTGAACCGCGATTCTCAGAATGTGTAGTCGTCGGCGTGGGAGGGATCTCGATTCGGTCGGGCTTGGCGCTGAGTGGCTTTTGTGTGCCCTTCCCTTCATTCTTTTTAGAGGCCGCAACTGAGGGCTGACTATCCTCCTCGTTGCCTTGGCCGGCGACTCTTATTTTTGGGTCACTGTCACTGAATTTGTGTCGCGATGCTCGAGGTTTTGGAGACCCTAGACTGACCGCGGCTTCATTTCTCTCTCCTTTGGCTTCAGCTGGCGTAGTGGACAAGCCATCGGATTTTATCTCCTTCTGAAGTGTCTTGGGTGTCTCCAATGCCTTTGGTTTCGGAGTCGACGTCCTCGGCCCCACAGGAATCAAAGGAACTGCAGGAGCAATTGCTGTTGATGTGGTAGATACACTTTGTGTGGAATTGAGATTCGTTCCAGGCGAAGCTTGTCTCGAAACCGGGGTAGGATGTGCATGACTTAGCTCAAATCCAGGAGGGATTTTGGGAGTCGATGAGCGCAGCCCAGAACTGTGCAGGCTGTGGAAAGATGAAACTCGAGAATGAAGTGCTGAATTCGCTGTCTCGAAGCGGTTGGGAAGTGGAGGGAAGTTCTTCTCGTCTACTATAAAATCATTCATTAGCAATCAGTATGGCAAATGGAAATACTCTCATCAAACACAAGAACGACGGCATAAGGCGGTGGGTACATCATCGGCGACTCAAGGATACATAAGGGGGCAGAGACGATCAGGCCTTCTGCATCATCTGTCCCGCCCAGCTTCAGATTTACAAGAATTTAAAACAAGCTCCTGGATGATGTGTAAGAAGTTGTTTTTTGAATCTGCCTGACATTTTGCAATGGTGTCAGGCAAGGGTGACTAACATACATGAGATCATAGCTGTGAACTGGGACCGATGATGCCGCTGAAGAAAAAAGCCTGATGCCGACAAGAATCGTGTAAAGTTGACTCCCACGCGCCAGGGAATACCGAGCGTGACCATGCTGTGACTCCCTGAAGCTTTCGCCATCTAGCTACTAGCTTATGCATTGCTCGACCGCTCCGCAATAAGGGGTGAATATTTGATCCGACCAACGCCTAACATAAAACCCAGCAATAGATGGATGAAGAGAATGAAGAGGACACACGTAAACGCAAAAGGTTGATGAAAGAAGAGAATCGTCACGACCACCGATTGTACCCGCCACCGCCGTACATCACATTGGTTTGCGATGAGTACCCACCTTGGTTACCTCCAGAAAGCCCCTGCCCAGTGGAATTACCCTGTTGTGTTCTCGCTTGGACGATGCTCGGGTCTGCAAGATGCTCTACACCGCCTCCTGAAGAGGAAGTGTTAGCATGTCTGTGCTTCTTCCCCTTTTTCCTCTGTTTAACAAGTCCAGGATCTTGATACGCTCCCTGGTATTGACCATAGAGGGCATTAAGACCACCAGGGGCAGGGGCTGATGATGGAGGTGACCGAGGGGGGTTGTTTTGCAAAGAAAGGAGCAACTCACGCTTATTAGGGATATCATGACCCTGATTCGTCCCGCTTCGATTCCTTATGGAGTAAAGCTCTGCATTCGTGTCTTTGGAAGCCCCAAAGCCAGGGTTGGTGAAGTTCTGTCCATGGGCAAACATTCCACCGCCGCTCACTGGAGGGGTACCAGCCGTTGGCAATCCAGGAGGCGGTCCTTGTACACCACTGGAATAAAATGATTGCTGCTGGCCTTGAAATCGATTGGCAGAAGAGCTCTTAGAATCGTTATTGAAATATCTTGACCCATGACGCTGGTGGTTGTTGATCTGTTCAAACTGCGCTTGACTATACTGTGGTTCTCGTCGATCGAAGTCGGACATTTCGAATGCAGTATTGCGTGAGAGTGTTTGTGTAGCTCCAGATTGCTGTTGGGACAACTGTTGACGTTGCTGCGGGGTCAAACTTCGAGAATTGAGATTCATATTCGTGAATTGATCGGACAAAGGTTGAGAAGGGCGACCAATGGCCCCACGGGCGGAGAGAGTCCGGGGATCATGCTCAGGTTCGCCTCCCAGAGCCAGACTACCTGCGGCCATGTTATCCTCCTCTAAAGTTTCTTCAGCTGTGGATATAGCCTGTGCTTCAAGCTTCGCTCTCGTGTCAGCCTCAATTCTTGCTCTCTCAGCCTCTTCCCTTTCGCGCATGGCACGTCGTTTGGCACCGCCAAAAGGATCAATAAAGGATGGCATGGTTTCGACTTGGGCGCGAACTTCAGGACTGAGGCAGGAGTCATCGTAAACAAACGAATGATTTTGAGACAGGGTTCGAAGGACGTAATCGTATTGCTCCTGGATCGGGTCCACATGCTTGAACTTGGGGGTTGGAGCAGGAGATGCTGGTTTCGGTGAAGTTTTCTTTGGTACGTTTGTTATCGGTGGTTGTGCTTCAGCGGGAGATTCTTTGGTTTTGGGGTCCTCTGTCTTGTGTGGAGTCAATGAAGCATGTGTCAGTTGTGGGCTAGCTGTGGCATGACTGTTTGCTTGACTGGCTCTTCGGGCTCTGGCAATTGGAGCGTTGGTGTTTGCCCAACTTGCAGTCGACGGGAGAGCAGAGCCATCATGGCTACTCTTTCGACTGAGGCCTTCATCCTTGCTGTTTGATCTTGCCATCGGTTGTGTCAGAGATGCGCCGGACAAAGGCCGAGGGGGAACCGTCATGGCTGCAGTCTGCACCACGGCAGGGGCCTTCGAAGATACTTTGACGCCATGGGGTTCATTTTGAAGCGAGCTGCTTTGCCCTTCTTCGCCGCTTTCATGAAGGAAGCTGCAGCTTTTGTTGTTGCAGACTTCACCACGCAGGTAGGCGGAGCAATACTTGGTAGTTCCGAATTGAGCACGCAAGACCCTGTCCCCATTGAGAGAACCATCTACCGTGCTGATACACAGTGCCGCATCTTCCTTTCTTGCATAAGTGACGTAAACACCGATACCTTGATTAGCAGCACCTGGTTTGGCCTTGCTAACAACGATTTTCTCGATGTCGCCGTATTGACCAAAGAATTCGGGACCGCGGAGGGTCTGCAGTAAGGCTTGCTCGTCTTTGATAGATGGAATTAGGCCAATAACATAGACCAAGTTCTGTTGCTTGACGCGCACGCCGGCGAGATTCCGACGTGAAGAATTTTCAACCTCACGCTTCTCAGTTTCTTTACGCTTGGCGGCGGCTTGCTTTTTATTTTTATTCAACTGGTCGAGCTTAAATTCCTCTGCGGTGGGGATCTTGTACTGAATGGTCTTCTCATCGTACGGTCTCCGGCAATTGGGACAGGTGCTCTTCTCGTAGGTATTCTTGAGACTGTTGAAGCAGAATTGACAAATCTCGTAGGGCTTTAGTAAACAGAGTAGAAGATGTCATAGCTGAGGGAAGCAAGGCTTACCTGGTACCCGCAAGGACAAGGTCGAAAGTTTTTGTCGGAGAGGTCAAACTCTTCAATACACAAGGGACTAGGGTGCGGTCAGTCATATTAAATTGTAGCGGCACGATTCTGAGATATGGGCGTACCAAGATTCCTCGTCATCCTCGATGACATTATCTTGAGAGCGATTCATGTCGCGCGGTGTAATATTATCAGAGGTCTATGTCTGTGCTCCACCTCTGTCGACACCTTCACCGGACTAGAAGAAGGGAAGGAACACTCCATGCACCGTGTGTCAGTGAAGTGGCGACAAGCTGGGAGAAGACACTGTAGTGGATTGAGTGAATTCAGGATAAAAGTAAGTTTGCTGTCACTGAGAAAGGAGTGAAGGATGAACTGGTGGGGGATGCAAGAGGTGTACGTGGATATGAGAAAGGACAACGAAGATGAAAACGATGCAGATGGTAGTCGCTTTGAACCGCAAATTGCAACGGCCGAGATGGACTTTTTGAGACCAAGGCAAAGCGAGATGCGTGGCACTGACTGGCACGGGCAGCAGACGCAGACGCAGACACAGACACAGGTTAGAGGAGGAAGGAGTTACTAACACTAGTAGAATTGCAACAGCAAGAAAAGCGCAGGAGGCAAGAGGCAAAATCACAGCTGCCCTTGCCCCTTCTGGGATGGGCTCTTCCTCTAGTCCCAGGCAGGTATCGCGTGCCTTGGCGGCGGTGAGCTCCCAATTGAGACGCATCCAACTTGGATTACCTCACTAACTGGCTGTGCATCTCGAATTCCCAATGAGATAGGTTTGTCTATTGCTCCGCGCCTCATCATGGCGTCGACCAAGTCACTACTGCGTCTAGCCAGCAGGCGGTCTCTCAGCGCAGCTCCCAAGTCCACGAGATGCGCCCAAGGTGTCGCCCTGTTCCATAATTCACCTCCCCAAGGAGCCAAGCAGGAAAAGGACCTCAGGACTGCTCCTGCAGATCTTCTATCAGAGCTTCGCAAGGCCCCTCGACCGCGTAGGTAGTACCACAGCAATTGAGGTTGGACCGCTGTGTCGCTAACAGTGGCTGTAGCTCAAGGCAAATTATCCGCACCCATTGTCAATGACGCCGACAAGTTCTCAGAGCATGCCCTTCCCCTTCACCAATATGGCCAATACCTCATGTCCGCCCTTCCCAAGCACGTCCAACAGTTCTCCGTCTGGAAGGACGAGCTGTGCATCTACATCACCCCGACTGGCGTGATCCCTGTCTTCACTTTCTTAAAATACCACACGGCTGCCGAATACACCATGGTAGCAGACATCACGGCTGTTGACTTCCCCACTAAGAACTACCGTTTCGAGGTCGTGTACAATCTCCTCAGTGTTCGGCACAACTCCCGAATAAGAGTCAAGACATACGCCGACGAAGCATCTCCCGTGCCTTCCATCACATCTCTCTACGACGGGGCCAACTGGTATGAGCGGGAGGTCTACGACATGTTTGGCATCTTTTTCACTGGGCACCCGGATCTACGCAGGATTATGACCGACTATGGTTTCGACGGCCATCCATTACGGAAGGATTTCCCGTTGACTGGGTATACGGAGATCAGATACGACGAGGAAAAGAAACGAATTGTCGTCGAACCTCTTGAGCTGACGCAGGCATTCCGGAATTTTGAAGGTGGCAGCAGTTCCTGGGAACAAGTTGGCGTCGGCGTTGATCGAAAACCAGACCAATTCAAGCTGCCCACTCCCAAGCCCGAGGAGAAGAAAGAGGAGAAGAAGTAGTAGTAGTAGAAAGATGACGACCTCACTTGGTGTTTTGGAGCTCAAAGAATTGGAGCACTGCTGTAGAGGCCGCTGCCACAAAACTAGCCTGACATCATACCCTGTATATAACCAAAAACGGACATCAAGACAGGCCTTCCTACCTGTGCGTAGCAACATGAAACTTACATAAGCTGTTTACCGAAACCGAGGTCCCTTTGAGTGAGATCGCAGATCTCTCAGCTCCTTCCCTTACCTAAGTATAGAGGTCGGAGACCCTTGCCAGGATCTACCATTCCTCGGAAGTCATCAGGATGATAGCTGGTTCAAGAGCAGTGCGCGGCATCAGGTAGCATTGGTAAAAGCAATATTTGACTAAATCTTTAACCTTGTGACATTGCCTTCATAATTCTGAGGGACAGCTAAAGTGGGCCATGTCGTTTAGTCACGTTCAAAGACGAATCTGTGCCTAATCGGACCAACAAGTACATCTTAGAGAAAGGTCGTACATTGTTTGGTTCCCAGGAGCTGGCCCAGCTGGTGATACCAGTCTTCACCAACCTGAACTACAGGTACAAGGTAGACCGCCGCAATGCTTGAAGCACTACAACGCTGTTGTTTCGCTCATTTGACTCGCAACATGGTTATTCGCACGTATTGTACGAGGATTCTTCACAGGGCTGTGAGGAGCCTCAAAGAGAGTGCGTGTCGCTTTGATCTCTTCCCAGGTTGAAGGTCGAAGATGAATGACTCTGATCTCGAACTTTTCTCTAACCGTTTCTCCCATCGATCTTGGTGCGAACTGGCTCAATGGAGTGGTTTGGGGCCATGCCTTAATTATTGCACGGACGATGTTGTAAGGAATCTGTTCATCCGCATTTTGTTGGGGGGAGTGAAGAGACTGTGGGGTGGGTGGGAAGTGGGTCTTCCAAAGGGAATGAACTTGCGAGGAATCGATATTTAGTCTGAGTATTGGAGGAAGGCGAGGGAAGAACAAATCCGAGATCTCAATGGCGTGGTTCGCCGTCTCATCTGCTCTTATGGTCCAAGAAGTGGGACGGAGCACGGCGAACAATTCAAACGTTATAGTGTGAGATGGGTCAGCGTGATTCAGCAGTCGCAAAGCCTCTGCGATTCGAAAACACGTTGGTGATTGCTTCAGAGGGGAGAAACCGACAGTAGTGGGGGCTACAGTCAGCTTCGCAGATGGTGGCGGGGGTTCAAAGGCCTCGCGCATGAAAGGTTTCATGGGCAAGCTATTCCGTTGTGTCCGCAGTTTCAAATCAAGATCTGGCCGTTCGGGGGATCTAGCTATTCCCGATGAGGTCTGCCAGGGCTGCGGTGAAGGTGAGTTCACAGGTTGAGATAGAGTTGCTGTCAGTTGTTTTTCAGCTTCCAAGAAATCTTCCACGTCTTCGGGATTGTCGAGGAAAAGGTCGTCGGAATTTTCATTCTGCGCGGGGAGATGTGGGAGTTGTTCGTCGATTGGTTGGATCTTCTTTTGCTCATCTGGTCCATCAACCACGAGACTCGAAGGCCTCGTCTTTGGGCATGAGAATGCCTTAGAATCAATACGCTTTTTGCTGATGTTCGCGTTCTGTTCGTTTGAATTCCAGGGCCATAATATCGGACTGGATAGAGCAACCACATCCCCGGAGTTCGCGAGAGTTGTTAAGCGGGGTTTCAAGGGCGACGCTGCAAATTCAGAGGTCTCGGCGATTTTTTTGGGAGCTGGAGCCTCCGTGTCACCGACGCGCACCTTCTTGCGACGGTGCGTAGGTGATTGTGTTGGAGACTTCTTTCGTTTTCGTGGACCTGCTGGCCATTTCATGCGCTCTGCTGAAGCGATAATCGTCGAGCGAAAGCAGCTGGCCCGAGAAGATTTAATTTTGATTTTATTCCAATCATGGCAGGGATGTGGTGGCTCAGACGACGAAGTGGAAGCGATCTTGCCCGGGGGATTGACCGGAGTCCATATGTTGGTCCTAAATATGTCAGAAAGACAACCTGGGGAGATGGCTGTTTAACCAACCAAGCCAGGTTTTCAGCCACATGTGCGTCCATGCTATCAGATTTTATATGACCCTGGTACCGCTAGGTGAGTCCTGAGCCCGCTGATATCAACCAAAATAGCAGAAGCCAGCATAGGAACTCCTCCGAGAACCAACCTGGCGACAGATTGAGCGCTTAGCAGTTCAAACCTGTGAGCTAGGAGACTCACAAGAAGAAGGAGAAGGAAGATAGTGTAGCCAAATACAGTAGCAGATATGAGTCTGGCATGCAAGGCGGACACGAAAGATGACATGGTGTGAGGCAAAGCTGGAGTCGATGGAAAAGAAAATCATGGTAAAAATTGTGTAAATGCTTCAAGTGAAATGCTGGTTCCTTTGATTGAAAATGGAAAGCACGATTCACGATTCATGATCACGGTCACAGCAGACAGGCAGTCACAGAATCTAGGCCAATAGATATGACCTGTAGTTTGGAGGGATATTAATACAATAGTGTACCTGACCCGATTTTAAGGGCGGTCTGACTCTATGGGACATTTAGTGTGAAGAAATGGAAACGAAAAATCAAAGTGGCTTTTCTAATAATTGAACAAGTCGAAGTCACCTGTGTTGTTGGTGTCAGATACGGGACGAAGTGTTGGTGCAAACACCAAGGTCGGCAGCTGGCAAACTTACGGCTGAGGGAAGGCGGTCAGAACTGCTGTATGCTCTGCAGTACAAATACTGCCGAGTATCCACTCTTAAAACGAAGCCCTTTACTTCCATTGTTTATCCGCAACCAGAATAGGAAAACCTAACACCAGCACGTTGGGCCTCGGATATTCTTAGAGGAACCAAAACGGCTTTGGATATCTCACCGACTGGCTTCGAATTGCATTCCTTCATGCGATATGTCGTACGCGATCGAAACAAAGAAGCGCAAGTTCGACCGCATCCTGGAGGCCTTGGCTGATGCTACTGGCACATCCCCTTCTCGAACTTCCCTCAATTCTCGCAATTGTCAGTCTACATCATTGACAGGCGATGATGCATCAGACGGATCTAAGAGGCGTCGCATAGCCCCAACATCGAGATCTAACCTTACTGCTACCAACTCAACTGCCTCCCTTGTTGGACTTTATCTACCTGCAAGTCGGACAGCGTTTTTAGAGCGTCTGGAAACCTTCCGGCATGTCACTCAGTGGCATGTGCCCTCGACAGACTCCATCAATGCCGCGGCCTGGGCTAAAAGAGGGTGGACGTGTGTTGACACCGATACTGTTTCCTGTGGCTCTTGTAGGGCACGAGTACATATTGATCTATCACTAGACAGTCAACTCCTAAAGACCCGAGAAAGTGAGCAGCAGGGCGAAGTTGGACCAGAACAACAAGAAGATGACTTTGAGGTGGCTGCCGAAGTATACCATGGCATCATCGCGCGATATCAGGACCAGATCATCGCTGCACACTCTGAGAGTTGTCTCTGGCGAAAGCGCGGTTCGGACGCTTCCATACAACGCATAGAGGGCTTGCTGAATACAAACACTGCTCTATCCGCAACAAGAAAACGCTATGAGGGTATCATGATACGTCCCGAACAAATTCCAAATGTGGCAGCACTTCCCTCAGCTTGTATTGCCGGGGAACGAGAGTTGTTGTCATTTCGTCCGGACTCGGTTGATGAGGTAAATACCAATGCTCTCAAATTAGCAATTTGTGGTTGGGAGCGAAAATCTGACGATGTCATCGAATGCCGAAACTGCTTTCGTTCACTTGGTCTGTGGTTGTACCGTGGTGCGCCGCCTGCTATTGAGAAGCTGGACGGGGTTGACAACCACCTCGAGTATTGTCCGTGGAGATCAGCTGAGGCGCAGGATACGGAGATCGCACTTCCCAAACAGAAGCATGGCGAGGACTCGGCTCCGGCCAAGGCACGTGTTCCTGGATGGGAGCTCGTTCACATGGCCATTGTGCGAGACAACACCAGAAAGCTTGTCCATGAATCTACACTGACATCGACCGCAAGCGAGGCCGAGACCAGTACCGGAAGCAGCGATTCGATGATCACACCAGAGCAACGCGAGAAGAAAATGAGGGATTTATTGAAGAGGATCAAGGAGATCAAGAAGCCATTCAACGTCAAGTCTTTACTAAGACGGAAAGAGAAAGGTAAAGCCTGATGGGGCATGACTTTTAGTCCAGACTTGGTCAAGGCCAAGAATAAAAGACGAGGTTCGAGCTAGTGGTATGAGGCCGACTGGTGTCGTACGAAATCAACAAGGCTGTAGTGGATCAGTTGCATCTCCCGTAGTTTGACAAGACGAAAGATGCCCGAGGGACGGAAAACGCCTGGGGTAGTTGAAGCAGGGACGGAAGTGTTGTTTGGCATGAAGAAGGCCGGATCGTGGGTGTATCACGGAAGATGAACTGCGGGTTGCTTCCGGCGAGTCCTCGGAAGGATGAGCGAGGCCGAGGCTTCGAGACGGACGGGCTTGGCTGGCAGCCCACAAACCACAGCATAGAGTCCCGGGGAGGCTAATGCTATTCCAGTCTAAACTCGGATGTAATACTAGTTAGTAGGAACGCCAACCACGGCAATGGAAGAATGAAAGCAGATGACATGCTCATGGACCTTTTACTGCAAGGATAAACATCAAATTTTGCGTCGAGTTGTTACTTTGTTGAGAGGAGAGGTCGAAGGTGGGACAAAGCAAACGCGGTAGAATTGCCTCCAGTACACACCCACGGGTTAAGGCCTCTTGTCAAGCCAGACTTCCCCCAGAGGACTTGGTCAAGTATTAATTAGGCATGGAAGTAGTTAAGCGTAAGCAGCGACCGCGTTCTTCAGGCAATGACACCAGCCTGCCAGCCGCTCGTGGCCCCTCTGTCCAGCACCCGATGTTAAGCAGAGCGCGTTGCACCTACAAGACCTAGCGACGAATGCAAGCAACCCATCAGAACGCTAAGTCAGCCTCGTACATCGAGCACCATGGTCGCTTTAGCACAATGCGCGATTTTACCGTTGATGTTTCGTTCAACCGGGACCAAAGGCATGCTGTGAAAAGCCATAGGCATTGGTTTAGTCTAGGTGGGGGAGTACGCAATCTCGTACTCCCTCTACTCCTCTATTCATTGCTTAACTTAGTTGACCCAACAATCCTGCCGGCCACAGCCTCGATCAGCCTTGAGGATTTCTTCCGTCCAGTCAGCGGGTAGGAAGAATATCCGAGATCGGGCAGAAAATCCACCGTGACTACCTAGGCACATACATCAATGGTGTTTCATCATTTCATGTGGTCTCCCGAGTCTATCCGTTGATCTTATGGACCCAGAGGCTAGAGCACTTTCCGACGCTGCACCATATTCGACATGGGCACGGCCTTAGGGGTTTTCCCTGGCCGGTGGCATGTGACAATGGATTATTGTACGACTATGGATACTGTTTGCCCCTGTATTCGGTATGCCAACATCTCGGTGGAGTTAGTCATTATTGGGGGTCGTTTGCGTGGGACTGTTGGAATGCTGAGGGTTGAGTCTTTCAATATCAACAAAACTATCAGGGGGCCCAGCAAGGCGTAAGAGCAGAAGCGGTGCACGTGTCAAGGACCGAAGTACGAGTCCCACTGGCAGGGCTGCACGAGTAGCTCAAGGGTGTTCGTACAAATTCCTCCTGTATGTACTCGTAGTACCAGTATGTGCTTAGCTTGCCCGGGAAGGGGAAACCTTGGTCCCGGAAGTCAGAGGGGTCGTGCAGTGAGTCCAAACAACGTCAGACTTCGACCGCTACGAGTTACTAGTAGTTACTAGGACTCGGAACTTGACAGCACTCGTACACACAACAAACCTCCAAAGTCACCCAGGCTCGCTCGCACTCACCAAAAGCCGCTTGCCAAGTTCAAGTCCCATCGCCAACATTTCCCCGCATTCAACTTGGTCATCTCTATCCCAACTCCTAGTCCACCCAATCCTCGATCACACATTATTACCTGACCCTTGCGCTGTGTTCGCCTCCACAGCAATACACCTCCCGTACTCCGTACTCCCTGACTAGTAGAACGAAGCCTGTCTTTTCCGCACCTTGCTCACGGTTCAATCCATTCAAACCCATTCAATCTTCCGATCCCAGACCAGGGTGCTTGTCTGCCACCAGTGACCACGAGCCCTGACCAGCTCCACCACCACCACCACCACCACCACCACACTGTGCCTCGTACGGAGGACGGAGTACGCTGCACACTGCACATTGCACACTGCATACTGACGCCTTCCAAGCTGCGGAGTTGACCTGCCTTACCTCGTGCTCTCTCAACCTTCTTTCCACCGACTCTTTATCCGTACCCTTTCTTTCCTTCATTCCTCTGAATTCCTCATCCCTCAACTTCTCAACTCTGGATATTGCTCTACATCTCTCCACTCTCTGTCAGTTTGTATCGCTCCCCTGTGAGCTCTCTGTGTATCAATCTATTGTTGTTAGCGGAGCAACCACATCGTCATACCTGTACCAGAGCTTGCGGGCGCCGCTGATCATTGCTGTCGTTGCTCGCTCCAGTGGAACAACGTCTCCTCGCACTCCACATCTATAACTTCACACCCATCCCTCGAGCTTACCGACAGGTCTGTCTCTGCATCTGTCTCTGCAATTGTAAGTCTCCCCGCGCTTGTACGTATTCCCGGCCCCCTCGCCCACCACTGGAGCCATACCCCACAAATCCCCAAATCATGCACCCGGCGCACTAATTCATTCAATGCAGAACCCCGTTTCACCGTCTAGTCATTTCTAGCCACTCCCGACCTTCTCAACAATGTCTGGTAGTACTGCAAACCGTATCAAGGAAGGCGCACGAACCGCAGCTACCAAAGTCGAGAATGCGACCACGGAGGCGGTGAACCATCCCGTGCAAGCAAAGAATGACTTCCTTCATCTACCACTCACCCGAGCTGCCCTACCGTTCGTCAATGGAGGTCTTGCAGGCATGTTTGCAACCGGTTGCATTCAGCCCATAGACATGGTCAAAGTGCGCCTACAACTGGCAGGAGAAGGCATAAAGACGGGACCAAAGCCTTCAGCAATTGGCATCACAAAGGATATCATTGCTCAAGGTAAAGTTCTAGACTTGTACACTGGTCTCTCGGCAGGTCTCTTGAGACAAGCTGTCTATACCACCGCAAGATTGGGCTTCTTTGACACCTTCCAAAATATGCTGCAGGCGAGAGCCGAGCAAAATGGCACAAAAATTGGTTTCTTGGAACGAGGGGCGGCTGGCCTCACAGCCGGTGGTCTTGCCGCAATGGTGGGAAATCCCGCTGATCTCGCTCTAATCCGCATGCAATCCGATGGCCTCAAGCCAAAGGAAGCCAGAGCAAACTATCGTTCCGTATTTGACGCTCTCACGCGGATTGCCAAGGCTGAAGGAATAACTGCTCTTTGGGCAGGCGCATATCCCACCGTCATCCGTGCCATGGCGCTTAATTTTGGTCAGCTCACATTCTTTGCCGAGTCCAAGGCACAGTTGAAGGCTCGCGCACCTCAACTGTCAGAAAATGCGAACAGGTTTGGCGCGTCTGCTATTGCCGGTTTCTTTGCCTCGTTCTTTAGCTTGCCTTTTGATTTCGTCAAGACCAGGTTACAGAAGCGACAGAGAGGTCCTGATGGAAAACTCCCTTACGCTGGATTCTTTGATTGCGCCAAAAAGGTGGTTCGTGATGAAGGTTGGTTGAGATTCTATCGTGGATTCGGTACCTACTACGTCAGAATTGCGCCTCATGCGTAAGTGTCCTTTCATTATCGCAAACTGTCCATACTGATTCGTGAATAGTATGATCACCCTGATCGTGGCCGATTACCTCAAGCTGATCACAGCTTAAGTAATCTGATCCTAGAGAACGAGGAGGAGACCAACTCCATCAATATAAAAGAGACGAGAAATCGTACCGAGTCGCAATACCATATGATCAACATAGTGAGCAAATGGAGAAATCCATAAGTGAACATGGATTTGAAAACAGTCGCAGCACGGGGAAACCTGCTTCAGGACTGAATAATGGGACGACATTTATATATATATTTCAATGGCGCAGCCGCGGTCAGAAATGATTTCGAAATGGAAGGGCATTGATATCTGGTTGGACATACCCAGAGCTTTCTGCTCCATTGGCTGGAAATAGACCTTGGGTTGAACCTCACGACAATTAAGAGCCAAAGCCGCATCGGTAGGTGTTTAGTTAGTCGAATTTCTCAGGACGATAGAAATATGAACAGAAATGTTTGTATGAAGGAAGAAAAAAGATGGAAAAAAAAATGCAGCTTTTGTTGGCGAAAGGGAATAGTCACGTGGGTTGCTTCGATTTCCCGATTCGGCCTTCCGTGCGAGCACCAGCGCTGGGACAACCTCCTACATATATATACATAGCGTCCCCAACAGGTCGACGACATAGATTTCAGTTGGCGTGTTATTCCTGTTTGTGTGAAGCTTGAAAATGAATGATGAAATAGGTGATGATTCGTCTCTGAAAGGTTACTTGTTTCACAGGAAATGTCTCCAGAGTCCCAGTCCCCTTTGACGACCGCACGTGCAATCGTGGGCTTCGTCGTCATCAGGTCACGTGCTGGGCACGAAAGTTCCCGGAGGCCTTTGCCCGGGATGAAGGCAGGTAAGCCGATCTCAGTCCACGCAATTCTGAGCCTCACTCACAGAATATTTTACGAAAGATCGGTGACATCTGCAATTCCTAGCACCCATGTCCATTTTCCATGCAGCATAATCACATTGAGTATGAATAGGTCTATATATCAGTATGAGTGCTACTCTACTACTACAGCTTGTTTTGGCAGGCACACAAAGCCATTATGAAAACCGAGGCCTGATCGACGACAAACGACTCGACCACCTACTCGTCGCCGGCAAACAGATTCTCTACAAGTCCCACCAAGAAAGCGATGTGAGGTCTGCCCTCGGCTTCGACCCTCGAGTGTGGGAGAGCCTCACGAAAGTCCTTTCCGTCGCGATCCCCGCCCTCGAGCAACACTCATTTGCCTGGAAGAATCCTCCAGCCTTGAGTTTCAATGGGAGTAGTTCAGACCTCATAGCCTCGCATTACCTCTCGCTCGTCAAGGATATTGAACGTCTAAATGACCTATGCACCATTGCTCGCAACCTCCTTGCCACAACCAAAAAGGCGCAGAACTTGGCCTCCGAGAAAGGATTCGACCAACAGATTCTCAAACTCATCGATGTTTGTGTGAGAGTCACGGCCAGAGGGTTTGATGGAGAGTCGAATCCTAGGAATGAGGAGCGATGGCAAAAGGTGGTCAATCTCTACAAGCGACTATTGATTACCTGTCTTCAATTCTTGCACAATTTTATCATGCACAACGAGCAGAGAAAATTAGTATTGTGGCTGGATCTCTTTGGACAATCTCAAACGGCAGACAGTGATGAGCTCGTGCTTGCGGATGAGCAAGAGCTGGAAATTGATGAGAAGCTTCATGCGGCTAAGGAAGACCGAATCAAAGCCGTGGTCGAGAAACTACCAGAAGGCGCACAACCTGCTTCCAATGGGAATCTTGGCTACAGCATCGACGATGTCCATGCTTTGTTCGACTTGATGAGCACCAACAAGGATCCGGACGAGCAAACGCAAGAGGCTGCCAAAGTTCTGATGGAGAAAATCAGAAGCGATTTGGAGGCTACGTCCGGTCTGACCTCAAATCAACTTGACGACAACCCTGATGCACTTTTGAGAGTTGGTGCCGAACTGCGTGCCCGGATTCTGGCTAAGGATGCTACACCATCATTAGCATTATCTGATCAAGCAAACCAGCCTCATTCCCTTGTCAATGGTGCAGCCAGTGATCGAGCCCGACCTTCACTTTGGAGCAATTTACCAGACATTTCTGCGTACGGTGATTTCAAGGGATCCGGCCAGACTATGACCGATGATGACCTGACTATGCCGAGGACCGCAGAATCTGCAGCTGCAACCTTGCAAGAAGCGAAGGATGAACTCATGGCGCGATTACACGAATCTGGACCATTGATAGACGAAAATGGTATGATAGATTACGGTGCTGAAGCAGAACACGAAGGAGATCTTGATGATAGTATCATCGAGAGTGCCGAAGACAGTATAGAGGAAGAAGATGACGAGGAAGACGACGATGATTATGGCCGTACCGGTGACCAAGAACGAGGACTTCTGACTGATGTGCCTCTGGTCCTGGGGCCAACCGAAATCGAAGCTTTGCCTATGATCATCCAAGCCGGCATCGTAGACAGCTTTGGCTCAAAGGATGCTGTTCGGCAAGGGGTCAAGAACATGCAGGCTGTGAGATGCCATATCCTACTTGCACAAGAAGCTGGCCGAAATGTTCTGAGGGAGCTCCTGATCTTCATTGCCGCTTGGGATCTTCCGGATGATGAATTCTACTTCAAGATGATGGTCCAGATCATGGAGGCAATTCTCAAAAATGGGCTCATGTCGCATGCCTATGCCGACTTTGGACAGCCGAAAGATATCATCTCTCCCGCCCAGGCTGTTGTTGTCAAGATTCTCACACACATCTTTCGCGCCAAGTACAGTCCTGCCACTGTTGTCCAGGAAAATAACCAACCCGTCCAGAAGGCACGAATCCCCGCGCCGTTGAGCAGAGTGGATGTCTTGACTGTTCGATACATCTTTATTGTCTTCCGCGGCAACATCATTCCTGAGACATGCGCTCTCATTTACCTTCAAGGCCAAATTCGAGCCGGTCGTGCATTGGCTGAGGATTTTCCACTTAACTTGTGGGATATGGAGAGAGTGTACGAGGGTGTCTATCAATTCCTGGAATTCTTCGCTGTGCTTACGGAAAATAATGACTGGAAACGTCTCTTGGTGCAGTGGGAAATTGTTTATGATCTGGTTACCCTGATCAAAGAGCTCGACACAAGTATTGGCAAGGTTGCACTTACCAAGTCGATGCCTCCTCCAACCCCCACAGCCAATGGCTCAAGTTCTAAGTCTGAGCAACAACCTCGATCCTCAGTAGCGCCTGTCGCTGTGGAAAGACCATACGACCTGCCCACAGTGGACAAGGACCTAGCATCAGTCGAGCAACCTGATTCCCCGCCAATGTCGCCCCCTCCACCTGCCGTGACTGAGGAACCAGCCGACTTTGAGTGGCGAAATCTAAAGAAACTCATCGTGCTGGTGCTATCAAGTCTAGTCTGGAAGTCTCCAACAGTGCAGAATCAGATTCGTGAATACGGCGGTGTGGAAACTATTCTCAGCTGCACACAATATGATGGTATGTGGCCTCCTCTGTCCTCCGTGGAGTAATTTTAGACTTCTGATGCTGATCGTTATGTTCCTTCAGCGTGCAATCCCTACATCAAGGAGCACGCAGTCATGTGCTTGAAATTCCTCCTCGAAAGCAATCCCGAGAATCAGAAGCTAGTGTCCAGCCTCGAAGCACGAGAAGTGGTCCCAGGACCATCAGGTGGTGATGCTCTGAGTCGCATGGGTGTCGATGTCAGTGTAGGCGACGATGGAAAGGTAAAGGTCACCAGCAATTCCCAAGCAAAACAACTCCGCCACCAGGAACGGGAATCTACGCCATCTTCGGCCATAGACAAAGTGTCGAACAAGGCGGCATCGGACGACGACGCACGACGGAAGCTCGAGAATCTCGATTTGAATGGCAATGGTTCCAGTGACATCGAGTTTATGTAGTGCAAGATACTCGAGAATTGGAGACAGTGGTCGAGGACTTCGATGTTGGTCAGGAACGCCTCTGGTTCTTTGCAAGGATGGTTTACGGGAAAGGCTGCTACGCCAATCGGCCCTAAGTCGCAGGCGTGAAGTGGGCCTCCTAAAAATGCAGATGACTATGACTGGACGGGGTGTATGATAGATCTCAGGAGTCAGGGACTCATGTGAGTTTTTCATCGTCCCTGAAACAACAGTGATCCAAGACAAGGCATCAGTAATGTCTCTTCCTGACAAAACGATATGTCCATTGGAATTCTCCCCCCCCCCTCTCTCAGATATATATGCTCTTCACGCATACTCCTCGCATCCATCCAGCCACCCCAAGGTTTTCACACTTGCTCAGTCAGCTAGAGCCCCCTTCCTCCTCTCCTGCCCTCCCATTTGCAGCTCCGGTCCAGGCCTTGCACGTTCCTCAGGTCCACTTGCGAATTCAAACCGGTCATCCAGCAACCAGTCATTGAAGGGGTGACGTCGTTATTAGACCCAAACCACGCCAACGGGCCACCAAGACAAGCATCCATACATAAATCCATTCAGTTCGTTGATTTTATAATTTTTGTTCATTTGACTCTGAGTCATGCACAGCCGTCATGGTGCCGTCGATCACAGGCTGAACTCCAACCTATTCCCCGCATAATCGCGCGCGAAGAACCGCTGTGGATATTCAACTCCCTTTGCGCCTGATAGAAAACCCCATCGTTAGTATAACTATCATTAGATCGTTCTCGAACCCCCAACCAGGGTTCACGCGATCATATCCAAAACGCTCAAAAGGCAAAGGCCAAAAACTCACCAGAATCCACATCCCCAGGCTTATCCGCCGCCTTCGGCGCGCTCTCACCACCCCGCTGGAAATGCTCATACACCTTCCTCCGCATCTCCAACAAGGCCTCGCCGTCACTCAGCTTGAAACACGGATGGCGGCTGGAGTCCGGGCCGGTGAAGTCCGACGGTTTCCCGAACGCGATGTGCACCTGCTGGCCTGAGTCGGCGATATCGAACCACGCCAGGCTGTCCCTCTGCAAGTGGGGGACGGGCCGAGGTGTGAGGCCGAGTGTTCCGCTGTAGAATTCAGTAGCCAGAGGGAGGGTCCCCGAAGGGACAGTCAGGTTGATGTGGGCGATGCCTGTTATGGGCATGTTCAGAGTCGCTAGAGCAGAGTGGCTGGTGGCGATTTACTGTACTGTTGGTGCTTAAGGGGAAATGGAAATAGACTGAAGGTCCGGGGTGGGAAGATTGGATCGGATTAGGACTTGTCCAGTTATCGACTCTGTCGTAAGCAGAGCAGGCGGAAAAATGCTTCCTTTGGAGCCAGCAGCTGACCTTTGTGCTAGATCAGGGCTGTTGGGCGCAATGGTGTGTCAAAAGGAAGTCGGAATTGTCTGTCCTCTCGTTATTCCGCTTCGTAGATATCTAGATGGGTGTCTAGTGATGTGGAAGCGGCAAAGTAAGCGGATAAATACTGATTAATAACTTAGGTTCACGGTTGGAACCAGTGGGGCCGGCCATGTTGCAATGCGGCAGCCTGCCGAGGGAATTGACCTCGCGCCCGGCTTATGACTCCGTACATGCCGAAGCGACGCTATATATGTATGTGTTGAGTGGGGGAAGTCAATCTGAAAGAATTGATGTTTCCCTTGCCCTTCGGTGGTTGCCAGGTCTATTATAGGAAGAAGAATAAGGATCGGTATTTGCAGCCCAGCTCTCACAATTGACGTATGCCTACGAGATCCCTCTAGAATTCAAAAACCATCCTCCTTTATTTCCCCTCTCCTTGAGTCCGTGTGTAACGGTGGAGCTGGGACTATTATCGCGTTGTGGGACTTGATCGAGGTCAGACATATAAGCCCGGTACAGTATCGTTGGAAGGCCTGAGTGGTCGATCTTGCAAAGATCATTGTGCAGTTAGTTGACCATGAAAGTAGGCAATATACTTTCGATATTCAGGAAAATGATATTACGAGATAAAATGCGACTCTAATAAAACTAATTGTCAATGCCCGGATAGCAACGATAATATCCCAAGAATTCACAACTTTTTCACCAGTCTATTCATATTCGTGGATGGTGGCCTCCGAAATGATGGACCCTGTTCACCTTTTCCGGATTCAGCCTCACTGATCAACCACGATAGCTACCGCTACCGCCCACAAAATAGTTGCCATTACCATCAGCAAAAGGGATGCCTCGTGGGACATCCCCATCTACCAATGAATTTCCCTATGAATAGCCTCCCACGCCTCCACCTACCCCTTCCTGTGGAGGAAATTACATTCGCCAACGCCTGTAATTGTCGTTTTTGGGGGTGCTGCGGTCTTCCTGAACTCCGAGAAATTGATGGGTTGGTTCCCAGGTTCAGGTTCAGGCTCAGCAGATCGCTTTGCGTGAGGGGGGTCTGTGGCTTCCGCCGCTAATTTTGCGGAATGCGTGCTCATTCTCGACGCCCACAGATCGAAGAGCTTGTTCCCCGGCTCGGGTTCGGGTTCAGGTTCAGGCTCTGCAGATCGCTTTGCGTGAGCGGGTCCGGCGGCTACGGCCTCAGCTGCTGATCTTGCTGACAACGAGCTTAACTTCGACGACCAGAGATCAAGGAGCTTCTTGCCGGGGTCGGGCTCCGGTAGAGCGGATGGGTCTGGCGCAGCAGTTCTCTTCTTGAACCCTCCATCATACCCAGATTCCCATGGCGCAATCCATGTAGCTTCCTCGACTTGGGTATTCGTTGTCCAGGGCTTCCAGGTCGATTTGGCAGATTTGATCCGATCCCTTTGGATGGCTAGATCAAGAAAATTAGTCTCCTTTGGGTCCGGCATTGCGCTTCTCTTATCGATTGACTCGCAATCTACCCCATCCCCATTCTCCATGCATCCTGAAACCTCTGATACGTCAATATCCGCTGATGGATTTTCAGGTTCATAAGCCTGGCCCACAGAAGGAGGTATTCTTTGTGTAGTCGTGGCCATGGCTCCACCGTCTCCGCCAACTAATGACCTTCGCTGCAAGATCTGGCCATTCGGAACTTCGTCAGGCCGATAGATTGGAAAGTCCCAAGGCGGGTTTGTAGCTTCTGAAGCCCCACCGGTGTGACTGTTTGATGCAGCAGTGGTTGTGGCGTCTGGAGAATTAGCAAGAGTCATTTCTCTCCTCTGATGTGGCTGGTCGGGGATCTGAACATTGTCAATGAGGGTTTGTCCCTCCTGATCATGTGCTCCATAGTTTCCCGAGGGAGATCCATTGTCGTCAACAATAGCAGGAGCGGCCGCCTCCATGGGGTCTTGAGATTCTTGTAACAAATCGCGACCTAGTCTAGCACGGGCAGTGGCCTCATTTGGGCGAATGATAGTGTATGAAGTCTTTGCGCTTTGTGCAGATATGACCATATTTAGCAGCTGGACACCAGTGGATGTGAGCCCTCCTCTCGCACTGTATGCTTCTGAAAGGGGACCAGAACCCCAGTTGGTTAGACTAGTCTGCTCTGCTGGAAGGATGTTCTCTGTATACTTTTTGTCATCCGGATTAGCGGTTGGCTCAGGCTCAGCAGAACGAGCGTCCAGCCCAGCGGGAAATGAGTGGGGTCCATCAAGTCCTGGCTTCGCTGTCCGTTTTGCAATCGAGCTAGATCCGCCCTGCATCGAGACGGTCATAGTCGTTGTCGAAGTTCCTGTAATAGCTTTCGTGTAATTGACATGGTCTGATGTAGCGGTTCGGGGAGACTGACCCTGGTCTTGGGAATTTTGGGCTGCAGCAGCGGCTACCTTTGACCAGAATTTGGATCTCCATCTTTTGTGCAAGTTGGGCTCACTGGGTTGTTGCTCTTCATTGGCAGCATTGTCGTAGTCAATATAGATATCGTTTTCGTGATCTCCGCTCGATTCCACATTTCGCTTGGTAGGTGCCACAGAAGTGATACTCAAATTACCGTTAGACGATGCAGAAGTCTGCGTAGAAACAGATGTACTGTTTCCTTTCCATTCTTTTCGAGTTTCATCACTGCCACATTGCTCCCATAGAGATTCTTTGGCTGATCGCATACGACATACTGTGGTATTTACGCAAGCTGCATCGCATGGTCCTGTTACTCCTTTCCCATCTATACTTGTTGACCTGAACATGCGATATATTGCCGCCAAGTTGGTCCCGTCAGACGAGGTCGCTTGCAACATTGTAGTCCCCACCCTGTGCCAGAAGGCTGCGTTAAGCGGACTGTTAGACGGCCAATTGATAGCCTTCCCATATGCTTCTCTGGCATCGCAGCCAAGCTCCCACACTAGACCGTTGGCACTCCCGTTTTGTCCATTATTGTTCGTGGCCGTATTTGCTTGAGACCGGGGGGCATTAGATAGATTCGAGCTATTCGTGTAATAGGTTCGAGATTCGTAGACCCTGAAATCTCCGGTATCGACCTCGTAGACTTTGTATGAGGGATGCCCACTTTTTGGAGATAGAGATGGGCCAAGCCAAGAAACCACCGCCACATTATCCTCTTTGGCAACGTCTTTGCCACCAGCCTTGTAGAAGATATTGACAGAATCTGTATGCAGATGGCCGAAGAAGATCCCCGCAATGACATGAGGCGAGAAACGTTCTATGACTTGGTAGAAAGCTTCTGAGTGATCTGGAAGGGTTTGTTCAGCAAAGGGTGGAACATGTCCAACAATCCAAACACGTTCCTGGGCCTTTTCAGCCTGTATAAGCCAGCCTATCAAGTCAGAAAGGATGATCGAATCACGTGGGTTCGTTGTATTGACATAAGTGTAATAATTTTGCAATGCCCAGAAGTTTGTGTTGAGAGCAATGATTCGTAGCTGCGGATATTTAGGGTGCTTAGCAGTATAACCCATGCGATGAGGTCCAATTGAAGCGCTCTCTTCTATGGACAGCCAGTTATATGCATCAATTATACGCTTCATATGGCCGTAATTGTTTACTTGCGATTGCTGCATATCACCTATCAAAGGACGTTGGACTGAAGGCTCCTCTACATTCGGTATGATCAGTAAGCGTTCAACTTTTGAAGCAGAGCTTTATGCAATAGAAACCTACCATTGAAAGCATCAAGGGCGCCCAGAACGGGAAACACCGGGTTTTGAGGTATGAAATATTTCATCACCTGATACACTGCGGACTGAACATATGCGAGGTACTTGTCATTTCGGTACTTCGCGCTCTCTCGAGGCATTAGATCACCCGTGAAAATGGCCCAGTCTATATCACCCTTTCCTGTGGTGTCCTTCCCGCTAAGAGGTGCAACTGAAGACAACGCCGATGCCAAGAGAGATAGCGGAGTGTCACAATTGGGGTGACCACTGAACGGTGCAGGGTTCTTGATGCTGGTTTGGTTCTTCGGGTCCGTACGACAACAACCTGCTGAAGGGCAGTCAACTGCTTCTGCACCAACAGTATAGCGAGGGTCAAGATGGATATCTGAAATGTGCAGAACCTTTACTCGCTGCCCATTTGACCGTGGGGCCGTAGCATTTGGAGGTTTATCTGTGTCGAAGTTGAGAGTACCCTGCTGGGGCTTGGGCTTTTCACACCAACTTTGACCGAACATACTATTGCAAATGAATTTGCCGTCATTTCCCAAAACATCAGCCCCCTGTAAAACTTGTGCCCACATTGCAGGTTCAGGTTTATCTGTGGCATAATCTTGTTCACAATCCGCATCAGGCTTAAACTTGACGGCCTGGCATAGTCTGATCAATGCATCAGAGAAGTTGCCGGGCGCAAGGCGAGCAACAGTTTGAGCGGCGGTGATCACGCTCACACATCTTGAACAGTTTCCTCCGATGCCAGCAGATCCATTGATGACAAGGACTGCTGTATCGATGGACTGGTAAAATGCTTTTGTAGGGTCTGTGTTCTCCGGGATAGGATAATGTAACGGGAAATTCACCTTGTTGGGCACGGTTTGGTTGATGTAGAGTGGGTCAGTAAGATTAGAGGGGAAAGAATAATTGTAGTATGCATCGTTGATGATTGGTTGTGGCTTTAGGTTGTCAGTAGACTATACTAAAAGTAACGGCTGCGATGTCAATTACCTGCTGAACAAGTGATGGCTGCTTGTTATAGGACCCAAAGATCGCTTTTGGAAAATCTAGTTGAGCAATCCATGAGGCGATCGTTTTACCAGCTGGGGAGCTGGTGGTTGAATTATTAGGCTGATCAGCTCTAGAATGTGGAAACAGCGCCAATGGGCACACCCAAATTCCGAAACCCAATCTCATGACTAGAACATTGGGTGGTATTGTCTCACGAGAAGATACACATCTGGCTTTCAAGAGGGTTTTGAAGCTGGTAGCTTACATACCTAGGCGCTGCATCTTTGTCTGCCCGATTCACTGCCATTCCCGTTCGCGGCCGGGGTTTGGATAACCTAGCTTTGTTCAATGCACTCACCAGTAGCGTCAGGTTAGCTGCTTTCAGGTTGCAAGAGCTTAAGCCCCACAGACTGCCCCATTGAGGTGAGGTTTTAGAACTCTGAGTTCAGGACGCACGATCATCCTGCCTGGGAGGACTGTGGCTGCATTGGAGGGTGTAAATGCTTCCATAATGACAGGGTTCTTGCAAGATCAGTTCGCTATATTGTATAAAGGAAGTCGATAGGCAATCTGACAACTCATCATTATCAGGCCCAATTTCCTGTTTGTGAACAGGAGCTTCAGTCAACGCGAAGTTGTATAGGCAGTTGTTGTAGGCAGACAGCGCCAGCCTTGTTAGGCCTATTGGCATGTGATCTGGGGCTCCTGTCACGTGATAGCTGTGACTTTCCGACTTCCTACAAGACATCTGCAAAGTACTTAGTCAGAGAAGGAGATAATGGACTCTGAGTATTGAGTAGCCACTGGCATTAACGTTCTATTAGTATGGAGTACTTACACGAAGCACTCCGTACAGTCATAAGAGTTAGGGGAGGAATGGAAGGAATGACTGCGCCACAGAATTGTGGCCGACAATGGTACTCTACACATATCGGGGATTCCTTCCGAAGTAGCCTGTGGCGCCTTTTCTGAGCCAATGGGAGAACCCCAAAGTCTGCACCGCCCCCGGGGAACGCCGGTATATCACAACACTTGTAGGCCACAAACTGCTTCAAGGGCTGTGATTTGCTGCGCCCCCTCGTGCTTGCTTTGCGGCTTCTAAACCCCACCTTGACTCACTTCCTTCAAAAGTCCAGCTCTCCCAGCCTTACCGCCTGATTTCTTCGTTCTACTCTCTTCCAGTTGGTTTATCTCTCTTCCCCTGTACGAAGTATAGCGCATGGTTATACCGTCTACTGTCTTGTTGGGTTTTCAGGACCAGAGTATTGGACACTTTTTGCTCGCCAACCTTTGGCTTCTGGGGCAGATGGCTGAATCTTCAGGTGGACCAGTGGAGGGAAATGGTAGGATTCTCGAGGTTCTTGGAACATGTCAGTGCTACAAACACCTACTCATGAACAAATCCCCAGCCAGAGCCGAGGTATTTCCTGCGAGGCCCCTTGACCCATCAAGGGTCTACCCAACTAATTGGCCATCAAGCTAATCAACAATTCAGAGGCTCCCCGACTATTTCTTCAGGGGTAGTGGGTCGATTCACGCACCACTCCCAAATCCAATGGAAACAGTGTCGTTCAAGTCGCTGGACACAAGGTACGAGCAGGGTTCAATAAGCGCGCCGACATCAGCCAACCAGGAGCGCCACTTGGGGTTTCCCTCTTCACCGGCGTCCATGGCACCTGAGATACTGTCACCACAGCGCCTGATTTCCAGCTCTCGTTACGAAAGTCTCTGGCAGCCCAGGGTTTTCCCTATGAACCAGTCGACATCAACTGATATTCTTGAGGAAAGTGGTATTGCTGCCAATATAACACCTGGCAAATTAACCTTGTTAGTTGGCTTCAAGACATGGACTACATCAGACAACGAATTAAAAGCGTTGTCTGATATTGCCCATGTCATGAGGACAACTGACAGTCGCCTGTATGACATGCCCTTCAACCCCACGACACCTTTGGGATCTTCCGCCTTCAGTCCACCTTCCCCGAGATTCCGAGCCGAAGAAAGTAGAAAGACAAATCTTTGCACTTCAAATCTTCGCTTCTTGGAACTGACCAACCTCCACCACATGCACGAAACATCTTCCCTGGGGAAGAGCCTCTCCGAGTTTCTCCAATCTCACAATCAACCCACCAGTGATGCATATTCAGCAGGCGTCAAAGTCAATAGAATGAACAGCAACACTGGCACTGCGACTGCACCGCCTTTGTTCAGAATCCGCCACCGGGCACGCATACGCGCACAGTGGCATACATCAATCTGGTGAAAAATTTCTCTATTTCGGAGAGCGAATTCCCACAACTCAGTCTAAAACGATACTCTCCCGCGCGCTAAGGTTCGAATACGTCGATTGACCTCTACCGGACCAACATAACAGACACTATGGCACAACAAAATCATCATGGCTGTGTAGTATCAGCTCCCCATCAGAAGAAACCAACAACGTCCCCATACTCATCAACCTTTTCTAATGCCTCACCAGAACTAGCATCCCTGGAATCTACCCCGAGAAGGGTAGAACTTGACTGGGAGATCCTCAACAACCCTTCCTACCTCGACGATTACGATTTTGATGGCGACTTCACTCTCTTCCCTGTGGATACCCCCATGGACACATATGACGGTATGGACTTCTTCCCGCAGCTAGACAATATTCCAAATACTACGGAGTTATCATTCTCAGACTCCCGTCATCAATGTGGGTTTTGCTCAACGGGCTTCGAGAAGAGACACGAACTCAATCGCCATCTGCTCAAACACACAAAACCCTATGCCTGTACTGTTCCAGGTTGTGACGCCTCATTTGCAGAGAAGCGTGGGTGCGACCGCCACATGAAATCTCGCCATAGCGCGAAGGACTCTATTAAATGTCGCTTCTGCAAATACTCATCAACCCGAGCAGATGCTGTCCAAAGGCATTTGAGGACTCAACACGGCGTCCTGGTAAGGTTCAACCTGGGAAAATCCCCAGCTACAACGTGACCACGAGATCCACCTGACGGAATGTCGGCTGGAGAAGCAGGACGGACAAGTGAATGGATACATGCTAGAAATGAATGGTGATCTCAGTTGCAGAACGTGTTGGAGACTGGTAAATCTCTTGTGCAAAGGCGTTTGGGAGAGAGCCACAGTGTACTCTACAGTTTTTATATCTAGCTGAAGCAATGGCATTATTTCCTTAGTTACACTTTGATTATTTACGCTTGATCGAGTAGTTTCCACCGCGCTGTCAAGCATTGAGTGTGTTAATCACATCCATGAACAAAGTAGTCAAGAAAAGACCTCGCCGGATCAAGGATGCCGACGGGCGTGGGCCACGAACTTCTCGACAAAGACTCATACATTTCCTAGTTAATTAAGCCCGAAGTATACCCAACACATAGATTGACCCGCTCAATTCGATCACTAGATAACAGAGAAACGATTCTTGCTCATGTTTCACGGAGGTCGAACCAGTCGTTTCTGGACGTGTACATTGCTACACCATTCTCGCTGTCCTTGATTAGAGCTTCGAGGTTAGCTCCAGCAATCTTGCATGTCCTATCTTCTTGCCTCACCCCGACATCCCATTGGAACATTCGAGCGCAGTTGTGTTCCAAAATATCTTGAGGATCTCTGATTTCCATTCTAGAACCTTGTGATAGATATCCTACAATTCGGAAGGCCTCCTACATATTACTTGACTATCTAGAGGGTAAAGCGGAAGAAGCTGGCGTTATCACCTAGATCCCGCTCCGCCGCTTTCATTTCTTGGGTATAGGCTTCCGGCTTGGGGTGGTCTCGATCTCGCCTACGGTTGATCGCTCCAAGAACGATGTATTGGATGATCGTGAGACTGACGGTCATGGAGATGAATCTGTAGAAACGAGGGCGCGTGGTTAGCTTGAGGTGTGGTTTGAAAATTCTGCCCGGTAAATGAATGCTTACCCGATGAGCACGCCGTGGCCGACGAGGTAGCGGGGCTTGTCTTGGTTGCGATAGCTGGTTTCGGTTAGCAAGGTTGCCTTTTCGTAGCCTGGACGCCGTTGAAGGGTTCGTAGCAAAATTGGCGTACATGAATGAAGCAACGATACCACCGCAGTTGCCGGTGCCGACTTGCATGGCAATGCCGACGCCTCTCTTAACGCTGCCGCCGATATTGTTGCCATTCCACATGACCAGGATCGGGATCGTTGGAAATCTAAGACCATGTCAGCGATGGTTTTGTTCACTGGGAAGAACGACAGTCTTACACTCCTGATGCTGCCAAGAAGGTACCGATATACTGAGCCGCGGGGACGCGAGTGGCTATCAGCAGGACGTAGCCAACGAGCGCTATGCTGCCGTGAAAGAGGAGGAAGCTGGGTTTGTTAGTGACCAGTCCGCGTACAGGGAAAGGAATCGCTATTGTGGAAGCAATGCATACGAAGCTCGTTTGTTATACTTGTCGCTCAAGTATCCTGCAGTGACTGTGGCAATGCAACCAAAGACGTAGGGAGGCTGATGATCAGTGTGCATTAGTTAAGCCTACAGATCCATTGGCGGGTAGACTGACCACTGTGAGAAGCTGAGATCTGGCAGCAGAGTAACCCATTGCCGCGATAATGGATGGCAGGAAGAGAGAAAATGAGTACACTGGGGTGACCATTCCAAGGTACGTGCTGTGGATTTCCTGTATCAGCTTCCTCATCGCTGGGCGTGGAAAGGGACCACCTACATGCATTGTAGCCATATTTTCCAGTCTTTGAACGCATCCCACATAAACTTGCCGTCGTAGTGGTCTGCAAGCCCGTCGGTGTCATGTGCCAGCCGATACTCGACTTCGTCTTTCTCCTCAGTCGTCAGGAACCTAGCTGTTCGGGGGCTGTCGTAGATGAACCAGAATGCAGAGAAAGCCACGGCGACGGTAATGATTCCCTCCAATATGAAAATCCAGGCCCAGCCTGGCTTTCCGGCTGTGCCGTCCATTTCATTGATTCCACGCGCCAGGAGACCTCCGAATGCGCCAGCAACCGTGGCTGCGGAGAAGAACACAGCAGCTCGGAAGGCGCACTCGCGGCGGCGGTACCACAGGGTGATGTAAAAGCTGACGCCCTGATCCCAGTCATTTAGCATGCCTGTACGGAGAGAATTTGGAATAAGAGTGATGACGAACCGGGAAAAGCCCAGCTTCAGCGAGCCCTAAAAATATACGAGCAATAACAAGACCATGGAAATTTGTGACCTGAGACTATTTTAGCAGCAATACACCATTCTTTAGGACGTTTCTCCTACCAGTCCCATCAGTGTCATAACTATTCCCCAGGCTGAAAGTTAAAGTCAGGGGTGTTCATCACCATGTTTCACAGTCCTTCAGGTTCTCTTACCAATCATCATGATGGGGAACCACATGGATGCTCGCCATCTCTTCAAAATCCTGGAATTTGTTATTACATGGACGCCAAAAGACAACCAGTTGACCATACATATTGGATGGTACCTCGAAGAGGATGTAGGTAACAACTACCAATAGTAAGCAGGGGGAGTTGAAAGTTTCGCAATAATAACTCACAGAAGACGGCTGTGTGAAAACGGTCAGCTACAACGCCCTTCAAACTATACGACTCGCAACTTACATAGAGCTGTGTTGTATTGATTGCCCTTGAGACCCAGCGACTTTTCTAACCCGAATAGCTTTGCATTGCCAATGTTTGTACGGCTGTAATCGAAAATGACGTGATCAGCATCTGCAAGGCAGTCAATAAACTACGATGAGGCCAACTCACTCCAGGAATGACAAAAGATATAAAAGAGATAAGTATGGGATCATGTGGATGTCGATCTTGCGAAGGAGCGCTTTGGTCTGTCCCTCAGTAAAACGCTGAGCAGGCTCGTCGAGTCCATGTCCAATGGGTACATCTGTTCCAAGGGTTTCCTCCTTACTAGCCACTAGTTTAATATCACCACCCTGCTCGAGTTGTTCAGAAGCCATTTCGATATTGGTAGATTCAAGTCAAGAGAAGAGGTGGAGCATGGTTTGGTGGATGAGGCCATCTTAGGATGTCCAGGTAACCTAATATACAATATGAGACTGCGTGCTTCAGCGTTTCGGATCCGAAGAGCCCTGTCTCGCACGCGTCAAGGCTGTTTCCAAGACTGCAGTAGTCATCTATTGCCTGATCAAGTTGAGGAAGCACCCCGAAATTGAATTGCCGAGAAGGTGAGTGGGACAGGACATACACGTTGGCATGCATGTCGGGATAGCAACTTCTAGGTTCGGGAGCAGTAATTCGGCATCGCTGTCCTTCTGGACAGACCAAAAAGCTCGTAACGAAGGCTGGGGCATGGCAATATCCTGTATCTTGGATGAGATGGCTAGCGAGAATACTAGTTTCAGCTCATTCGTGAACAGACGGATGAGCCGACAAGCAGCAGGGAGTTCCGTCTGAATTCTCGTGGATGTCGTCTCTACTGTAACCCTGGGCGTCGGGGAACGAGCTTATGAGACAGGAAGCTCACAGCCACATCCTTAGCAAGCGACCTCAACGACGTATGGGAGGACACCAAGAGTGAGCGGATGTTCCGGGATAACTCAGACATCCTGTCTAGCACTGGAGAACATATGCATGCATGTTTGTTGCCTGAGATGTAGCCTGCTCAAGAAGGCCTGAAGCAGGGCGAACGATTCTTGGACACTAACGACCCAAGGGATCGCTGTATGTGAGAAAAGTGGATTTTCCTAGCTTAGTTGGACCATGGGGTGTGATTGACAAGAAAGTCCGGGGAATTTAGCAGAGGCTGACCATTCCCAAAAGTGCATCGGGGCCTTCGGAAGTGTTCTAGAACCATGATCGGAATCATGCAACCAACTTGCATAAATCAGCCTTTTGGCCTTTGACAACCATGCCCTTTGCAGTGAGATTGATTAGTCCGGGAGATACCAAGCCCGGCCGAGTTGGACGCAAACGTCGTTTTGCCCAGGACTCAAGTACCGAGTCCTTCTACTTCTTTGTCCTACTCCGTACAGTATGTCGAATACCAGAATATCTCATGATCTGTGACGCCTCCCAATGCGTGTTGTCGGGTCTGAGAGGCTCACGCTGAATATGAGGCTAAATACCTAGGTATGTTAAAGTGGAGTTTGAACAGTCACGTGCGGTAAGTAGTCTTGTAATCGAAGGGCAAGAGCTAACACGGTGGCAGTTGGGCAAGAGCGAAAGGGGCAAGAGCAAATGCCGACTCCCTTAGGCTCTTCCGTATGTACGTATCGAAGCCCCGACAAATGCCAAGGCGCGATGCAGCCCTCGCGAGCTCGACTACCTTCATCTGGTAGTTTGCCCAGGTAGATACCATTTCACGAATTTTCCCTTAGTCTTGACGCGAGGACTGAAGGAAGACCAATCTCTGGCGGTAGATGGGTGGGTCAATTCTGGGAATGACCTCTTCGGTGCCTTTCTTAATTGATCTGCTTAGCCCCGATAACACTCAGTACAAGGATTTATCGATATGAGGCCAGGTTTCGAGAATTTCAAGGAGCCGCCCACTCGTGCTATGCGGTGCTTTCAACCGTCAGTCAGCTCAGTGTCACGGCAGAAGCATCAAGCCGCGTCCAATTCACGGCGATTCTCAAGGTGGAAATTGTGATACAGACATGGAAATGTTTCTTTGACCCAAATCTGGGTTATTCTCACGATGAATATATTCGTCGTGGACAAGGCTCCAACTTGGAAGCGCCGTCGTTATGGAAGCACAATTTGACAAGGCTGAGTCATTGAGATTTGGTCCTGACGAGATACTATGCAGCAGATGATGAGACAATCTATGCCCCAAATGCCCGGCCGCGAGACCCAGTTCTTCGAGCGTGTGAGATAGATCCATTTCTGCGCTTCCCCCTAAAACGCCAAGTCTCCATGGCCAGACATGGTGGTGAAGAGATATCAGGTTATGTATTCACTGACGTGGTTGTTTTCGTGCCAGCCTTGAAAGGGCCCACATTCACACAGAATCTCACTCTACCTGCAAACTCCTGGTCTGAGACTTCTCCCTTCATTTCCTTTCATACGCTCCTCATTGGAGGTCCCTCTCGCCAAGATATCTTCCGACATTGAGAAGCGGATACTAGAAATCACAGAGAACCAGTTGGTTCCAACCACCACCTTTGTCAACTGCGAACAATCTGTAACACGGGATGGTTGCAAACGCGGTGTGAAGCCTCCCCAAGAAATGACCTTCATTGGCGATCCAGCAGTACTCAAAGGCACTTATTCGAGATATCCCATTACCTTGAGAGAAGCCAAAGACCAAGCAAAGAGATATTCAGCCAAAATTTTCAACGGGTGGGCAAAATGGAACAGAATCCTTCAAGGTCACGAAGCCCTGCTACGCAAGAGATGGACGAGGAAAACTATAGAGCAAAGAAAGATGATCTTGCTGATCTTGCCACCTGCAGTCCTGGACTTTTAAGCCACAACATAAAGGTTGCCGACCTTGATAAACACGTCATGGTCATTGTTTGCGAGAGTTTGGAAGAAGATTTCGGTAGGATCATGACCTGGACCGGAGGCTACGAGGGTTTGTCCTCGAATTCTTGGTTGATTGCTAGTACCGTCCAGCGCGACCTCAACCTCATATCTCCAGTTGTCTGCCCTATTTGCAGAAGCCCCATATAAAGGCCCCGCTCAACTGGATACGCACCGGATACTTGAACTTCTCCAGGCAAAGACAGCTGCAGCTGAGCATCATCTGTGGAAGATGAGAGAGGATCCTGGCTATTTTCAAGTAATACTAATGGAAGATGGGGATCATCTTATGGAGCGCGTGCCAGATGACCATGGAAAGCTCTACAAACACCACGACAATGAGATCTTTTGGAATGATGTCGTCACTCATGCTTTAGATTTTGGCTATATGGACTTCTTTATTTGGGACGCGTTGACTAGGCTTGCGAGAAAGCTTGATGCTAAGACTCGACCCATCCTTCATACACTTGACCATCAAAAGCCGCTTCCAGAAGATATTGAGGAAATTGTTCTAGATCTCATATCTACTGGTAACGAACATCATAGGAGGCATTTGGACGACCTGCACCATGGGCTGGCGACGTCTCCTTACGCACCTGGGATGAAATTTGTCCCCAACACCAAACATTCCGCAATGGGACAACTTTTCCACGAAATGAAGACTGCAGGCCCCGCCCCAGGTGATGAGTGGATGATATTGTCCGCCAGACTGACAAGGTTGGGCACAGACGTCTGTAACATCCACTGAATTCACAACATTGTGGACGAGATACAGCGTCTGATTCATGACAGCCCTCAACAGAAGAAGAGGCTCACTTCTCACCTGTCCCGTATGTTCTCGAGCTTGGCTTTGCTCAGCGTCATCATCAGGCAACTAATGAACTTTTTCCCCTGGGCGTCAAGCTTTGAACGTAAAATGATTGGTCTTGATCCGGTCATCGACCCCTTCGCGCAGGATCTGATCCATGTGCGGCATACCTCGGACAGAGATCATGATTTGCCCGGTAGTGCAGAAACGTCTCGACTCAAGCTACCTATCTCTACTTCTCTCTACTATCCAGCTCACAAAGGATACAATGAGGAGAACATCAGATCCCTTCGGCAAGCTGAAACCAATCTCGATGCTTTCTGGAAGAGCATTGATGACGTATTCTTTAGAGAATGTGGCGAATCACTTCTTCAGATGCTCTGCAAATACAGCACCAGTCCACGAGATTTACACAGAACTCCTGAGTGGGTCCCACCTGTACAACAATGGAGGGAGCAGCCCCGGTCGACCTTGGCAGTTGCACGCTCTTTGAAGATACTTGACTTGTCACCTAAGAAACCAGCACGATTTCGTGGCCAGGAGCCAAGGTTAAAACCGGAGGGCATCCAGACTGTCCAGAGCATACCGCGAGAACCACCCCCAAGCCGGGTGACGCTCATGATTCCAAGCATATCGAGCAGTCGCAGTCGTTGTGCTTTCCAAAGGTGTCTAGCCGAGCCATGAAAGTGTTTTGCACTATGTTTTCTATCCCAGGTGGCAAGAGACGGCAGGGTGAAATTCCATGGAATGATTTCCTTCACAGCATGACGAGCAACCCCAAAGTAGAGTTAGGGTGGAGTTTTTCAGGTCACCGTCTTTGCTCATGTGGAGCATCAGTGGGTAAGGCGCGTTTTCATCTCATGCAAAGATGATTGAACACCTCTTCCTGCCGCCTCCCCTCCCTCTTTCAACTTCTGTAACTTTATTCCCTGATCGTAGTCCGTCTCACTCTAGGTGTTCATCCATTGCCAATTAAATAGAGGAAAACACCCTTTCCCACCACCCAAATCGCAAGTCTCTTGCATCGCTTGATTCTCTTCTGTGTGTCCATGTATTTGAAATCGTGTCCTACTAATGGGTAGCCTCGCTCGTACCCAAAACAGCAAAAGATGAGCGATTCAAATTTCCCAACTCTTCGCGTGGAGGTGCTCTCCAGCATAATCGAAACCCTCATGGTGTCTTCCTTGCATAGCGAGCAAAGGCTCTACTTTTGCTCTAAGCAGTCCTCGATCCGTATGGGGCAGGCTAGCAAAGCACAGAATATCAAATTTCAGGCCATTAGTCACATAGTCGGGCAAGGAATAAGCTCCCACAAAATGTTGATTAAATTTCTATGACCCCCTTGTTTCTCCAGATTAAATGAATTGGTAATGGTGCGGAACCCAAATGCAGCTTGAAATGCAAAACACGAAACATAACTAAGTCTACCATTAACATTATAAGGACCCCGTCGTCACAGAGCAAAACATGCTGTGGAGCCATGAACCTCTCAGCTGCCCACTGACCGCTTTTCCTTCAATCCCATGCTTTTCACCTTCGAGCTTACAAAACCTCGATCAAAGCAGGTCCGAAGACAGTAGCATTGGAGACGGCGACGACATCAGCGAAGCTGCTTCCCTGGGCGAGTACGGCGATGGTGAGACCGAAAAGCAGGTTCTCCTGGAAGGGGAAGTTTGCGGTGAAGTGGACTCGGCCGTCGCGGTGTCCAGCCATAGTGATAGCTTGAGTGATGGGCACGTTCTGCTGATTGATGTACACCAGGCTCAGCTCCTCAGGCTTGGAAGAATACGGGCTCCAGTCACCTTCTGCAATGGAGAACTCGATGGTGGTGTCCTTGGCGGTGATCTGGTTCTCGGGAGTCTCAAGAGTCAGGACGCTGAATGGCTTGCCGAAGTTGATGGTGTTGATGTTGGGGCAAGATCCGGGGACAATGAAGTTTTGATTCAGGGCGTTGAAGGCGAACTCTCGTGTCCCGGCGGTCAGGAACGGGTTGGCGGAGGGAATCTTGCCGAGGATGTTGCGATAGAAGCCGTTTTGCTCGCCTTCCTGTCCGATGACAGAGCCAACGCCACGGATCAAGCCGTTGTCGCCGTTCTGGCCAAAGTGGGTCTGCACGTCTGGCAAAGTACCAAGGACGACGTCAGTGAATTTTTGAGCAAGCTTGATGGCAGAGATAAAATCGGCGACTGGTGCGACGTATGTGCAGGGCAGGATCGGCGTGTCGAATGCTTGCAGAGCACCATTGGCGTTGAGAGTGTGTAGCTCCTCCTGGGCTTGAACGGCCGTGATGGCATTAATGATGGTCTGACGTTCCTCTTCCTTCTCGAATTGGTAGCCTGGAACATTGTTTGTTATGTTGGCAAGGAGCTCAGTAAAGAAGGCAACCTCCCACAATTCATTGAATGCAATCAAACGCAAAGAGAGCAAGTCGTCCTCAGCGGGTTTAGGTGGTGCCGCTCCGTTCGGAAGAGTTCCGTGGGCTTGAACTTGGATGTCTTGAAGCTGCGGAGAGCCTTTGGCAATGTTGGGAAAGCCGTTGGACAACGGGAACTTGAAAGGATTGTTCCCTGAGTCCGAGGATGAGGGAGGAGCTGCGCCGTGGCTAGAGCTGGTTTGGTAAGGAGCTGAGGATGCGTAGGTGGCTGAGTACCCGTTGGAGCCACTAGGAGCACTGGTAGTGTACGATTGAGACGCTTGCCATGAACTGACATGCTCACTTCGATCTCCGTATGAGATCATTCCACGCTTCTCCACGGGGACGGCAGAGACGAGGGAGACTAGGGCCAATGAGCCGAGCACGGATGCGAGTTTATTATGCATGATGTCGATAGTGAGAGTTCGTGTAGTAGTGAATGTGTCTTCAACCGAAAGGAAATGAATTAGGAAAAATAGAAAAGAGCTGATATTAATCTGAATACTGTGAAAGAGAGTGTTGTTGAGTTCTGTAAATTGAGATATAACCATTGCATTGATGGTCGTCACGCCCATCTATATAGGAACACCGTGAGGGCCTCGCTTGCGAATTGTTAAGCAAAAGCTTGAATTGGATGCTTACTCGTACACTTCAAAGCTTCCTGGCGCAGTGAGAGAGTTCGGCTGACAGTTGCCGCTAGTTGACCAGTTGAGGTAACTCAGAGTCCCGGACATGCAGACATCCGCTCTATCCTGGTGCTGATGCTGCGGAATGGGCATTTTTGGCATCAGGCACAGCCAGCAATTGATTGGAACGTATTACATGGGGGGTGGCCGGAGAAATAGACTACCTGGCAAGATCACGGAGATTTCTGGTTGTCCTCTGCATAGCCGTGTTTTGTCAGAGTGAGATAGCGTGGCGAAAGCCCGGCCTACAGGTTCTGGCAGCCGCGTTAGGACATGCTATGGCCCCACAATCGCGAGACTTCGGACCCGGGCTGTTCAGGTAGTCAGCATTGCCTGAAGCTGGGACTAATCACAATGCTAGTGCTGATAGGATATTGAGTCTTCCGGGTCGTGTGGGTCCCCTGGTTGGAAGAAGCTCCGCAGCTGACAGCCAAGCCCTGCGCTAGAAATAGCTTAGCAAGGCTTAAACCAGACAAGACCCTCCTCGTGTAAAGCTTGACCAGGCTCATCCTTGTACCGGGCCCTGACGCTACTGGCCTCAAATTTATTCTCGGACTGCTCGTAAACTATGATAATTGCGTAATTATCGAGCGGTGAAGGGTTTTCGGTCAGTGCTGTCTTTGCAGGTGAAATCAATTCAAGCTCAGGCCAGAGACCGCTGGGCTATCGGACATTGATGCCCACGGCGTAGGGCATTTTCCGCCATTTCAGCCGTCATCTGCACACAGAGACCATTTCTGCGGAGTAGCACAGCCCAAATCGGCCGTTCAATCGAGATGCTGGCCACACTCACCGTAGCTCCAAGCAGAATCGCCGGTCATGCTTGATGCCCTTGCCGTCTATCCAAGGACACAAGTGGAGGTACCTCGTAATCGTACATTTGCATCTCGTGAGTAACGCCGAAGATCGCCTAACAAGTGGGTTCGTTTCATTTAGGATTCCCCGCTCAACATTTGTTAATCCAGGCCAGAGCCTGGTACATAACTGGCTAAATCCTCGGGAAATGCTGATAGCATCTATGCACATCGGGAGATATTAGATACCATTCTTCCGCATACTGTGCCATGACTCTTTGGGGATGGAGAATTGTTCAAGCGCAGTTGGATGCCTGATTGTATCTAGGGGTCACACTGCGTGATGTGTGCTGCCGATCTCAGGCCTCAACCTGCCTCCAACCTCGTTGCACGAAGATATCATTTAAATCAATCATGGGAGGCCGAAATAGTCCTTGGAAGGGTCATCATTAATATCCTCACCTATGGACATGCGCTAAGTACCAGATTCTATATGTAAACCAAGAAAGCATGATTGGTGCGGGTTCCGTCCACCGCAATTCGACAAGCACCTCCGTGGGAGGAACGAACAACACCGTATAACTCTATGTAATCGATCAATTGTCGATGTCTAGACGAACTATTCTTAGCATCGGAAGTGACATGACAAGGGCTGCTTGCTAACTGAGCTGACAACCCGACCGATCCGCCATTGCGCTTGTCCGCTGCTTGTGTCCAGGCTTGCGGCTTTCAAGGCATAAGGAGCAAGGCCGTCGAGCATTCATGATAATCGAACAGTAAGCAACCGCAGATACTTCTTGCCCCGCCACATCAGACTCCAACCACCGAAAACAGACGTTATTCCCGTGAAAATGATGAGCCCACGGTAAGCGGTTGAATACCCTGAGTTGCCCAACACGCTTGCAGTCCCAGCCTTCAGTAGCTGCACGCCAGCAATACCACCTCCCACGTAGCCGATGCCCCTCGCACCATTGAAGAGTCCAAGTACAACGCCAGTGTCGATTGCCTCATTTCTGTCCGCCGCCTCGCGCTCCAGTTGCTTGATAATCCCACCCCATGTGGCGCTGTATCCACTGGAGAAGAACCCAAATGTGATGGAAAAGAGCGTCAGCGTGACCATGCTTAGACGAGATCCAACACCCCACAGCAAGAATGCTGAAAGCGCTGAACAGAAGCCCGATATCCATGTGACAGCAGGTGCCGAGAACGGCAACCGTTTATTGTCACTCAAGTACCCGAAGAAAGTGCTGGAGATGATTCCAGGAGCGTTGAAAAGTGTCAAGAGTAGTGTAGCGGAAGTTTGGGATAGCAAACCAGCTTCCTGACCATAGGAATTGAGATAGGTTTGTGGAATACCGTAGCCAGAGCTCTGTACCAACGTGGCGATGCTGTAGATGTAAAAAGTCTCATGGTTGAGAAACTTCCATGGCGTTTGACGAGATCGAATGTTCTCCCTTGAAGCGGCGGAAACATGGTTGGGGATCAGGAAAATCGAAGCGGTGCTGCTTACTGTGATTATGGCGGCCCATATCAGCATTGTGGTGCGGAAGCCATGGTGGTTCAGCAAAAATTGGAGGAAGAATGGGCAAGCAGCGCCCACGATGTTTTTGCATGAGAAGACAACGCCGTATGCAACTGAACGATTGCTATTGGTATAGCTTTCCCCTAGTGATAGTGTGGTCGGGCTGTAGATCAAAGAACTGCCCAGAGCGGCCAGCACGCCCTGTGTGAGAATGACCTGCCAGACATGCGTGCTGAATGCCGCTAGGACAAAGCTGACACAGCTGACGACTACTCCGCAAAGAGCCACTGTTCTCCGAAAGCGAGCCCATTGTTGGCTGAAGAGGGCAAAGAAGAAGGGCATAGTCAAATAAACCACGCCGTTGGACGTTGTTCCAATCACACCGGTCGCGGATTGGGCACCTCGCAAGAACCGCTCGCTTGTGTAATATTCTTGGAAAACACCATAGCTCATGGCAAAACCTACACCTGCTGAGTGTCATTGTAACAACAGGAGGAAAACGAGCCTACCCCAGATTGGAAGTTGGAGGAGCGATGAAGCCAGCAGGACATGGGACTTTTTCTTTGTCAGCTCCTGTTGGCCTCCATTAAGAGATAGGTCTTCGTTGAAAGAGCTCAACTCAAGCTCCTCATCATTTCTAGATGCTGCCATATCTGCGGATGCAGATGTGGACTGGTTTTGAGAAGATGTTGACTGCTCGTGTGGCATATTGCTTCTTCGGGGCTAGCCAGCCAACTTCGCTGTGGGGAGGATGTAGCTTATATATGTGTGAGGGTAATTGGCTGCTCTTATCCAATCTGAATTGAGCGCCCTACGATTTGGCGATCGTAGCTGATCGTTTCCGTTTTTGCGTTATCCCCTCAACGGCATCGGTTGTGACGGCTACCTCCTTTCCAATAGAGTTTCGGCTTCGTTTGGTCACGGACCTAATCCTGCAAGAGTAGCCATTTATTGCTTGTCTTCGTTATCTATTCACCGCCGTGCGAATCACGGTATGGTATTGGACAGCGTCTGAGGGCTCTTCGAGCTGGATGACCTTTTACTTCACATTTCTAGAAAGACAACCCACAAAGTCACTGTCGAGGATACAGCCGAGGAATTATGGGCAACCAGATAATGACACAAACAATGTGACTTCGTGGTTTTCCGTCAACTAACACTCTAAAGGATCTGGACACCACCGCTTTGGGTAGTCATAAAACTCATCAACGGGGGTATCATGACAATATAAAGCAGGAACGGCAGTTCGAATATCGACATTCTATCGTTGTCCAACCGTTGTCGTAAGCAAGTCCACCTTGTTCTGATGAACGAACCATGATGCCGGGTCTTCAAAGGGACAGCTATCAACGCACAGTCATCAACCAACCCCACTGCGGATCAGAGGGACTCTTGTGTCCCAAGCGAGTAGTCATGCTTTCTTTTAGGAACCTTGCTTGGGCCATGATTTGATCCATATCGAAGTTTTTCAATATACCGAAAGGACCACCATAACGCTCAATAATCAGTTCAAAGCGATTCTCATTGGTAAAGCGTTGGAGCGCATTCAGCAAGAACTCGGTCTCTTTATGCGTCCAGGTGTACTGGCTGGGTGGTGGAATGTCCTCAGTAGGTTGTCTTCCAATCCTTGCTCGCGATGTTTGAGACAACCTGTGGACCGAGTTTGGAGGATCTCCCGATTGGATACCATCGAGGTCATCAATATCAATAACCTGCTCAGCTACCAAATGGGTTTCGGGCCAACGCCTTCTCCTTCCAGGCCATCCATGATCTTGGTGCCAAAATCGCCTGTGCGCCGCATTGATTTTCGCATTCCTCCTCTGTATTCCCCTGTCCAATTTCTCGAGATCTGCTACCTGCTTTAGGTGTAGACGCTCTGAGTACACCCTACCAGCCTCCCTGAGAAGGACCTCTTCGTATTTCGACACGATACTTTTAGCATTGATGGCGATGCTGTGAATAGCAATGGATTTGATTCCGCTTTCCAACTCGGGCTCAGGTTCCCACTCTCTCGCTGTCGTAACCAGACTTTCTGCAAGCCTCAGGAAGAAGACAATTTCTTTGTGGGCATGGACGGTCAGGTCATTATCAATGAATCGAGTTTTCAACACGCTTTTGGCGAGTTTGACCATGTTGGGAACCAGATGCTGATAAACGTCAAGCACCATCTTCTTTCTCTCGGAGCGTTTAAGAGGGTTTGGACCTTGATCTTTCAACTTATGCTCCTCGATGCCAGCGCAGCGATCTTGTAGACGTTTCATGTCTTCTCTGATACTCCCATGTTGAATTTGGTTTGACGAGGAATTCTGCCCCCGCAGCATCACATAAGTTTTCTGAAGACGAAAAATTTCTCGCTGCACGCCTTTCCCCCTGATTGATTCTGGCTGACTTGAAGATCTCACTTCTGTAAGGCGCGCAACACCAACTAGAAGTTCTGCCCACGGCTCTTTCAATTCGCTGAATTCGACAGCTTCTTCTATGCCCCGAAGTGCAATCTTCTTAGCTTGTCGTCTTTCTTCCTCAACCTCGGCCAGTACAAGCTTCTTGGCTCGCTGTTCAGCCTCAGTATTGGGGCGTGGAGGTGATGATGGAGTCGGTACTGTGAACCCAGTGTGCTCTTCGTCCTGCAGCCCTTCATGTTCGTCCTCATTTGTTGCCTCGACGGTCTCCCCCTCGCCGGCTTCATTGCCTGCCGGTGCCTCTATTTGAGTAGGCACCAGCTTTGGAATAATGTTACTCTCCTCTTCTGGATGAGCAACCGAGTTGTCGTTGACTGACTCGGATGTGTTAGGCTGTGCAGAAGTAGGAACATGCCGGCTCTTCCTCGAAGCAGATTTGCGATCAGCTTTGAGTGGGGAGAACTCGGACTGAGATCGAGCTGGCGGAGGATCCGGTTTCAGACCAAGGCCTGGTGTAGGTGGCTCATTTTCCTCTCTCTGAGCTTCCTCAAAAGGATCTCCGTTCAATGTAGAGAGCCTCGCAAACCTTCGACTGTCCACCACTGTCGTATTGGTTGTGTTCTTAACTCTCGCTAATTTCCGCTTAGGTCGTCCAACCTTTTGCAGAGATTTTGTAATTTTGGAGAGGTCTTTAGTTTTCTCAGGCTTGGCGGGTGAATCATCTAGGTTTACTCGTGCAGAGCTCCGTGTTTGTATAATCCCCCTCCCTTTGAACGGAGACTTTTGCAGAGGTTTGGGCTTTGCGAGTGGAACCAACTTCTTCACTGGCTCCATTCTCGTCTCTTTTCCGGTGCCATCGACATCGTCAGCGGGTATGTCCCACTCAGTACGCCTGGTGGCCGGTGTGCGTGCAGGAAGCGAGGTGCGTGCCTTCAGTCGACCTGAAGTCTTCCTGGGGGAAGGTCTGCCCGGGGTACTCTGAGCGCTTGCCGGGTGAAGAATCTCAACTGCAAGCATCTTGTTCGGGGGTCCTTTTGAGCCATCCATGATGCTAGATCGCCGAGGACGCTTTCGAGACGGAGTCTCTGGGGCAACGCTTGCCAATTCGTTCATAATCTCAGTGACATCTTGTCCTGATGACTCAGGATGACCGTCAGGCGCTCGTGCCAGCGATTTTCTCGTAGAGACAGGCATGGTGTAGAATTCGGGCCACCAGAGAAGGGAAACTCTTGCACTATTCCTGGCGCATGTTGTACTCGCAGTATGTAAATGACGTTGTGTTTACTCCAATACTAAATGAACTTGAGCGAGCGCGTCATGTATTGGAGATGTACTCCTCCGTAAATGAGACAGCGGATTTTAGATACTCAAAGCGAATTTTTCACGTGATTAATCCATATGGCTCGGTGGCCACGGAGGCAGTCACATCCATCATCCATCATTCTTCCCAATTATACGCTCTCATCAAGGAGCGAAACTCGCAAAGTGTTTTTTTCTCATTTGACCTCAAAGGGGTTTGTGCGTTTTTCCGCCCTCATGGCTGATACTACGGCACTCGCAAGGCTGGGCGACCTCGAAGATCATAGTTTCGAAAAGCCAACGAAACGCATTCATGATGGACCAGATGTCTCATTCTTCTTGACTTCCCTGGCATACAGGGATATAATAATCTTCGTACTACAGCTGAATCATTCTGTACTACCTCGGAAGCGAGACCACGACGGCTCAATCAAAATCACCACTTGGCCCTTGGAATCACCAGACGTCACATTCTCATTTGCAGTACAGTCTATACGGGCTCTTTTGACAAAACTCATAGACCTTGTCGACGAAATCCCTCCGGACACGGGACCTCGTAGGTTCGGGAACATCAGCTTTCGAAAATGGTATCAATCGGTTGAGAATCAACTTAATGATATACTGAGCGAGTATCTGCCCGAGGAACTCGAACCGGCGTATGAAGAACTAGGTGCCTACCTTCTAGGCAGCTTCGGCAGCTCACAGCGGTTAGACTACGGGACTGGGCATGAGTTGAGTTTCATCGCATTTCTTGCTTGTCTGTGGAAGGTCAACTTTTTCTCACAAGCAGACCCTGGGGTGGAAGAGAGGGGTATCGTCCTGGGTGTCTTTGAACTATATCTGTCTCTCATTCGGAAAATCATCAAGTTATATACCTTGGAACCCGCAGGGTCGCATGGCGTCTGGGGTCTTGACGATAACTCCTTTCTTCCATATGTGTTCGGATCTGCTCAACTAGCCCCAGCTATCACAGAGACCGACAAAACACCTACGGAAGGATCCCTTCCGGACGCGCCGGAAGCATCTTCGGTGGCAAAGGCGAATCTCGTGGCAAAGGAGAAAGACAAGAACATGTACTTCTCAGCGATCGCATTCATTTACGAAGTCAAAAGGGGTCCATTCTGGGAACACAGCCCAATGCTCTTCGACATCTCAGGAATCAAAGACGGGTGGGGCAAGATCAACAAGGGCATGCTCAAGATGTACAACGCGGAAGTTCTGTCGAAATTTCCCGTAGTCCAACATTTCCCCTTCGGTTCGCTTTTTAGATGGGAGAAGGACCCAGAAGCCAAACCTCCACCCCCATCAACACATGCTTCAAGCCAGCCGCTGCGAAATCCCACCGACACTCATGCACCGAGCATCGGAAGACCAGCAGCGATTGCGCCATCGAGTGTGGGTGTTGGTGCTACGACAGCAGCTCCGTGGGCCAAGACGACCTCGAAGCCACCAGTTGGGTTTGTCAACGGAGCTACACAAGCACCCTGGGCGAGCCGAACTCCAGCACCACCACCCTCAGCTCTTCCACGAGGCGGACAATTTGCCGCTCAAAGACGTCCTATGCCACCCCTCAACGAGGACACATGGAGACCCGGGAGTCTGGGCAAGCAAGCAAGGGAATAAGTACGTGGAACAGAACACAGCTTGTTTTCTAAGAGAATCGGGTACAACTCAGGACGACTATGCTCCGGACTAACATAAACATTTTTGGACCAGAAGTCTGGGGGTATCATCATGAAGAATCCGAATCGTAACCAACCAACGCCGCACTTTCCACTTTTGCAAGCTTGTCCCGTTCTGATACCTGTCCCTGTTCGTGCTCCGCTGTAGGATCTCGTTTCCGCTTCGCCCTCGGCTGCCAGGGGTCAGTATCACGTAAGAAGGGGTCTGTAGCTATGCGCGTATTTGTCTTCAGCTCGTTCTGCAGTACAAGCTTTTTCGAAGCGGCAGTTGCAATAGCAGCAGAAGCAGAAGAAGATGTAGTGGTAGTGCTGGTCGACCCGACCTTGAACCTTGAAGGTAACTTCTCCTGCAGAGCCTGGAAGAGGGGTTTCGAGGAAGAGGATGAGGTAGAACCCTCAGTCCGCAGGCCAAAATCGATATACTTGACACGATCGCTGTCGTCAGGGCGCTCGGGGAGCAGGAGCAGATCCTCTCCGATACCGAACTTCTCCTTGAGCGCGTCGCCAGACATCTCATCAGCTTGGCGCTTCCTCCTCCCGACTCTGAAATCCGCACGGAGCTTCTTGCTCATCTCATAAGGATCAGCCCAGTCACGTTCACTGGCCTTGAGGAGACCATCCAACCGGGCCTTGTGCGCGTCAAACACAGACCGATCCTCTACTTTCTTCTCCAACGCACCAAAGCCACCGTCCCTCTCCAACCGATCTTTATCTGTGTCTGACACCCCGATCCTCACCTCGCCGTCGAGCAGTTTATCCACACCGGTGTCCCGCCTCCGTCCGCCTTCGACGACCAGGTACTCTGCGTTCTTGGGGTCAGTGTGTACCTCCAACCAGCCGCCGCACACGGTGTGTTTGAAGCGGAAGCTCCAGATGGGCGTGCTGAAGTAGTTGCCGACTTTTTTCTTCTCCGCGTTGAACCGAACGCCTTGCCCAATGATCTGCTCCGGCGAGCAGTGCGTGCACCAGATCGCGAAGGGGCATTCGAACCGCACCGTCAGGACTCCCTCGCTCTGCAGCTTGCGAGCCCGGGCGCCCAGCGCGTGGCCCTTGCCAGATGCTGTGTTGAAGGAGACCGTGCCTTCAAGTTCCGGTGGAACATATCGTCCCATGTTGAAGCCCTGCATCGTGGCGATCGGTTGATTTTATGTTTAGGGTTCTGAGATTTCGAGGTTCGCTCAAGCTGATTTGATCATGAGAGTTGGAACACGAATCGTAGTCCGGTCTACCGGTCTATCGGTCAATCTGGATCGTGAGGCTGCCGCGGGAAAGCACCAGTGACTTCCATGTCGACAGCGTGGAACTCAAAGTGATTCTTGAGCGACTGTTGCGGTTGTTCTGTTCTGCCAGTGCTGCGAAACTATTGCAGTTGACTTGTCAAGACCGGGGTGCAGGGAGGCAGAGGGGCAAATTGGGACGCCAGCCACGTGATATCTCGGGATACCTGCCCTAATCTTTCTATCCTCACATTAGCCTCATCCGCCGTTCCTCATCCTTCACTTTCCATCGATCAAGCTTAACTCATAAAGCTTGAGGAACTCAGGTATCTTACGAGTAGATGGTGTCACACCATAGCCATCGCCAGTGGGAAGGTTCAAACTATGCACACTAAAGCCGTGAAGACCAGGACAAATCTCCGCGGTCCGCGATTACTTGCTTTTGACTACCATGACTGAAATGACGAGAACCACGATTCCTTTCAATTTCCTCACAAGCTGTCCCCTCTCCTTCCTCTTCGTGAAATATGTAGTAAGCCTACAGCTTATATCCCGTTCTCTCGACCGCCTTCTTATACGAAGGCTCGTCCCTAATCCGATCCAACCAGTGCTGGATCCGTGGCCAGCGCCCATCTCTCTCGGTGCCCAGTTTCCTAGCGAAGATGAATTCGATGCTGAATCCCATGATGATATCGGCGGCGGTCAGATGGCCTCCGACGAGGAAGTCTCTGCAGTCGGCGCCATTCGACGCGCCACTATCGGAGGAAGCTGCCAGCTCGTGTTCCAGCCAGGCGAAGTCGTTATGCACGTTGGATGAGAGACCCTTCTCCATCTCAGGGAGGCAGTCTGCTGCCCGTTCTGGGAGGCGCCAGCGTGCGTAGAGGATCTGTTGTTTTGTTCCACGTTCAGCTAGAAGTATTGAAATGGAAAGAAGGGTTGCTTGTGTGTATGTGCAGGACCGCACTTCGTGGCATGGAACATAGTGCGGGTATGCGCAGGAGTGGCAGATGTAAGCAATCACGACATGGGGCATGGCCCATTCAACATAGACCAAGTACTCCTGTACTACTAACAGCAGCAGCATTACCACCTCCACCACCACCACCACTCCTCCTCCAGGAACAATGCGCTTTAAGGGGGTGGACATAGGGGATTTCTTGATATATCCCTATATAGAGTGCTGACCGCAAGAGCATGCAGCATGAACGTCGCCTCGGCCGCAGCCATGAACTCCCTCACTTTCGCTCGCGCCTTTGTCTCTCTCGGCAGTAGCCTCGCCTCACCATCACACGTCTCGCAGAGATACCTGGATTCGTTAGTAGGGACTTACCCCAATCGCAAAGTCAGTAGGTCACGTGCTCAGCAACAGCCGCACTCTCCTGCACGACGACATCCCCATCCTTGATGACCGGGCTCTTGCCCAGGCAGTGGGGATCTTGTCTTTGAATTCCGGAGGCGCGAGGCCATTCGTCGCACGAGGCGATGCGACGAGCGTGTACGGCAGAGACAGCTCTTCGAGCAGCCATGCAATGCGGATGGCGCGGCTAGCCCCCAAGAAGTACAGTGTGATGTCCGGGGTGGGAGTTGTCATGGTTGCTCTGGGATTGAGTGCCTCCGAGAGAGAAGCAGAGAGACAGAGAGGGATGGAGGGATGGAGAGGTCTGCGTGATATAGTAGAAGAGAAATGAAAGACTACTACTGAATATCGACTCTCTAGTTTGGTACTAGTGACTGATGACGAGGGACAAAGGCCATGTCTTGAGCAGGTGGGTATCAAGCAGAAACAAGTCATGCATGTCTTCGTCTACATATCGCTGATCGGATCTCTTACTGGGCAGCAACTGGATGGAGATCGATCTGCGATTGTATGCATAGCTTAAAGGGTATTTCCCCCGAGATTCCCCATATCTCGGGCGAAGGGTGCTCCTCCACCACCACCACCACCACCACCTCCTCATTATACATAGCGAAAAAAGGTCCTGGTACCTGAGTAGCGTATTGAAATGACGTTTTGGGCTGCCTTGTGCGGAAAGCTTGATGTCTACAGTCCTGTTCACAACTCGACCTGGATCTGCGAACCCTGATTCGATACCTCAAACACTGATGTACTACTTAGTCTCAGAAATGGAATAGAATTGGATGCGTGGAGGACAGTACGAGTAATCATCACTCGTCGCAGCGAAGGCCCCTCCCAAGGAAAAGAGGAATGGTACAGAATCACAAACATCCAATTTTCACAATTCATTTAATTGACTGGCTGGCTAGATGACTGACTGACCAGGTTGTGAACTAGCTGCCTACCTTAGGTAATTAGAAGTGAGTTCCAGAGACAAAGGCATATATTTTGACCATTTGGTAATGCGCCACCCGTATTTCAATCATCTCAGAGCTATAAGCAAAGTGTAATGCGCACATCAAAAACATTCACCCTTTCAATGATGCGAGTCCCCTTTTGTCAAGCAAGCAACAAAACACACGCAGTCCTATGTACAGGACAGGATGCAAGGGGTCCTAGATATGACGTGTGCGGGCGACTGTAAAAGAGTTGAAGACTCCCACATTGGCTGATGCATTAACCATATCCGCGACCATGCACGTCTTCCACAGTCCACGATCCGTAATCCATAATCCGTAATCCATACGCCGCCTGAAATGCTTGAACAAGTCGTTCTCCGGTGATTGACTGCATTATCATCTGATCCCATCTCAACTCATCTCTGCGCCTCATCCCCACAGAATTCTAATATTTGTCTGTATAAACACCAACAGGGCGTGTGACAAAACGATTGCTTCTTCTCCTAGCCTCATCGGGGGTGGCAGAGCCAGGCCCGCTCTCACTTCCATCCCTAGCTGCACTTTCAGTACCAAAGCCTCTTGATCCGGCGCGAAATTTGGCTTCCAACATTGCGAGCGCCACGTCGCCTGCTTCGCGAGCCAACTCTGCCTCTTTCAAGAGGCCATTTCTGGTAAGTTCTCTCTCTTCCTCTGGGAGGACAAAGCGATGGATTGTACGGTGATCCATCACACGCTCCTCCTCGTCACCACCCCCCTCGACCCACGTACCTTTACCACAGCGGCCCTTGCGTCGATATGCACTATATTCAACTGAACCATTATCACGTTTCTTGCCTTGACTTTTTCGTTCGAGGAGCTTTCGTGGATCGGGGTCCGTCTTTGGCCATGGAAAACCGTAAAGCATACTGTGACGTTCACAACGAGGACACTCCTTTCGAGTTTGATAACCGTTGGGCTGGATGAAAAATCCATAGCATTTAGTGTTGTGGCACTGAACCCAACGGTCGTGAGGCTGTGCCAGGAGCTTTCGTGTCAATATGTAATCACCCGCAATGCGAATGGTGCCAGTAACTGGATGAACGGTTAGTTTGGCTCTAGTAACAGACGTGCTAGCTTGTTCTATCGAAGGTAGTACATGAGGTTCTGAGGCTCGGACCGACACATCTGGGTTATGAACATCCTTCGTGATGGTAGTAGTGGTGAGTGTGGAGATCACATGGGGAACAAATGGTTGAACAGTTGGTTCTGCTATTTCTCCAGCAGCATCTGGAGATTCATCCGATCCCACGAGATCGGAAGGGACCTCGCTCAATGGGGTGGAATCTTGACGAGTCGCAGAGACGACGATAGTGTCCTCAGTGTCCTCGTCAGCCTCCACCTTCGTAACCTCGGTCGTTTCGATTTTGATCGTCACAGGAGGATCGATGGTGCTAACCTCCACAGGTAAGTGGGTTGTTGCAGCAGTTTCGACGGCAGAGCCATGGCTGGAAGGAGAGGTTGGCGCGGGAGAAAGTGGTGCTCGAGACGACACCTTGCCCAACAGTCTGGCAGTCATTTTGCTTTCCCGATCTCCGCTCTTTGATTTGACACTACTCTCTGAGCCCTGCTCGGTGGATTGAGATGGAGGAACGATATCAGAAATTGTGGCAGGAGCAGTTGCAGCCTTGGTCACTTGGACATCGCGCTCGATTGATTGGGGCGGGCTACGCGGCGGGGAGAGCACAGGTCCTTGTTCGGGGATCGAAATTGGTACTGCTCCTGTTGGCTCTGAGACTTCGCTAGTGGAACTGTCTTCTGGGCGCTCAGACTCAGGGGCAGTGGGTGGTGTCCAAGACTGTTGTAATTTTGAAGGTGACTGTGTGGTCTTGACGACTTTGGCAGGCGGGGTGGAGGAAGAGGTAAATGAGGAAAAATCTGACTCGAATTTTCGTTTAAGACCACGGGATGGGACACTGGCCATCCTAGAAGGAGCAGGAGTTGAATCCTGGCTTCTGCTATCGAGTAAAGCTGCCTTAGAGGTCCAGCCGTTTCGTTCTAGGATTTCGCAGGTGTGGCACAGGCAATCGATATTGTTGGGTCCAAAGTAATCGTCACCATAGGAAACAGTGATCTCGTCGCCAACTTCGATATTCTTCATAGCCACAACCTCCATACCGTCAGGACCTGTTGTAACCAAACGACCATTTGCATCGCAATCATGATTTGCAAAGCGAGCGGGACCCAGGAAAATGGAAGAGTTTTTCTTGCGACTGGAAACGACAATACTGAAATTGCGATTGGTCATATCGAGATCAGCTGACTCTTCGGTGGTTAGAGGAACAAGAGTACCAATCAGGTACTTGACCTTGTCACCTTGCTTAATACGTCGTCGAGCAGTAACAGCGGCCTCGTAGGTGTTGATAGTATAGCGATTCGTTGTGGAGACTTCCCAGGCACAGTCGGTGCTGTACATGCTAATATACTTCCGAATATGAGACTGGAAATGCTCTTGTTCGGTTTTGGAACGTAGACTCTTCTTGTACCTCTTAAGCCCAGGAAGAGCGAGAAGAGCCTTTTCAGCCCCGGCAAGGTCCTTCTCGACAATGACCTTTTTGAGCAGGATTTGTGGAACCTCGTCTTCTTTGATACCTCGGATTGGAATGTGTTTTGTCCGATTCTTACGTATGCGCGACTTGTAGAAGGCCTAGGAGAAGGTTAGCAAAACTGGAGCCGTCATGACGAGTACGGAAATGGTGGACTGACATTGTCTACGAGAGCATCTGAACAGACATCATCGTGTGCAGCCAGTTCAGCCAGGGAAAGTCTGTTGGTTCTCTCAGGCTCTCGGTCTTTCCTTTTGCGACTCATGGTGAAGAAGCGAGCGGACTCGATAGATTCAAGCGCGTAGACTAGCGAGAGAGGGTAGCAGCAAGGCAATGGTCAGGGTTGTTTGAGCCCTGGTGTCGTGGGTTGGTGGTCGTGGGCCAACAATGAATGAATGGAAGGGGCTGAGGAGATTATGTAGTAGGTAGCAGGCAGTATGCAGTGGACAATGCGAGGCAGTGGGATCAGGCCAGCCTGAGGGTGACAATGGTCTGGAGGAAGTGAATGTAATGCGACATGGCGGTCGCGTATGTCAAGCGATACAATGCAATACCGAGCACTCTGATGCCGCTGAATAATTTAGCGAGTGTAGGAGGAATAAGGAGGGTGTTGGTTCAGCTCTAGATTTAGCGATTATGTAGGTCGACTGGGAGGAGTGCGGATGAATAAAATGGTTCGTGAAGGGAAGGGGAGGGGGGAAGAGTAGACGAGCAACGAGTTACTCAGTCCCAGTCCCAGTGCCGTACGGTACGGAGAACGTGCATTGCAGGGAAAGGCGGGCTGAAAGACAGAGTAGCTAGTAGTAGTTGTGCACTGTGGTAGTATGTAGTTGTGGCTAGTTCTGCTCCGTCTGGTAGGAAGGACGCGCTGAGGCCAGCCACCCAAGAAACAACAGGCGAGGCCAATGCACAACATGCTGGCTGCATGCCCAAAACGCCTGAGGCTCCCGCCCACCGCGACCGCAACCGCACCCGGCTCCAACTCTTTAGGGGTTAGAGGCAGCCCCTAGAAGCCCGAAGGGGCACAAATCAATCAATCAGCCACAGGCAAAGGTCAGGGTTTCACGCTCGACACGGTCCACCATCCACCACCATCCACCACCATCCACCATCCACGGCTCCCTTCGAGCATCGCCAAATCACAATCCCTGTCCACGCTGGGCCATCAGAAATCCACTTTTGGATTTCGAGTTCGAACTTCGAAGTTTCCTTGCTTGGCTAATCATCCGTTCCACGGATTCAACCTCTATCAACCACCACAATCCAAAGGTGTCGGCTCTGCAACCACATTATGCTGCCACGATGATACAACTCAAGGTATGGATACTATGAGCATCCGATGGAGAATGTTTTGGTGGGCATATGACTGATTGCGTCCCTTGCAGACGATGCTGAACTGCATCGACAACTCGGGTGCGGCTATTGTGGAATGTGTCGCAGTCATGAAAAAGAAGACACAGCCTGCCAAAATCGGTACCATGCGCTCCCTCCAGCGTTATCAAGAAGACTCTTCATCTGACTATCTCTTCTAGGCGACCGGATAATCGTGGTGGTGCAGAAACAGAGGAGCTTTGGTCCTGACAATCCGGGAGGAACAAGCTTGGGCATTTCCAACAAGGTCCGAAGAGGCGATATCCGACATGCGGTGGTAGTCAGGGCGAGAAAAGAAGAGCAGAGAAAAGACGGCACACTGATCAAGTTTGGTGACAACGCATGTGTGCTCATTCAAAAGAACGGCGATCCCATCGGAACGAGATTATCGAGTATTGTCGGTGCCGAACTACGAGATAAGAAGTGGTCCAAGATACTGTCATTGGCACCCATGCACATTTGAATCTGCTGATGAGCTGAGCTGATCTCATTGCTATCAACATCTGTAAAACTAGAAGAAATCAAGAACACCACCAGAGCTCCACAACTGAGAATTCTCCTCCGGGGTATCGATGTCCGCTCGTGGACCGACTCATGGGACTCATATCTCGTCCTCCGAGCCCTGTACGCCTTGCAATGCTGAAACTCCAAAATGACGATGATATGCCCCAACACCGACGCTCAAACAACAGTGTAGACATGATTGCAGGCCGTGCACACGTAGTAAAGTTTCTGGCGACGCCTGAGTCAGAGAATCCCAGTAGGAGGAATGAACCATCACTCACCATTCCGGTTTCAGCAGCCCGCTGCTGTGACTGGAAATAAACAGCATCTCTCTCGTTGCATCGTGGGCAAGTCTTCTGAGTTCGGGGCAACTGTATGAGGGAGATGCGGTCAGCCAGAGTTTTGGTCAAGTAGAGCTGCAACCGAGCCAGAAAGCAAGACCACGATTTCACTCTTCACCACACTGGCTGCATCGCAACTGGTCGCCGCAGAGGGTACATGAAGGGGGCATTGCTAAGAAATCCGAACCCACAGTTGGATCATTGGCAACGTCAGTGGTCACTCCGGCGGTCTCTTGTACGTTAGCACCTAGATGCTGGCGGAATGTACAGGCTGAATCATGGGTCGTGGTGGCATGACAGGCTTTGCAAATGTAGAGCAGTGTCGAGGTAGCTCTATCTTCTTTTGGGTAAAGGAGGTTGGAACATTCCTGGCAGAAGCGATAGCTGACTTCGCTTCTCTTGCTTTCGCCTTCACTGGGCGAGGGAGATTGAGGTGCCGACATGGCTGAGGAGGAACTGTTGGAGCCGTTGTGTTTTGAAGATGGGAGGATGAGGGATTACCTGTCAGATGGAGGGAGTGTTGATCATCCGTATAAATATCATTGATGTTGTATCCGAGACAATTGGGTGGTCGGGTGGTTGCGTCGTCGATGTGGTAGAGATTGATGATAGTGTGCGCTATCTTGTGGTTGATATATGAAGGAAAACTGGAATTTGAGAGGGCGCAGGTACTGCTGTCCTCGACCAGTAGTGGCAGGCATAGTGAGGGGAATGCGACTCAGGCAGAAATGGCTGCTCTCCGGATTATTGTTTTCCCCCGCACCGCTAATGGCAGAAGGCCATTGCTAGAAGGCCCTGCCGCTCTCACTCACCCAACTTTAGGCACTCGCTGCCACTCCTACAGGGGACCCTCTAGGGACCTTCGGGAAGTCTACTAGTTACTACTGCAGGTGTCCAGGCACCGCCCCTCTACCCACGCTTATCCCCCCGACCCAACAGGTATTTGTTGGTCACTTGATTGTGGCCACATGTCATCGTCCTTGACTTAAGGTCACTGACTCAACTAATAGTATTCAAGAGGTACACACCCCTCAAGGCACCCAAGGTATGGCATACGAGGGACAGATACGTGTTACGCCTTGTTTTCTTTATTATTATTAGTATTAGTCACCGACTCACCATCTCCTCTTGACCACTGGGTGCTACTGCCACCCATTGCCACCACCACCAACCACCCCCGTGACTGCCTATCTTCTCTTCCACCTGCTCCTGTGCGGTACAAGTCAGATCCGCTCCTCCACCACGATCTTACCCCGCCGACTGCGCTATTTCAGTGTCCACTGTCAACAGCCTGCACATCAACTCCAAATACGTTCCTCCCAATACTCCTGCTGCCACCCAGCGATTTTGCCAAATATTGCGTCTCCTCTTCCAAAACAACTTCAAGCATAGCCCTCACTGACTCTCATCATGGTACACACCTCTATACAATAGTTCCCCATTTTCAATTGGTACAACACTGACCAAACATAGTCGGAGACAGGCCTTCCCCAAAACTGGGAAGTCCGCCATTCCAATTCAAAGAACCTGCCTTACTACTTCAACCAAAAGACCCACGAGTCAAGATGGGAACCCCCGGAGGAAGCTGACACCGACAAGTTGAAGGTCTACATGGCCCAACATCACAGTTCGACCACCACGCGCATTGACGGCCCCGCTTCTGAGGGCAAAATCAGGGCAGCTCATCTTCTGGTGAAGCACAGAGATAGTCGCAGACCTTCAAGCTGGAGAGAGACCAACATCACCCGCTCCAAGGAAGATGCCATCTCATTACTCAAAGGTTATGAGGAGCAAATCCGCCAGGGCTCCACCACCTTGGGAGATCTCGCAGTCTCAGAATCCGACGATAGCAGTGCCCGTCGGAGAGGCGACCTGGGCTTCTTTGGCAAAGGTCAAATGCAGAAGGAGTTTGAAGATGCAGCCTTCGCTCTTCAACCTGGTGAGATGAGCACGATTGTGGAGACCGCATCTGGCGTGCATCTCATTCAGAGGTAGGTCGTCGGTTTTGATTATGACCTCGCCGCATTCTTCATGGCTGATCTTCACTGGCAGAATTCAGTAAGTATCGAGGAGACTCGTGGGTCACGCTATCTTTATTGTTGTCAGCTGTATTTCTGGGTGGATTCGGCCGGGATGAACTTCCGGACAACGAAACTTCTGGAGTATCGGGTCCTACTGTCCTCTTCCACGGCTCCCGTTGCCACCGGTGCGCTTAGTCTCTGCCCTGATTCAAAGCACACATGGAAATACCATTGGTACGGTTGCAACTCAAATAAGAAAATGGTTCAGTGAATAGAAAGGCGTCATACTATCATTTCTGAAATGCCCATATCGGCAAATTTCATTCACTCCCGCAATTCTGCTATGGGCTCTTCCCGAGGCGATTGCAAGGTGCAGATGGTGAGATAGCAAGTCACAATCAACCTGTGATCACTCCCGAGTCTTGAGCCATACGTCACGTCACGAAGACCGCTTCCTCCGCCCGGTCCAATACAGGTCTTTAGAAGAGACAAAGCCTCCCGCAACAAAACAGGTAATCCTACTTTGACCCCTGTCTCAAATGCCCCGTACCAATCACGTATGTACCACTTCTCTCTCTCCTTGGCCTGTTGCCCCGACCTCTTGCGATGTCACGAGTATATAATACAGCAGCTCTTCCACACTTATCCAATATTTACCACCGAGTCTCCTCACATCAACACTACCAGAATTACGATTTCCCCTGGCTAGCCTTTGCTGCATACGATCCCCATAGTACTTCTTGCACCTCTCATCTTCACCAAATCAACGCCATGAAGGGTTACAGCCCACCAGATGCTCTATTTCTTGAGCCCCCACATTTGCACGATCCTACAGACGTTTCACATGTTGCCGCACTCCCAGACTCAATGCTCTCACAGCTCCCCGAGTCCGTACAAGATGCACTTTGGACCCTACAAGAGTCAACCTCCATAGTCTATGCTTCCTACGAGAGGCTACAGGAGCTTCTTGACCAAAGATTCGATCGGCTTGTTCCTCTCCCAATGGGAGCTGGCACCTCTTCAAGAGGTTGTATGTCTGCCCAATGAACAGGTGTTCATGCAACTCAAGGGGCTAACGTGTGACAGATTCCGAGGGAGCGTTTTTCAATTATGCCAACCACTTCTCTGCTGAACGACGTTACTTGCTCGAAGATGCCCTACCTGACTGGAAACACAAAGCTTCCCGAGCGGGGCTGAGCCGATTCAACGAATTGATATTGACATTTCGAGGCAAGACCATGACAGTCGCTGAGTGGTTCACTCAGCTCCACGCCGCTGTTACACTTTGGTGTCACGAAGCTAGACATGTCGAGCTACCGGACTTTGACTCGACGATTCTAGAATACGAGTCTCAGTCGTCAACGCCGTCATCTGAACACTCAGAATCGGATCTGGAGGATTTGATGGGTGGACATCCGGTTAGAACCGGCCGGAAGCCGGTCATCGTCACTGAGGGATTCAGTTTCGAGGTTTCCAAGGCATTGGAAGCGCTCTAGACCGTGAAGACCGAGGCACTATTTTTATGCGCAAAGGTGGCCTGACGTATCGTAAGCCGAGACGTGGCACTCATGTTTCCATCCCTCGGGGTTTTTTTTATTTCAAGCCAGCGGGTTCTGTGTAACAATCCCGAAGAGAATTAATAAGAAATGGATTTTAAAAAGCCCTTGGGAAAGACGGTGGGCCAGAAAACCATGCTGTGCAACAATGACTATTCTATGATGAAGCACCCAATAGATTCCAATTACTTGTGGGGACTGTGAGGGCCGAGCATTGGCTTTGCAATTGGGAGGAGTTAGGAGTCTGGAAAGTCTAGAACACCGTTTCCCTTGGTCCTGTGGGCCACTCCTTTTGATCATCGATCATCAAGGAAGCCAGCCCGCTGTCGATCCCCGCTTGCGGGGTGAGTACTTGGGAGGCATGCGATCCAGAAGCAACGCGCGCCCGCCGGGCTTTCTACGATATCGGCGCCAGAAGAGTCAAGCATGTAGTTCTCCCGTCGTGTTCTCGCTTCATTGTCTCGACGCCTATGCGGAAACCCTGTCTGGAGATCCGCGCGTCACACGTGCCTGCATGTCTGGTGTTTCCAAGGTCGCATTGTAGCTTGACTTCTTTACGATTGGGCATTTCCTGACTTGTCGGGAAGATTCGCAGTTCTTGGAGCATTCCCAGAGACCTGGTTGCAGGTTCGCCGGTCGCAATACACCTCGTATTCAGGTGGGAATTATCCTTGATAGCCCCTCGTTGTACAGAGTACTCCATAGAGAGTACGAGACTCGATTTTCGCCTTCTCACAACCGTCGAAGGAAATTAAGTTGGTGCACGGCCGCTAGCAGCTTCCCCACCGGGACTGCCCGTCGAAGCGCGGTTGTTTTGACCTTCTCTGGTCAATTCGCGCTTTCCTTGGTTGTTATTGTCATCAATCACACGTACATAGTGCCAGTGGTAGTCCACCAATGTCTCAGCACGCAGGCCGCGAAAGAATGATGGTCATGGTGCGCATCAGCACCATCAAACCCCAAGGGGGTGTGTGCATGGGCCCGTGCACTTTTGCAACCACATCCCGATTCGTACCGGAGGGTGCATGGCTTGACAGCCGTCAATTCCTCCAATGCAAACAGGATCTCAGGCGCTCAAGCCCAATCTTCGCTACCCACTTCCCAAAGGTAGCGTCCCTGGGTGGATCCTAGAGAACAAACAACCTCGTCTGCTCAAGTCAGGCTCCTAAGCCATCTCGCTGGGTAGAATCGTGCCTTCCACCTTCCAATTGCCTTGCAGCTCGAAGTCCAGCGCGGAATCTTCCAAGTTTCCATATCCATTCAGCTCAGAGACTCACATGATAACTACATGTGATGTTTCATTTAGGGTTCCATAGCCACTGGGCTGGAAGCTCAGAGACGGGAAGTCGTCAGGCACAAGTCGACATGTTCAGACAGGAGTCTTGCTTTGACTTGGTAAATATCTAGGCAACGAATCCTTTCCCTATGCGATGAATTCCACGAATGAAGTTCCCTGTATTTTATTGCTTCGCTAAATTCACTTCCAGACTCTACATGCGCACTGTTCAGAACTGGTCATTGGGATTCCGTTGTGCTGATTGATTCTGATGATGTGACGGTTCGAGACTCATCGATACATCGCTATCAGGTTGCCATTTCTCTCTTATTACAATATTCGCGCATCGACTAATATACGGGTCTCCACCCATCCGCATGTCCGTTGGGCACCGGTCCAAGGAGTCCACTGACAGGATATTAATGATAGTGTATACACATTTCCACGTGGCTGTCTCTCCTCGGCATTCCCCAATTAGCTTGCTAATGCATGGTCTCAGATACTCGGCCAAAAATAAAACATCTGCTCTTGCAGCAAAAGCTTGGACTCCTGGATTCGGATGGTCAGGCAGCCGCGGGGTAGTCATCACATTGTCTCCGGGAATTCCGATCCCAACGCAAAAGGTGCACCTTCCGGAACTATGTGATATCGAAGAGTCATATAACCTGGGCAAAGATCTGATTTTGGAGACATTCGGTCGTTGTTGGCCCTCGTGGCCACTAAGAAGGATTGCAACATGTTGAATTACTGACTATCCAGGGTCTAGTTTCCCCAGCCTTAAATGGACCAAGGGCAATGGTCGAAAACCCAGAGGCCTGAAGTCATGAGTGTGGTGCGTGTTCCAAGGACAAATCGAGCTCCTGTGATTCTCTTCTGGCGACCGTGAACCGCTTCCAGATGGGTGCAGATCCTCTGACCTCTTGGATTGCCGTTGACAATCCTTTAGTTTATCCAGTATGTCCCTGATACGTCTGCCTCGCAATAGCCTATTTTTGCACGTAGAGTTTAGACTCTTCTTGACCCGATTTAGGGAAGCCGAAATGCATCGCACGACATACGAATGCCTCCTCATATTCGCAGCATGAAGTTCCATCCGATCTTATGATGCTGACATGGAGTGTTGGCAAACACCAGTTCGTGCAATGTTCACGCACCCTTTTGCCCGGAAGCCTTCTAATTCGTTAGGTCCCACCCAGTTATGATGCGGCTGTGGCACCAAAAGATGGCCCCGGTCGAAAGATTGGTGTTACAAGGAGCCCCGCTTTCAATTCTCAGCTTACAGTACAATCTTGTGGCCGAGGAGCTCACTGAGGAAGTTGACCAATGGCATGGCATGATTCGTGGCATGCAGGTACAGAGCAGACATTTTCCACCTCTGCAAACCCGTCGCATGATGCTCACCCGCCCTTTGGCGGGCCTCTCGGAGTGCAGCGGTTGAATTAGGAGAGCTCGGCTATCACCTGATTGAAGCTCTAAGTATATGCAAGGTGGTCCAAAGCTGTATCGGCCACGAACTTGCCGACAGCTTTGCGTCTGGCCGAGTTGGGTCTCCCGTCAGCGAGGGTTCTATTTCCTTCCTTATCGCAAGCAATAGAAAGGTACTCGAACCCATCTCTGTGACCTGGATATGCAGGTACTTCGTCCATACGAGCAAAGAAACCAGATCCACGCACGAGATGACATTACCTTAAAGTGTCCGGACCGGTGAAACAAGTTTTCCCTCTGATCTTCACCGGGCCGGGCCACCATGAAGAATAATTCAGGAGCATCCAAGAAATTTCTTTCTTGTATCATATGTTTATACCTTGCGGCTCTGAAAGTTCCATGCTCTGGTTCCGTATTCGCCATGAAATCGCTGTGCCCAGCTCCCGCAAGATAAATAACAACCAAAGCTCTCTCCCTAACCTTCGGCACTAGTAGGTGAACAGGTACGGCGTGCCCCTGAGCACCACAACAGCCCACCCATGTCAGTTTAGAGGAACTTCTACGCCAAACAATTCGGAATGCCCAAAGTGGTACTGCAAAGCCTGCATGTCTAGTTTCTCATCGTCTGGTTGTCTTATCATGCTCCTCTGAATCCGCTACGCTTCCGTGTGCCTGGAGCCACAAGAAGTTGTTGAAGAACAAATTGATATCCTGCTTGTAGTCCTGGGGCCCCCTCATTGTGAAACCATATTGAGATTAGTACGACGCGTGGTTAACGGCACCAAGGTGACGTTGCATGCAAGGCTGGAGGGTGGAGCGAGCCGGCGTCACGACACGCGGTTTCCTCGTGGAGAGTTTCAGGAGGCTGCTTCTACCACTTAAAACTACCAGTCTCGCTCCTCTGGAGTGAATTGGTGGGCGTCAGGTTAGTATTGCTCAAACAACAAGATTGTACCCGAAGGGGAGATGGCAAATCCCCAACAATACGCAAAGTTCCTCGGCGAAATACCGCTGCCTGTTATCTCAATACTGACCCTAATATGTTCTTGTCGCCCACAGAAGAGCCACTATCTAATGCAAGATCGTATACCCTAGCCAGTCTTGAAAAGAATATTCTTAGGGAAATACAGGGTGCTAGGCACCAGGCATACACGAGATGCCAAAATAAAATTTACGCTTTGACTACTGTAGGATTGGGTTTCATTGGGGGCCTAAGGAATGTAAACCATATCGAAATTTTGGGTCCATTCAAATATCGCTGCTCCCACAGAGATCTTGGTATATGGATGTTCCGGCAGAACTACTGCAGGTTGTCCACCATCGATTTTCAATTGAACTACTTCACTGCACCTTACTGTCTGCTAGCCCGAAATGGTTGCTACGAGTCTTCGAGTGCGCTGTGGAACAACCCGAGTAAGATCAGGGTGCAGGACATGCAAGTATGTAACGCCGAGCAGAAGTGCCAATCAATAATACCCCTACCAGGTCTCGACATCTAAAGTGCGATGAGGGTCGCCCGGCTTGCCAACGATGTGTCTCGGGTCGGCGAAAATGCGATTATATTGCCAACGATGGCAAAGCTAGATCAATCGCTTCTCACCTGAGGATTGTAAGGTATATTGCACCGCTATCCCACACTCCCAGCTCTCAGCCAGCTGTAGCTCTACGAGAGGCCCGTGCCCTCGAGTTCTTTCAGCTAAGGACTGCGCCGGAGCTAGGGGCGCTCTCTCAGGCAAGGCTTGGTCAAGGTATACGCTACAAGCCAGTCACGAAAAGGCTGTCCTCCATGCGGTCGTTGCACTTAGCTCACTGCACGAACACTACAAAAAGGCCGACGATTCGCCTAGGTTAGGTCTCGAGTTTTCAATGCAGCAATATGGCAAAGCTATTCAGGAGGTTGTGAAGCTTGACTCCACTAAATCAGCTACAGCGATTGATGCGGCACTAATAACTTGCTTACTCTTCGCAATGTTCGAGAGTTTACAGGGCCATTATATGTCCGCATTAACGCATATTAACTCCGGAATCAAAATGATTAACGAGCATCAGGTTGGCAGTAAGGGCGTCGGAAGGCTTTCTGATGCTTGTGTACTTTCGGTCTATCTTTTCAGCTGTTTGGAAACTCAAATGCTAGAACTCGGGGATTTAAGGGACCAGTATTCATCTCCTGAGGCCTCTCTAGACGTGCCTATTATTTTTCCAGCTATCTTTTCATCCGTTGAGGAAGCTATGACAAGTCTCGAAAATTTCCGTTGCGTGCATATGCGCTTATCGAATTATTGCCAGGAATTGGCCCCGTCAGCTGATAATACTCAAGAAAATATCAAACAAAGACGTCGAGAAGTGATAGAGGCTCTTGAAACCTGGTCAAGGGCGTTCGAGTCGATGTTACATAGATATCCTCGAACTCAGAAAATCACTATACACGCCAACACTCCGGAGGTTCTCCTACTACAGATACATAAAGCTGTTTCTAAGATCGTGCTACATCTTACTTCGACCTCATTTGAGAATGCGTTAGATCCACATGGTCCCGAGTTTCGAGAAATCACAAATGATGCCGCCAGATTCATCATCCAGGGTATACCGAATATACAACTGGAGCCTCGCGAAGAGAGCCCGATGCCACCAACGTCGGCTTATTCTCAAAAGCCTGGCTTAACATCTACTCACTCGTCGCCATCAGCGAAATCGTATTCAAAGGAAGACTTAATAGAGCCTGGGCTTTTCGTGCGATTAAGCCTACCTTCTCCATTGGCTTAAGCATTATGCCGCCGCCGAGACCCTTAAAATTCGGCACCAAGCTCTCCATTACTGAAAATCTGCAATCGGAAGGAAGGCCTTTGGTGTCCACAATTGACTGCTCGTGTAACGGAGACGATCATCAAGGTTGAGGAAAGGGAAGCTTTTAGATATATCAAAGGGCCTGGCCAAGTCCCCGAACATGTTCGTTTCCAAGTCATTGCGGCAAAGTTTGCTCCCGAAAAGCAAGCCATCATTACCTATCACGTAATTCACGGGCTAGTGGGTCAGACCACCACCACCCATGGACTCGTCATTATCGTCATTTACTCCACCACTATGAGTTCCATTTAATTACAACAAGAAGGGACGATTCAGTTAGCCATTAAGGCTATATAAGAGGGCGTCTTTGAGAGTATTCGGCACGCCGGGCGCGCGTACGATGTGCCACACTCGACCTTGACGTGTCGACTCTAGGGAATTACTCCCCGGCGCGGTACGGCTGCAGCAACGCGTAAACTTACTCAACAAGAAGAAGATATCTTAGTACAATGGATACTAGATATGGACTCCCGGGGATATGCGCCTAGGGTGGGCGATGTCCACCGGAACGCGAATACCGAACGCGTGCGTGGTAGCTTAGCAACACCACTCACGGTCGGCGTTAACTGGGCAATATAACTTATCCAGCGACGCGCAGATATACGTTCTAATTACTTTAGGAAGAAGGACTATCAAAGAGCTCGCTGTGAAGATCCGAAAATCATTTAGAAGTGGTTTAATTTAGTACGAAATGTGGTCGTGAAATACGGTATAGTGGATCACGATATATAGCACTTCGATGAGACAGGCTTCTAAATGGGAGTAACCTCTATAGCGAGAGCAGTAATTAGAACTAAGAGAAGAGGTAAGCCCGTCGTTAATCAGCCTAGAAACCGTATCTAGATAATAGTTATTAAGATAAGTACTACGGACGGCCGGGTATTAGATCCATTAATTATCTTCGCTGGTAAGGGTCCACTAGGGGTAGTAGTTCCACGAGGTTCAAGACGATACGTACTCTAGCTGGAAGATTACCATCAGTGAGACTGATTAGACGAACGACGAGATAGGCTTATAGTAGCTCCAAGAGATATTTAAGCCGGCTACTAGTCGCTCAAGGCGAGGTAGATATCGACTACTTATTCTCGATAGTCACTATAGTCATAATACACCTGAGTTCGACGAATATTGTACGAAGCACGATATTGTTACGCTATTTATACCGCCGCACGCTTCTCACTTACTCCAGCCGCTTGATGTGGCGTGCTTCTCGCCGCTTAAGCGAGCCTACGGAAGACGAGTTAAAGAGCTTATACGGCTAAATCAATACTACGTGGACAAGAGTGACTTTCTCCGCCTATACAGTACATTACAGCTCGCTTAGAGGCGATTATTCGACCCGAGCGTCGTTCTTGATCAGTTAACGCTAGTACCACGTACTACGACACCTCCCCCTTTCCTTCCATCGAGCCAGGAGCTAGAGCAGGGCTGGAATCCGGAGACACCGCGGACAGTTATCTAGGTTTAGAAGCACGTCCGTACGCTAAAGAAATTACTTAAGAGGAAGACTATTTTGACGCCTAGTCCGACAAATCTAGCCGCTGCATAAATTACTAAGGCTACTAAGCACGCTATCTATACGTATCAACTCGCGTAGGAGTGTATAGCTGAGCTGGAAGCGTTTGTTGAAGTAAAGAAGAGGAAGTAGACTACCGACAGGAAGTATATTAAGAAGGGTAAGCTACTTAGCGCGAGCGACGTCTGTCTAGAGCAGGGAGAAGAGGTTGACGAGGAGGACGAGGATACCATTATTATTCGCGTCGCAGGCGCTCAGAGGCATTATGGACGCCGTGGTATGGCAGGACACAACTCTAGAACTTGTCAAGCACCAAACGAAACTATGTAATATTGATTTAGACGCAGATCGCCTAGTTGTGGCGAGTTTAGCAAGCACGAAGAGTATTTATGGTGGTGGTCTGACCCACTAGCCCGTGTGACCCACTAGCCCGTGAATTACGTTACTTAGAAAATCATAGTTGCAGGGAAATTTCCTGTCGAATTTGGTGGTCCTTGCCGCCGCTTTGGGAAGCTTTTACTCCATCCAGGCTAAGACTGTTAACCTGGCTTGTATGGTCTTCCACCACCCCCCACCAGAATTTCCTTCCGCACAGGGTCCCAAAATTGCTCACTCCACAACCAGTGAAGGAAACATCAAGTCCCTTGCAAGAATGGGTGCCTTCGGCTATACAGCCCGAAGCATGGCACCTTGCAAACGCATAGGGATGGTCCCTCCAGGTTCCCATCCGGCAAAAGAGACACAAGTATCTTTGAACCTACTCCTGACAAGTCTTCAATCCTGTCGTCGACGAGGTGATGCGCGAATAAATTTCGCAATATTATGAAACTTGCTAAATGTGCCTCATGTTCTTCAAAGGGCCTGTTAGTGAGCAATACTTGCTTGGGAATGAATTGATAACCCCTCCGCCTGTTTCAGCTGCGCAGCAAAAGGATCCTTTTGTTTCCCATTATATTAAGACTTTGGCGGCTAGGTTGGAGATATTGTTAAAGTAGCGCCTGCACCGTTACTTGTTACCTTCATTGGACCGAAATCTTCTTACTAGAGAACTAATCACTGTTGTACGGTTTGTAGCGTTGTCAGCCAAAAAAATCCCCTGAGTTTAGGCCCGATTTCTGAACCCTCCGACAAGCTCTATAATACCATCTCTAGTGTAGTATTCTGAGAAGGATTTAAGCCCAAGAAAAGCATACTTAAGGTGAAGAGAAGGAGTTGCAAAATGGTCGCAAATACCAAGGGTCGGCATCGTTGATAGTGAGGTCTATATATCAAACTTTAGGTGACTGCACGGTTCTGCCAGCGCTCGCCGAATCTTAACATCTTCCTTTGCCTTTTAGTAGTCTGCGACTATCCAGTTTGATATAGTATTGACAGCCAAAATTGACTTTTCTATAAACTATCATTGTTCTAGAACGAGCACCCGTCATTTGACTAGAGTCATTAGATTATCGGAAACGGCCCTTTCGTAATCCCAGTTCTCGGGGAAGTCCACTAGATTGCCCATCGCTGCCTCATCCTGATTGTTTCCATCATGCTGAACGGCCACGGCTAGAACGCGCCTCGTCGTTCATCCCTACAGCGAGGGTAGTAAAGTTAATAGTAAAGCTTTGAGTGTCAGTTGTGACCCGACGCCGAAGTATACAGGGATTGTACAGGCTGCGACAGGTGACAACGCATTTGGGGGTGGGACTGTCTGTAGTGTTGTGGGGTTACCTGACGACTTGCTAAGGCTGTGGAGGCGGTGGAGGGTGGCAGATGTGTGATTCTAGAGGTCGAGCTCGCAGTGGATTTGAAGAGACATGCTGCAGCGAGGGTGCATTCGGCAGTGGCATCGAGTGGATAGAATCATCAGCATGGTAGTATCACCTCCTTCCGATATAGATGGAGAATCCTTAGTTTTCGATTGTGCACTTCCCAGGAACCACCGACCAAGTCTCCGGCCTGAAAACCAACCCACCACTCCTTCTCATCGCCTCGGGGTCCATATATACTTGAAGTCCTGGCTCATCCTTCGCAAGATCATAGACTCTGAAAACGACATAAATCGAATTGGGGGATCCTTCGAGAGTCTGTTGCTCTCTCATTAACTTATATTGAGCCTTACTCATATAGAATGGCGTGTCGCAGTGTTGCGTCGTCGATTTAACCTCGATGTAGTACTTCGGGCACCGTCCTTGCCAACGGTCGGGGTCCAGATATCCCGCGTTGACCAGCAGTTCTGTGAGCACGCTGTAAGAGTCGTAGTAGATAATATCCGCCGTCTCGCGGCCACTCCAGTCTGGCAGTTGATCGTATTGCGGATGTACTCTGACGTATTCGCGGATCGTGCTCTGCCAGCTCTCTCTGGAGAATGCGGGTAACTGGGGGTCTAGATGGGAGAGGAGTTCGAAGACCTAGATTGAGAATAAAGTATCAGCTCAGTTTCATGGTGGGTGGTAGGCAGGATGAATGCGGATTCTGATGAGAGCTTACAAAAAGTTCCCCGGCGGCACCGATCTTCTTGTCGCGCTCTCGCCGGGTTGCAGACCGGAATGGGTAGCCATCGGAAGAAAGATTGGCTGTGGAAATGTCCGTAACAGGCAAGGCTCGAAGCAATTCTGTCATGTTCAATGACCCTTGGCTTGGGATCGTCATTCTCCTGGCCCTATTGATCATTTTATCAAGCAAAGCGACGTATTGCGAATTTTCGCTCACGTCCATATCGTCGACTTCAAGACTTGGGGTTAAGTGAGAAAGATTCGGTACGGCGGGGGCAGCATTGGACGTTTGACTGTCAATTTCTCCTGTAGAGGGTGTTGTTTGATCATAGAGAGACGGTCTACTCCATGAACGGCCATGGGCGATAAGCGGGCGCGTTATAGATCGTGGTGTCAATATTCTGCGCTCGCTTTGGGGTGTTGTGGGTGTGTTTATATGGTGGTCGAGAGTACTAGAAGTATCCAGCCCCGCAGGGTCTTCCATTGTGACTTCCACTTCTTCTCGACCCTCTTCTTCTATAGCAACACTTCTGTTAGATGGCTCATCACCTCCTTGTACGTTTCCGCCTAGATCACCTATGGTTTCCGGAATGGTGACGTCCATGATTCCAGCTTCTTCTAGGATCAAATTGACAGAAGCAGGTTTAGCATTCAAAATTTTAGTGACTGCTAGAACAGCTTCTAACTCGATCTTCTCGCATATTTGGGTGTCAGGGGTGGTCATCATACATTCAAGAAGTCGCCGTGGGAATTTGGATTGGTAGCAGAATTCCTGCTTTGTCATATCTCTTGGAACATAGACTTCTAGTTCTCCATCGTACTCACGAATATGAAGCTCACTTCTATTTATTTCAATCGGCAGGTTGCGACCGCATTGTGACAGGGTTAGTAGCGATGAAATCCCGTCTGTTTCGTAGACCCGAGCTCTTCGGAGAACACTGTATAGAGAAAAGTCGGCTTCTGACACTCGAGGACTGTTGAAATGGGTGGCTATCCTGCAACACAAGATTAGAATTTCGCTACCAGAGAAGATTTGGGTTGATTTAACCGATATAGTCCAACTGATTTCCGACTAATGTCACGATCACGATTTCCGATGAGTGTAGGGTCACCGCCAGTGTGCTGAGATATTTCTTTGACCTGGCATGACAGGAAGCGGCTCTCGAGACCGGTCCACCTGAGGAATGGTCTGAGGAGCCGGACCTCCTCCAAGGTGAAATCGAGTAGCCACGCTTTGGCAAAAAGTTCCCCAAGACGTTGACGGTCGATGATTCCAAACTCTGTCTCTGCCGTATGCAATGTCACCTGACCATTCGGGTCTTTGACTGGGAAAACACGGCTTCGCAGGATCCTGTCTGGCGAAGAGGTAGGAGTCTGAGAGGATAAGAAGGAGTTCAGTACCCACATAGTATCCTTGATCTCTTGTTGAGGCTTTCGTAGAGCACCTTTCTCAACCAGGTCATCCAATACCATATCCAAGCTTAGCTCGGGGACTCCGAGCAAAGTGACAAAAAACGCTTCCAAGCCTTCATAGTGATCATTAAGGGCGGTCCTGTCTCTGATTGAGGTTGCACTTGCCCACAAACACTCTGATACCTTGAGCCAACAGTGTCTTCCATTTGTATTCACATATATCATGGGGGTTTCTTCGAAGGCTTCCCTGGGTCGAGGTTAGTATGTCCTAGGTATTTTGTACTCTAGGTTTCGACATATTCTTACTTCAGCGCTTCAATGTCGGACCTCCCACTGCTACTCAGTGATCCCTCAAGCAGGACATAGAGGTTGCTCATTCGATCGAAGTCTGTGCAAGAGATCGCCTTGAGGTGTTTAATCTCCTCGACAAGGTGTTTCCACGTGCAGTCGGGGATTCCCAGTGTTACTCTAAAAAAGCTTTGCAGAAGAACCGATGCCTCTTCAGACGCTGCCAAGAAGGTCTCACAAAGTGCTTTGATGGAGTATTTAGATAGCAGATTTTTCGGGCCATCCCAAACGCACTGGCTAGGACGAATCCATATGGGTCCAGGCGCCTCTGACGGCAGTAGCAGGACGCCACATCTCGTTTCAAACAATTCTCTTGAGGATTTTAGCAGTTGCAACTCAATGTTTTGTTGGAGATATCAATACCTGACCATTCCCTGTTCGGTGCTTCGGTTATCGGACTCAATAAGTTTGGAGTGAATACGTTGGTAGAGATTGAATACTCTCGCAAGGCTACCAGAACTCACGACAGATTGATTTTCTCTCAGGATACTGTGGTGGATCTCGAGATAGAAATCCAGATCGTCATGCCTACGAACACCGAAGGACGAATGCAAGAATTCCCAAGGATCAGAACTCGCGTCATCCTTTGGCGGAAACAACAATTTCAAGAACGGGAAAAATTCCCCGTCTGCCATGAACCTTGCTTGTAGACATTCAAGCGTTGGAGTGGGCAAGTATGTCTCGGACAGAGCGATCATGCGATCACCTCTGCAAAGGACCTCCATTTTCCGGAGTTCATTGGCAGTTGTATTTTTCTCAGCGATCTTTTTGACTTCTGCCTGCGAGTAATGATGAAGTACGGCCATAAATATTTCCGGACGATGGCGTTGAATATAGCAGGTGATATCTGACAAGGAGGCATTGTCCTGCCCTGCGTTACGGATCAGCCTAGGCGACAGGCGAATGAACACATAACGGTTTAGGAATGTCCGCCAGCTGAGTGGATGCCCCACTGGTGCCTCTGGAACATTCTCAAAATAGTCTTGATGGAGGAATGGAACCGTAAGGCCAGGTGCTCCGTCGCCTCCATTCAGACCCTGCTCCTCCCTTTTCAGGAGTTCCCTTGCGCCATATGGCTTATTGTCAGACGCATAAGTGTCGGTTTCGAATGGAAATACAGACCTCCCGTCCTGGGTGAAAACATGGATTCTGTAAAAGATCGGTAATACAGCATCCAATTGCCGTTGAGTGAGATAGAGATATTCTAAATGACTCCGAGATGTTCGAAGATTGACGACGTTCACGTTCGCAACTTCCCTGTATTTTTGATGTATCATGTCTCGGACAAGGCTCGTTGGTGCTTCTACAACACCGAGGTGATCAAATAAAGCCTTTCTGTCTTCGTTTCTTGCGGCAACGGGATCAATCAAACTCAGCGCGAGATCTTTCGGGATATCCACGCCTTCGGTGGCTGCATAATAAGCCGGACCATTGTTTGCAGAGACCCATACACCGCTTTGCAGTGGAAGAAGAGGAAGTCTTCGCACTCTCTCCTGAGTTGTCACCGTCCAATTCATCACAAAGGGCATTGCAAGGAGTTTAGCCGTACGCGAGTGCCAATCTTGATCATCTGTAGATTTCAATCTCGAGGCCCGGGAATTTAGGTCTTTATCGACTCGATCTAAGACTTTACCCATGTGAAGATATTCAAGACCATAAGACTTCAAAATCTCAAGGTCATCGAAAAGATAGTCGCACGATAAGTAACCGGGTGGTTCGATGTCATCGAAGAGAGGGTTGCCTTCTCTGTCCATAGCTTCGAAGGAGAGTCTACTAAGCGACTTTATTGTTTTCAATGTGCCTTCGCTCCGAGGACGCAGGATCGGGGTGAACTCCAAAAGATTTTTGATTTTATCCACGAGAGCCTTCCAAAAGGGTGCAAAGTGAATAGATTCAGGGCTAGGAAGGTACCTCATCCATTGGTTTCGTAGGGTGTGGTGCTCACAAAGCTGCAATACAGCTTCGATGAATGCATTTGCAATTCCATCTAGAAGGCCTTGGTTCCTGGGACAATTAACGACGTCTTGTCGGCTTATCTCGGTGACAAAATCGCCTTGGATTAGAAACTAAATCATAGTCAGATCTCTCTGATATATGTAGGAAAGCGTGAAACTTACAGAGAACCCAACCTGCCGAAGGGGTAGAAATGCAAAGACGCTCTGAGCCTCAATTAGCGGGGTTGATTCGTGCGTCAGAGGAAAAGCGAGTATGAGCTGCGAAGTTGAATCTGCTTGCCTTGCCTCTTCTTGGTCGGAATACTCCCTGTTCTCGTTTTTGGCTAGACCAGTGGCAATATGCTTCGTAACATGATAGTATTGTGAGCATTCTTCGGTCTCACCGTTCTGCATCATTGTCTCTTTTAGCTCTGCTCGATGGTTCTCTTGCCATTTGACACTGTGCATGGTTTTTGTGGCCACATCGCCGTAATTATCATAAAAGGTAATGTCAATCTTCCTGATATTTTGGAGAAAGAGAAGAAAGGCATTCTGGAGCTCGTGAAACTGCGAAGATATCTGGCGCTGAGTTTCTTCAAAAGAAGGATCGCTAGAATTGTGTAAAAACAATGTGATCCTAGTCAGTGCACTAGGAAGCTCTTCTTCGGGTTCTTGCCATATGGGCGAAATCATCCCCATTCCAGAGTCGCCCTTTCGATGCTGGAAGTAGAAAGAGTAATGTCCTGATTGAATCAGTACTTTCCAGGCAACCGCAAAGACCGACTTGAACCCGATGCCTTTCTCTCCAATGTAACCTTGGGTGCCTTTCTTTGTGCTTTGATTAACGTTGCATATCGCCCTCAAATGCTCGGGTTGGAAACCATCCTCATTACACTCAACCACGATATGCCCAGGGTGCACATGGAACGATATGAAAGGGGTATCAGCGGTTTTGGTGAATTGGTTGTCGTCCGCATTCTGGAGCATTTCGAAGACAAAGCGAGAGTTGCTTGTGTAAATGTCTTTGGCCAGCCTAATCGACTCCGGTTAGTGTCCGTTGTGAAATCGTCTGAACTGCGTACTCCATACGTGATCACTGCTGAACCGATTATACCATCTTTCGTGCTCAATGCTTTGGAGATTGTGTCACGAACCGCAGGGTCATTAATCTGGTGCAGGACATCTTCACCGACGTGACCGTGCTCTTCTGCAATCCCCTTCACGAGCTCTCGAGCCTGGCGTCGAGCCAACATTTCTTGAAAAGATATCTAGAAGACTAAACCCTGGAATCGATAAGACTTGGTGATAGCCAAGGTGGCATAACCAAGAAAATCAGTCAGCAGAAATGCTTCGGCATAATCTCTATTTACATAAAGTACTCAAAAGTCCATATCACATGCCATTCGATAGTTCGAGCGTAAAAACTTGGCCTTGCATTTGCAATGGCGGTTTTAGTCCTACATTAGCGTCGTGGTTTCAGAACCATGCCAGGGAGTGCCTTCAAACCGGTGATTGCTTCTGGCGAGCGCAGGCCCACGATACTTCTTTCTTCCATCTTGTCAATGAGGGGATGTAATAGCTTTTCAAAGTTTAGGATTGCAGCGTTGGTCTATTATCATGGCAACAGAAATCTTAATCCCAATTGACCATTTGTACTCCCTATGTTATATGGCCTTGACATTATTTTCACCAAGCTGATAGCCCTGGTCAAAAGCCCCTGCATAATTAATCAACCTATCCGTACAGTAGGTGGCTTGATATGATATGGAACTAGGGCTCCAACCACAAGAAAACCGTAGCAGCTTGAACCGGGGCGGTCGACAGCACCCTTGTTAAAAATGGCGTCTTACAGTACTGTACGGCCCCAGTTGGTGGTCTACTCGTAAGAGATTCCTTGCACGGAGTACGGAGTACTCTGTACATACAACTGTCCACAGTGCGTCCAGGCTGCTGGGCGCTTCGATCGAGGCTAGATTGGCCTACGGTCGAAGAGCAGAGATGTGCACTACGGGCACCAAGTCAGAATGACTGCCAGTTCGTCTTACCAACTACACGTTACGTGTTGTTCGTATCTCCGGCAACCACCTTCTCTTCCACACTCATCGCGTCCGTGGGTGCTCCCCACTGGCCATCACCAACTCCTCCACCCCAATATTACCATTGTAAATCGAGCTCATTTCCTCAACGGATTTGCCCTCATAGAAATGAGTCCGCGCAACTAATATATGATGGGAACCTATATCACCGTTGAAGACGTTGCACCTCTTCGCAACTGACTGCACTTTGCATCTATGGCTTATCTGAATGTATGCATCGTCGATAAGATCTTCCTCAAAGGTTGTACCGTCACTCGCGGCTTTTCTTGGTTTCTCGGTGGCTTCTGTTTCAGGAGAGGTTGAACGACCAGCACTTCGGGTCTGAGTATGACTTGAAAGCTGTAGCGCAGCTGACCTTTCTACGCTGAGATCTCTAGTGCCCAAAGATGCCGGAATAAGGGGATCCTCAATGCGCAAACTGTGTGTGGAGTTGTGATCGTCATGTACTGTACTTTTGTTAGGCATGCTTCTTGAATTGATCACTAGCAAAAGGACGACATACTTGAATTGTGTCTCTGACAGAGTCCTAGGTTCGATGACCGTGCCGACCCGACATGGTAGTAAGGATGGAGGAATCCAATGACCAGTGTTAACGAAATCAGATGCTTCTTTGGCCGCTAAGAATATGCACGGCATTTTGTAGGCTGCCCAGCTCACTGCACGAGATCCTCGTGACCAGGGAAGGTAAATAGGGAGCCGAGATCTAGTCGCTTGACCTCAAGTCCACTGCAATTGTAGTCTCAATGATATCCCATAATAGTCGATCCTGGCTTTGCGTGGTAAAACCCTAAGCATGTTGCAGCTACTAATTAGGTCTAAGCCGTACGCACTTCGAAACTAAAAGAATGCAAAAGTACAGGTTAGCCTGGTCATTTAGCTTTGGCAAGGTCTCGATTGACATGGGTAAGCCGGTACGAGGAAGCAATTCTGTTTAGACTCCCGGAATGGACATTCCCGAACATCCGTTCTGGCAGCACACGCACTAGATGCGCCAAGATCGTAAGCTACAATGACTTCCTTCTTTTAGGCAAGCCTAAAAGGAAGGGGGCTGGTTCCGTAAAGAGCCTAGAGCGAAGGTAGTGTTCATCAACAAAGATGTTATCAGTGTTGCAAGGCGGACGACGAGCTCCCACCTCCACGTGGTGTCCGCTGGGAACTCTCAGAGAAACAGTCGAGTTGTCTCTGAGTGCCAGGAGGAGCTCAACAACGCGGTGATCCTCTTATGAACGACGCGTCGACACATCGAAATCACCCTCCGAGCCTCACGAAACACCCAACATTACAGCCCCAGTCCGCAGGAAGAGGGTCCTGGCCTGAAGCTGGCAGTGGCCTCATTGTCATTGCAACGCCGAGGAATGGATTAGAATCTAAGTTCCATTTAGGCGCTTCGGGATCCTGTTCAGGCTCTACCTGTTCCAAGACTGGGCTCTTAGTGTTGGCAGTGACGGGCGATTAGGCGTGGCCTTTTCAGTCAAAGACGAAGACACTGACGACGCTAACGAGGGAGAACAAGATAGTTCAAGCGCTCAGGAGGACGGAGCGAAGGATACGGCAAACGAGAAACCCGAAGATGTTGAAGAGGCTGGAAACACGAGCAAGTTGACTGACGAATCGACCGACGAATCGACAGGAACCGCAGAGACAACCTCTAAATCATAAAGTTTACGAGCTTTGCGGTCGTTCTGGCCACTGTGGAGAATGTATTACGATCTGGAGTTCTGTGGCGTTGGAGAAAAACCAATGAATTGCGTTGGAAGGCTAAGACGAAATTCAAAAAGGGGCTTCGCTCGCATACATATCTTAAAGAGCACCAAGACAGAAAACCTACAAATGGCTGCGTGACAATAAAGATGTGTGCGCAGCAATTAGGCATAGTACAAATATTCTCGTACTTTCTTTCCCAATCCCTATATACATGTGTTTCTTTCCATGCTACTTACCTTATTGACTCCTTTACAACCGATGCTCTACCCTCAGCTCAACGTTTTGATGATTTCCCAAATCCACTGCGATGAAAGATACGGTCGCCCAGGCTCCCCCCCCTTGAAACGGCCACGATACTCTCGTGTTAGTAGGGCAAGTAAAGAATGCTGTGCTCACAAGATCAGATGCTATGGTCGCGAGCCTTGTGAACCCTGCCAAGGTTTTGAGAGAAGTCAGCCTGCAGCACACTCCTCTATCTCGCGTATCACTAGCCTAAATAGTTCCTCGACCCCTCGTACAGCGAGAGTTATACAGTACGCATTCTAACGATCTACCACGTCGAGTACAGCCGCACCGCACTTTACTTCGCTGGAGAAGAAGGGGAAGTATATATACTATGTACCTATGAAGAAGAAGTTATCGGTGAGTTCGCCTATAAATAGTTAGAGTTTCTTAAGTTAGGTATCTATAAATATGGAGCGTTTAAAACTCACAGAGTAGTCTAGTTGAGGTCGTAGTTTAGTAATAGGAATGAAATTATTCCAGCCCTCGTTAACAGTTTCAATGAGACGCCTCAAATACTTCGCCCCCCGAACTGCTAATAATTACGCGGAAGGGACAATAAGTCTTACGATGCCCTGAATGACCTTTACTTTATTTCTGTCCTATAGTGTCTCGCAGGTTTCCTCAAAAAAACATCCTAAAATAAGGAATACTCGGGAATGACCTACTCGGCTTTAAGCAAGGAGTTATACCTTTTCTTGCTTTCTATTCTAGGACCCTCTTCATCCCGGCTAACGTATTTACCTATAAAGCTCCCTTTAGGCTCGAGGAGCGACCTATAGCGTGGGTTTTGGTAAAGGGCGCTCTTCTCTTCCCTAGGCTTCTGGTCACTTAGTGTAGTTAAACTAGGTGCGCCAGACCCTGTATCCGACCGTTTTCAGCGAAGTGAGGTTGTGGATTTCTTTCTAGTAAATAAATGACTCATTTCGCCACTTTCGTCAAAGTATTCTCGCAGCCGGCGGCTTGTCTGGGTCTAATATACAATGGAATTGACATCGTGTTCGGGAAAGCTCACCGCTTTGCGAGTAAAAGTAGTCTGAACTGGATGTCCAAGACAAGGCCTCCGTGGTCGCTTTGGAGAGGGCAAGTTTAGTTGTCTGGTTTCTCGTTTCCGCTTGGGAGGCTTCGATGGTAAAACGGCTGGTGATATTGAGAAAAAGTTCCGGACCTGCGCGGGAATAGCTATAGACGGGGATAGCCTGCAGAGGTTGTTGCTGTTCATTCAAGATCTCGAGAACAGAGAGTCGCTCGATGAATTGTTTGGCATTTTAGGAAAAAGCTGACTGGTATTGAGGTAGTTGACCAAAACCATGGTCGCCATCTATGCTTCCACGAAATAGGTATCGGCAACGACGTCGAGCGCTCGCTCAACACCCGAGGACGGTATCCTAATTTCTGACTGCACTGCGGTATAGTCATCAATAACTTCTTCTTCTTCCGATGTAAGCGATACCACTTACTAGAGACAGTAGTCCAAATTACTTTCCGCTCGATGCCAATGAGATTCCCGGGCTCGAGGCCCTCCGCCTATAATTATTGATGCCAAGCGATTGTAAAGACCGTAGTCTACAATATCGCTTCGCCGCATCCGAACTAGCTCCGAGAGCTGTTCGAACGCTATCCGAAGCGAATCCGGAGCGCCTAGGCGCTAATCTAGTACGTACTTAGGATACTATATAGTCTAACGAGTCCCTCGTACCGTCTTAGGAATAATTATATCCCCTTTCTATTATATCTAGTAGTAACGACCTACGATAGCCTTTAGGAAGACCTCTAGGCTAGGGCCTTTACGGGCTCCGAAGTATCTCTAGGTACGAGGAACTAGAGTTAACTTTATCGAAGTATTATCGAAATCTTAAGAGACGCTAGAAGTATATCTCTTTATCGCTTTTTATCGATAGGAGAAAGAATTACTTACTATAATCTTATCTTCTACGAAGGACGATAATTCCTTAATCCTTCGGAGGTAAAAAGAAGTAAGAAACGCTTAATAAACGGCTTTAAGCGGAGTTTCTTTCTCCTAGTAGCTAGACTATAGTAATTCGACCGAAGACTAGTCTCGACTATACCGCGGAATTCTTTTAGAACTACTACGCGGCCTTTACTACCTCTTCTATAAAGGTTTATATTAAACCTATAGGCTACTAGATTTAAGAACGACTATAATCTAG